AAGCGCTATTAAGGCAAGGCTATTCTTTCTTATAGTGTTCTAGTATACTATTATTAATTTTATTACTAAGAGTCTAGGATCTATAAGTCCTACGTTATAAAGAGGTCGCTAGACCCTTAGTTAGTTCTCTAGCTTAATATCTCTATAATGTCGTAGCTCTAAACCGTTACTATGTCTAGCGCCCTAATAAGAGGGCGTCTACGCCTTACTAGAGTCCTTACTATAGGCTTCTTGTTATTACTTGTCTATAGTCTCTTAGGTACTACGACCTAGTAGCTGTCGTTACTATCTTATAAGGACGCTAGTATAACGCTAAGTACTTAGCTAGTAAAGCTACTCTTTAATACCTTAAACTGTCTAGGTCTTTACTAATATATAGTATATGCCTACTCCTTTACCTTAAGGGCCTTAGGACACTAATAGTCTTACACTACATATAGTCTACTATAGTTAACACATCTCTTCTTACTATTAAGTTAAGGGTACTCCTCTTTACCTTAAGGGTACGCCGCTCTTACGTAGTAGCTATACCGGGCCTAGTTCTTATAGAACTGCCTAATATAGCTAAACTAGTAGTACTAGAAGTATCTTTAGATTTGTAGGTTAGCTAAATACGGCTTGTAGTTAAAGATCTAGGCTTACTAGATTAGCCCTTGTTTATATAGGTACGTCGCCGCGTTAACGCTTTAGAAGTATAGTACTATTATTATAAACTTTACTATAAAGGCCTTAATAGGCTTAACTTTAACCTTTATAACATGTAGCGCGTAGGCTTAGATCTCTACTAGTAACGCTCTTAATTCTACCTGTATAACCTAGTCTACTAGTAGGCCCTTTACGATTACTATAAACTTACTCTTATAGAGCTAGGCCGTAGGCCTAAACGCTCTCTATACCTAGCCTTAATCCTAGATTATAGTCTTTAGTATAGCCTTCTTAAAGGTAAGAATAGTGTTACTACTAAGAAGCTAGTAGGTCGCTACTACCTTAGTACCTCTAATTACTATATTAGCTACTGTTACTACTTTAATAGTACTACAACGTACTAGGTCTTTTGTCTGTCTATCTACTCTAATCCTTAGCTCCTTAATCCGTCTCTCTAGTATTACTTATACTCTTGTTAGGTACTAGCTTACTACTAACGCGTACGTAGCCTAAGAGGCCGCTACTACTATTAGCCTCTAGAAGGCCTTTTTTAATATTATTCTTAATTACCTAATCGTTACTAGGTCGTCATTAGAGAAGGTCTTAAGAGTACGTAAGAGGGTTACTATATTTACTGTCTTTAGCTCTACTACTACTATTGTCGTCGCGATAAGGTCGTAAAGGAGGCACGACGCCTTATCTTCCTTACCTAGTATTACGTAGGCCTTAATTTGTTGTAGGATTAACTTTGTTTTATTGTCTGTACTACTTTTACTACTTACTAGCTCCTTACTATAGCTTTTTGTTAAGGAATAAGAGTATTAGCTCCTTCTTATAAGCGGGTAGTACTAGCTCTGTTTAAGTCTAGTATACCTACTATCCGTTACTATAGGCTCGCCTATAGTCCGCTAGTACTCTAGGGGGTATCTAAGGGTACTAATTTTGATTCTATTGTTTGTTTTTAAGTTTTTAAGGCAGTTAGGGGCGTAGGCGACTGTCGTAAAGTTTTTTTGTAGTATAAGTAATATTTATAAAGTAAATTAATTTTACTAAAAATTTACTAAGCCTTTATTTTTATAATATATAAATAGACAACTCTCTACTACTTACCTACCTTTCTTTTATTAAGCTAACCTTAATTTAGTATATAAGCCCTTCCTTACCTTCTTACCCCTTATACCTCTTACTATACTAACTTTATTAGTCTTCTTATCTACTATTTATTAATCGTAATTATAAAATAGCGTAAAGCCTAAAGCTAAAAGCTACTACTTATATAACTAAGTTGTCTAACTATACTACTAAAAAGAGCTATAGTACGCCGCCTTTAATCTAGTAAAAGGCTCTTTAGACAGCCTAACTAACCTAACTAGCCTAACTAGCCGAACAGTCTAAACTCTTAGGCTAGAAGATAAAGATTTAAACTAAGTAGTAAGTTAATTAGTATAAAGATTAGTATAAAAACTCTACTAACAAATTTAATAGCTATAGCGCTAAGAGAAATAAGAAAGTACTAAAAGACTACTAAACTATTAATACTATAAGCCCCCTTTATAAGGCTAGTAAAAGAGATTATACTTTAGCTACGCCTTAAATTCCGAGTCTAGAGAAGCGTAATAAAAGCCTTACAAGAATCTATAGAGGCTATATTAACTACTAAGTTTTCTTATAAGTATTTAATCTATTATACTAATCTTTATACTAATTAAATAATATATAGTAACAAATCTTACTACTATCTATACTAAACGAGTTATAATTTAGTAAAAGGATATAAAGCTCGTATAGTCTATACGTAATAGAATTCTTAGGTATACTATACTAAGAGGTAAAAGGCTATAAGGCTAAATTTAAAATAGAGTAGTAATAAGATTATAAGTTATAAGGTATAATTCTATCGTATATTTTCTGTAAATTCCTAAATGTAATCTATTAAATAACGCCTTATAAAGTAATTAGTATAAAGATTAGTATAAACTATAATTATTATACTACTACGTAATATTATTAAGGCTTAAATCACGTGTTAGGGTCTTAGTAACCTATAGGTTAGGTTATAGGTTAGGGCCTACCTACTAGTCTAAACCTACCCTATAGGTTAGATCCCTATAGGTTAGGTCCTACCTATAGAAACCCAACCTATAGGGACCTATTGCGCAGCCTAAATCCGCGAAAAACTCTGCGCCGGCCAACCTCATAAGCTCACAATGAGAGTGCGTGTCGTGTCCCAGATCAGGCCGCGATCTAGCTATGTCCTCAAAACGCTCAAAATTGGTTTTAGTGGTAGGCAGAATCCAGACACCTTTGCCGTCCTCCGTCCAGCCGAAGAGCGTATTCTTCGCGCCCTCATAGCGAGACTGGTCTGGGGGTCCGTGCTTCTGGGCATAGGCGTTGACGAGATCTTCTAGCTCAGCTTTCGTCTTCTTGTGGAGGTCGAGCATCTTGGTGGTAGTATTGTGATTCATCCTGAGAGGAAACCGTAGGACCTTTCGCAAAGTAGAATGCGGCAAGAGGAGAAGGGCCATGTGCGGGAGAACGTGGCAGAACAGCTGGCAGAACGCGAGGGGTAGCGCCACCCCTCGCGACTTACTGTATCCGACTGCGCGTGTGAACGAGGAATGCGCTTTTCATAGATACAGTAATACTTAGAGGATTTGCGCGATATCCTCGCAATGCTATTGAATCTTACGGCAACGATCTCGACCGACAAATTCGGAGATCACTGTTCTCGCATCCACGACGTTCCTCGTGTAGCCTCGCTCACGCATTAGCACTGCTCGCAGGCAGCCACGCTGTTCTGATGGCGATGTGAAGATGGCTCCGGAATGAGAGATAAAATTCTGCCTGATCCAGAATAATAAATAGCCGGAGTGTTGTAGACGATTCATATCGATGAGTGGTATTCGTAATATCCAGAACCTACCATAGTTTGCGTAAATGCAATGGGCATTCTTTGGGACATATTCAAGTTGCAGAACATCATTGTAGATATCCTGTGACCTAAAACGAGTAGCTCTTGGATTGGCCTTGCGGTAGCTACTACCTGGGCAACAATGTGCTCTTGCTCAAAGAACTCGTCTAAACGACCCAAGCTAATTGGTTTCTTGATATCTGGTAAGGAATATCCTAAGGGTAAATACTGAGAATGATGTCTTTTATTAAGGTACTTAATCTAATACTTAACAGGTCCTCTCTTAAGAAGTCTTGATCTCCCTGATCACTCGCCGTACTCCTGGTCTTGGTTGCAGCTTCATCTTTAAATGGTCCCTTAGAAAAGTTCCCTGGTAACGTTAGCAGGAGTGTCAAATGCGGATTTCTTCTTATCATGATGATGCCCTCGAGGACACCCAGTTCTATCTCTGCTACGTAATTAAGGATCATTGATTCATTGTAATTGCTACGTTGGCCCTACTAAGCTACGAGCCACGGATTCTCTGGTTACTATCCTCATCCCGTAAAACCTCTAGGACGAGGCCATTATTGCCGCCTACCTTTAGAACGGTAACGTATCTCTCTTTGGTGCCGTCTATAATGGCAGGGAGCCCTCGCTCGCGTATATTTACTAAAGGTAGTTTGAGAACCCCTGGGGTCGAAGACGAAGATAGGAAGGGAGAGAATTAGAAAAAAAGGACGAAATAGAAACTCGAAGAGTTTAAAATGTAAGGACCTGGGTACTCTAAAGTAAAAAAATCTCTTGCTTGTAGGTCTCACCTCAAGTTATATTGGCTCTTATCATAAAAGCTTACGTTGCTAATGGATTTGATCAAGTATAAGCCATAAGCTCGTAAAGACTTTTACACCTTCATCGCGTTCTACCAGCAGTCAATAACATGGTACCACTAGTACCGAGATCAGATCATTCGGCCAAGGATATGATCGATGACAGGATCAAGACCCTCAAACGAGATATGCACGGGCTTGAAAAATTGGACAGAAGCAAGAAGATTAACCAGTAAGGGTATTTAATAAAGGATGAGGTTACTTACTACTACTATATACTAAATATCTGGCTGAGCATGTACAATAAGAACAAGACTATGATAGGCACATTAATCTTATGGAGGTATGGTTTAGCTACAAATTTCTGCTAATTGTTATAGAAGAAAGGTGATAGTAAGGCAGATGCCTTCCGCAATACAGTAGTGTAGTGCTTAGTTAACCTGTTAGAGTGACCCAGGTGCTACCTAGGGTTATCCCCATGATAACGTGCATCTAAATAAGAAAATTTAGAACTTGACAACCATGACACCTAATCACCTATACTCCAGAACCATCTTGGCAATGCTGTCTTTCGATAGTACATTAAGAATCCCTAGCAACACAAGTAGAGCTAAGGGTGTCGTAGTCAACCAGCGCTACGATTTCCAAGTAGCGCTCAACGATCTCAAGGGCAAATCACTCGAAGTATGCCACCCGATATGACAATGCAAGAGCCACACTCCCGGGTTGTCGGTTTTAAAGCTCAGACTCAGAGTCACCTTATCGTTATTAAAAGTGCCTGAGTCCTGGGCGAGAATGTAGAAGTCATGGTCGTGTAGATGATAGGACGAGGGACGGAATTGGCTATCTCGATAACGAAATAGACCCACTCGTTGGCTGTATCGACCTCGATTACGTGCGAGGAATTTCTGAAATTGGTGTGCCGTTATAGACCCGGGGGATGGTTGGGTCGTCCCATTCCAAGACGAATGTGGTGCCAGCCATGTACCACCCGAAGAGGTTGTCGGAACGGCCAACCGTGATTGCGAAATTGTCTTCGACAGTATCTGTGCTAGCATCCAGAAAAAGGTACGGGGCCAAGTTACTGACATCTTCATCATCACAGCTGTCTCTGTCTAAATATCCAGATGTGTTTGGCTTGGTTGCGTTGGTCCAGTCATACCTGAGTATTTCCTTGATATTATCAACATTGTCGTTACTATAAGTGGCTTGCGGAATAGCCCTTATCCAGTAATTGCCCGGGGTTTCATTTGCATCGAGAACGATATCGTAACTTTGGCCTATACCAATCCAAGGACCCGAGTGCTGTAAGGTACGATTGGCAGCAGGTCCATGGCAATAACCGTCATGTTGTGGTTGTCGGTCATAAATCTAGGATGCGTGTCGATATCGCCGTTAACAAGCCTGATTCTATAGGAACCCTCTGCTGTAACCGTCATGTTAAACCGGGCACCAAGATCCCCGTACACGATAGTCCCGTTGATAGGCTGTTACCTAGAACTGGAGAGCCCGATGTTTCTGCCGTGGTATATATATTTCGTCTGCTGTCCCGTGTGCTATAAAGACCTTAGTTTTCACCTCGAAAGTAGACCAAGAACACTAACTCCAACCATACAGAAAGAGTACACCTGTATCTGTATCATAGTTTTCAGTAGCCGGTCCATTGATCAAGATCCCCCCTATTACCCCTTCCCGTGCCTGGAGGGCGAAATGCGAGTGGCACCAGGTACTGCCATACTGCGTTGCTCGCCAAGTGTAGGTGTCAGGTGATTGACTATAAAGAGACTTTAGTTAGATGCGCCATTTTCTTTGTACTTTGATAATTCCTACCTAACCAAATGCAACCAGATATTGTGTAATTAATGGAACGCCATCCACTGGGTTCGTATTATTTTGTCGTATACCTGTTGCTAATACTAGCTTTTCTTTGCGTTTGTTATAAGACATGTACTATAGAAATAAAGGCCAGTGCCGTTAGTTAAAAGTCTGTTGTAAATGTAAACCAATAGATAATTGTTAGAACTTAGTACATTAACTTTAGAAGAGAGAGAGAAGGGGGGGGAAGGAGGGGAGAGAGATAGGAGAGGACTTGCTAACAGTATCTCCCTAAATAGCTATAATTGTCAGACCTAGAAATGTCCTGTTGACAAGCAAGACGTCTCTAGAAGCACCATCTAGTGAAGCTGTTGTGTTGACTAGTTCGAACCAAACCTATTATCCTTTTAGCTACTGACTAAAAGAGAAGGTGTAATAACAAACCTCTACAGTGTCACCGGTATCAGGGACCACCGTGTAGTAATTAGTAGACAAGTCATAGTCTCCCTAGCACTGTCTGTTTGTTACTATATCCGTGCAGCTTTTGCCAAGCGAAGAAACACGAGGAGCAGCAGAGACTCCTGAGATGATCAGGGTCAAGCCAGCAGCTACGAAAGAAGGAAATGAATGCATGCTCAAGAGCTGTGAGTAGTACAGAAATGAAAGAAGAGATAACAGTTGAAGTTATAGCGTCTTTGTTAAAGGATGAAAAAGATTGGATATCGATGTGTGATGACGACCCAGCCCACGGCATTATATCTAACTTAGGGTTAGGATTGAAAGACATCTCACATCAAAATCTAGAGACCGTGAGTGTGGTCGCCGCGCGGTCAGGTGTAATGACAGTACCCACTTTAAGCTCAAAACTCATCACGGCTTGCATGTCAGATCATGGGTATGCACAGCGGATTTGGCTTTCATCTAAGGGAATTGGAAGTGCTCAGCCCTCGCAACAAGGACTTGCACTGAGCAGCTTTTGCAAGGCGTATGTAGTATGATGGCTGAGGCTCGAATCTGAGCGGAACCCCAATTCACACGCCTCTTGATTAGGTGGAAAGTGGAAACGAAACAAAGCGTACTTTGAATTCGCGTTCTTCACGTTCCTCGAGTCCTAGAGATCGTGGCGGGACCTGAGGTTTGTGCTTTTTTGGGCTGAACTGCCGGACGCACAGGCCTCTGCCGCAATTTCCCCCTGAAATAAGCGACACGTGATCTATGAATAGCGACCTCTTCTGATCTCACTACTTAGAGAGTGACGATGACCACCACGAATCCACAGTGGATCCTGCTGTATAGTTTAGTTCCAAGTGCCTGGGTCTTCCTTTAGTCTTTTTTTGGTCTTAACGCATGTGTTGCTAGTGTATGCAGTTTGAGGATAGATCCAGTCAGCTCTAGTTGTTGCTCAATTTGATAACTTGAATCTTGATACTTCAGACCCTGGCGTCCCAGAAGATATCTTACATTCGCGGCTGCTCCCATCAGGGTATAAGTTGACCGTCTAGCTAGAAACCTAATTTGTCTTGCTTGCACATTAGTTCTCTACCAAACATGTTGTCTACTTACTCTACCGCAGCCTATTTCTCGACGCTCTCGGTCTTTTCCAGCGCCAGTGCTCTTACACAAGAGCGTGATACCTCTCCTGGTATTATGCTATTTGCGTACGGCAGAGCTGCTAATAGTGCTCCTGTTTTCTATGCTGATGGTAGATATCACTACCCCATTTCCACCCATTAAGCTAAATTCTTGTTAGGGCCTGCATACGTAGGGAAAACGGCCCTTTCCTAGGCCGGGCTTATCACGAACATTACATTCGTGACCACTTCCAATTTAACCACAGATCCTTGGTCAATCAAGGCCAACTCGATCACGGTATCTTTCAACGAGGCTCGCCACAAGTACATCATTCTCACCTCAGGTTCTTACAGCCAGGTCGGTTTTGCAGCCAATGCCACCCTGCCTACTAATGCCATCATCACCGGCTCGACTTGGTTGGGGTATCAGTTGCGTATGCCGCTAGTTCCTCGAATTATCAGTTGCAGTTCTGGGCAAATGAGACTAACGAGGCTGATATCTATGCACTGTACTGGAATGGGGGCGGGTGTCCGGTGAAGGCTGAGGCATTTCCCGTAACGCTCAAGAGCACGCCACCATCAAACAGAAGCAAACGGTGATGGCGGGATGGCAGGAAGCTGGGGTGTCCTTGTTGGTTCCTAAGCAGAAGGTTTGGCATTAGTGATGCTTGGCTGTTGATTTTAGTGTTGAAAGGAGTAGGAAGTTGATTTGTGTGTAACAGCATTAGTGGCCTCTATCTTTGTAGGCCAAATCGCCATATCACTAGATTCCCTGGAAACCCTGACCACGGCCCGTCATACAGTCTCTAGTTCTCAAAGTTTTCTTAACTTTTCACATAGTTCTAGGATTTTGTCAGACTGAATTAACGTTATTTCAGCGTTAAGGCTTAGGCTACAGCTCGACCGGCATCTACTACGTACCCGTGTACCTGACACGACCTTACCTACCTACCTTGGTCAGTAAGACGTAATTTAATGTACATTACGACTACCTCATATAATATGTTATTAGTAACTTAGCCTCCTTCTTTTCTCTTTGGCTTGGATTCTTATACTTATGACTACTGGCATGTGCTTTAGCGGGGTGTTTTCAATTTCTTTTTCCTTTGTTGAACTACATGTAAAGTAAGTAACGTTAAGATAGAACTCTTATAGAGTCATAGTAAGTACTAGTACCCGTCTAAGGTGTGTAATAGAAAGAGTTTATTATTGTTATACTTAGGACTAATATATATTGTACTTATGTTTAGCTTTTAACTCTTGTATTAGTAACTGTTCTCTTTATTTAGGTAATCTAGATGCCTATAATAAGTGGCTTTACAAGCTCTTGGCAAGTTAGTAGTATAGGGAAAATACGTTATTTTACTAACAGATAGTAATGTTTCCAAGAGTGTATAACAAGCGAAGCAGGCGTAGGTAGGTGATCCTACAGCCCACGGCTTTTGCTACAGTGAATTAGTATATATAACCTTAAGACTTGCCTAGGTAAGGTACCTGACCTACCTTACCTACCTAGGTACCTAGTCTTCTGCCCCTGTGGCTAAGCATCGCGGGCGCGCGAGCAAAGTGAACTATTTGACCTAGGTAGTAGACTATCCCCTGCCCACCCTCTATATTCTTTCTTTTTTGAATTAAAGTAGTATGATATAACCTATGGTATTTCAAGTATTCTAGGACTGTTATAATCGCCCTGTGCAGTGCGCCCCCCTTTAAGAAGTTCAAGGTAACAGTGATTAACCGAGATTAAGTGGGGTACCGAACGATTACAAAATATATTTGAACAAAATACCATTTAATCAGTGTAATCGCTTCGCTCGAGAGGAAACACCAGCGCCAGTTGAATATATCCAACATCTCTTTCTGGATGTCTAACTAAACATCAGAATCGCAAGACCCATACCAAGGGATAGTGTGAGCGTTAACAGCGGGAAAGAAAATCCTCGCAGGGGTGAAGTAGTGGGCCTTGTACAGTATAGGTTTTTTCCCTCGACACTTGTACAGGCCAAAGATGTCAGCAAGGGTTTCCCGGAGGTTTGGAGCACTGACGAACGGACGAGCTCGAGACCAAAGACTGACGAGCCCGACGGCACAGAAGAGACTACCATATTGTCGTGTTAGGCGCTGGTATGTTTACCTTCACCATCAGGTTCAAAACTTTACCATTGACAATATCCGCACTTTAAGGCGGCGTTGGAAAGAGCTGCCTTACCGGTAAGGCTACGAGCTTCCAGATACAACCCCCCGATACTGACGACGCAGCTCAATTTGTACAGAATGTATGGATCGAAAGCTATGATCCGACCATCGAGGATTCGTACCGAAAGCAAATTGAGGTTGATGTAGGTAAAAATCAATAACTTATAGTTGCTTGTTCACAGCTGAACTAGAGACAGGGCCGTCAGTGCGTCCTAGAGATGTAGGTGAAATCATCCCCAGATATATATATATATATATATTTGTTTAGGCTCATATTATCCCAGTCTAGATACAGCTGGTACTGATCAATTCAGTGGGTTTTCCTTAGCCTACTACGCGGCCCCAACTAACCTCTCTCAGCTGCTATGAGGTATGATTGTGCGGACTGGAGATGTTGACCGATACTAAGCGGGGACACAGAGAGCTATATGTGAAGACTGGACAAGGATTCCTTCTGGTTTTCTCCATCACCTCTTTAAGCAGCCTTTATGAGTTATCACGCATTCGAGAGCAGATTGTCAATATCAAAGATGATGACAGCGTCCCTATCGTTATCGTGGGAAACAAATCGGACCTCGAAGATGAGCGAACCGTCACTAGGTCAGAGGCATTCAGCGTGTCACAAAATTGGGGAAACGCTCCGTACTATGAGACATCGGCGAGACGCAGAGGTAAGTTCCCCTTTACTGACACCCAAGCTGGTGTGACTAAGTCAAGTGAAGCGAACGTGGAGGAGGTTTTCATAGATCTCTGCAGGCAGATTATTCGGAAAGACAATGCGGGTGCACTAAGTATAGAAGAGGAAATCGTATATGGGTATGAAGATCCTGGAGAGGTGCAGGGTCACGTACGGAGAGATGGAGGACAACATAGCCATGGACGGCGGCGGAAAAAAAAACCTACGTGTACGATTTTATGACATGCTGACAACAGTATTCCAGCAAGAATGATGCCTCAGTTTGATAGTATGCCAGCTCTATCCCTTTTCTTGTATCACCGCAGTCTGTTCGTTCCGAACACCATAGAAGATCTCTTACCGTCCCCGCATGGTAATTCTGCCTTCCTTCTTCTGGTCGGGACGCAAGATTGTGTTTTTCTATTGCTTGTTTCCGAACCTCAAATTCTCCGACCCGCTCGAGCGCTCAGGCGATGTTGTTACCCGACACCAGACATGGTGAACTAATCGAGATAGGGTTTGATTCAACTAGAGTTACTAGTCTCGATGGAAAGATCTGTTCTGCATCCCGACTTTACCTCGAGGGGATTCAAGCACTCTTCTATCCTCGGCGCCTCGGGGAATAAACAGTAATCGGCTGAAAAGGGAAGCGGTATCCAAACAACCCGGTCTTTGGCATACTGTTTTGATAATCGACACCATCTGCGATTTGAAGACCGAACGCGGTTATTAGGAGGCTCATTGCAATCTAAGTAGATCGAAGCACGTCAAAACCCATTTTCCTCGCTGGGGATTCCCGTGCTAACTCAGTGGACAGTTCACACCCGGGGGCAAACATGGGCCTATACTCGGCACTGTGGGCGTCGAGTGTATCTACGAGTTATGCTGGGGAATTGCTAATGGCAAACGAGATGCATCATTTGAAGAACGTTGTTTTAATTCTCATCTAATGTGGTAAAAGGCTGTCCGTAATCTCGGCCCTGATATCTTCATTGCCGTCATCAAGGCTTCGGGAAAGCGTGATATGCATCATGATATATGGTTGGGGAGCGGGTTAAGGTGCCGCCAGGGTACCTATCACTTGGGCATCACAGGCTTTTGTTATCTTGGTCGGCATGAGTTCGCTAGAGAGCAAGGGCAGCTTTCGGTAGATTTGAATGGCGGAATTATATCACGCTGTAGCTGGGATAAGAAACTCGACCTGTTTTAGGGCTTGGGAGGACAAAAGATACGACGGTACACTCTGTACAAGCAAAGCATCTTAATGGAATCGGGATTTTGATAGCCAACGAATGAGTGGTAAGAAGAGATGGGGAAAGCACCAAGCAAAGAAGAGGGCAAAAAAAAGGGCGTACACGTACGTACACGTACATGTATCCCCGTGGGTGTTGCAACTGCCGTGAATCGAACACGAACCTCCACCTTACTCATATACTCAAATATAAGTATGGAAGGGTGGAATCCTAACCATTGGACCACAGAAGCCCTCTTACCGCCAAGCCACGAGGCAGGCGAAACTTTAGGTAAGTAACTGTTATTTTATTATATGGCTACTCCATACATTGTTTTCTGTGCCAACCAACATTTATTGTCGCTCTCAAGAGGTTCATGGGTAGCCCGCGAAGGCTCCGCTAACTTAACTCAAATGCCTACGATAGGTTCTTGAAGAAGTCGTAACAATTGATTATATAGAGAGTGCACAGTTTGAACTGATGCAGAAAGCTCTACATAGTCTAATAGCTCAATAGCTCAATATCTTTTCTTATGCGTATATATCTCCCTATTGGCTAGCAGGCTTGCGGGCACTACAATCTTTCGTCGATCGTATAACACAACTTGACCTTAACCCCCTTCGCACTGTCTAAGCCTAGGCAAATAAATGCCTTGCCGTATTAACAAAAACGCCTATGAACCAAGTGACTAAGGCTCTTTTTTTCATGTAGTGGCGAACACACTGATTGCTTGATATAGATAGCTCTGTATACCTTGGTTGTCGAATTAATACCTCACCCTAGCCGAGGCTTGTGATTGGCTGCGATAATGTACGGGAGGTAGATACCGTTTGTTCTTTTGGGACTTCGAGATGGTTTGTTTCTCTCACTTTTGGGGCGAAATTGAGAGGCATCCCCCTAGTACCATGGTCTAAAATGAAAAGGCGCCGGCCGGTGAATCGGCCCCCATCACTGGTGCATCTCACTCTTTCTACATGAGCCTCGAACACAAAACCTCAACATACTGCATAAAGGATAATTCGTACCCGTGCACCAATAAGTGTTTCGTGAGGTAGAATGGTCCTGGTTATGGGCACATAATAGGGTCTGGGAATATCTTATATTTATGTATGAGACCGGCTTGTACTTTCCTAGGAAGCAGAGGGCTTATTGTGACTCTGAGGCTGTCAAAGACCAGGATATGAACGTAACCAGTCGAAAAATAAGTAGTGGAATGAGTCTGGTTGATTTCCGGTACGCTGCCCCCGAATGACATCTAGGAACTTGCCACACCAAAGAGCAAAATGAGGTACCTAGTCGCTGGACTTGTGCGTGCAGAAAAAATGTGGATTCTATCGAGTCTCGTTGCTCAACGAGAAGGCATGCATTCATCCCAACAACGAACTATTTTATGGACTCCACGGACTCTCTGCCTGTCACAATCATGACATGCCCATCTCCCGGAATTCCACTCCCTTTTCAAGCTTGTCAGACCCCACCTCCCGTACCGCCTGGCAAGATTTGCTCCGTAAGATGTTAGCACCCCTCTCTTCCCTCGTGGATGCCCACCCTCGCGCTCCCAGACACGCGCGACACGTTGTTCATCACACCTTGTCAACCACTTGGCCCCGGGAAAATGAACTCCCCTGTAAGGAGGACACGGTCTATGGTAGGGTCACATCCAGATGAGGACCCTTGAACCCGGGAGGAATGCAAGAGCGCCGCGATCTCCCCCAATTACAATCTGCACACCGATATATACATACACTCCGCAAAGAAACCGAGTGAAGTCGATTTGTAAAGTTGCGAACCCGCGATGAGGCTACCAATGATGATCTGGATATATCATATATGCGGAATAATCAGCATCAAGAAACCTCGATCGTGGCAGTCTCCATGGGTCTGGCCAATCGTCCCCCCTTTCCCATTCGAAAGTCGGCAGACATCACGATCTGCCATGCCATGCCATGTGCCTCGATGAGTCGATGGATGGACCGTCTGCCCCACAAGTCAAAACCAAAACGGCTGACAACGATTATTGGACCTTACGGGGTATAATCCGAGACGCCTCCTCGAGCCCGGGCTTATTCACAGACGCGAAGCCACCCAGTCACCCAATCAAGCGCCACTTGACGCATAAAGGAACCCCCCTATCCTTATAATGCACATACTACTATATAACATGCAGCGCCTACGCCGGAGGAATTTGTGTAACCTGCGTGCTGGCAGCTTTCTCTTCGTATGCCGAGACAGAAACGCCCTCTTGACGCTTGCAAATCAAACCATCCGTGCGGAGGACACTCCGAGTCCCTGCCCTGTAGTAGGACTAACTTATAAGACCCGGGAGGCAGCGCTACTTGACTCGACGAGCCAACCCTACCTCACCTCACAAGATTCAAAAGGGCTGCTCCTCCTTTGGGTCCTTGATGCCTTGGACTCTCGCCCACAACACTGGGATTTGTACCCCGTAACTTACGACGACGCCGCGCAGCCCATATTCCAAAGGAGGGAGATGTACGCATTTGGACGACGGACTATTACCGGATCCAAGCACAGGAAGGGGTGGGGGATGGGCAAAAGGAAGAGTAAAGCATAAGATCAAAAACATAAGGTCTTTCGATTCGACACCCCATGGACTCTGTCATATTGTACTGTATCACCTGATTCACATCATAACTTTCCCGACGGTCGAGGTTTTCAGCGGACAATTGCGATGGCAACTAGCGAGGGACGATCACTGGAGAGTCATAAGGCTGTGGTGCCCTACACGGTCTACACCGTTTGTCCTGTTTCATTATTATTGCCGTACGGAGTCCTACGGACAGTCTGTACTTTGTGTGGCAGCTCACCCGCCCATCCATGATCCATGATCCATCTCTCCTGTAGCCTGTCCCCCGTCCGGCCTATCTAGCCGGGCCGCACATGAACATGAAGTTGAGTCGAAGCCGTCCTGCCCATAGCTACGCTCAGTTGCATTGCTATATGCCTTCGTACATACTCCGTACGGAGTACGGAGTAAAGTAGGTACAGTAGTAGAGAGTACATGAGATTGAGCCACCCTGGCCGACCGGCACGTCCAACAAGGATATATCCATCGGTAGTCCAAGTCCGGCGTCCGCAGTCCAAACTTTAGCCGCTCCTCCGTAGTGGCCCGAGCTGTAGTAGTGGCCAGGTTCAGACTCTCAAGTAGTACTCAGTACGGGAGGGGGGCCTCGAGTCGAGTAGTGCTATGTAATGGGTGGATCGCAGTCTCGAATCTCGAAGCTGCTACTACTGGCAGCCTACTACTGTACCTAGGTAGTCTGTGGTAGGTGGATTGCCGGTTCCCAGCGAGCCGGCATGGGGTTCTTATCTGACCAGCGACTACTCCTAGTCTCCTATAGACTACAGTACAGTACTGTAAGCGACACAGCACGGCCAGGAGCAAGGTGCGCGAGTGCCAGAGGCTAGAGCCCAAGCCCCAGAGCTTGGTGACTGGGTCGTGATAGACAGGCGGGGGAGGCGGTCTGTGATACTTGTACGCAGAGGCGTGCACGTATCTAGGGCAAGTCAGAAGAGAGAAGCGGTCCCGACAATAATAACTGTTGATAGGAGCATGAATACGCGCAGGAATATAGAGTCAGTCAGCCAGTCAGTCAGTCAGACAGTCCATGGCGTCCAGAGCACAGAATGCGGTGCAGCAGGCGCGAAGTCAGGGGGGATATTGCGAAGGATAGAGAGGCAGCGATAAGATGATATAAGCAAGACAAGATATACAGACTACAGTACATCGCACAGGCAAGAGAGATAGAGACGACGGGGGATTCTGGAGACAATAATTGGATGGTGGGCAGAGGGTGAGGGAGCGATGGGAGCGATGGGAGTGATGGGAGGAGCTGGAGGCTGGAGGCTGGAGCCCTGGAGCGTGGTGTGGCGGCCTCAGCGAATAATGGCGACTCCTAAGGCAGCAATGACCTGTGTACAGTAACGCGGTGCGGCCTACATATCAACTCCACTTCCACACGTTCTCGACCCCCAGTCCCAGTCCAGTCTCCGGTCTCCAGTCCAGTCCCAGTCTCCATCCAGTCTCCATCCAGTCTCCGGTCTCCAACAGTCGACTGCAACTCCTCCCTCACTACTGCTCCTGGAGAGAAAGAGACGAGATCGCCCTCCATCCCACCACCCACTCCACGAGCCTCGACCTCCCGCCCCCCCCCTCCTCCTCATCCTCCTCCTCCTCAAATCCTCAAACGCAACTCTTCACTTCTTCCGACGCCTCCTCATCGTCTCGTCGTCTCGCCCGTCCCACAGTACTGCACACTACAGCAGCTATCGTCGGCCAACAACCAACACACACCCCCCAATCTCCCCTACCGAGTACTGCATCCATCCATCTCCATATCGTCGAATCCGTCCCAGCCTCTTGTTCGCACCTTGGGTCGTGCCCGATTCCTTGAGAATTCCCGCCATCGCTGCTGGTCCCATCCCATCCCATCCCATCCCATCCGCTACGCTACGCTACGCTACGGCACCCTCGTACGCCGTCGCGCGCTCCCCCGGCTTCGATCTCGAGTTCCTGCATTCGGTCGGTCGCGATATCTGAACAACTCCCAACTACTGCCACGGAGAATTCGCGAACAGCTCTGCATCAATTCGGCCTCCTCTTCCCCTTCTCCGATACCCTTCCACGTCGCCCAGGCATCCGAGATCTGTCCCGTGTCTTGATCCCTTCGTCCTGCGATCATCACACGTATGCGACACTCCTAAGGTACCTTCTATCGTCTCCACGCTAAAGGCTGGGAGCGCATCGTCCTTTCGATCTGACTGACCATACAAGCCTTTGTCGCAAAGCCCTTTCTCTATCATCGCCCTACGGAGGCATGCACGGCGTCCAAAGCCAACCTGGCGCGGACATAATATCTTCAACCACTCAGGACTATCCGGCCACTGGACCCGACCGCCCAGCTCTTTACACCACAACCGTAAAACCAAAGTATGCCATGAACGCTCCCACATTTGTTCCGTCTGGTCAGGTCTTTCGCCAATCTAATGGTGTCCAGCAACCTTACCAGTCCCTGTCAATGACCACAATGAATGGATTTGCCAGTGACGGGGGGTCTAATTCTACTCCATCAGGCGGCACATTCACCGCTGGGCCTTGTTCTGTTTTGATTCGCCGACTTCCGACGAATACGACCGAGGACACCTTGAGGCTGATGGTGGTTTGGTCAAAGGAATTCATTGATGCAGAGGTCCTTCCAGCCGATAAGTCTGAAGATGCCGGGTTCCGATCTGCTATTTTGCGCTTCAAGTCTCATGCCGGGGCCCTTGAAGCCAAGAACATGCTGGATGGGAAACCGAATGTCGCAAATGATGCGCAGATGATTGTGGAGATCCTCTATGGGAGCACCGCATCATCTCGGAGATACACTGTTGATAATACTCCAAATCCTGGTCCCTCGAGTTCGACTTCATCGACAGCTTCATCGGCCGGCCCCACCCCTCGTCAGTCCTCCAGGTTCAATGGCACGTTTCAAACCGCCCAAAGGGTATCGCCGCCGAGCAATGGAACATACACTAGCAACGAACTTCCAAATCCGGAAAACAGTGCACACTACCAGAGCCTCTTCTCCCCACAATCGCCGATTGGGAACCACCTCAATGACCGAACGAGAATCACCGGGAAGTCGCTGATCAACAATGATTCTGTGGACGACGATGAAACTGGTGAGCTGCTTAAAGACCCTGTGGCGTATGCTGAGAATGGCCCGTCTATCCAATCACGTCGTCCTACGAATCCGCAGATTCCCATCTCCCGCATGGCAGGGTTATCTCTCAATACGAAGAATGCTGCTGGTCCAGCGCCCCTCTCTTCTTTCACGGCTACTCCACAGGCTCTGTCGTCCATACCCCATGCGAACCCTATGTCTCCAACGACTTTGACGAGTGGTGGGCCGCCAGTGAACTACCAGCTTGGAAGCCAGCACTATCAACGGCATAACTTTCCCCCAGTCAACCCGGCTGATCAGAATCCACCTTGTAACACGCTTTATGTTGGCAATCTTCCGATCGATACATCCGAGGATGAGCTCAAGGCTATGTTCTCGAAACAACGTGGATATAAACGTCTATGTTTCAGAACCAAACAGAATGGTCCAATGTGCTTCGTTGAGTTCGAAGATGTCTCCTTTGCAACCAAGGCTCTTCATGAACTCTATGGCCACCCCCTCCACAATAGCATCAAAGGTGGCATTCGACTGAGCTTTTCCAAAAACCCACTTGGTGTTCGTTCGGGGCAAGGTATAGCATCACCGCCCCCCCAAAACCTACCCGGCATGATGCAAGGTATGAATGGGGTTATGCTGGGTGGTGCAGGAGCGACGTTCAGCACAGCGAGTGGCCCCCCACCCGGCCTGGCTGCTCCGCCAGGGCTTGGACCGAGCAGGTTGGGGTATACGAATACTATGAACCCCATGAACGGAGTTCCAGGCCAGTATGCCGCCGTGCCCTACGCAGGGAACGGCAATGGCTGGAATGGACCAGTCTTCACCGGGGCTATGAGCACTGGAGGTCCTTCAACAATGTTGAATGGTGCAAACAACGGTTTCCCCCCTGCCTACATGATGGGCAGATAAATCTTTCAAGTTACTCATGCTGTGGAGCTGGCGTTCTCGGCCGATCTGGGTTTGCTGCTTCCTTTCTTCTTCCTTGGACTTTCGGGAAGACATCTGTACATGACATTTGTGGTTCCGTGTCTGTCTTTTTTTTCAAGGTGTCATAGGGGGAGTTAGTTTGGGTTGCCACATTGGGCTGCATTTCGCATTTTGCATTTCGCACTTCGCACCTCACATACTTGTAGCGTGGTGTTTACGATCATGAGATTCCCCCTGCGCGTTGTAGAAATTATGGGAGTTGAAGCAGGATCTGGAAGGGGGTGGCGGCATGTTTTGGTGTTATCCTGCGGTCTATCTATTTTTCTTCATCTGGCGCGTTTTGCTGTCATTTCCGTCTGGCGTAACATAAAGAATCTTGAGAGCGCAAGCTGGCAGGCTTGAAAAATCCGATGTGGTTGACTGTACGATTGCTACTGCTGCACTGGGGGCATTGGAATGGAATACAAGGCATAGCGATCAAAGAGTGGTGGAAAAGGCGTCCGAACACTTTGTCTCTCATAATCGGCATTTATTTATCCAGGGCAGCGCACAGGAATGGGTCGCACTAATGAATGGTTAGGTGGAAGCGTTTCTTGCTTGGCATATTCACAGTATTCGGCGTTCTGGCATCGATGGAATAGCTACTACCTTAGATCTCTGCAAAGAAGTGATGCTATCTACCCTATCTATGTATCCAGAGCTGGCGATGTGGGCTTTGTTCCAAGCATGTATCGTGATCCCGTAAATCCTCTTAGATGCCAACGATCTGGTGCCGAAAGAGGGGTTTGCCTGAGCCATGATCATAGCCCGATGGGACACCTGGTGATGGCAATGCTTACTTGGAACGACAGATATTCCGTGAAGTGGCTTGCTTACCTTGGGTACGTTCTGCGTTGCTAGTTAACACCAGCCCCGGGTAAATCGCGAGTGTAGGTAGGTAGGTAAGAGCACGGAAGATTCCGGCGCTAAGTATCTGCTGTATTTATATTTCAGGAAATTTCTTTGACTTCGCTCGCGTATTCTCCCAACATCTTACTTTGCAAAGCTCTTTCAAGAAGTCGAAGATGAAGGTTGCCTCGATATACTGGTCCCATCATCTGGCCTTTACATACTCATTGGCTGTAGCTGGTGCGAGATAGGTCTACCATACCTTGGTTCTGGTAAGTTGCGCTCCTCTTTTCCTACCTACCTTGCCCTTCGGGTCTATCGTGATGAATTTTCGTGTCGCCCCTGTCTTACCAATGAGCTTCTGCTTCTATGGTGACCTACCTGTCTTAACCAAACGGACTATCTGAGATCATGCTGTTGTTTTTGTCTCGTCCTCGGGTCTTTTGACATAATTGAAGCTTACTTTCACCGCAGAACTTCGACTGCAGATATTTACTGTGAGTTGCACTCCTGCTCCTTGACGAATCCGATCCTGGTCTCCCTATACGACATGGAATGATGAGCAACAAAAAGTACTATCAAATACAGATCACCAATGACGAGCAAACCGATTTGATTACCTGACAAGTCTTTCGGGGACATTTCAATCTGCAGCGGATATTTTCGTTGACAAAGAGACTAATTCGAGTCGTTTCAGGACAAATAATGGATGAGGAAATTCATGCTCCCATATGCTAGTAGGTGGGTATCATTTGTCTTCTTCTCTCGTCATCGGGCAATACTCGTTTCTTTCCGATGCTTATGATGTAACAAATCCATGCTAATGCTGAAGACACTTGTGTCCGATGCTGAAAAAACCGAGACTTTTCATCTTTCAACTGAAGCCTTTACTATCTACAATGTTACGCGGGTAAACTCGTCATGGAATTCCTGCTAACACTGTCTCAGTCTTTTGAGTATACACTTCCCAAGCTCTCATGCTTTTCAGGCCTTGATAAACCATCGTATGCCTACTCCGCCCGAATAATACGCTACCTGCTTGTATTTCCCCTGGGTCACATTTACATTCCACTCACGCTGGCCAATGTGGTTACCCTGAATCACCCCTGCCATCGTTTCACCTATGCCTTTCACAATCGGCATTGCTTCCGTGGGATGTGAAGGTAGCCGCCTCCCCATCTGGGAGGAACTGAAAGAAAGCAAGGGGTCTCTGGCGGCGGTCTCTTATCTGTTAATGTATACAAAGCCGATGAATGAGGCCTCTCGACCCCAAGGTATACCTGAGCAGCATTCCACCCCGCTCAAGTAATTTAGATAGATTTATAATTCATTGTGTTTTAATAGTCGCGTATGAATAACTCGTGTTAGTATGTATGTAACAGAGGTACCTGTATTCCGTACCTAGGGTAGGTACTGTAGCTACCTATGTATCCAAAGTAGAGAGGGGAATAGCTTTTCTACACTACTTCTATTCCACTTACTAATTATTTACCCCTCCTAGCGAAAAATGCTCCGTGATTGATGGCGGTGTTTTGATCCCCACTATTATGACATACAGTACTGTGTATTTATCATCATATTTCAGAGCTTTTCCTATCAGCCTCTACCTCATCTATTTCGTGAACAAGGGCCCTCAGTCCGCGTCCTCTCCCTCTCCCGACTTACCACCCATACGATAGGGCCTTACATATCATTCATCATGTCAGCCTCGAAGTCAATAATAGTAACAGGAGCAAGCAGAGGGATCGGCCTCGCGATTGCGAAGTATCTTCTCCAACATTCTCATAAAGTCTTCCTCGTTGCAAGGAGTGCGGGCCCTCTGGAGGCGTTGAAATCGGAATACCCAGGGCAGGTGGAATTCTTAGCTGCTGATCTTTCGGACTTTTCGGTATGTTACTTTCTCATGTCTTAGGGGAATCAGCATATCTTGCAATATGCTTGTGACCGAGGAGAGATTATCATGGTCTGAGAGCAACTGTCAACGCCTTCAACGAATGCCCCGAGTCACTATCTTCTTTTGGACGATCGTCTCACCCAGGAGTTCCCAACATCCACTGTTCCCTGTTTTACAGAACACTGGCCCAGGGCGTCAAAATCCCTACAGTTGGGATCCGGCCTTTCTCTCAGAACTACTCCCCTCTGGGCCAGGCAGAACCAATACTGTCTTTTTCCTGGCTCACCTTTCGATACTCTGAATCAAGCTTATGGGTAGTATTATAGGCAGGACCTAAGGCGGTTGAGCTCGCTTTGAAAGCTTTCTCCCAGATCGATGGCCTAATCGTCAACCATGGAACCCTCACCCCCGTGAAGAGAATCGCTGACAGCACGCCCGAAGAGTGGCGATCTCTTTATGATGTCAATTTCTTCAGTGCGGTCGCATTCGTAGGTGTTCTTGGTTCCGCGTGATATACTCTATGCTAAAAGTATGATATTAGATCAAGCCCGCTATTCCCTTACTTCGCAAAACACACGGCCGGATCATCCTGACCTCTTCGGGAGCCGCAACCGGCGTCTACAAGGCATGGGGTGCATATGGATCCTCAAAAGCAGCTATGAACCACCTTGCAATGACACTCTCCGCTGAAGAACCAGAAATCACCTCTGTATCCATCCGGCCTGGCGTCATTGATACAGAAATGCAAAGAGTGGTCCGAGAACACAACACCGTCATGGATCCCGACGAGGCAGAGAGATTCAAGAGCTTGTACGAGGGTGGAAAGCTTCTGAGGCCAGAGCAGCCAGGACATGTGATAGCTAAACTATCAGTGGAAGCGGACAAGGAATTGAGTGGGAAGTTCTTGAGGTGAGTGCATATGGGTCATACTTTGCTTTATTGGTAAGGCTAACGAACTTCTAGTTGGGACGAAGAAATTCTCGATAAGTACCAAGACTCATAGCTACATAGATGACCAGTAGAATATATGGCGAGATGCTTCCTGAGCAGTTTGTCAATTACTAAATCACTGAGCTTGTACTCTGCCGCCGATTGGTTCTTTCTGCAGTTCAGTAGGTTCGCCCTCGCTCCTAACACGACGCAAGGTCCTCTCTTGCCTACGTCTTGATGTACTGGGGAGAGCTATTTGGGTTGGGCGGAGTCGTTAGACCAGGTCACTGTTCTGTGCATTGGCCGGACGAGCATATTATATCAAGACATCCAAATGACAGTCGTTCGAATTCCGTCTTCGTAGGCAATTTATTCCTATCAATTGGAACTGGTGCTGAAATAATATCCGTCCCATAGATACAAATAGTCGTCCAGGATGCCTGATATTAACGAGGGGAGTCTCTGAGATGTCGCATGAAGTAAGCCTCTTGTTACATTTTCGTAGAATGCTCCGCGCATGGCCCACATGCCCATCTTATACCCACGAGCTGCCCACTCGTTTTTCTCCAAGGTAGTGGTCCTCAACCCGTCGTTCCTCAGTTGCCTTGCAGCGTATTCGATACTAAGGCCCAGTAACCAAGGCTGCCAGTTCTTTTTGTCCTTGCTTCTGGCCATTGCGATTGCATAGACCACCGGTTGCAGGATATGTAGCCATTCCGCAACCTGGGCTGATCCGTTGACCCTGTTGAGAAGGGCGCTGGGCGCCTTGATATCATCCGCCGTTAAGACTCTTGAGAGGAGATAACTGGAGATATCGCTCGGATTTGGAAGAGTTGGAAGGCTCAGACCTGTCCGCTTCATCTTGTACTCCTTGACTTCCGTCGTCCGTACCTCTGGGAACCCTTCGTCCGATAACTCATCCTCGGCCTGGGCCTCCTCCGGGATGACATCTCGTTCTGGAAGCGGAGGGGTGACAAGCGGTCTTGAATTCGTTATCTTGAGTAGACATAGCCGACAGATAGCCTTGATCATCTCTAGTATCACCACGACTCGCCAGCGTACCCTCTCCCCTCTCCTCTTCGCAGCCATCTCCCATAACAGCTCCGTGTATTGTATCATAGATAACAGGGTTGCTATCCGCCTATAAAGTTTCGAACGTTGAATCCAGAATCTGGTGTATCTATTATGAGGGGATTGCTGCCGTGGCATGCCAGGAAGTTTCGAGATCGCGCGGGTAAGGAGAGTATCGTGATACATGGATAGTAACTGGATGGAGGAATGCAAGCTTTCTGATGCGAGTTCGGCATCTCGAAATCGTCCAGGGATGACATATGTCAACGACCGTAGAGCCGACTCTATCTGGGTCACAGAGCTTTGGTTCTTGGTGATGAAGTCGCCGTAGGCATTGAGCCATCTAGGTGGTAATGTCAGAGCAGTTGGGACCCGCCAGTTGCCCTTCTTGATAGAGTCCATTTGTGCATTAGGAGAGGAAGAGGATGTGAGGGTAGTAAACGCGCGGGAAGACCAGTTGGGTCGTGGTGTTGTCAAGTTAAAGGGGCCAGGGTCGGGGTCGCGAGTCTTGAACCGTGACTCGTGGTGAAGCCGAGGCTGATAGGTAGGTAGAGCAGCATATCACGTGCTACCGGACGATAATGATAAGCCCCGTCGCTCAGATAAGCAAGGGAGTGCTTTTACACCGACCACAAAGGCCATCGCCATCCAGCAACGCCCAGCGACCATCGAGCCGGCTCCGATGCCATGCCTCCCAAGCGTCGCCGCTCAAGTGCTGACGAGTCCATACCGCTTCCAGTATCAAAGAGAACACGAACGAACTGCCCTCCCGACCACCTTTCCGACCTCTCAGACGAACTCCTCATCCGCATCCTGCATCTCCTGCCTATCCAGACCCTCCTACAGTGCCAGCGTCTCTCCCGCCGCTTCTATGCTCTCGCTGGTGACTCTCAAATATGGAAGAACCTATACTACGTCCGATTTGTGCTCCCGCGAGCTCTTCGGATCCCAGGAATCAAGGCGGCGCATCCCGACGATGTTCTGAATTTCTCCTCCAAGAGGAGCAAATGGCTAGATGAGAACTCTCTCGTGAATCGTGCAGATGGAAAGAAGACAAATTGGAAAAGGCAGTACAAATTGCGACATAACTGGTCGATTGGTGCTTGTGAGACACAAGAGATTCACCTGGCGGACCGCCCGTCTGTACCCTCGACGTTGGTCAAGCTGGCCGAGAGAGTAGTTGTCACAGCGGATAAGGAAGAGGGGCTGAGGGCGTGGGATTTAAAGGGGAAGGCGTTGGTTGCGGAGTGCCAGTTGGAAAAGGGACTCGTGCCTACTTGCCTGGCCGTCGATGAGCAGCAGTCAGAGACCAGTGGGCTAGGAATTGCTGTTGGGTTCGCGGGTGGCGGGTGGGGGATCTGGAGGCTTCACGTTGAGCAGAGGACCTTCGCGCAGGCGTACAGACACCCTGAATCGAGTAACGGGACGCTGGGTGCAATTGCGTATGCAAATCCCTACATTCTCACCATCACCGACTCGCAGCTGTTGTCGCTCTATACCTTGGGCCGAGAAGTTCCCATTCGAGATGCTGACGAGATCTCGCCCTCGGTGGAAAACGTGGAAGAGATCCCTTCGAGGACAGAAAGCCCGTCTTCGAATTCACCCCAACCTCGCCTCCTCGCCTCACTCAAGTCACACACCTCCTGGCCACCCCTATCTCTCGCAATCCGCACGACGTCCAGAAGTCTCATAGCTAGCATCGCCTATTCGCTCCCCACCTACCTTTCCGGGTACACGGTGGGCCTTCAGGAACTTCACCTCTCCCTCACCACGGGCCTCGTCACATTCTCCCGAATCGCATCTGCGCTCCCGCAAGGCTTCTCCTCTCTATCCTCCACGCTGCCATCTTCCCCATCCCCCTCTCCATCACCTGGCTCCCAGTCCCCGACTCCTTGGCATTCGGGGAGTTCGACGACCCCACCAACAAGCTTGAGTTACTCTCACCCCTACATCCTAGCCACGCACCCCGACAACACCCTTACCCTCTACCTCTGCACCTCCGACCCAACCACGCTCTCCATCTCCCCCGGGACCAAGCTGTGGGGGCATACCTCGTCCGTCTCCGCGGCAGAGATCACACCGCGGGGGAAGGCTGTCAGCGTCAGCACCAGGGGCAATGAACTCCGGGTCTGGGAGCTCGAGGGCGGGTTTCCGGGGAACTCGACATCGAATGCGAGGAAGCGGATCAGTAGTGCGGCGAGACCACGGTTGACGGATCGGAGTGTGATGATCCGTGCCGAGACGAAGGATGAGTCGCACGCCGAGATGCCTACGGACGATCCGCGGGGGCAGGGGATGGAGACGGAGACGGAGGCGCGGAAACAGTGGGTGGGGTTCGACGACGAGGTTGTCATTGTTTTGAAGGAGTCGGGGAGTGGAGGGCAGGCCTTGATGGTTTATGATTTCACGTAGATGGGTCTCTTTACATGTAGAATCAGGGATACACTTAGGGGGAGTAATGCTTTTGGATGGGCAATGGGTTGGGTACTAGGTTGGCAAGGATTGAAATACGGTCTGATTACATAGGCTTTGGTCGGTTCTAAGGGGATGGCTACACTAGCTAAGCCATTCCAAGCTCATGCATTGTCACGAACTATCTGACTTCTATGGCTGACGTGCATGGACTTGCAAGGCAAACGTGGGTGCGCGTATGTGTTTTCTGAAGCAGTTAGCAGAAGGGAATATGAGCAAACGGTATAAGGAGTCACTGGGCCTAAAACATCACTCTCTGCTCCACGCCTTGGAGCATCGGTCTTAACATTCTCTCACATGGTAGAATAAGATTGTATCAATATGTAAATTCTCAATGCGTCTAGAGACCTCTGTATGCAGCCGCCTAAGGGAAGAGTTCAATGAGACGAGACCAGATATATCCATCCAGGACCCAATGTCCGTATGCACATGCAAGCCGGAGTTCCCCAGTCCCATCCAAGCCGAGAGACCACAATAATCCTGTAAGAGAACAAAACGCCGAACATAACCTCCATGTAACTAAACGTTGGCCTGAAAATGAAATGTAAGAAAGCCCCTATCCTATGTAGGGTCACGAGAGTGGAGCTGGGCGGGCTCTGGGTATCAGCAAACCCAATGCAAATGTAACCGAGAAACGTCTCCTGCGAGATAATATCCCATAAAACCCTTCCTAACCCAGGCCATTACCAGATGATCCGTGTCGGTGCGAATAACCGTTCGCAATGCAAAAGTATGAAAAGCCTGAGAGGCTGCCAAAGAAAATCATCAACGTCGTGTTGGTTGTGTTTATGTTGTGTCGCCGTACCGGGTGGGCGGCGAGAGAAGCGAGCCTCCCCCGGATGCCGAGGTGGGTGGGTTTCCCATCGGAACAGCAGAGAGCAGGGCTGCCCCACAGGATCGATGGTACCGCCGCCGCCTCCCTCACACATACTTCTCGACCCATTTTGGATTCAGCCAGCCGACCTTCTCAAATGCCTGCCAGAGCTTGCTGGCCTTGTTGACATCGATCTTGCACGCCTGCTGAGCGTCCGTCTTGCGAAACGCTTTGCCGATCCTCAAGGCTTCGATCCTCTTGATGAAGATCCGTCGCTTCGACGTGAGGTACGTTGCGCAGTCGAGACGCAGGTTCGCCGCGAGAAGGAGCTCGTCTGGGTGAAGGAGGTGCGCATTGGGATCGAGTCGAAGATCGATCGGGGCCCCTCGCCAATCCACCTTCAGCGAGTTGGGCTTGCTCGGTAGGCTGGACAGCGGGGGGCAGTAGTCGGGGAGGGAGAGGTAGTCCTTGTCTTCGCGCGCAACTCTCCTGGTCGGATCGGGCGTTGCCCTGCTCGGTTTGGGCGGGCGGACGACCTTCGAAGGTCTGGCCGCCGGCTGCTTCCTCGCGCTGCCTCCCCCGGCATGATGGCTTCTGATATTCGCCGGAGCAATGGTCGGGTAGCGTCTGGCTCCCGCGTGCAGGGCCCTGTCCTCTAGCAGGTACGAGCGCTCCCTGTTGTACCACTGACGCCGATTGACGCTGTAGGCCTTGGCCACCTGTGACTTGAACTCGAGCGCGAGTTCGTACTCGCTCTGGCGTGGGGGCGACGCCTCTCGGAACAGGCTCGACTCTCTGGCCGCCACATGGCCATCCACTACCCGCTGTGCTGCCAATGTCTCGTCGTCGGTGAAGAGCGGGGCCTGCGAGGGAGAGGCGCTCTGGACTTCTGGATTGGGATAGAGGATGGGATCCCGGACGACGAGAGGCGCCGCTTCCTCAGCGGTGATAGTCTTGGATGCAGGCGATACGGGCGGCGAGATGGGGAAGCTGGCGGCCGAGTTTGCGAACAAGGGCTTCATGTGCGAGCCGCCTGGGCGTTCTGGAGACGATGGGTGGTGGGTGAAGCTGTCGTGGGGTGTTGGTTCTGGAGGCGACATGAGGCTGTCCTGGAGGGCGAATTGGTTCTTGCGCTCCATGTGGTCCATGATGGCGGGTCGATGGACTCCCGAGATGATTGTGTTGGTGGTGTTGGTGGCGTTGATGGAGGAGGATGGAGGAGGAGAAGAAGAAGTGGCAGATGAATCGGCGAGGGGATGAGTAAGGGGAGAGCCAGGGCGGTGGAAGATAGTGGAAGGCAGCATCGAGGCTGTTTTGTCAGCCAGGCTGGTGGTGGTGGTGGTGTGCGTCTCCCCCGAAGCCTAACAGCGTGTGGCGAATTCTGGAGAAGAATCGGATTTTGCAGAGGGCTTAACTCCGCCGCGGGGCGGGGAAGTGGAAAGCGTGGAAGAGGGCAGGCGGATTCTGAAGGAGGATTTTGAAGAAGAAAGATGAATTGATTTGCGCAGAGGTTTCGAGAGGGCGCTTGAAGTAAAGTACTGTTTTGGGAGGCCGCGCTGGGAGGGGAGGGAGAGGGGGGGCGGAGTGGGGAAGGCGGGAGGGGTGTCAGATCGGTTGGTTCTTTGTAAGATGCGGATTCCAGTCAATGCGAGCGAGCGCTATTGATTCTCGGGCCCGGCAAAAAGAAGGGCGTCGAATGGGCGACGGGCTGGAGAGAGAAAGAATGCAAATTGGTTCGACGGATGAGTGTCAGACGGTGTAAGGAGATGGATTGGATTGGATTGGATAGAGGAGGAATGCGAAGAATGCGGAGAGAGAGAGAGGGAGGAGAGGAGAGGAGGAGAGGGAGAAGAGAGAAGAGAGGAGGGAGCAGAGAGGGGGGAGGCGTAATAAATAGAACTGGCGGTTGGGTTCTGCCTAACCTGTAGCAATGCAATGCAATGCAAGAGAAGGAGGAGAAGGAGGAGGAGAAGAAGAAGTAGAAGAGAAGAAGAAGAAGAGAGGAGGACGAGGATAATGATGATGATGATGAAGCCAAGGAGGACTTGCACCTCTGGTGGACGATTGGGGCCCGTGACCCGCGGGGGAGTGATTGTTGCCTGTGAATCAGATCATCGATGATAACATGTACATGGCAGTGCCGTACCTCACACCTCGCACCTCGCACCTCGCACCTACTTGCCAGTCTTGTTGCCCGTGCCCGGTTCCCCACCTGACTGGAGAAGGCGCGTGGGCCCTGGGCGGGTGGATTGGAGGATGGAGGGTGAGTGGTGAGTGGTGGATGTTGGCAGAACAGATGGAGGGTGGTGAGAGGTGGATATGTTGGTGGATGGTGGATGGTGGATGGTGGATGGTGGATGGCAGATGGAGCAAGTGATGCGGCATTGCAGAGGGCAGAGAGAGAGAGACCAAGAGACCAAGAGGCAGAGGCAGACTATAGAGAGAGCGAGACAAGAGAGACAGAGAGACAGCGGCTAGCCAGGGGCCCTTGGGTCCTTCCTCCCTCCGTCTCTCTTCTCTCTCTCTCGGCTTCTCTTACTTTCCCTTCTTGAGTCTCCTCCCTCCTCCACCCGTGAGTCACTTTCTGTGAGCGAAGCGTTGGTCGGGCGCGAACACACGACACTTGAGAGTCACCGCGGCGCCAATGCATTCCATGGCCGGGACGGATTGGCCAATCAGAGGGCGCCCTCTCCCTGCAGTCCCTTGTTTCTGTCCGGGGCCGATAAGTGGGCCCGGTGGGACATTGATGCCTGACCGCCTTGCTGCCTTAACAGAGCCATGCCCCATCAAGTTTCAACGGATGGACCAGATAGATAGAGTCTCCACGAGAGAAACTCGCCTTCTCTTCTGCTGTTCATTCTCTATTCCTACCTCCCTCTCTTCTTTGCCAAGGGCGCCACGATTACACCTCACTGCCTCTGCACCCATGGCCACGGGTCCCATCTCTACAGACTCTGGCCCTCCCGTCGTGCCACACGTGTTTTGCTGACATGTCTCTCCTACCAGGTACCTCGACACAGTTGCCAAATCTCATCATTTATTACCATGTGATTATTAATGAATTATGAATTATGAATTCCCCTCATCAATGCTTCCCTCTCTTTGCCGTCATATCATTATTAATTATTAATTCCTGCTTAATTGCCCCGACAGACCTGATCTCATCCGTCGCCCGTCTCCCCGCCCTCCCCGAAATAGATATGCCTGCTGTGTCTGCTAGTCCTATGCTCAAGAGGTAGGTAATAATGATATACTTGACCTCTACCCGCAGTCCCACCCAATCCCCATCCACGCATCACCATGAGGCAATATGAGACAATAATCATCAGCATCAACAGCGCTCTCTAGCTGGCTGCGAGTCGGCTCCTGCAGCGGGAGGATGATCGGGATCCGCACGCATCAAGTACCACGTATAGTCCCTGAGGGGTCGTGCCGGAGGGGGGGGGGGGCGGCCGAGAGATAAGGGATAACCTTAATTCGTTGTGCTTATCCTACCGATACACTCCATCCCAATTCAACTCGACTGATTCAGGCCCAATCCATCTGACCCTGTTCTGACCGGGTCAAGCCCCAATTGAGGTCAACGGCATTGATCAATTGCTTCCCGTCCCCCCTCTCGTGATCTCATCCAAGTGGGTGCGCGGTGCGCGGTGATGGGTGATCATCCCGCGGCGTCATGCGCCACTCTCCCCGATCATGAGCTCAGTCCTACAGATAAGCAACCGCCCCTCCAAGGGTACGCAGGTCACGTGCTGCCCCTCCATCCCGTCCTGTCTCTGCCATGCTCCTCCTGCCATGGATTTGTGTCTCTCATCTTCCACTCTTCCACCCGTGCGATTCAACCCATGACAGTCAGGATACTTGTCTTGTATGTTTGCCTTTCATCTGCCATCATCCACAAGCTACAATGGATGACCCGTGGACGAGGGGCATAGGTATCTAGTGAGACCTATGCATCACCTCTCTCGGAGGGCTGTCATGAATACCGCTCCTGCCGCCTGGTCTGACGGCTTTCCTCCTTCCACGGCATCCTATCGGGACGGCTAGAGTGCTATCACCACCACCACTCCAAGCTTGCTTCTCCATTCCTACGTTCTCCCTGGAGTCTCCTATATTGTGACACTCTTCATACCTCAAGCGAGAAATGCCCCTGCTCCCTGCCAAAAGGCGTGGGGTTGATCAGTTGCTCGTGAGGACGCATCCCATGGTAATTGGGAAGCGGATTTGCCCCCTCCCCTTTCCTATATTTTCGCAATGGCTGGAACAATCATAGATTGATTGTGGCTTATCTGAGTACGCGTCGTCGGTGTTGGTTGACGGAATTTCACGTGCTCGCCTACACCCAGACGATCAATTATCGAAAGGGGGCCAGGAATTGAGATTGCATATCGGTAATGAAACTTCCATTTGTCTCTACTTACTGATTGCCAAGTACCTTGCCATCCGCTTTTATGGTACTGGATATGTCTATTTCATGAGGTGGGTTGGAGTACGCAGTACCGTGGCTATCTTTGAAGCTGCCGTTCCCGCTAGTACCAATACAGTATGTAACTTGTTTCTGCGCGCTGGGCTTGTCCTACCATTCCTCAATCACACATGGCGCATAGGTCACGGATATGACAAAAAGCCTGGTGGGTATGTATATAGACCCGTTGTCTCTTCAATTCTGGCTCTCATCAATTTCCATTCTTCTGGGCAGGTCCATCCTTGGCACTTGAACATCTCATACATCTCCTGTCTCGTTGAAAGCGAGCATGGCTGCTAGCCTGCTATACTAATAGGTAAGCCGTTGTCTGGAAACGGTCTCGGGCCCGTGAGTATGTTTTGATGCCGGATATGGTCACACCCACAATTGTTACTTTGGGTTGCAGGACTCACGTGGCGGACCGATTTCCAATGAGGCTGCCTTCAGAGTGATGAAGAAGCCCTCGCATGCGGTGCAGACGTTTTATGAGGACCGCTCTCCTCACTCTTTTGCGCTACCCACGCCCCGTCCATGGAGGACGGCAAGGACTGACTTGGAGATCTTTAGTGCGGGGCAACTTCTATGGTACTCCGGAGAACAATTTCCTCCACCTCCCCAATCGAAATTTTACAAGATATCCCGAGAACCTAGTTCTTGTATCAAGAGCAGCGTCGTTAACATGACTGCCTTTCAGGTCGACGGCTCCTCAGAGGGTCTGAGGAGGATGGCGGACAATTGCAATCAATCTTGACGGAAAGAAACATTGACAGCTTCGGATGTCGAAGAGTTGACCCTAATGTTCCTATCGAAACCACTGTTGAGATACTTGGACAACTTGTTAGGGAGGCAAGATTGGTAGTATCGGGCTGTCGGGAGTCAAAGTCGAGACCATCCGATGAGCCATGAAGATTCACAGGATCGACAGGCTAGAGGCCGAAGTCCCACTCTGGGCAACAGACATCTTCATGAACGGTGTGGCAGAGACATGTGCCGAGCTTGGTATAACCATATGTGCCCATATTCCGCTGTAAGCCACCCGAGGCTTGAAAAAGTCACCCTTCTGAAACACTGGAGGCGGTGTCTCGAGATTGGTGATGATCCACGGCCTAGGGGTCATATTTCACAACTCCTGCTCCATTCAGATTGGCAATGATTGACCCTCTGATCGTGTAGTGGTGCCGGAATGTTGAGGTATGGAATCCGAAGCCCAAAGACCTGGGGAATGACCATCACCGCTTCTCCCCCGCTTCCAGAGCATGAATCCCGAAAACTCGGAGTTGGTTAAGGAGCTGCAAAAGCTCGCGGAGACCAAAAGATGTACTTCTGCGCAGCTGGCCCTGTCGTTGGTGAGATACCATAGCGGCAAGCCGGGAATGCCATTCATGCTGGGTGCGAGGTCCAGGTCGAGGGTCCGGGAGAATTGCATAAGTGTGCAGCTGCTATGGGGATTTGAAAGAGATTGCCGATCTTCTAAGCTTTTCAATAGCCGGTGATAGATATCCTGCAGCAGCTGCAATGTTATGCGAGTACTGAAGATAGGTATTTGAATGATAATGATGAGTCCAAGGAAACAACCCTTCAATTTCCTGCTACTCATATCGACGCAGCTCATTGAGGCTCTATCAGGCTTATATAAGCGACAGCGGTATCAAGGACGACATCTTACTACAGATCGGTATAATAACTGTAACTCCACGGGCAGTATTCTTGCCTGAACTTACGTATTTCCAGCTTCCTTGATGGATGTAGGGCCATTTCCAACAAGATAGAGATCGCCTTACGCAGACGATCCATCAAAATGGTCTATTGCGGCAAACCATCGACCTCGTGTCGCCAATGTAGAAGACGCAACATCAAGGTAAGTTGTATCAGTACAGATCTTTGTCTACTACTGACAGGATCCAGTGCGACAAAAAAAGAGACTCCTGTGGGCAATGTTTGAGGGCTAATATCTCATGTCCTGGCTACCACGATCCCAAGAACCTTGTCTTCAGAGATGAAACAAAGTCAGTCGTCCGAAGAGCTACTGCTGGAGTATCAACACCACCACCAGCTCCCATCGTCCTTCCCCTAGATCTCCGGGCCAAATTTTGGTTTGTCTCCCAGTATGTTCTCGGCGACTCCTCTGCCTATGACTACATGCAGACCTTCTATCCCCCTCGCCCGTCGATGGACTGCGGGCATCTCACCGCAGCCGTCAGAGCAGCAAGCCTAGCCTTTCTCTCTAATGAGCACCACTCTCCTCTGATCCTAGAGAGCGCCCGGAAGATGTACTGCTCAGCCTTGCTCCTACTCAACAAGGCATTGTCTTCGCCGCATCTCGCTACCCAGAATATCACTCTCCTCGCTGTCCTCCTGCTGCACCTCTTCGAACATCTAATAAAAAGGGGGGAGGTTCCTCTTGAGCCTGAGACCAAGCACAATGATGGCGCTATCGCTATCGTCAGGCTTCGGGGCAGCGATCAATTCAGCACCGAGGCCGGAAAGAGGATGTTCCTGCAGCTGTGTTCAAATGTCATATTGAACTGCATCAAACGCGAGGTTCCAGTCCCGCCAGAAATGATAGCTCTCCGGACCAATGCATCCCGTTTCATGGACACCAGCGACCCCCGATGGCGTCTCCATAGCCTGATGATCCGCTTCGCTTCATTACGAAGTGCCATGCGGAACGGCGAGCTGCCAACCTCGGAGTTTCTCGAACAGGCGAAGACGCTGGATGATGAATATCTCGCGATCTGTAGTTTCATGGGACCGAAATCCCGGTCTGAACTTTTGGAGAATACGGATTGCCGTGATGTAGCTCTCGGCAGCAGTCACGTCCACCTAGGCCGCAGCTGGAACAGTTTCCGTGTCGCCCGAGCATTATTCGGGGAGACCGTTCAGAGATACTCTCTGGCGGCAGAGAGCGCTGTGCCTAATTCCCCGGAGTGAGAATCAATCGGCTACGATAAAAGTATCAAAGCTATGCTCCTCGATTTCTGCATGCCTCTTACTAACCCCAAGAAACCGGATGATAACAAGAGGTGATATCTCGCTTGACCGTATTCATCTGGTTTGCTCTTCTATCATGAAGCCGAACTTTAATCAAGTATCTTCCGGATCACCGCAACCTCGCCTCTTCTACATCTGGGCTCAGGACAATGACCACAGGCCACCCCTCTCTGCATTGGCCTCTCAGATCCGACGCCATTGACCTCGACTCCCGCCTTCTATATCCTTCTCTTCACCTTGACGATACAAGAAGCAATGCCCCAGAGTGAGCCTGCCCGAAGGTCCACCCCACAAGATGTATTATTGCTATCGCCTCACGCGTCCATCTCGAAGTCCGGAAGGGAATACCGCGAGATCTTGACCTGATCCCGCCTCCCCGCTCGCCATCCTCGTGCACCTCAAGCCAGCTAGTGCCCAACGGTCACTGACGACTGACCTTATACCTCCTCGAGTACATACTCATCCTATCTCGGACACGAAACCCCTTTCATCCATCTATGGGAGCAGCATACTCATAATAAAGCATAGAACTGAGGACCACGTTGCCCATCACACTCGATGAGCTCGGGGAGGAGAGGATAGGGGATTCTCTATATGACGCCGCCGCCCTCGCGTCTCGGTCGGGGAAGGTTCTGAGATTGATTGATACTCGTGTACGGATGGGATATATCGAATACCAGTATGTAACGTATGTATGGCATCTGCTGCCGCAGAGATCCATCTGTCCGTTTATTCCTGACATACCATAATCATTAATCACTTAATTCTTTTTTCTGTAGGCGTGCATGTGCTTCTGGAGACTAATTAGATAGACTCTATGCTTTACAGAAGAAGGGTGCCAATGGGCAGAACTGGGCCGTGAGGGGGGGCTTGTTTCCTCGTTCGCAGAGGGATCCGAACCGCAGCTAGAGCAACAAGACCGATAACTCTCATCAAGATTTGCAGCAGTCACAGCACTCATGTTAGAAGCTATTGCCTACTAGATAGATGACGACGTTGATGGCGTGATAGTTCGGATAGATTCTCCCTGTGTATTCGGCACTTGTATGTACTGCCAGGCCTTCTTCCACCCATCCATCCATTAAGGGGGGATATATCATATCATACACGCCAACCATCCCATCGGATGCTTTTTGCTCATGTTTATGCTCATGCCTCAACGGAAAAGGTCATAAAACACCGTCCTGGAGAGCAATGCGAGAGGCTAATGCTAATAATGCTAACGCTGTCCAAATGTTATACCCCGTAGCAACGATACCCTAGAATAAACCTATAGCTTAGGCAAAAGAAGTAGAAATCGTCGAGCCCAAGAGCGCCTCCCAATGCAACAGCCGTCAGAGGAAGAGAGGAATGATGAATCGCTAAAGTGACTTTTGGTGCCGACCCCGTACCGCGGTGTCGTGTGGTCCCAGTCGCCCGACTTGATATGTACAACCTCCCCGGAACCCCATCTATATGTTTCTTTTTTGTTTATTCCTACCCGCTGCTCTTTTTCCGGTCTTTGGAACTATGTTCCGCACTCCGCGCTCGATCTTTTTCGAGTAGGAGAGTCAGTTGGCTCTTGCTCCTTATCAGGGAACCCGAGCCCTCCGGCACATCTGCACTAGAAGTTGGGGTAATTGGTCTTTTGGTAAACGCACCGGCAGGGCCCGCATCTTCTGAACTCCTTCCCTTGCCCTTGTCGGGCTTTCTGGGACTGGATACTGAAGTTGTTTGGGCTGGGTCCGCCACATCACCACCCAAGTCGAGCTGCCCAGTAGCAGCAGCAAGGGTCGGTGCTAAGCTGGGTGTACTCTTGGGATCATTTGATAAATAGCGAATGGCACCAAGATCATGGGGCTCCTGTTTGCCAGCAGGAGTCGGCTGGTGCGCTCTGTGCGAATACTGGGGACCATCACTTTGGGACTGGGCTGAGGACTTTTCTGCTGTTGATCGGGAACCCTCCACGACACGGTCATCAGCCTTAGCAAGCGCCGGTCCCTTCATAACACTTGCCGCAAGCTCTTCGGCAGGGATCTTTTCTCCGGATGCTTGTCGATTCTCCATAGCGCGGAGGGCAGAAGAAGGCCCTTGGTCTCCAAATGAAGCCACATCTGGACCTGATATATGCTCATCTTGATCCTGGCGAGCCCCAGGTGTCGGTGACAAAGAACCCGTCGAATCCGTGAAATTTGTGGTGCCCCGCTTCTTTGGTGACGGTGTCAATGATCGATCAGAGGGAGAGAAATTCTCCTGTAGTTTTGCCTGCGGGGGTTCCTTGCTGCAGATATTAGATGACTCCGGGGGTATGGGTGGGGTCCTCTCTGGTGATGACGGGGGCTCAGTAGATGCTGTCGTCTCGGCAGTCTTAGAGGAAGTCTCGGACGAAGATTGCGAACTCTTGCGTCGGACTATTACGGGTCTTTTCTTCCTGACAGCCACGGGGCTTTTCTTGCTAACAGTTCCGGAAGTGGCCGCCGCTTTCTTTTCTGTTTTGGAACTCGGCGAACCAGGCGAAGGGGGTTGTACAGTGACATGTGAATTAAAGCTGGCCGACGACATCGACTCATCTTCAGATTCGTGCGGCGAGATGAAGCGGGCAGTTGGCCGGGGTCCTGTTGTAGAAGGACCTCTCGACTTCTTGAGTATGGGGTGTGGCATTACCGAGGGAGCTCTAGATGTTGTCGATGAGGACGTAGTACTCGGACGGCCCTGGTGCGAACGGCTGACAGTAGTGGAACTCGAGCCGCGGGGCCCAGCGCGGGCAGTTCTCTCCTAAGAGGCCAAAGTTTCAGTACGACGCGGCTTGTGCGAGAAGGGGGAGGGGGGATGTAACCCATACCATGGGAGGAGTTCCCTCATCCCGATTTGGAGGTCCTCGTAATGGCACAAAGCTCTGGCCATGTGAGATGTGCGAGAACAGGCCGGCAATGGTGGCACCGTTCAGCTCTCGTTTCCGACTGCCCCATATGCGCCACCAGTAATTCTCGAGACGTTCGGCGGTGGGATCGAGGAGCCTTCGTTTTGTGGTGGTGTAGACTGGGAGACATTAGAACGGACCATCCCGGTGACAGAGGTTCTACCTTTCCAGAACTTGGCAATGTCCGCAAGATCCAAAGGCTCAGTACTGATCCGCTCTATGCTTCCCTCGATATAGGGAGAGTTGTTGACCACAATGCCTTTGGGCAGAATCAACGACATGCTCGTAGCACAGGCAAGAAAAAACCGCCGCCGACTGCAGCAGCTCTCCTCAGGTAGGCAAGCCTACCTAGAAGAAGCTGCGACAGATGACGCAGTCTGAGCAGTTGGCATCCAGAGACAAGCCTCTTTCGGACTGACTTCGAAGGTGAGGAAACGAGGGTGGGAATTGAAAAACGAGGGTCCTTCTGGCAGCCGGGGGGGTGTGTGGGATGTGATAGATTGAATTGGGTGGGAGAGGAAGCGGAACAATAAACGAAAAGAAGCTTTTTGTCGGTTCTAGACTTTCGTGTCCTTCGCAGTTCGGGACTCTATCAAACCACACGCGGGCTAAACCTAAACGAGACACGAGTTGAGGAGAGGAGCCCAGGGTCTGCAGCCAGGGCTATGCGGAGATCTGTGGATCGGTTCTTGACCCAAAGATCCACGGGCGGGAGGGTACATACAGAGGTATTTGTACTCTCTCTGCGCGTGCAACGCCGAGTGTCTGGGAATGCGGAATGTGCACTGTGCCTAGGACCACAGCGGGCGCGGGGGGGCTGGTATGGGGAACGGAGGGCAGCGGAGGATGACGAGAGGCCTATTAACTCAGAGAACCGCGAGTTTAGGGATGAGCCGGCCACTTAGGAGACAACAGGATGAGCGGACGGTCCTGGGCCAAGCTTACTTGGGAGTAGGGACTGCTCTGTACGAGACTTGTCTGTCGCGGTGAATAATGTGACTTGCTCTAGCCACTGGACGGCGCGCAGAGGAAGACGGCAGGTGACTGAGTAATGATTGGCGATGGAGGGGGAGGACACAGACTGACTTATAGACCAGACAGAGGCTTCGTGTCTGATAACCCAAGGATGTTGTCGCCAGGAACATACCACCCTACTGCCCACCCTTACACATGACCAGAGATGTACCTGGATTTGCATTCAGTATCTGGTGGATGGATGGATCTATAGCCTTTGCTCTTGACCTTACTATAGATATCATTGTCGATACCCTCATTATTGCCTAGCTAGGCCTCCCAGCTCGGAAAGCAGGACAGGCGATGCAAAAGCCTCTTTCTTCCTCAACAACTCGCCAACTCACCGCCCCCGAGTCCTCTCTCTTGTCTCCCCCGGCCTCACAGGCTCACGCCTCCGTCCTTGCATGTACTGCATGGGATAAAATGCTACGGCGTCCATGTCGTGATGTCGGAAACCTCCCGAGCCTCACCCACGTACAGAGAGCAGCCTCCCTCCGGCGCCGTGGCTGTGCTGCTGACCCTGTTTCCTCTCCCACGTCGTGTGACGCTCGGAAATCGAGAATCGCAGAGGATGTGATATATTATATTACATATTTATATTTATCTCTCTGATACTACCTAGGTACGGTAGATAGTCCTGGCACGATATCTCTTGCGCCAACCCAGCTTTCCAAACGCAACGGCTTGCCCGGAACCCCCAAAACCCCCAAATCCCATTACGCGCCGCAATCCAACCCCCGGGGCCTATCTCCTATCACCCACTTCCCACCTGCAGTCATCAATACACAGTGACACCCTCCTGACGCAGTGCTGGACATGTCTGCCCAATTATTCCCAAGGCTTCTAGAACGTTGCTTCTCTGATCCCCTCGTCCTACAGAAGTACAGACTCTTGGAGGTGGCAACCCCCCACATTGTTCCCCTTCCTCAATGCGCTTGGCCCTGTACATGCGAGGGCCAGCGTCCTTGCGCCTTTTGTCTGACCTACGAATCTACGATGTCGATGCTTACCAGTAGTATCTCCTTACTGGAAATGGGAGTTGGTGAAGAAGCACACCCGTCGTTGTGGGGGTCGCTTGACAAGTTCAAGCTTCACAGAGCAATCAATAATAATAAGCAAAGAAACCTGGCAAGCCGGCGGAGACAATTGGGTAGCCACCCCTTATCCCTTTCGCCATTCTTCTTTGAGCCCTGATCAGCAGACATCATCTCAACCTCTCACACCGCCTTTGCAACCGATAGTCGCATCCATGGTCCTGGGTTCTAGACATCGGCTCTATCGCGCAACAAATTAAAATTTTTTTCTATGCCTGTGTACAAGTGCATTACTCCAGATGCTGCTCTCTCGGTGGTCTCCAATTCTACGCGTCCCAAGTAAACCTGCCCCAAGTCAAGAATGCAAGCCCCGCTAATAACAAGACAAAATGACGTCCATTCGCCTATGTTATGGTGTAACCTCCGCTAGAAAACAAAGTCAGCACTGTCGTTCTTTCTAAGCAGGATAGAGAGGGGGGGGAAGCAAGTTGATAAGGCCTTGCAAGCACAAGCGAGGAAGTGGGGGAAAGATAAAGCAGGTCAAGGAGTGATTTTACATACTCAACGCGTAAATCGGCACCTGGAGTTGGGACGTATCATCAGTAACTATCATACAAGAAGCAAAATGGGGGTGGGGGGTAGAACAGCGATCCTGGGCAAGACTCAACCCAACACCGAGGACTAGACGTACCTGTGATATAACCCGAGGCGTCAGACGACAGGAATGTGACGGCGCCCATAAGGTCTTCTGGCTGACCCATCTTGCCTTGAGGAATAAGGGATGTCCAATGTCTCTTGAGATCTGGGTTTTCGTCAAGAATCTTCTTTGTCCTAGATTTCACCTTTCAGCATAATACTCGATCAGATACAGTACTGCCGTGACTCACAGTGCTGTAAGCATGTAACCGGGACTGATGCAGTTCACGCGAATACCACAATGAGCCCACTCAACCGCCAAGCTGGAGGCCAGATGTCGGACAGCTGCCTTAGCAGCGTTGTACGGAGCTTGGGGTTGTGGGACATTGACGATGGCTCCTGACATGCTACCAATGAAGACCATGCTTCCTGGAGCCTTCCGTTCCATCAAGTGTTTTGCAACTGCGACTGCGAACAGATATGTACCATCGACGTTAACGCCCCACAATTTGCGTACTCGGTCAATTGGGTAGTTGATTGCCTCAAAGTTCTCAGTGAAGCCTGCCGATGTGACAAGGTTATCGATCTTGCCATGCTGCTCGATAACTTCTGCAATGGCTGCCTCAACAGACTCTTGAGAAGAGACATCTGCGTAATGTGCTGTCACCTTTGGAATCCTATTATCTGCTTAGCCACGTCCAACTTTTTGTGTATATAAGAACTGACTTCTCTGCTCCTGGGTTCTCCTTTTTGAAGATTTCCACGAGCTCTACTGCTTGCCTCTCTGCCTCCTCCTCTGTAGAAAGTCAGTAGGGGCCCTGTAGCAGGTAATTGAAACTTACTGTTTAGATCCACAATGGCAACATCAGCACCACTGATGACCATTGCTTGGCTCATCACCAGGCCCAAACCTCTAGCACCTCCGGTGACAACGCCAACACGACCTTCAAGAGAGAAAGAGGCGAGAGTACGCTTGAAATGGAGACCACCTCGTCCTTGCACGGGTGTGCTAGGAGGAAGGTCGGCCTCTTCAGGATATTCGACCTCGACAGAAGGGTCGGTACGGGCGAAGGAGCCCTCGCGCTCGTCCCCCTCCTCCTTCTCATCCCGACGAAGAGAGCGACTGGCATGAAGGGATCGCTGCTGGAATACGGCAGAGGGAGATGCACGAGCTGCAACTGGGGCGCGAGCAGCTCGAGCAGCTCGAGCAGCGTGGCGAACCCATTGCGACCGCATCATGGTGGTTTGCGGATTAAAAAAAAAGAAAGACGAAGGGGAAAAGATGTGAAGGGTAGGTATGGGAAAAGGGAGTTTGGGACCCAAAAGATGGCCCAGGGACTAGTTGCGAAGAAAAAAGGCACAGTGGCGATACTGTAGGAAGGTTCTGTAAAAGCTGAGGAAGCTTGACCGACCTGTCCACAAAATATTAGGGTTGAGCTGGAGCGCAATCCATGTTGACCACCGTAGCTTTTTGGTGCAGGACAGCGTATGACGTTGCTGCGCATAGGTAAACATCGTGGTGAATAAACGGAGGCGCGTCCAGGCCCCCTGGGCACATGACTTGACAAGTTTTTCCTGGTGCTTTAACTCTACACGGGCAAGCCTCTCCCCCAACAAACAAAGGAAGAATCACGGCAACTGATTCGATGCCCTGCCTCGCGACTCTTGTCCTTCCTCTGCACCTAGGGGCCAGACCAACTGTCCCCGGGAATACTGATACGCACCGCAAGGTACCTTACTGCAACAACTGCTGCTCCACGGGGTAAACACCTTAGAAACGCTCTTTGGACTGCGTGCCGGGTCTGATTGGCTCGGCTCTCTCTCTCGCCTAGCGGTTCCCCAGGCCCCGATTCGCCAATCCGCTTGGCACCGCAGCTACCCCGGATACAGCCTAGCGCATCCTCTGCCCCAAAAATAGATCCGCAGTGCTCGCCGTGCGCGGTGCTCGGTACGTCCTCCGTACCAGCTAGCCTTGGCTGGGCTAGCGGCGCTTAGCTAAGACCACACACGCCACCTCCTTGCGACACCCGTCACCAGTGCTTCGAAATCCTTCTCTGCTCTCCAGCAGCTTATCTGATGATAAAGGACTCCCCTCCCTCCTCCCACCACCATCCATCCATCCATCCTTCATCCTTCTTCATCACCAGCATCATCGGGGTTGATATCGACATCGACTTCATCCCCTAGCTGTATCTGTCAAACCCCATTCCCTTTGTCGTCGACGCCATCCGCTGGCCTTTCTACCGTCATACGATACCCCTCTCCTCCCCGACTGTCAACACCAACATGCATTTCTCGCAGCTCGGAGCCGCTGCCACTCTGGCCGCCCTCACCCAGGCCTTCCTCCTGCCACCCACCATCTCCTCTGCAGACAAGGACGTCGTCAACAGCCTCCCATTCGACGCTGCCGCAGCTGCCAATGGCCGAGTTTTGGAAATCGAATGCCCCGGATGTCCGGTCGAGATCACCAACATCCAGGGCGAGACCAAGGCTGCCGCCAGCGAAGTCGAGAGCGCTCTTCGACTCAACTTCTCCCTTTCCCACAAAGATGCCGACGCACTCATGCTGAATGGCCTACAAATCTATCCTATCGACCCGCGCTCGCAAAACCTCCTGGTGCCGCTTACCGCGGATCAGCTTGTCAAGTCTTCGTCCGGCACTTGGGATTACGCAGCTCACCCCAACCTTGGTTACTCGTTTAGCGTCGTGCATCCTGTGCATGCTTCGGACGATGATCAACTTGACATTGTTACTCTGCACCTGGAAATTAACGAAGTTAGCAATACCTTCATTGATGGAATTCCAAGCGTCGATATCAAATTACTGGAAACACCAAGCGGCAAACTGATGATTGGAGACGCTACAGTATCACCAGCACGACCGTCAGCGTCAGTTCCAGCCAAAGCTGGTGAGGAATGCAGAACTGTACTCTGCAAATGGAGGGCGATCGTTGCGGACAGACTATCAAAACTGAAGGGATGCGCTGGCAGAATGCGTCCACACCAGGGTCAGACTATGAAACCCGCTGCTGACCACGACAACTCTCACCACCACCACGGCCATAGTCGTCCTCGCCCATACGAAACTCATCGTGCTCACCATCACCATAGACACAACGGGTTTGCTCAATTCATTAGAGCTATCATCTTGCGTGTCTTCATCCCAGTCATGATTGGTGTCGTCGTTGGGGTCACGGCTAGCGCAGTTGGTATGGTCGTTGGGCACATCGCTATCTTCACATGGCGAGCACTTTTCCGCCGGGGCCAAAGCCCCGCTTATTCCCGGGTTCAGGAAGAGGAGGCCGCCAGCGAAGATGAAGGCCATGATGAGACCAAGAGCTTCCTTCAGCATCAGGATGCACCTCCCGTCTATGAAGAGGCAGTTGCTGGCGAGAAAGCTTCCGAGTAGAGGAGTAGTATGGCGAAATTATAAGCGTTCATACATACGGGACTACCTTATCCTTTTGAAGGCGTATATGAATGGAATTGGGGTGGAATTCAAGGGAGGTTTGTATTAATTGGAGTTTATGAAAAGGAGCAAGGAAGGAAGGACGGAAGGCATGGAAACCTTGGGTATAGCCATACGGAAATTACTTTTTTTTGTAAATTGTATAAGCAGAATCGGAATGAGCACGATCGTTTTGTCTCGTAAAAATTAACCTCTCTCGCGTCCCTCACCCCAAGCTCGTGGTTATGCGGCATCAGCTTTGACGGACCCAACATGTTAGTCCACATCGTAAGAGTAGACCTTTGGAGCAAGGTTCCGGCGACTTTTGAATTACTGGAAATATCTCGACGCCTCGGAGGTCTCGCTGTGACATGGGTGTCGAATTCCACCTAGCAAGAGCAATTGATAGTAGACAGACCATCATTACCTACAGATAAAAAACAAACGAATGCCTATTGATGCTAACGCCTCTGAAGCATCAACACAGACCGCGCTATGTCGAAATTACCTCTCAATCAAGCTATATAAATAGATATACACCACGCCAACAGGGTATCATGTCAATCATGCAAGAGCCGCCTTTCACAACTTCAACAATCCTGCAATCCTGCTGGCAACTGACAATTCTTCTACAGTACATACATCTATTGAAGAGCTACCGCCTCCCCCACTTAGTCCGAACTCCATGTCACTAATATGCGTCGTGCTCAAATTGAAGAGAGCCGGCATATGACCTATTAGGAAAAGAGAGGGGGCTATAAGCCGGGTTTCGGACTGCTTGCTGCGCTTCCACCGCCCCTTTTCATGAGGCCGGCGAAGAAGGAAGCCAGCGCTTCGTTTTGTGACTTGCCATCGGGGGAGGAGACCTGGCCTGGGCTTGCAGGATCGGGGGTTTGGTAGCTTTGTCGCTCCTAAGGCGGGAATCAGTCAGTAAGGGGCCTTTAAAGGATAAATGGCGATGGGCTGAGTCGGCTTACCTTTAGTCGTTGTAACATATCGTCAGCGTCTACCTGGATTCCACCCATATTGAACTGTACGGGGCCGATGTGCTCATTGACACGTCCCTCATCTGCGTGAGCCTCATCTCCTTCAAACGAGGGTGACCCTAGTCGACCACGTGCCAGACGGCTATTGTCCATACCAGATGCGTCCTGACGAAGCTTGTCAAGGATTTCGAGTTGGGTAGAGAGGAAGGTCTGAGGGTCTACGCTTGAGACTTCAAGTTTGAGACCGTTGCTCTCATGAGCCGTGGCTTGGAGAGCATCAAGGCTCGGGTCCCGGATTACCTCCTCAAAAGCCTCTACCGCGCCGCCAGGTGCCCGGACCGGTTCGGAATCTTTTGCTGTATCGCCATTCACGTGGCTGTTGGACTCGTAGGTTTCCTCGATATCAATTGACCATCCATTGTTCACGGCTTCTACATCGAAGCCTTCTCGTAGAACTCTGATCTTGCCCCAAGAGTCCCAGTTTGGCGGGACCACGACTTTGTCTCTGTCAATGACATTGTGTTTGAGAGGTTGTCTTTTTAATAGAGAGTGTATGCTGAGAGACGAGTGTATTAGACTTTGTAAGGGGCTGGTGACCGAGGGAATTGTGTAGATGAGGGATGCGCCATCTAAACAAGAGTTAATATTTAAAAACAAGCTATTCAGGATCACAGTAACCTACGCTTCAACAGGACCGTCCTTAGAGTCTGTAGAACAAAATCAAACTCTTCTTCCTTCCATGATCTTTCCTTTTCTAGCATCTCAATTCTATCGGACTAAATATGGAATTAGCAATACCTCGAATTCAAAGTTCAGGGGCACATACGTTTTGACAGACGACACATAATGGAAGACCCAAGGCTTCTTCCCATTCTCCAGGACCCAAAGGCAAACTGACATCACTATCAGTCGTACTACTTGTTCCCCCTCCGTCCAAGGCATTCCCACCTCTACCCCTATCCCGCCAGCTGATCATGACCTCTTCCATCTTCTCCTTACACTCATTATTCAGCGAGACCAGAAGAGTACGCAAGAGCCTTATCCAGTCCCTCAGCTCCCTTAGCCAGAACCATGGCTGTGACCAGTCGAGTAGTATGACGATGAGTGTGTTGGGGATAGTTTGAGGAGTGAGGAGGGGTTGCAGAAGGGGGGTAAAGGAGGGCGACGGGTCTGCGAGAAGGTATATGGAAAGGCGAGCAAGAATATCTACAAGGTATCAGCAAGGTGCCGAGCTGCAATATAGTCTTAATAGCTGTACCTTCATGGTCCGCATCTAGAACATCGTGATAGGTGTAGCCCAAGGCAAAGTTATTCGCAATAGGAGGATGCTTGCTGCTTTGTCTATCCTGCGGTTTCCTCGCATCTTCCCCCGACAACGCCTCGAGGAATTCTCTTTGGGACTCAGCCGATCCTCCTGCTCCGACGTCAGTCAATGCCTCCATGACCAACCTCAATGTAACTTGCCTAAGACGAGTATATTCTTCTCCGGCAATTTCTTCCCGCTCGCAACCCCGTCCAGCATGGAAGACCACATGTCCTTCTTCGCGTCCGAGCTCCTGGGCCTATCATGATCGCTCGAGGTCGAGACCTGTGTATATGTGGAGGTTCTGTTGTTTGAGGAAGCCATCGTGGCATTTGTCCCCGGGTCTCAGGGGCTCGCAATAGAGTGTTTCGCAGAGTTGGAGGATTCGACCGCTCGGTTTTCGAATACTAGCATTCAAGCTGGCCGCCTTGCATGTATCCTTAATCGCCTGCAACAGTGTAGATAGCTCCAGCCTCCAGCTTCGATTTGATTGCTTCGTTCGTTGTCGATCGTTCATAAAGTTGTGAACGCGTTGCATAGGACGCGAGGCCAATCTTTACCGCAGGGCGGCGAGCCTTTTTTTCGACAGCCTCGTCCCCTTACGCATCGCGACACTCTTCAACATAACGGCACGATGAACACTATCCGGCAGATCCAAGAACTCAACAAACGGGAGCTTGAGAATGGAGTGTAAGTTTATTAGCCTTATTCCATAACCCTATTCCACTGACACTTTCATAGCTCCCCAGAAGCTTCATGGCATGCGGATTATCGCGACACAGCCTATATTTACATTGGAGGATTACCGTTCGAACTCTCTGAGGGAGACATAATTACGATATTCTCACAGTTTGGGGAGCCGACATACGTCAATCTCGTGCGTGACAAGGAGACTGGCAAGTCGAGGGGTTTTGCTTTCCTCAAGTATGAGGACCAGCGGAGTACAGACCTTGCGGTTGATAACCTTGGAGGGGCAGTAATCATGGGGAGAACCCTGAGAGTGGATCACACGAGATATAAGAAAAAGGATGATGAGCCAGAGGAAGGACAAGATTTGAACGCGGCCCAGAGAGAGATCGAGGATGTTGACGGGGAAAGTAGGAGGAAGAGGCGCCGGACAAGTGAGAGCGAAAGCGAAGAAGAACGACCGATGCTCAAAGAAGAACGTGAGCTAGCCAAACTCATACAAGAACATGATGAGGAAGATCCCATGAAGGCGTACTTAATACAGGAGAAGAAGGAAGAAGTTGCCTTAGCTTTGGCTAGGGTGAAAGAAAGCAAGCATTCGGAGAAGAGTCGTAAGCATCGACACCACCATCACAGATCACATCGGTCTAGGGAAGATAGTGAGGGAGAAGATAGTCGGCGGTCTCATCGTCGAAGAGAGGGCCACAGTCGACATAGATCACATTCTAGAGACGATCTACGGGATAGTGATCCATATAGAGAGGACGAGAGGACTCGTCGGAGGATATCCGAACGAGAGAAGTCAGAGGAGTATAGATCGCGAAGGCGGAGCCCAAGGAGGGATGGCCACGGACGAGATGATGATGAGAGGAGGAGGAGAGAAGAGTCACCGGGCGACACGCGTCATCGTGAGAGAAGAGACTCTCGACATTAATATCTAATATTTGGAGATGCTTTGCTTTATTCTACATGAGTATGGCGTGTGCTATTCTATGGATACTCTGTACATGCCTCTGAACACCTAAACCTGAAACCAAATGCCAGAATCCATCCTGAGGACCCATCCTGAGAATCCAACCCGGAGGCATCAAATCAACTCCTGCCACTCGATACCACCATAGTAAGCCTTGACGCCACGCTAAACAGCAAATCCGTAATGTACAGTCTCCAACTCAGTTGACCCCAAGATACCTTTTCCACCCATCGCGGACGCAATACCGCTTGCCATCTTCTCCATCTGCAATGACAAACTTCTCCCATCTCCCATCCCTCCCGGCTCCAATGACTACGAGGCTGTGATCACTCGTCCATCCAATGATGCCCTTTGGCGGCCTAGAGCCTAATGCGTCGGGTGAATTCAAAGGCGTTGAGCCTCCATGAATGGGTTCGTCGCCAATCTCAAAATGTGCCGAAGCGAATGAGTAAACATCGGAAAATACCCTTGGCAGTAAGGGTATCCGCCCAAGGATTCCCCATTTTTGACTCGTATCTACATCACCGAGAACAGGACTGCCTCCTCCACTACTGCCCATGGATGTCAATCGCCGATTTCCATTCGGTGTTTCAGACCTCGGCGGTTTCGTAGGATGTGGGATATCGAAGACATGGAGGGTTGACTTGTCAGATGTAACGGCTAGTAGTTGCCCCCCCGGGGCAATCGCAAGAGAAAAGATTGTCGCATGATCCACGCCTCGTCGAAGTTCAGCTATCCGAGCACAATTAGTTGTTGCGAAAACTCGAACTAAGGTACCCTAAAACCAAATTAGCTTCAAGCAGTATCAATATGTCGCTCAGCATACCGTTTCACTGGCAGTGGCCAAAACCTCGCCATCTCGACTTATATCAATAGCTCTAAGAGCTGACCCATGGGCTGGTATGATGCTGACATTGCCAGTTGCCAATTCAACCAGCTGAACTTGACCAGGCGTCCTTCCAGGGAAGGCCAGCGTCTTTGCGGTTAAACAGCATAAGCCCAACGGATTATCGGCAGTCTCAAAGGCGTGCCAAAGATCCGGTTTTGTTTTAAAATGGTAGACGCGGATGCTGTTTTGAAGGGCAACGACAATATGGGATCTCGAGAACCGGACACTGCGAACCGTTGTGAAGACCGGAAGCGTTATGACGACTTTCTGTTTCGCATCGTCCCAGATAACCACCTGAGATAAGTAGTAATTAGGATCTATCTGCGGAAAGCCGGAGCTGGGCACCACTGACTTTATTTTGCGGAAATTTAGGGTTCTTTCCTCCTCCGATGAGCGCGATAAAATTGGATTTGCCCAGCATCTCAACGGCACCTAGCCCGGCGTTGAAATCTATTATCAGTCAGTATGCGCCGTAGGGGAGGGGCTCCTGGATCGTACCTCTTGCGACGCGGAGCTGGCATGGCTCTGAATTAAAGACTGCGGTGTAAGTTAGCATGCGCATTACCGCGGCATGAGACTAAGGGAGTGCATACTGCAGAAGCCGGTGTCGAGCCCAACGGTGAAGCAACTGGCGTCTTGGTTGAAGGAGGCCGACAAGGCTACGGGACTGCTCGAGCTCTCGATAGCTGGTCTGGTGTTCATGGTTGCCAGCTGTGGGCTTTCGCAGAGGTAGTTCTATGGAGGGGGATAAGAGAGGATCCGGGGCGAGCTAGCATATGTGATGATGAGCGGCTGGGCATGTTTAATGTCTGTTGAAGCGCATACTGTACCTATGACTTGATCATTTCCTTGACTGCGGTAGACCAAGGCAGGCAAGTCACTTGGCGGGCAAAGTGTGGTGTTGTGGTGGGTATGGTGGCCCGTGCTTTCCGAGGTCCTCCTTTGGAGAGTAGAGTGCCGGAGAAAAAAGGAGCCGGAGGCTACTACTGCGGGCACGTTGAAAGATACGGACGGGAAAATAGATAGATTAAAACAGGAGATGTAAAATCAGACTAAGACAAGACAAAATACCGGCAGCAGGCGCAAAAGCAGCGCGACAGTAGTATAAGATTGTACGGAGATGGCCTCACCTTGCCCCCCCCTTGCGCCCTCCGCGTATCCTCTCTGCCCACACCCAGCCTTGCTATGGCGACTCCCCGCTAGATGCCCAGTTAGGCAAAGCGCCGACCCCGTCCTGTCACATCCCTCCCTCCTCAAATTGGCTATCGCTAAATTTCCGTTCCCCTGAAGGGACGACCCTCGTCGACCGCAACTTCAAAATTGGCGACGGACACTCGAGCATCTTCCCATATACACATCAATCCGAAATCCCCTTCCCCCGTCCCGTCGCAATAACTCCCGGTCCCATCGCTATCGAGACGTTGAATTGTTCTTCCTGACCAACCTACCATCATGTCTTCACCATTGAGCGCTGTATGTTGATACCTGGCGATATCCTTCATTGACCCCTTATGCATTTTCTAACAACAGCGTGGCTGGTAGTACCATGCTGGGGTTTGATCTCCAATATCGACATCTTTCAATGCCGATACTGACCATAGGCCCTCTCTAGATCAAGATCCGCCGAAAGAAGAATGTCAAGAAGGGTATCCAGTTCTGCTTGATGGTCTGCGGTGCCTCGGGCACTGGTACGTTGGAGCTCCTTCGAAGATCCGTCTCGTATGGCGACGAACTGATCCAATTCATTTTTAGGCCGAACTACCTTTGTCAACACGCTCTGCGGAAAGAAGGTCCTTCAAGCAAAGGATGCTGACGATGCGACCAACGCACACCTCGAGGAAGGCGTCAGAATCAAGCCCATCACCGTTGGTGCGCATAACACATATCCTCTCTGAATAGCAGACACGCTAATAATATTATAGAGTTGGAATTGGACGAAGAAGGAACCCGCATCTCATTGACCATCGTCGACACACCTGGATTTGGAGACCAAATTGACAACGAGGCCAGGTATGATATTGACATACTAGAGTAGCAATTGCTAATGACCTTCAAGCTTTGGTGAGATCGTTGGCTACCTTGAACGCCAATATGACGATATTCTTGCAGAGGAGTCCCGTATCAAGCGTAATCCTCGTTTCCGCGACAATCGTGTCCATGCACTCCTCTACTTCATCACTCCCACCGGACATGGGTAAGTGGTGTCTCGACTCCTATGATCACTGGCTCACATTATTCTAGTCTACGTGAATTGGACATTGAACTCATGAAACGCCTGTCCCCACGTGTCAACGTCATCCCTGTCATTGGTAAAGCCGACTCCCTCACACCTGCTGAATTGGCCGAGTCGAAGAAGCTTGTTATGGAGGACATCGAACATTACAGAATTCCCGTATACAACTTCCCGTACGACATTGAGGAGGATGACGAGGACACTGTAGAGGAAAATGCCGAACTCCGTGGGTTAATGCCATTTGCCATTGTCGGTTCTGAGGAAGTCGTCGAAATTGGTGGTCGCAAGGTCCGAGCCAGACAATACCCGTGGGGTGTTGTGGAGGTGGACAACCCAAGACATTCCGACTTCCTCGCAATTCGAAGTGCTCTGTTGCACAGCCATTTGGCGGACCTGAAGGAGATTACCCATGACTTCCTCTACGAAAACTACCGTACCGAGAAGCTTAGCAAGAGTGTTGAAGGTGGCGCTGGGGCGTAAGTAACCCATCTAAAGACTTGAGTTTCGGAGACTAACAATATTGAAGTGATTCTTCCATGAACCCTGAGGATCTGGCATCCCAGTCTGTCCGCCTAAAGGAGGAGCAACTTCGACGTGAGGAGGAGAAGCTTAGAGAAATTGAGCTCAAGGTCCAAAGAGAAATCAATGAGAAGAGACAGGAGCTCTTGGCTCGCGAGAGTCAACTTAAGGAGATCGAGGCCAGAATGCAACGAGAGCAAACCGCACACCTGGAAGCCACTCAGAATGGGAATGGGAACGTAGAAGCCGATACTGAGGCATAAACGAAGTTATGGATGTTTGTTTTGTTTTGTGGATGGTCTTGCCTTTCGAAGACAAAGCGTGGCGATGAATAGGTCTGTCGCTCTCGGTCGTCGCTGGGGATTTCGGAGCTGGGGTTTTCCTTTTGCGAGTCGTTGACGGCAGTTGCAACAGTTTCTGGCTCTTGAAAAGCTAATCACGCGATTATAATCAATTTCTAATGTGCAATTATTCTGTTCTGTCATAAGGTAGCTAGTAGACTCTATTCAAACTTTGCGAACGCTTTATGCATCGTGGTCGTGAGGCGGCGTTCAGGAAGCACTCGACTCCTACCGAATAGAAAGTTTGTAAGGCACAACGTGATTGCATTTGTGTAATGAGAGAACCGCATAGAATCGGATTCTTATGTGCCTTTGGACGTATGAAATAAACACTCGTGACTGCTCAATCCCTGGTACCCAGGTACCTACCGATGTACCTAAGGTACCTATGGCGTATGAGGCACGGAGTATACCAGGCGCTAAGCCCCGCTGGCGAACCTTCTACCGTCATCTGAGCCCGGCCACCTCCAGGCTCCATTTCATCATTCCACCACCAACGATCAGACATCCAAGCTCTCCTTCTTGCTGTATCACGATATTCGCAGAAGCCTCACGATGTCCGGAAATATCAAGTACACAGCTGCCGCGCAGCGGGATTCTCTCGATGAAACGGCTCACTATCCTCAAGCCCCGCCTTCATACGTTGACCAACCATCCTCTTCCGCCGATGATCAAGCTGCTCTTCTAGGAGCCCCCCGAAGTAGCGAAGACAACGTTCCCGATGATTTCAAGGTATGTACGCGGAGTGTTGTATGGCTTTGTTGGTAGCGGTGCTGATGATATTCCAGTTCGGTGGCTCAGCCGCTGAGGCGACTATCGATATCAGAATGGCCTTCGTGCGGAAAGTTTATGCTATCCTGTAAGCATGGGCTCCCTTTTACATTGTGACCATCTCATCGTGGCATATAATAATGATAATGCAGCTCTGTTCAACTCATCGCCACGGCCATCCTGAGCTCAGTCTCCTTCTTCAGTGCGTCCTACAAGCAATGGATTCAAAGCAATCAGTGGATGATGTGGATCTCCGTACGTGGAGCCCTCGAACAATTATAAAGGATTTGTCTAATCTTACTGCAGCTTTTTGGGGCCATCGGATTTATGCTCCTTACCTACTGGAAGCGAAAGTCATATCCAGCGAACCTCATGTTTCTCGCGGCCTTCACGGGCCTTGAAGCCTATTCTATCTCCGTCGTCACGTCTTTCTTTGATTCGCGCATTGTACTCCAAGCCGTGCTGCTTACCGCTGGCATCTTCGTAGCCCTTACACTCTTCGCCTGCCAGACAAAGTACGACTTTACCTCGTGGATGCCATATCTGTTCGGAGGACTGTGGGCTTTGATTCTGTTCGGATTCATGGCTGCATTCTTTCCCTACAACAGTACGGCTGAACTGGTATACTCTGGTATTGCGGCTTTGATCTTCTCGGGTTACATCCTGGTGGATACGCAGCTTATTATGAGACACTACCATGTTGAGGAGGAGATTGCGGCTGCAATCAGCCTGTATCTTGACATCCTCAACCTCTTCCTTGCAATCCTTAGAATCCTCAACAACCAGCAGAACAACTAGACTAAGATGGCCTGAGGAACCTAGGTGGAGGACTGGGAATGGGTCGCTGCATGATAAGTTAATTTGGGGGGATTAATTGTATTTCATTTGCTAAGGAAACAGACCTTTGGGCGTTGGGAGTGAAACGGACAAGAAATAGCGCTGTTCTCCTCGTTATTATGTCGCTCTTGTATTTACAGAATCACTACTGCATTTCATACTCACACCCGGATTTGCTCCTTTAATGGTACGTATATAGTAAGAAAGTAGAAGAATGGTGAGGCCTTGCTACCACTGTCGGGTACCTACTGTACTGTGCCTGGCTTCTGCTTCTGCTTGGCACAAACCAACTTGCCGCAGGAACAGGAACCCAGGCAGGTCGCAGTCCCCTCCCCTCCCCTCCGCCCCCCCTCGCCCCTCGCCCCTCTCGCGAGACGAGCACGCAGGGAGGCTGCCCGGCACCCGTTGATGGGCAAAGCGACGAGAGAAAAGTATTGAGAAGTGCACTGTCCATCCTTCAAAGATTCTCCAAAGATTTCCTCTCCTAGACTCTTGGAAAAGCAGAAGTAGATCCTTGCCTTCCCCAGACTCGAGCGCTCTAATCGGTTGATGCGATGTTTCATTCGTCGATCAGATCCTCAAAGGGGTTAAACGACGATGAAACTGGAGCGAGCCTTTTCCCACTGCCACACTCTCACCGCCTTTGCAAAACCACCTGCTGGAACCTCCATATCCCACGCTCGTTTCCTGATCTCTATTTCCTGGAAATTTATGAACCTTTCAATCCACACTGAACATAGTCCATTGGGAGCCTTTCGCCCGCAATTGGCCCCAAACCCACTCGCTATCGAACGCCCTCGCGCTCTCACCAAGGACAGAGCGCCATGAACGACCAATCTGCCACTGCTGAGCTCCGGAACGAGAAGGTCGAAGCTGCACAAGATTGGTTACATAAAAGCGGGAATAATGTCAATGAAATAGAGCACAAGCCCGAGGTTGGACATCCAGAGGGGCTTACAGCTAGCCCGACCATCATAAAGTGGAAAGCCAAGCGGAAAGATGATGGCCCGCTGGAAATCGTATGTGGATGGATTGTGGAGCATCAAATTGGTATGAGAATGCCCTCTTACATCCAACTCTAGCTGACGATCAAATCCAGGGCTATCCGTCAACCTGTTGATGCTTCTGAGCTTGACGCATATCTGCTTCCCTCGCGCACGAAGGCATACTCGCAAATTCTTTGAGCTCTCCTACTATAATCCGGAAAGCGGCGAATACTATGCGGGATGGAACGATGCCTGGATGGTATTCTACTGGATCGTTGTCTTCACAGGGCTCCGTGCCGCAGCTATGGATTATGTCCTGATGCCACTCGCAAAACGAGGAGGCGTCAAGACGGGAAGGGACCAGACCAGATTTGCTGAGCAGGCTTGGCTTCTGATTTACTACTCAGTCTTCTGGACACTCGGAATGGTAAGCCACTGTCCATCCCTTCCAAGTACTTGCTAATAGGCGCAGTATCTACTGGTCAATTCAGACTATTGGCTCAACCTCAAAGAGCTCTGGACGGACTGGCCAAACCGAGAAATCGGAGGGTTGCGAAAATGGTACATTCTAGTACAATATGCTTTTTGGCTTCAGCAGATCATGGTTATCAACATCGAGAAGAGACGGAAGGACCACTGGCAAATGTTTACGCATCACATTGTGACGACCATGTTGATATTCACCAGTTACGGGTATCACCAGACGAAGGTCGCAAACCTTATCCTCTGCATAATGGATGTTGTAGACATCTTCCTTCCGGTGAGTCGTTCTCCTCTGCCAGTCACTACCTTCCTAACCTAGTTTCTGCAGGTAGCAAAGTGTCTCAAGTATCTCGGCTACACCACCATCTGCGATATTGTTTTTGGCATATTCATGTTCACCTGGGTCACTGCCCGACATGTATTGTACCTCATGATCTGTTGGTCCGTCTACGCCGATATTCCAGCCACTATATCCTATGGGTGTTACCGGGGCAAAAACGGAGCTATCACCGGCCCCTTCCCGCCGCCTGATCGCTTTGGGCATCTCATCGAACCGTTCCGCGACCCCGAGGGTATTGTATGCTGGAATGATGGTATCAAGTGGGGTTTCCTTTCTGCGCTCCTCTTCCTGCAGGGTATTACCTTGATGTGGTTTTGGATGATTCTCAAGGTTGCAATTTCAGTGTTGAAGGGTGGCCAAGCCGACGATACGCGGAGTGACGATGACGATGACGGCAAGGAGGAAGAGGAAGACATCACGAATAAGAAGACCATTGAGACGATTCAACAGGTGGAGGAAGTTCAACTACCTCCTTATGAAGAGGAGGTGGGAGTCGAAGCTATCAACTTGAAAGGACGGACAAACTCTTCGAGGTATCGGAAAAGCGCGACTAGTGCAACTGGCGTTAGTTTGCCAGGGCACAGCGACAGGAAGGAATTGCTGGGACGGATCGGTTGTGATAAAGGCGCTTGAGAAGGACGGGTTTTTGGGTTTTTGAAAAAAGCAACACGTCTTTCCTTTGATGATTATCTTGCGTGCCATTCCTTCCTGGTGTTTTTCAGTCCTCCTCGGGTTACGCATCCGGGTTGAGATACGGAACCCAAGCTTAATGCTTGTCTATACGATGGAAGCTTGCGTTTCCGTGGTTCTTGATACGCGATTTGATTCGATTGTTTCTCCCTCCAAGTCTCGCCAGTCTTTCTCTGGGGGGTTTGTGTTGAAAAAATAGGGTGTTTCATATGGGATACGCGGGAGGGTGGTTGAGGCCTACAATGAACTACTTCCAATATAGAAACTTTCTGCGGCGGGCTAGGGGGGAACCAATTCCCCTCCCGCTCAGGAAGTGCCAAATATCAGAATCAAAGACCATTTGATCGCTCTTTATCTTACAAATGGCGAGACGGCAAAGAGAAACATGGCCTGCTGGTACGTATCTCGTTTTGACGGGGTATGGGAAAGGAAAGAAAGATGTAGGTCGAGTAGATAACTTTGTAGGAAGGGGGAAGACGCTGCTGAGGTTTTATGTCTCGAGATGGAAATACGGCCTCGTGCGTGGTCTAGCACATGTATACAATGTCAAGAGGACAGAGACAAACTTGACCTCGCTGAAGGAAGGGGAAGGGTTTGAATTGTAATGTAAGTAAGTAAGCACTTGTACGTAGTCTTGAAATGCAAGCCTGAATCTTAAAACCTGCCTTTCTACTGGAATCACTTAGGAGACGTACACCGTATATTCCCGCACAGAAGGTCATAGCACATGCATGTCACCGGCAGCCGCTCGAGCGGCTGAATCATTCTCAAGCATGTCTTTATGGTAATTTGTTTTTGTCTTTTTTTGTTTTTTTCCTTTTCTTTCATGAATGTTGGATATAGAACCAGAGCCCAGGTGTACCTCACACAAATAATTCCCTTCTTCATCAATCAAAAGAGACACAAAGAAAAGAGGAGGGGGAAAAACGCTACGCCCGAAAAAATGCCCCAAATGTCTGCTTGCCTGCCTTATACTCGTACACTCGATTTTAGAGTTAGGCCGCGGAGAGCAAACCGCCAACAGCCAGGGTATCTGGTCCTGTGCCTCGTTGTCAAAGAAAAAGTGAAGAAAATAGTCCGATCGGAACAAGGGAGTTCTCTCATCCGGTGGTATTCCTGCACCGAGAAGGTAGGTATGGTATGTGAAAACAAAAGAAAACCAATCGTATCACATTGACTTTATTACAGAACTCCAACCACTCCGGATTTCCCCTTGCCGTCCCATTCCGAGCCTATAAACGAATCGTCTTATAATAAAATAAGATAATTTGAAGGCGCGATACCAGTCTCTCCGTTTTCTTTCTTGGCCTGCCACCACCTGCCGCTGACGTCGGAGACTTCCAGTATCTCGTGCTTAGAAAATGATATTTCATTGGCATCGTCTGGGTTGGCTTCGTACGAGTAGATAGCTTTCGCTCGGTAGGGGTATTCCGTTGGCGCAACCACTTCTCCAGCTGTTGGTTCTGAGCTGAGTGGTCCACTTGCACCTAGATTGCTGGTTGGTGCTGCACCAGAGCCGAATCTTGCCTGCGACGTGTTGTGTTCTGCTGAGAATCCTGCTACTGGAGATGAAGTCTCAAAACCACCCAACTGAGCCGAGGTGTACATTTGCGGTGGAACATTAGAAGAGATCGAGGTATCGGGGCGACCACTTCCATAACCATTGGACATTCCTCGACCGCCCTGAGAGATTCTCCTCTCCTTGTGGAGAGCGAAGGAGTCGAGGTATGCGCGAGGGACAGCGGAGGGTGTTGATCCAAAATAGAAGATCCATACGATCTGTTTCAAAGTCAGCGTAACATTCGGACCACCATGAACGAGGCTCTCCGTACATCTACCATAGAGAGCAATATAAAACCGGCAGCTGCAGCTTCTTTCGCGCCATTTGAGGAGTAGATCAGAGAGTTGACGGAGGAGCTTGTTAAGATGAGCCCACTGGACAGGAAGCCGACAAGGGCTACATGGTAAGTCTGAGTCGTGTCGGATGCAACGACCACGAATATGCCGATAATGAGGCAAAACATAAATGCAATGGCGAACCAGGAGAAATTTGGAAAGGGGTTTGGATTCAGGTGTTGAGATGTCGCAATGACCGATCCGACGAAGGCAATGAGCCATGCAAGCTGTTGTATCCTCTCATCAGTAACATGTCCAGGAGTACTGTGAACAAGCCCGGCAGGGAGGGGGAGGGGGGAACTTACCACTGAAATTGAGATCGTGGCCAGCGCGAACGGGTCACCGAGGATATTGTCCATGCTCATTGAGCGCACAGCGCCGGTTCTCCTGCCCTTGATATCCATCTGGCCGTTCATCTTTCGGAGCGACGGCGAATGCAGTGATCCGTAAGATGGCATATGGAAGATCAGGGTCGGAACCTTCCCTGTTCCTTTCTATTATGTATGTATTATAGTCGCAAGTATCGAGGTCGATTCAATCGACGGGATACCGACCGTACTGTATCGTGGATAGCGAGCGAAGGTGAGCGTGGCAGAGCAGAACTAGAATCGGGAATCGAGAGGACGGTGTGGTTCGGTCTCGTGGAGTGTTTCAGCTGGAGAGTCTGGAGGTGGCTTGGTACGAAACCCGGTTCGTTGCGCGCGCACCAGTGTGGACAGTGTGTACGTGGACGATTAAGGTAGATCGTAAGCTGGCGTGAATTGGGAAGAAAAGAACCGTCGAAAAGGAGAGGATCCGACCACAACTACAAGAAGCGAGCGAGCGCAGCTGGGAGGGGACAGAAGAGGGGGAGAAGAAGACGAAGGGCGAAAGATTCGATAGGATAAGACCAAAAGAGCGTAGATAGGGTCAAAGGGGGTCAAGAGAGTTGAAGGGGTTCGAGGAGTCGGGACTCAGGAGGGTCGAAGCGTTGGAAGGACGCACGAAAACGTGAGACAGGACGGCTGGAGTGGAGGGTGGAGCGGAGCGGAGGAGATGGGATTGGATGGATGTTATGTGGAAGTGGATTGGGATTGGATTGTTTAAGAGAAAAGAAGGGGTTCGACGGGGCGCAACGGTTCGTTCGTTATGTGATGGATGGATGGATCATGGAGCGGCGGCGCGGCAAAGCGGGTGCGAAGGGAGGGCCGAGGGGGGGTCGGTTTAGTGACAGGAGCACGATGAAGAAGAGAGTGAACAATAAGGTAAAGAAGCAAGAAGTGATATCAGTATTATGTCTAGATAGGGATCCCTGACCTGATGTTATTTTCCTTCTTCTTCTTCTTCTTCTCATCCTCCTTCTCTCTCTGCTTTGTATCATTCACTACTATACATACCCACCCACTGTCATATGCAGCCTTTCTCGCCATCTCATTAATCTCAGTCTCGTCGTCGATCAAACCCGCCATTCAGGTCTAGAAGGGGCCCTAATCTACGGGGATCCGCAGTGTGCGCCACATACGCCACAGAGATCCTCCCTCGCTGGCTTCGAGGCTTGTGGCTTGCTTCTCCCCCATCTCCTCCCTTCCATTGAAGAAGTGTAGTGTGCCCGCGTTTGATCTACTACTACTTGACGCGACTCCTGGAGGCATGAGCGCCCATAATATCTATCTAGCACATGCAATGCTGCATCGCGGGGTGCATAAGGCCTCGCATCTATCACCTGCACCACATCACAATCTAGTGGTCATGGCGCTACAGTACAAGCGCTATCAGACAGCCACGGCCCACGGCATGGATAGTAAGTAAGAAGTTGTCTTACGCATTGGCATCAATCTTGATTATCTAGTTCCCCAGGCACAGGCAAGCTGTGGCCCGTTCACAGGTACTACAACATACCCCCCAATTCCTCTCCAACAGGCCCTCTCCCATGGGCTCACTTGAGACACGAATCATACCATTCCGCTCATGCGGTACCACCACTCCATCTATAACTATAACTTTCTCCAAAGTAAGAAGTCAGCTCTATCAGCCTTTCCAAAGCTATAAGAGAAGGGCACGGTGGATGACACTCTCCCTTGATGCCATCGAACGTGTCATGACAGTTTCCAATCGCCCAGAACTTTGCTTCATCTCTAAGTCTGTCACGACATCTTGCTGTTCTGGAGGGCCTGGCAGCGGTATGACCACCAAGTTCAAATCATTCCGATATCCAAGATTAAGGAAGGCCCCTCTCAAACCAGGTCGGCATCCAGCTGCTTTGCTAATGTAGCTCGTCGAACTTTCTGCTCTACCTGCTCCACTCTCCCTTCCAACTCAGCCCAGCTATCACCAGCCCCTAGAATATTAACAGTATACCACCGCTGAATCAGTGCTGCGCTTCGCTCTCTCAGGGCTGCAATTTCGGTGTTTTGGGCGGCTTGCAGAGCTTCAAGCCTCGCGATTCGAGGAACGAGCGCAATGAGCTGTGCTGAAAGCTCGGCGGGCGGCACTGGCACGTCAAGAATCGAGGTCAACCGCGATGCGGTGGAGGGGTATGAGCTTGCGGAGGCAAGAATGATAGATAATATGCTCTCCGTATCCAGGGTTGTGGGCAGCTCATCGGCTCCGATGGACTGAAAAAGGTCTGGGTATCTTGCATCTACAAATCATCAATAGCCGTCACTGCTAGGGTGACCTACTGGGAGACGGACGAAGCCTCAAAAGATCTTGAACCACTCTTGACTTAGATGCGAGCTGATGGAGAGCATGCTCCAAATCTGCAAGACGTTGTGCTGCGGGTGTATTGTCGTCTGCCGGTGTAGCCTCATCGACCTGGCCAGATACTGCGTACTCAATTCTTCGTAGCCGCGCTTCAAGGAGGTCGAGTGTTTCTACAGCGGTTTTGTCGAAAGGGGTCTCCATTGTCAAGTCTTTGTTGGTGGGACGAAAGGCAACGATGCCAAAGACATCAAGCTCTGGGTGCGTAAGGCTGAAGAATGGAAGGTGGCTGTTTTGATTAACTACAGGTATATTCTACAGTATTTACAGAGTAAATACCCGATTATACCTGATTATACCCAATATTTAGAGACGCAATTTTTACCTAATCTTGTGTTATATCCTGGCGGCAACGCAACAACCACCAGTCTCCTCAGCATTATAAATAAATCTCACATCAGAGTCCACTCTTTTGGTTGGAGGTTCGTCGGATTCTGTGCAAATCGACGACGAGGCGACCTCCGCGATCTCCGCGATCATATTTGCAGCGCGCAGCATGGTAGTCTTGAAGCTCTAAGGGCAACCATTGTACTGTAGCTGCGCCCGCGTCCTTTCTTTCCCCGATCCTGATCCTGATCCTGATCCCTTTTGGGATCGATCTCCAGCTCCTCGCAGAACGATACCGTGCCTAGACGACCAGATCAACGCGCCAAAAAGTACGAAACAGCAGAACGTTCATGATGGTCTCTTATTCTACAGTTGCAAGCGGCAGCGGCAATGCTTCAGATTCATCGCGAGGTAGAAGGTGCGCTTTCAGGGCTGGGGAATGGGTGATATGTAGTCCGAGGCTGACACTTATCCCAGGCGTCGCTCAAGCCGATCTCAGAAAGATCACAACTTTTCAGGCCAAGCCTCCTGGACGAGCTGTGTTATCAATCTACTAAACACAAGTGAGCAATCACCCTCTGCTGGCACTACCCGCGCGCACATCTAACTTACTTCTCCAGTCGTCGGTGCAGGCGTCCTAAGCACTCCCCTGGCGCTGTCGCATATGGGTATATTGCTGGGGGTGGCTGTGATTCTATGGTCAGGCTTGGCTGCTGCGTTTGGATTATATCTTCAGAGTCGATGCTCTCGATACCTTGAGCGTGGCGCCTCCTCCTTCTTCGCTTTGTCGCAGATCACCTATCCCAATGCTGCGGTCATATTTGATGCTGCTATTGCCATCAAATGCTTCGGTGTTGGCGTTAGCTATCTGATCATTATAGGGGATCTTATGCCAGGCGTTATCAGAGGGTTCAATGAAGCCGCCGATGCTGTGCCGTTTCTGGTTGATCGGCATTTCTGGGTAACTGCGTTCATGTAGGCTGCCTATTTCTGGGTTGTCGTTCTGCCTTACTTACATCTATACTAGGCTTATCGTCATTCCTCTCTCGTTCCTCCGCCGCCTGGATTCGTTGAAATACACCAGTGTCATCGCTTTAATATCTATTGGTTACTTAGTGATACTTGTCGTCTATCACTTTGTAGAAGGGGATACAATGGCGGATAGGGGTGATATCAGAATTATTAGATGGGGTGGTCTTGTCCCTACGTTGCAAAGCTTCCCCGTCATTGTCTTTGCATATACGTGCCATCAAAACGTAAGGCAAGCATCGGTATGAAAAAGATCACTTTGCTAAAATCTCTAGATGTTCGCAATCTTGAACGAGATCAAGGATAATGCACCACGAAAGTATGTCATATCACTCTTCGCCTTGGATTCTTTATACTCACATGCTCTTTTCAGGACTACCGGCGTTATTGCTGCTAGCATTGGTTCTGCTGCTTCAATTTACATCCTAGTTGCTGTCACCGGCTATTTATCATTCGGCAACAATGTCTTGGGCAATATTGTCGGGATGTGTAAGTATAACAGGAGAAATCGTACTTGGATGAGAGTTAACCCCCCATAGATGTTCCCTCCATTGCTTCGACAATCGCAAAAGCAGCCATTGTAATTCTAGTTATGTTTTCTTATCCTCTTCAGGTGCACCCCTGCAGAGCTTCAGTCGATGCGGTGTTAAAATGGCGCCCAAATGGCAAGCTGCACAGACATTCGCCAAATGGCTCTCCGGCAAGAACAGTGCCACTCCTTGGTGGAACGCCATCGCAACCTGTGGCAAGGAATGACACGATTGGCGAGCTTCGATTTGCAATTATTACAACTGGAATCATTGTACTCAGTTACACTGCAGCCCTGACCGTCTCATCTCTCGACAAGGTGCTCGCATATGTTGGTAGCACCGGAAGCACGAGTATCAGTTTCATCCTGCCGGGGTTATTTTACTACAAAATCTCGGCTCCGGATTCGATACATCACCAGCGCCTGTTGAAGGAGGATGATGAGGCCGAAAGTGGTGATGAAGGGGACCTGGACCCGAGACGTTCCTGGCGCCAAACGCTCTTACGGAAACTTTCACTGGCCCTGGCATTTTATGGGATATTCGTCATGATTCTATGCTTGGGTACTAATCTGTTTTTCTCTACATCCGCTCATTGAACACAGAATTTCGGTAATTATAATGAAGTATGTGTAAGGCGTTAAGGGCCTTTATAGGATGTCATGTCATACGACGCTTATGGATCGGATATAGGATATGGGAAGCCAAAGACTACACATATCATTGTAGTGGATATGAACTATGTAGATACGAAATTGAACAGAAGACAGTTGTCAGGCGTCTATTCTGCAGATACCCATCTCTCCCAACGCCTTGAATGCATTCCCACACAGCTCTGTACTTCCGATGCCCACTATACTATGCTTTTCTCCATCGTACACTTGTCTTGATTACTACGCCTTTTCTTTCGGCTTTTGGGCCTGAGCATTCGCTGGCGGTGGACGGTATTTCGGCTCCAGCAAGCCAGCCTGTAAAGTATCAGTCACTACCTGCCACAAGAGCATTCGCAGACAAGAGAAGAGCTTACTATCGACAACAGTCTCCATGCCGGATCGCTCGGCTGTGCTCCAACACCTAACCAGTATTTCGCCCTGGCAATATCCAGCTTGATATCCTTCCACGGCTTGCCTTCTCCATCTAACGGCGGCTTGGGAATAGGGTCGTATGTTCCTGCACCACTACATCAGCCTCCCAATAGCTCCTCTCATCTCCCAGCCCTCTCCATCCCAATCTGTAAACATACCTAAGACTTCAATCGGTTTGCTATTCCTCGCGGTCCTTGATTCTAGTCAGTGAGGAAGCCCCGTAGAAGGAGATGCAAAGAAGCAGAGGGCGACAAACCGAGCTTGCGTGACGACGATATTGTAGAAGGGAGAGTGGGCGCGCCCAAAGCGTGCTAATCTGATCCTCACGACCATGGTGTCTGACGTTGCGGAAGAGCTGGTGAAGAAGATGTCGAGATCTGCTTGCTCTGGAGCTTTCGCGACCCTTTTTTGGAGATTTGCGGATCGGAGGCTGGCGGGGCGGAGCGGGATTCCGCCGCGGAATACAGTGTTGACCCGTGAGTGACATCAGGTCACAACTTCGGGAATACGATCAGGTCATGAAGAAAGCTCATTATTAAGTATAAATAAAATCGAAATCTAATTGAACCTTATAAAGTATACATCTAAAATCTCGATTCCTCCTTTACTGAACCATAACTTGACCCTTTCAGATTCCCAAAATCTCCAAGATTATCAAGTCAGCTACTCGATCTGAGACCAAGTGCAGAGTTGCAATGGCTTCGAAGGTATGGAACAACTAGAATCTCCTATTCTTGATTTTGGAAGCTAAGATATAGATACTTAGACACTCTCTGCCAAAAATGCGGCTGCTCTAGACAAAGATCTCATGAGCATTGGCGCCTTTTCCATCGATCAACTGATGGAGCTTGCGGGTCTTTCTGTTTCTCAAGCTGGTCTTTCTCTCTCTCCCTGCCCCATATTATCACGCTTTTCTAAACTTGGTATTAGTATACCGTGTGCATCCTCCAAGCAGAGGACGGAGAGTCCTGGTTGCTTGTGGACCGGGAAATAACGGTGAGTTCGGCAGAGGGGGATGAGATGAGGGGTGTGCATGCTAATAATTATGGGGGAAGGCGGTGATGGACTTGTTGCCGCAAGACATCTTTGGCATTATGGATATAAGCCTACGATTTACTACCCGAAGCAGAGCAAGAACGAGCTGTACCAAGTAAGTATACGGGTTCCCTTTTCTTGATGAGCTTGGTGCCAGGATATAGATATTGGGAATCTGGCATGTGACAATGATGGATACCACTACTATTTTTCTTTCGTTTTCACTTTTCTATACCAATACTTGAAGTAACAGACATCGACTGACTTCACCTCTTAGCGTCTAGCAACCCAGCTCAGAAATCTCGACGTCCCTTTCACCGATGATTTCCCCTCGGCCTTGAAAGAAACGGACCACATCATTGACGCAATTTTTGGTTCGTCCCTCTCAGATTTCCAGAATCCAATTCTAATTCTTCCTAAAGGCTTCTCATTCTCCGGTGAAGTCCGTGAGCCCTTTCCGGCCGTCATCAGAGCCCTGGAAGAAACCAAGCTTCCAGTGACATCCGTCGACGCGCCTTCATCCTGGAATATCGAAGAGGGGCCCCCATCTTCTGGGCCCGGTGCGAAATTTATGCCCAGTACGTTGGTGAGCTTGACGGCTCCGAAACCGTTGGTGAAGTGGTTCAATGGGAGGCATTTCGTTGGTGGCAGGTAAGTGGACAATTTCGTCGGTTCTAAGAGAAAACGCCTTTGTACTCACGAGGTGACAGGTTTGTGAGTCCAGATATCAAGAAGAAATATAATTTAGACTTGCCGGAATATGAGGGGATTGATCAGATTGTTGAAGTGGGAAGCAATGGGGAGAAACTGTAAGAGAGAAAGGAACGAGGGGAGAATTGGCGCTCAGGTCTGCAAGGTCTGGGCGCGATGAATTCTTTTCTTGGTAATTCTAGAAACAAATTGGTATACTATAGCTTTTCTTCCTTGAACAAAGCTGCAGGGTTGGTTCCATATGTGACTAGGACCAGGAAGAGCAATGCAAGAACAGAAGATTGCCATCTCAATCCCGGGCCGGGAACTATGACTTGGTGTAGTATATAGTTATTTGAACCTTTATATACCCCTAGACCCAAGCCTCTAGTTATCGTATAATCGTAGTAGCATTTCTTCGTCCCATGTGGACAAGGTCGACTGTTCAGCTCACGTGCTATGGATAGTCAGCCCCATCTGAACTTTTTACACCCCGAGTCGTTGGGCAACAAACCTCTTCGAAAAGTACAAGCGCCGTGCCTGCCTTACAGATATACTAATTGAAGGTCAGTAACTGCTCCTAGGAAATATGCTGAAAAAGACCTACCCCGGCCTTGTGTACCAGCTTCGCAATGACCCCCTTTTGCGGCGACCTAATTACTGTTTCCATCTTCATACTCTCAATGCTACCAGTACCGGTTAGTACCCGTGCTGCCACCATCTTGAGGATTCCACTCACACGACAAGTGCCTGATCCTTCTCAACTTCGTCTCCTTCTTTGACTTCGTTTCTTAGTACCTTGCATGGCATAGGTGCCAAGACACTATTCGTCACGTCCTTCAGCCCCAAGGCTTTCTCGTACCAGCTAGGGGGTGACAGGGTTAATTGAGTTTGCCTGCCGTGCTGGAAAAGCGTGATCTTGTCTCCTTCCGTGATAACCGTACTCTCGATTCGCGTATGAGGGAAGAATGTTGATATCGACGGAGACCGTGGTTCGCATACCACATTGGCGTAGGATGCTTCGATACCAGAACCTTTCACATCTATGTCGAACATCTTTCGACCAGATTGGTTGATGGTAACATGGATGGGTTCACCCTCCGCACCCGTTGCAGAAGATATGAAAAAGCTGAATTGGCGCTCATTTGCAGCACCGAATCCGATAGCCTCTCCATGAGGGCCTTGACCTATCGCGTGCGGCCCAGAGAGTTCTTTTGCCAACAGGCCCAAAGCAGCTTGCGCAAAGACCTCGGGCTCCGTGGTTTCAGGAGCAAAAAGCTCATCGTTGTACTTTTGGATATAACCAGTCTCAACATCGCCCTTGATGAATGGCTGACTCTTGCAAATCTTCTTCAGGAACTCAATGTTCGTACTCAGGCCAACGACTTCATAGTCCTGCAAGGCAGCATACAGCTTCTGGATTGCTACTTCTCGAGTCGGACCGCTCACTATGAGTTTTGCTATCATGCCGTCATATGCTGATGATACCGTATCACCTTCAATGAAACCCGCATCGATGCGAACACCATCCGATATCTGTGGTGTCCGGAGATGAATGAGCTTGCCAGAATCAGGCATAAAATTTTGATTTGGGTTCTCAGCGTAGATTCGAGCTTCGATAGCCCATCCTCTCTCTGATATCCTCTGTGCAATGGTAGCTTGATCGAGGGGTAGTGGCTCTCCAGCGGCTATTTTGAACTGCCAGGAAACGAGGTCTTCCCCCGTGATTTCTTCAGTAACGGGATGTTCGACCTGCAGCCTCGTGTTCATTTCCATAAAAAAGAACTCATTTGTGTCGTTGTCGAATATGACTAGTTTCTGGTCAGTTATTTCGGCATCAGAACTTCCAGGCATCTTACATTCGACAGTTCCAGCACCTTCATAACCAACAGCCAAAGCAGCAGCCCTTGCCTTCTCCCATAAGTCCTGTCTTATATCTTCAGCTAAATTCGGTGCCGGTGCCTCCTCCAGGATCTTTTGATGCCTTCTTTGTAAACTGCAATCCCGCTCCCCCAGAGCCACTGCGTTGCCGTACTTATCTGCAAATATCTGTACCTCGATATGCCGTGGAGTCGCAATATACTTCTCTACCAGCATTTCATCATCTCCAAAAGAGTTCCTTCCCTCGCTCTTCGCACTCTCCAACTTGTCTAAGAATTCATCTCCGTTCATTGCAATCCGCATGCCTTTCCCGCCGCCTCCTTTGACAGCCTTCACCATAACCGGAAAGCCGATTTTCTTTGCCTCCTCCAACAGGTGTGCCGGGTCCTGATTTGCCCCATGATAACCAGGGATACATGGCACACCCGCCTGGATCATAATATCTTTACTCCTGGACTTGTTTCCCATGGCTTCAATTGCTTTCCATGGCGGTCCAATGAACACCAACCCTTCCTCCACACATCGTTTCGCAAACTCCGAATTCTCACTCAGGAACCCATAACCAGGGTGCAAAGCCTCGCAGCCTTGCTGCTTAGCAACAGATATGATTCGTTCTCCATCGAGATATGCGTTCGGCTCGCCGAGATTCACGGAAAAGGGACTCGACAGCGCATGCTGTGAATGTGCGTCGGGAGCCGTGTAGATTGTTGTGCATCGGACCCCGAGGGCAGATGCTGTACGGCCAACTCGAAGCGCTATCTCGCCACGATTTGCTATAAGAACAGACGTTATAGGAGTGGTTTTGGAGGTCGAGGCAGTTGTGGAGAGGGCGCGAGACGTGTGGGAGACGAAGAGAGACCGGGCGATTGCCCGCGATCTTGCGGTAGAAAGCATTGATATTGTTGGTATTGATACTACATGAAGATCAGGAGGATTGATGCATGTATCAATTAAACCACCTCCAGTCCTTGCTCTTTGTATTACTGCCAAAATATAGATGTAGAGTGATTGATTACCTTCCTTTGCCGATGTTGTTGCTGCAACTACTCCGCACAACGATAAGCCGATTTAAACCGTACCCCAACGCCGATGTGGGGAGGAGCGGCGCCATTTTTATCGTAGGTATGGAATGTTTATTTCCATGATTTGCGCACGCCAAGTGGGGTTTTCTGGGGTAGCTAATCCAGAGGAGGGGTGCCGAAAAGATATCTATGCCACAGAACATATATATACAAAGTGAGAAACGAAGAAATAGCTTTCAGGTTTCATGTCCTCAGGCCTTATCACCCGTATTCGATTCATTTTCTTATAAGGTATTGATCAAGGTGACGTTGCATTAAACAAGTACTAGTAAGTGATAGAAATTTGATCGGATCAAGGGGCCTCTCCCTACTTAGTTGGAACTCACTTGGCGGCCGGATTATCGAGAGAACCATATCGAAATAGGGAGAGTTAGACATGAGAAAGAAAACAGTATGGTGCATTGATAACACAGCAGTGCGGACGTAGCCTTCAACCTCGTAACAATGCTGATTGTGAAATTAGTTTCACCTACCTCTACCTGCTTCAAACAACCAATTACGCCTGTGCGTTCTACGAGATGCCATGTTACATTGTTACCTTTGGCATCTTCGAGTTCTGCTTCATATTTCAAATATAAAAAGCATAATCATCACCTCATTTAATAGGATTTTGGTACGACGGGTGTTGACCTTCGCCTCGTTCCCCCCCCCCCCCCCCCCCCCCCCCACCCCTTTTTCTTTTGATATTCCTTTTGAGAGCAAGCTCCTCAATTGACCCAGATTAGGAACGTCAAGAAAATGGCCCAAAGGTATACCTATTTCTCTCCATAATCTGTATTATTTCTGTAGCATCTACATCCTAAATACCCCAAATTTCGTCTCAGCTGGCTCGTTCTTCCCTCCCAATGCAGCCATCAAGCTCAGTCCTAGCACACGTCGCGTGTGGCTTGGTGGAATAACGCCATCATCCTACGGTTATCTTTAGCACGGGGAATATCGTAGTTCAAGAGAGACTTACCCATAACCTTGCAGATGAGTAGACCGCTTCACTCTCCCTCTCAATTCTGGCCTTCAACTCCGGATCTACCGTTTTTCCCACCGTCTCCATGACTGCAGTCAACTGCTCGCTACCCATGACACTGATCTTTGCATTCGGCCACATCCATAGAAATCGCGGCCCAAATGCTCTTCCACACATCCCATAATTCCCAGCTCCATTACTAGCGCCGATCACAACAGTGAGCTTAGGAACGGCTGCGCAACTAACAGCAGCAACAAGCTTCGCACCATTGCGCGCAATACCTCCACGTTCGACCTCTGTACCAACCATAAATCCGCTAATGTTTTGGAGAAATATCAGAGGTATCTGTCGTTGACAGCAGAGTTCAATGAAATGTGCTCCTTTTAAAGAGGATTCACTGAAAAGAATGCCGTTATTTGCAATTATGCCAACCTTGTGGCCATAGATATGAGCAAACCCAGTCACGAGAGTAGTGCCATAGTCACGCTTGAACTCAGAAAAGACACTGCCATCAACAATGCGTGCTATAATCTCATGAACCGGCAACGGTCGTCGCAAATTGGTGCTGGCAATGCCCACCAGCTCCTCGGGGTCATGAAGTGGCTCCTCGTAACCTGCGGTAGCAGGGAATTGCTTCTTTGGCCAATTGAGGTTGCTCACAGATCTCCGGGCAAGCACGATGGCATGCGCATCATCTACTGCGAGGTAATCTGCCACTCCTGAGACCGATGTGTGCATCTTCCCACCTCCCAGGTCTTCTGCACTCACCACCTCACCGGTAGCGGCCTTAACCAACGGTGGCCCAGCAAGAAATATATGGCCTTGTCCGTTAACAATTATACTTTCGTCCGACATTGCGGGTATATATGCACCGCCAGCAGTACACGGGCCCATAACTACTGATATTTGCGGTATTCCCATGGAACTCATCCGTGCTTGATTATAGAATATACGCCCAAAGTGGTCTCGATCGGGAAAGACCTCTGACTGGTGTGGAAGGTTGACACCGCCTGAATCAACAAGATAAACGCAACTACAGGCAGATCAGTCTCTTTACTAAGAAATACGACACGGCGAGAGACTTACGGTAGATTGTTCTCCTCAGCGATTGTCTGGGCTCTCAAATGCTTTTTGATCGTAATAGGATAGTATGTTCCACCCTTCACGGTGCTATCATTTGCAACAATCATGCAGGTAACTCCTTCGATCACACCAACTCCTGTGATGATTCCACCTGCAGGAACCTCCGCCTCAGGATACATTTCATGGCCTGCCAGAGTAGATAGTTCCAAGAAAGAAGTTCCGGGATCAATTAAAGCAGCGACCCGGTCCCTGGGAAGCATCTTCTTCCTTGCAATATGCTTCTCCCGTGCCTTCGGTGGTCCTCCTTGATGTATCTTCTTTGTCAACTGCTCCAGCTTCGCCACCACTTCTCCCATTTGTTTTGCATTTTCCTTATATTCTTCCGAGGACTGATCAACAAGCGTTGGAAGGACAGATATCGCATTGGCTTGGTGTGGGGGACAATGTGTTGCAACACTCCGAGACGTTGTTCGGAGAGAGGGGAACGTTGAACGAGAGCAGGGTCTTGTAATGCGCTGTGTGAGCCTTAATGCCTCTCTCGAGGCCCGAATTGTTGCCATTATGATGAGATCAAGGAGCTGCAGTGGCAGCGACAGAAGTGTTTGGACTCCTACATGAAAAGGTTGTTTATTATTGCATGTGCACAGTACTTGGTGAAGGCTCGCGATGCGAACGGCAAGCAACGGCTTTACAAGCTCGGCTACCCCAGTTCGACCGACAATGCGGGGGAGCGACAGGGGTTTTGCGGAGCGCGCCAGCTCGGCTTGTTGAGCAAGTAGGGCATCTCGTTCTGTTGTAAAGCCTGCAAAAAGCCTTCTTTTGACACTCCAAATTTAATCTCATCTACTTCCAAGAGATCACTGGTTTTGGCTTCAACAGTATTTCCGGCATAATGGCTGCGGCGAGGAGCCTTCGATCACTTGCAACTCGGCCAGTTCTCCGCCTCGGTTTCGAAGCCCGGGTTCCCTTATCAGCTTTCCAACGTCGAAATGCCTCCTCCAAACACCCCAAAGGCTTTGTGCCCCCCACTTCGGAAGAACTATCAGAACTGCGCGAACGAGTCCAGGAATTCACCCGCCGCGAAATAACAGAGGAAGTGGCAGCAGGGACAGACAAGTCCAATTCCTTCCCCAACGAGATGTGGCAGAAACTAGGAGATGCTGGGTTCTTAGGTATAACGGCCGATGAAGATGTTGGTGGGCTGGGCATGGGATATCAAGCACATTGCGTGGTTATGGAGGAGATAAGTAGAGCATCGGGCTCAATTGGCCTTAGTTACGCTGCGCATTCCCAGCTATGCGTCAACCAGCTTCAACTGAACGGCAGTCCGGAGCAGAAACGGAGATTTCTACCGGGACTGATTGCGGGGACGAAGATTGGTGCCTTGGCTATGTCTGAGAGTGGAGCGGGGAGTGATGTTGTTAGTATGAGGACCACGGCGAAGGCAGTTGATGGTGGCTACATCCTCAACGGAACTAAGATGTGGATAACCAACGGACCAGATGCCGACTTCATTGTGGTTTATGCGAAGACAGAACCAGATAAGGGTTCCAAAGGGATTACTGCATTTATTGTTCAAAAGGAATTTGAGGGATTCAGCTGTGCCAGAAAACTCGACAAGATGGGTATGCGGGGGAGTAACACCGGAGAATTGGTCTTCGATGGAGTGTTTGTTCCCAAGGAGAATGTTCTCGGTGAAATTAATCGAGGAGTCAAGGTTTTGATGGAGGGATTAGATATTGAGCGCTTGGTTCTAAGTGCTGGTCCACTGGGAATCATGCAGGCGGCTTTAGATGTTGCTCTTCCCTTCACGCACCAGAGAAAGCAGTTCGGGATCCCAATTGCACACAACCAGCTTATTCAAGGAAAGCTTGCGGATATGTACACAAAACTGCAGGCCTCAAGATCATACACGTATGATACGGCGAGAAAGGTGGATGAGATTGGCCAAATCCGTACGCAAGACTGCGCTGGCGCCATACTCTACGCCGCAGAAAGAGCGACAGAATGTGCGTTGGATTGCATACAATTACTTGGCGGTATGGGGTATGTTGAGGAGATGCCGGCCTCGAGGTTATTGAGAGAGTAAGTTTCTAGGAAAGGTGCATTTGGTGGTCTTTGCTAACTTGATACAGCGCTAAGCTCTATGAGATAGGGGCTGGCACAAGTGAAGTGAGGCGCATGGTTTTGGGCAGGGCTTTCAATAAGGAGTATAGTAGTTATTCGTCATGAGAATAATGTCACAAGTACCATGTACCAACTCTTTATGTATCGCTGTATTGCGAATAGATACTAAGGTGATGAGTGGGGGCTAAACCTTCATTTGATCATTGAAATAGACTCACTTGAATTTCAAGTATTCCAGAAGGCTTAGAGCTCCACCGCGTGATGGTGTTGAGATTAAGACAAGTCAAGGAATTGACCGGAAGTCACAGCTCTAGAGTCTTTGGTTGAAGATGCATTCATGATCCAGAAGCTAGCTAATCTCGAATGTTACGTACAAGCCAGGTAATTCCCAAGCAGCCATCCACACGCCGATAGCTTTCAGACCCGAGAGAACACCACGCTTGACTAAGTCTAGCTACCAAACCGTATGCAATCCTTAAGAGGGGAGTGACAAAAGGGGGTACAACGAAGGGTAGGTGATAGGGTGGTGCGCCGCATATGCTTATTCAACGCTCTATGCTATGTCGAATAATCTGAAGAACACAAAGAAAATGTTTGGAGAAGTGAAGCTGCTGGACAATGGGAGTGGACAGGGAGAGGCTGAAATCCCAACAGAGATCGTGGAAGCCTCTCGCCCGGACTATCCTCGCTCGCATGCTGAACCTGCTTGCCGGAAGCGCAAATCGAACTGAATTTCGGTCCTTGTCACGAGCCTCAAGACTCCGGAACAACACCACTAGCGACTCCATGACTAACTGTCTTTCCAAGATCCGAATGTACGGGTTCGAATTTCTGTGCTGTGCGTGGCCCGGTTGGACATGGTGGGGGTTCATCTTGAGCATATTCGTCATCGTATTCATCCTCATAATACTCCTCGCTCTGCGTGCCTTGGCTTTGGCTTTGGCTATGATTCATCGAGGCAGGCTGCTGGGTCTGGTGCGCCTGTCTGTCTTGTGTGGCAGAATTTGCCTTCGCAGTGGCCTTGCTTCCTTTCTTTCCCTTCCTCCCTTTCATCTTCGCTTTTTCCAGCAATCTGCGTCTTTCTGCCTCTTGTTTCCTCGCATGTCTATCCTTTATTTCATATTGCTTGATCAGAGCAACAGGTGGAGTGCCGAAGATCTGCTCATACTCGCAGAACTCGCACGTCCATTGGTCCTCCTTTGGAATGGGGTGGTGATCATTTCTCCACTTTTGCTGTTCACGGCGTTGACGAGCAGCAATGAGGTATTCTTTGCCTGTTCGACGACGAGTCTTTTTGGGCGGGGCAGTCTGAGCTGCGGTCTGCTTTTGCAGATTCGGTCCGGTCTGTGATGCGGCAAGACCCTGCTTAGCTTGAGCAACTACAGCAGGTACACTAAGATTGGTGGGGATGCTTGGGCTAGTTTGAGTTCCATGTGTGACTGTCCTAGTTGGACTCATATGCATGTTCGTCAAACTAGTCGGCCCAGGCCACGGGACTGTGCCGGGAACTTGAGAGTCGCAAGTGAAGGTGAACTGCGTTGAAGCCGGGCTCGATTTCTTAGATGCTTGCTGCTGTAGAATGCTGATATTCTCTTGGCCCCTTGACGGTGTGATGGGAAATTTCTCTGCGTTGGCGGTTGCGATTGACTCCGATATTATACCAGAACTTTCGCCTTGGAGTTGTTAGCAAGAAGTTGTCTCAAACTTTACACAAAACTTACTGGCCGATGACCACTGAGACTGTCGTTGTTTGGACGAACGTCCATTGCCCCAATTACTTGTACCGTCTGATAGGGTTCTCAGAGGGCTTCTGCCATTTCGAATGCGGCCATACCTTCCCCTCCCAGGACCAGAGATACCCTGACCGGATCCTGGACTATGATATGATCCCACCCCATTACTGACCTCTTCAATTAGATCTTCCGGCCCAGATATCCCCATACTGGCCAGATCACTGGACAGATGGACCCCATTAAGATTGGAGTCCCCGGGAGTGGGTATCTTCCGCTTCTTCTTGTTATTAGTATTTTCGAAGGAATCATACCCATCAACCGACGACGTAGTAGAAGCTGGGGGTTGTGGATCCGGGTGTTTGGAGTCTGGCTTTTGAACATATCGGTAGGATCGGCCAGCGGTATCTGCAGAAGGCCTGGAATATATCCTACTCCGGAAAGCCTGCTCATCCTCGTCACTATCTAAAACATTCCCATTCCGTCTTGATATGTAGTTTCGTTCAGTCTCATCTACACGTTTGCGCTCCGTTGGATGCTGCGACTCTGCAACGCCATCCGCCCCAGCATCTTCTCGAAGGTTGTATCCATAATAGAACAACGGAGTTGTCGTTTTAGGTGCGGGAGGGTACTTTATTGACTGGGCAACATCCGGAGAAATGCGTTCCCGGAGAGGTCTTTTGGGTAACGGTCGAATAGGCCGGTCCGGATAAGGGGATATGGCGTCTGGAGAAGACATGTCTCGTGGTGATTCGGGGGAGTAGCCTAGACAGAATTCAAACGCATCAGGTTAGCCAATGCCCTGGGATTAACATGGAAGGCCGGTATGTATATATATGTAGAGGATGGTTCTGAATACAGCCCTGATCATGGACCAGTCATGTTTCAGAGGTGGCGGACAGAATGACCCAAGCAGGTAGACGAGGACTGGCATACCCATTACTGACAGAGGCACGGCAATGAGCCCCCAAGAGATCCCTAATACACCTCACAATTCCTGTGGATATTGATAGTGGAGAACCGTTTCGAGTGTGCAGTTGAAGGTTTTGAAGTTGCTTTCCCAATGGTCCCCTATCGTTCAGGAGAAATCAGCCAGGGTTCCGCGAAGTCCAGATGTGCTTTGTTTATCATGCTCCTCTTCCTCTTCCTGTTCTTGTAGGAGAACCCCTGATCAAAGGATGTCCTCCTTCAAGCGTTTGAGGGTTCGACCAGAAGGGCAAATCTTACCTGCGTTGATTGCTCAGCACCCAAGAAAGCGCTGAGCAGTCTATCCCGGCAGTCAGCGATCACACAGTTGGGTAGGGTGCAAGGCAAGGCAAAGAAAGGCAAATCAAATTAAGAAGAGGATATCGGATGTCGTTGGATGCAATGGCAACAAAGTTGGATCCCTGTGTGGTGGCTTTGAGGTTGGAGTGGTAATGGTGGTTTATTCAGTGTGTCCCCGATAGCGTTAGCATCGCTGGCAATGGTCACGTGATGCAAATCAAGCGGGGCCAATTCGCGCGTACGCCGTAGAGAAGCTCTCCGAGAAGAGTGGAGGCCCTTCTTGGTTTCTTGTGAATCAAATCCTCCCTTCACGCCGTCATGATCAGCCAGAACTCTCCAGTCTTTCGCTCACAGGTCGCGGTACCCTTCAGGTCTCTCTAGCCATTGCCAATTTTGAGAAAGTCAATTTCTCAACGCCCTCTTCTTTCTTTGGGCCCGTTGCACGATCCGCCCGATCGAGCTTCCCTCCTGCCTCGAGGCAAACTTCGACTTCAATCCGACAACTACCAGTCTGCCGCACGTCGAACACGGGGAGAAAGTCGGCTCGTGCGACCTGAAAGCGCAAGAACGATTCCTACGACACGAATTGGGCTTTACCATAATGGATACTGCCCGGCGCTCATCGAGGGCTGCTCGCGCCAGCCAACCTCTACAATCCTCTTCGCATCATTCCTCTACGTCTTCGAATTCCTCTAGTCGCGGCGATAGGCCTACTCGAACTCATCAAAAAACAGAATCGCCGCGAAAGTCAACGCCTTCTGGTTCACTGTCTTCCGAGCCTCCAGACGACACAATCACGTCGGTCCCCGAGGACACCATGCAGACACGACGAAAACGGGGTCGAGGTGACGAACGGGACAAAGCTTCAAAAGCACAAACATCTCAGATTGAGATGGAAAATGGCGCAGAGGCAGAGGACGGGGCAGAGGATGATGAGGCCGTTCGGTGCATCTGTGGCCATGAAGAATACCCGGGCCCCCCACCACTTGGCGATGAAGACACCAAGCTTGGGATAAAAGAAGGCATTGAAGAGAATGTACTCAACCCAGCAGATGTTACTGAGGACCTGGCTGGCTTCTTCCTGCAATGCGACGTCTGCAAAGTGTGGCAACACGGCGGTTGTGTCGGAATCATGAACGAAGATACAAGCCCCGAGGAATACTTCTGCGAGGAATGCCGTAAAGATTTACACAAAATCTATACGGCTCCAAATGGGTATGTATTTTCTCCTATTAATTCCGCACTGATTTACATGCCATTGCCTCTGACCAGCGCCGACGCGAGACCGTGGCGCAGGTACAGTCTCACAAGGCTGGCGGCTCCAGAGCGCACAGAAGTTGATGACAAGCACACTCTTACATTGATATTTTCTGCAATCGCTAACATTATGGAACGCAGGCAACGATATTCTCATTATCTTCCTATTTACCAAGGCGTGTCGCGAACTACATCTCGAGCCGCATCCTTCTCCAAAGATGGCACACGATCCCCACGAGGTAGTAAAAACGGCCGTCCATCGTCGAGCGTCCAAAGCGCAAAGCGACGGTCAACCATGAATAGTAGGGACGCAGCATACGACGAAGAAGAGCAGTTACGACGAGCTATAGAAGCTAGTAAAGGAGAGAAAAGTGGCGAGAGCACCGATGGCGGAACACGCCGAGCCAAACGAGGCCGTAGCGATAGTGAAGAGTACGTAGATCTTGGTCTCATCAAATACCTGCCCTGACTAACGTCTTCATACAGAAAGCCTGAAGGCTCAAAGAGACAACGAACCATGTCTGCTTCTCCTTCGCCATCCCACGAACGAAGTCAATTGACTTCCCAGGCGGATTCCGATGATGGTGCCAATGCACGAAATAATGGTGCCAAGAAGATAAGAGGAGCTGCCGCAAAGAACCATAGAGAGAAAGAATTGAGAGAAGAGAGGGAAAGATCAAGACAAGAGGCTAAGAAGAAACGGGAAGGACGCGCAGAGCGTCGAAGAGTTGATGGTGAGTTTCAAGCATATCTATAAATCGATGCCTACTTACACCACTTCTAGATTCGGATCCTGCAGAGGAATTACCACCACCGGAAGCCAAAACTACAGAAGTAGCTGCTCAACCCCTCGATCCCCCATCGTCTCAAGTTGCAACGCCTGATACTCCTCCGCCGAATCCACCTCCTGTGTCGCACAAAAAGGGCGGCAGGCCGCCGAATGCTCGAAAGGGAAAGCTAGGAAAGAATCAATATACGAAGGATCTCCAAGATAGCGATAATCAGTCTCCGGCCCGTTCTCAATCCAGAGATGTGCCTCGAGGTGATGATAATAACACACTCTCTAACCACAAGGGTCCGGCACACGAGGTCAAACACGGAAAATCGAAGGGTAGTGGGAATAGCAAAATCACCATGACAGACATGAAGAAACGCGTGGCAGCCATCCTCGATTTCATCTCCAGAACGCAATTAGAAATGGCCGGCGGCGACGAACCATTGCCGAGTGGTGAGAAGACGGCAGAAAAGATGATGATGCATGAACTTGCCGAGGGCCTTCATCGCGAGGGCATGCCGTCGATACACGACAATGGAGGCAAAGAGGAAGAGGCGAAGCAAGGCGAAGCAGGAGATGCAACTCCAGCGAAAGAGTTCAAAGACTTGTCGTGCCTAGAGATGATGGATGTTCTGACGAGGCAATTGGTTAAGTGGCAAAAGGAGTTTACGTGACATTTTAAGGAGCGTTCTTGACTGAGAAGTACTGACACGGTGGAGTTGCATTGGCAGGCTGACTGGAGAATGGGGCGCCATGGGAAATCATCTTATGATACCTCTATATATCTATACCCTTCTTAATAGGCTTTAGATAATCAATGATCAATTGCAACGGGGGGATTTTTCTGGATAGAACGGATACTCCTAGCCTTGCGCATTCCAGAAGCATCTAAACAGCTGCGGATCTAGGCTGTTGCTGTATATACCAAGGTACAGTACTGTACAGTACCTAGGAACTTACGGGTATGTGACGATTGGCTCCCAGGTCGGGATGCCAGGTACAGTTCTGCCTCGGTACCTGAGCTGCCTTAGGTAAGCCAACACTTTATCCTAGACTGGGTTAGAGTGTGGAGATTAGATAAGCGAACAGGATCAGGAACACCACCAGCCTCAACACTCCCTTGCGAAATGGAAGATTGCTTGCGAATGCGCCACTCTGGGATGATGGATCTGAGCGACCCAATGAATGCTTGTCCCCATCTCTATGGCTACTCCTCACGTTGTGCAAAGCATCAGAATAATGCACGGAAGGAATAGTAGGATTATGAACGCCTTGAAATCCTGTTCAACAACCGTCTCTGTCTCTCGAAGAGGATCCGGACTCAAGAAAGGATGAATCTGGATGCCTTAGCGCAGGATGCACAAACCTTTCACAATTCGTTGGGGATCTTGGCTCTTATTCCTCTTGTCAAAACACTGCTGTTCTCTCGTCCGTCCGAGGATGAGCAGGAACAGGAGGAGGCTCGAATGTTTCCTCCCGGACATGAGCCTCTGCCCAGGCGACAAGAGTGCGTGCGACGGTCGAGAGAAGGCTGCTACCGGAGTGTGATGGATGAGTAGGAGTAGGATGGAGAGGACCAAGGTACCAATTCCTCGCTGTTGAATGACAACAACATACTCTCAAAACTTCGAGGTTCGGGTACATATAGTTGTGTTGAAGACTTTTTTTTGATCCTCTCGATCCTCTCGATCTTTTCTACCATCCTCAAGCATCATTCTCTTTCAATCCGTCTTCTTCGTCCATCGTCGAATTCATCCATCATTGAGCCATTCCATCGCCCGTCCAACTGCCAAACCCCTTCGTCGAGTATCCATCCTCAGTCGTTCAAGTTATTCTCTCTTCTCTCATCCGTTGAGTCACCTTCCCCACCCATCTCAATCCCTCTCATTCGCATCTTCTCGGCCTCTTGCTTTCCGATGCAAGTATGGAGCCCATGGATTATCTTTCAATGTTTGCCTACTATTCGGTGTCGATGATCATTGGCATCGTAGCTCTCAACTCACCACAGGCCTATCGCCCAATTTTCTTAGTGGGCATCATCTCCTTCGCCATTCTCTCTTTTCGCACAATATCCGATGCCAGCTTTGGGCTGTGGGGAAGCGAAATCTTCGCTATGTTCCTTATCATCTATATCTCCCACATGACATGTGTGTTATGTGTCGAGAAGTACGTTCTGCCCAAGAAGGCGGGCACCACTGTCGACTGGGTGGCAGGGTTCAGAATGATGTTTAACGCCCGTTGGCTTGGTACCCACCGACAAGCGCCGGATATCAAAGGGGCCTCGAAGTCGGGCGTTACCTCTGACACCCCTAATGAGCAGCGCGAAGAAGAATATTCTAGGGATCCGTCAAAGAAATACAGAACCATGCTTCGTTCAACCCGAGCTATCTTTGTCCGCGACCGCCTTATCTCGCTCGTCCTCACTCTAGTCATCGATAAGGTGTATTCTCATATCATCGCGGAAGTCTTTCCGCAGTACTTCAATGGTCTCGACGCACTGGATTTCCTTCCCACGAAAGAAACATACTTTCGACGTCTCACATCCGTTACCCTCCGCGAAACCCTTATCCGTGTCTGGATAGTGACCTATTTCATATGGTCCTCGATGTGTCTCTATACCACCATCCACGATTTCCTCTCCATCATCTTCGTCGGGAGCGGATTCGACAAACCTGAAGACTGGCCGCCCCTCTTCGGTGACATCCGAGAAGCGACTTCCATCCGCAACTTCTGGGCCAAATTCTGGCACCGCCTCATATACCGTAGCTATACCTCGTACGGGATCTGGATCAGCAAGAACATTCTGCGGCTCCCACGCAGTAGTTTCATCGGCAAGCTCTTCATCAACCTCTACGTCTTCGCCATGTCCGGATTCGTGCACGCGATTACGATCAGACAGCTGGGCTACACGTGTGGCGACCGCGAAGAGATCCGCTTCTACGTCTCGAACTTCTTTGGCATCTTAGTGGAGACAGCGGCCATGGCGGCATTCTCGAAAATTACCAAGGGGTATAAGGTCAATAGCACGGTGAGTAAGACTGTGGGCTATACATGGGTCTTCATGTTTCTGTTTACGGTGCTACCAAAGAGTCAGTATCCGAAGATATTCTGCGCGCCTGCTTGAGAGGGGGCACGGAAAGAAGATGGGAAATGTAGATCATCGCCGAGCGGCGCAAAACAAAGAACCACCCCCCTAACAAAAGAAACGGGATTCGAAGAGGACGGAGGATACGTTGCATGGTGCCAAATCAAAGAGGGTGGAGAATATTTGCGTGGTATCAAATCCACGAGTTCTTCCGCCTGCACGCCCACTCCCGCAGATGGCCCATATGCCTGGGATCCCGCTGATGTCGAGCCGTGATCGTGATCAACGGAACGAACCCCGGACGTTGCTGAGGAGTGTCCTTGGGCGGGTATGAGGAGTTCCATCCTTTGAGGATCTGAGAACCAGTCCTTGGTTGTGGAAATGTTGATAGAGAAAGTCGAGAGGCAGTGGTGATTATTTGGAGGCGATGTATCATTAGTGGATATGTTGAAGAAGGAAGACTTGGCAGTCTACCTATTGAAGTTAAGGTTTATGTGGTGAGCAGTGATATCCGCTGCAAAAAAGTCTATATATATCATATCATTATCCATCATCTCCTCCCTCCCTCTAAAGACCGGCAGGAAGTTCACCGCCCCTCATTATCACTCGCGCTCCCACTTGCGCTCCTCGCCGCGACGGCCCCTTCAAGCTTCTCTCCCCTCTCCCTCTCCATCTCCTGCTTCCGCATCTTCTTCTTGCTGCCCAAGCCACCCAGACCCGTCATGGCCTCCTGGATCGTGAAGGCCGGGTTAAAGGCATTCAGGGCGAAGCAAGCGACAATGACCATGACGCCCTCAAACCCGACGAACAACCACTGGTGACGGATCAGATTCCCCGACCAGCCCTCGGCCAGTTCCGCGACACGGTACACGCTCCGCCAGAAGATGCAGATGGTGGCCAGGGCGAGGGCGCACAGGAAGCCACGGAAGCGCCAGCCCTCGCGCAGCGTGACGAAGAGGGGGTTCTGGTCGAAGGCGGACTCGCCCAGGGCCTTGTAGCGCTGGTAGGTCCGCAGGGCGAAGTCGGCGCACAGGAGCATGAAGATGAGGAGTGTTAGCACCTGGAAGGCGAGCCCTGCGACCATGATGTTGTCGCCTGTATCAGGGGATTTGTTGGCGGTCGACTCGGAGGACGCGAGACCGCCGCCCGCTGCTTGCAGGAGGAGGGAAAGGATATCGCAGGGGATGAACTGAACCATTGTTTAGCCGTCCCCATTCAACATGAGAAGACGAAGAACAGAGAAAGAAGTGAACTTACAATTCTCGTATACGCCTCGGGCTTGATCCGCGAGTTCTCGGGCCCAAATGCATACACGATCCGCCGCAAACACAGGTAGATGCCGCCGGACATGAAGGCGGGGGCAATGGTAAGACACACAATCTGCATGAGGAAGCCCGTCTGGCTCCACTGGTTGTGCCAGCTGGCCAGACGCCCAGCGTAGCCTAGCACCTCGAGAATGACGCCGCAGACCATGGCGAAGGAGAAGGCGGCGGCGCGGCGAGTGAGGGCATAGGTGAGGACGTAGGCGATCAGGGAGATGCTGAAGAGGGCGATAAAGGTGGCGTTGGCGGCCAGGGACACGCGGTAGTAGTAGTAGGAGCTGTCGATGGGGCAGGTGTCTATGGTGCACTGAGAGAGATCGTGGTGGTGGCCGCGCGCCAGAAGGCTCAGGGCAGAGGTGAGTGAAGAGGTCATCGTGAAGGCGGATTGAGGGGGATGCTTGAAGAATTGATCTTCGTAGCCTCGGCCTCGCCTTTGCCGGTGGTCTGTCTTTCTCTCTCTCTCTCTCGCCCTCCCTTGTATATGTATATGTAGATATAGGTATATAATATGTATTATGTACTCTTCATGCAGTGACGGTCGGACTACACGACCATGAACTGTATATCGAAGGGGAAGCTTGGACGTTTATATAGAAAAAGAAGAATCAGAAGAAGAACAGTAAGACAACGACGAATAAGACAAACGAAAGACAGGTGAGAAAGAGAGGAAGAAATGCTGCAGCGAGGAAGAAAACGAGAAGGTGGGCATGATGGAGAGGTTTGCCCTGGAGTGGACCGTCCGTTGCTGTCGAGGGACGGGAAGTGGGACGATGGGGACGATGGGACCTGGGGGCAGTCGGCGTTAAGTCTCCCCGAGCCCCCGGCTTGGCCCAGCCCGGTCTTCGTATTCGAGGGGAGCCTCTCGTCTGGCAGGGGAGAGACGAGAAGATGAAGAATGAAATGGAAAATAAAATGGACATAAATGGAGGAGAAAAAGAAAAAGAAAGAGGAGAAGAAAAGAGGCAAAAAAAAAAAAAAGAAGAGAGATTGAGTATATATAAAGACCAGAAACATATACACACATGTAGAAGGAACGTTATAGAGAATACTGTCTTGCCCGTAGTGTAGAATAACGAACAGCCTTCCGCATCGAGTTATCTCCCCGAAACGGCAAGATTGAATCTTCGCCCTGTTAGTCATCCTGGTGAAACTTGCGTCAGCGCGGTCTCCGATCCCCCGACGGCGGCTGTCGGATCCTGCGCTTCATGATTGGCTCGTCGTACTCGCATATCACAGCCTGCCGAACTTCTCCAAGGCTTATTTTACCCTATTTTCATCTTAGAGCTCTCCAGACTCAACGTTTAAGTCGTTCCAAAGCAATCATATTGACTGTCTGCGCATAACCTGTCTCGTACAGCTTCACCTGGGAAAAGGTAGGTCTGTGGGGAAGTTTTCCCTCCAGTCGAGCAATAATCAAGCAATCAAGCGATAAAGAACACATATGATATCCCAACCACACACCCCGCTTCCCCGTCTCAGCAACCCTCCTCGTTCCCCATTGGGACCAAATCTTGAGTTCAATGGGGAGGAGAATCAGCAGAGTCTGAATCTTCGCATCTGGTCCTTTGACCTTGGCCAGTTTGTTGTTCTTCCAAAGCCACAGGCCCGAATACCAAAGCCTTGTTGTACCAAGCAACAGGCAGCAGCCCCCTTCACGCTTAGCCTTACCTGTGCATGTAAGATTATCCACAGCCTCAAACTTCACTGCCCCAAGCTTTTCATTTTTCTTTCTCTCTCCCTCTCTCCCTCTCTTCCTCTCTTCCTCTCCTTCATATAAGTAATCGAGTTGACCGTCGAGTCAAATCTCAAACGGCTCGCAACCGCTCATACTTCTCTTCCCGCCCGTCCTCCTTCACGATGCCACTATCATTCCTCCGACAGCAGCGGAAGCTTGCCTCTCAGGACCCTTCAATCAAAGTTGGGCAACCTGTTCAAACGTCCTACATATCCCTTCCCGTCCATATCCCGGAAAGCTTCCTGGCACCGCTCCCAGACCCCTCCGTGATCAAGACGGAGCGGATCGACTTTGGGAAGACCACGCTGCCAGAATACAAGGACCTCTACGCAGTGGTCCTGGATAATGTTCTCTCTCGGGAAGAATGTGACCAGCTGATCCATATGGCCGAACTGTCAGCTGGCGCCCATCATGACGATGGCGGAGTGCCTAATAATGGGTGGAGACCGGCGATGATCAACGCTGGCATGGGACAGGAGATCCTTATGCAGGATTACAGGAATTCTGACAGGATTATATGGGATGAGAAGGTGCTCGCCAAAAGGGTGTGGGAGCGTGTGTTGCAGGGGCAGGGCATCAAGGATTATCTCTCCGTACTCAATGGAGAGTCTTACCGTCCTGTACTGGGAGACCGGGCCATAACGAAAGACCAGAGGTGGGTTGTCACCGAGCAGGGAGTGAATGAGCGGCTGCGGTTCTTGAAGTATGGAAAGGGTCAATTCTTTAGAGGTACATTAAATGAATCTAGATTGCCCTCTTTTATCAGGAGCTAGTTGCTAATTCGCCCGGAAAAGCTCACTGTGATTCCGCTTATCAGACGCTGGATGAGAAGCAGCGCTCCTTCTACACGCTGCACCTCTACCTCAATGACTCCGCACAAGGCATTGGGATCCCTGTGTCATCAGACTGGATGGGAAAGGTGACGGGCAAGACCTCCTCCGCAAGTGCACCACTTCGTGGAGGAGCCACCACATTCTATTCAAAGGACAGGAAACGTAGACTAGATGTCGACCCCAAGGCAGGTAGGGTCCTCATCTTCCAACATCGGGACCTGCTGCATTCAGGAGATGATGTGGTCTCCGGCGTCAAATACTCAATGCGATCGGATCTGATGTATCAGATTGACGAGAGCAGGGAGGGGTAAGGTGTCGTCTGCGGATATGTTAAGCTGGAGCTGCGAGGCAGTCTTTGGCTTCAGGGAGTATACCAACCTTCGTGGGCTTCTATTCACATTCTGATCTGCCGGTGATCCAAAGGCCAGGTCTGGGGATTATCCATGATGCACAGGCCTGGAGGGAACATGTCCTTCCTCATGAGTAAGCGCAAGATGCAGAATATAACGAGCCCAATCCACCTGACTTTAACCCCAACAATTTGCACTCAATACCCTTGACTCCAAAGAGCCTATACTGGCGCCTACTTGATCTTGAATCTTGCCTGACTTGGTCATGGACTTGCTAAGCCCAAATGGATTTTGTGTCTAAACACAGAAATGCTTGCATCCCTAACATCAAAACCTCATCGAGTAAAGCCAAGCCAAGGGTTATCCGTGAACTCACATATTCTATGTTCCCGTGATACTGTACAAGAGCAGAGAGTCGCTCTCCGCGGCACCCAGACGCCTCCCAATGCAGCACGCTTTCCCAAAGCCACCACCCTGACGTACAAGCCTAATATACAGCTCTCCCCGCTCCCCCCCTACACGCCTTCTCATAAACCCTTCCTATACTTTTCATTCTCGATCTCCCGCCAATCCCTCTCTTCCGGCTCATCACCGCTCGTCTCCTTGGCTGTGCTCTCGAACGCCGGGCGGCCAGCATACAGCATGTGGCCCGAGGGGGGCGGGGCACCACCATCCTGTTTATTGAGGGCGATGGGCTGGTTTCCACGGAAGCGCTTGCGCATATCGACCATGCCGCGCTTGCACTCGCCGTAGCCTTTCTTCAGCTGCTGGCACTTGGTCGGCAGGGTGTCGACGAGCGGCGGTCGTAGGCAATCGGACGGCTTGTTGCGGTATACCATTATGCATTCGGATTCTTGCAGGCATTGCGCCAGGGCGGCGCCTGGGAGTGGGGGATCAGCGGGGTGGGCTATAAGAAGGGGAAGGGAGGGGTTACGGATGTCTTTGCAGGAGCTGGGCATCTCGATAGCTTCTGTTCACTTCCTGGCCGGATGGCGGGTCGGTCAGCTTCCAGTACTCCGTGGATTGGAGAACAAAGATGAGATGCGAGTCAATGCCCCAATGCTTTTCTGCACTTAAGAACTGCAGGCGGAGCAGGAGAGGGAGACGATCGGTTCTGGTGTTGAGGGTGCCGCAGTCACTGTATGTAAAGTCAAATAATCGATCTCGTCGGGATTTCGCTCAGGGACCACGCGATGCCGTCCATCGCGGTCGTGGAGCTTGGCACGTGATAATTACGACCAGGGGGTACAAGGTGTCAGAAGGCAACGTTATTATAATTTCTTGACGTCTATGTGATCAATTTGTTTTCAATCACAGCAATTGAGTGACATTGTGCGTAAAACATTCTTTTCCAATTTCCCTGTCCCGTTCTGACCCATCAGGGCGCATCAGGATATCTATACATACATATATTTCTGGGATGTTGGATGTGTTGAGATGGTTGACATGTGATATCATCGGGGGTTGAAGGTACGCTCTTGTCCAACATCTTCTTCGAAACATTGGACGGCGGCGACGACAGCGACAACGACGGCGACGATGATTGATAGAAGCTGATACTGGGGAATTCTACAGGTAGTTTTCGCATTTCAAAGGACCTTCTTGAACCTACTCGCCTCTTGCGCAGCTCTGACCTCCTCGATTGGCGCAATTATACATATATCCTATCCCTCCTCAACTGTATATGCGCAACCCAGGACTTCAATACGATGCCGTACATTCCTTTTCTTGGACGTTTAAATGTGTAAGTTGACCCGCATAATCCCGGAAATCCATTGGTCTATGAATGGGCAATCAGAGCTAAGATTTGAGTAGGAGCGAGTATGTAGCCCTGGTGGGCTCCTTCTGTCTCGTCGGGTTGGAAGCAATTATCAGGATTCTCACGCTTGCATTGCGTACGTTCAAAGGGCCCATGTCTTCATGATGCTATCTAACGTTTCGGCAGCTGCAACGATAATTCGCCTCTGCTATCGCGCGTCTAGGGGATTGTTCAACCGATTCACAACCGCTGCCTCCAGGAAGCAGGAGGCGAAGAAGACGAGTAAAGTCTCTCTGGGGATGTAAATGTCAGCTGCTAATTCGTATAGCTATCTCCAGCTCGATTCGTGATGCTTCCGACTTCGTTGACTTGTGCGCCTTGTACGGTTACTACGCCGAGGAACATGTCATGCAGACGGGGGATGGCTACATGCTCGCGCTGCATCGGCTAGCTTGGAGGAAAGGGGAGGACGACCAGAAGGTCAATAATGGACCTGATAGTATCAGGAAGAACGTTGTCTATATGCACCATGGGCTCCTCATGAATAGTGAGGTGTGGGTATGTCTGACGGACGAGGAGAGGTGTCTGCCTTTCAGATTGGTGGAAATGGGATACGATGTCTGGGTCAGTACTTTGATATGATTCTCATGTGCTCTACTGATGCCGTCAAGCTTGGTAACAACCGCGGGAACAAATACTCCAAGAAATCCACCCACCATTCCCCGACGGATATTCCATTCTGGGATTTTTCCATCGATGAGTTTGCATTCTATGACATCCCGGATAGCATCCATTACATCCTGGAAACCACAGCTGCGCCATCACTATCATATATTGGATTCTCCCAGGGCACAGCTCAGGCATTTGCCGCATTGGCCGTGCATCCCAAGCTTAATGATAAGATCAACGTCTTCATTGCCCTTGCGCCGGCCATGTCACCAGCCGGTCTCTCCAACGGCATAGTTGATGCTCTAACGAAGGCTTCCCCTCAATTTCTGTTCCTCCTTTTCGGTCGACGATCCATCCTCAGCTCAGCCACTATGTGGCAGTCGATTCTCTACCCCCCAATCTTCGTCCGCCTTATCGACATGGGCCTTTCATTCCTCTTCGGTTGGACAGCCCGCAACATATCCATGAGCCAAAAACTAGCGGCTTATGCCCACCTATATTCCTTTACGAGTACCAAAAGTGTCGTACACTGGTTCCAGATTATTCGAAATAAGAGCTTCCAAATGTACGACGACGACGTCCAGCCGGTGATCTCTCTAAACATTGTGAACAAATATACAAAAGTCGCCAAGTTCCCGACCAGGAATATCAAGACGCCCATTGTCCTCGTCTATGGCGGTAGTGACTCCTTAGTCGATATCAACGTCATGCTGAAAGAACTCCCCTCGCATACGGTCGCAACTGAGATTCCCCATTATGAACACCTCGACTTTCTTTGGGCGCGAGAAGTTGATACCCTAGTCTTCCCGCACGTCTTTGATGCCCTGAAATCCTTCTGCGATGCTCAACACTCGAAAGAGGAATATGAGCGATATCGCACTGCTCGGCACGCCTCCATTAGTGCTGCAAGGAGCAGGCCCCTTATTCGCCAGTACACGAGTGAAGACGGGGGCAGAGAACTCCTAGGAGGCTATACCGAAGGTGCAAGTTTGCCATCTGGAAGCGAGACCGAAGCCTTGGTCTCGCCGAAGAGTATTGTGACCTCCCCCCACCAGGGTCCCAGGAAGCGGGCAAGAATACAGGGTGAGTTTGACGGCTCCCCGGAAAGCCCCTCGCCAACCTCGCCCACACACGCCCGAGCGGTCCAGCCACCGAGTGAGACCAACGGGTATCGGAACCCATCATCGCCCCGCGGCGGGCGGAGCGGTAGCCTGGGGAGCACTATCAGCTTCGACGGCCGAGGCGCGCGAGGGATCAGTCTCGGGGCCGGAAAAGCCGTCGGCGGCGTCGTGCAGGGCGTCGAGACGGTGGCGAGTATAACGACGAGTTCAGACGATGGCGGGGGTTCGGCTAAGAAGAAGAAGGGGAGAAGATGAATTGATTGATTGAGACTGAGATTTAGATTGGATGTGCGAAAGGGACTATTGTTTGAATATAGTATGTATGGATGGAGTGTATTATAGGTATATATGTCTTTGTTTTCAGTGACGATAAATATGATACGATACCCTAATAGAAGAACACTCGGCCTCTTCAATGCTTGACGGGATCACAAGGGAGGATTGGAGATCAGGATGAGAAAAGGCTCGAGGTACCTTGTCATGAGGCCGGTCGGTTGGTTTCCTGATCCCGTCCCCCTTTTTTAGATCTTACCTTACCTACCTACCTACCTTACGCGGTATAAGATAAGGGGTAGTAGAAAGAAGTGCATATAAGATCAATTCCCGTTTGCACAATGAATCACATTCCACATACTACTATCATCGTCATTATCAGCTCAAAGGAATCAATATATAGGTATAAATAACGATGCAATGTAGATATCTCTAATACCCTATACACCATTTAATAATCTTTTGTTCTTTTAATCATACAATACACACAAGTCAACGGCATAATATATCTTATTGCGCCTTCTTCCCGCTCGCCACCTGCTTCCCGGGGACAGGTTTACTCCACAGCCACAGCGCGACGAAGGCCAGCCAGCCAGTGACAGTGGTGGCGATGCCGGCGATCCACGGCCAGGCGCCGCTGATAGCCCAGCTGCGGGGCCACTCGTTGTGGGCGAAGTGGCGGACGGTGACGGTGTTCTTCTCTTCGATGTTAGAGAGGAAGGGCCGCTTGTAGTTGACTTTGAAGTTGAAGATGCCGTGTTGGTCGGGGAGCTTGAAGGTCGTGGTGTAGATGGTGGAGTTGGTCGTCGTCGTGGAGGGGACGAGCGGTAGGCGGTGGAAGGGCGAGAGCATGGAGAATTCAAGCTGGATTGCGTCGCCGGTCACGGGGACGAAGGGCGCCCAGTGATCCCAGGAGTATTCCGAGAGTTCGATCTCGTATGTCTGGGGATGTTAGCCGTGTGTATGACAAGATCTTCAGAGGATACTCACCACATCGTTCTTGACTCGATAAATCTTGGGGTTGGTGATGTTGCTCTTGACACCCCCTTCATGGAGATAGTGCTCGATTTTCTCGACCTTCAAAACACCAATCTCGTGGAAGGTCCAGCCAGTAACCTCCTTTGCGAAGGCTCGGTTCGCTGTTTTGACCTCTTGCCCCGCACTGCTTTTCACTTTCGCATCAAACCACGTATCCTCCAGCATCTCCGCAGATCCAATGATGGTGAAGCGTGCTGAGTTCCTCGCCTGCATGGTAGAGACCAGGGACAATTGCGGGCCGACCGCAAAAGGATCATCAACGCCCTCAACCTCGTCCTTGGGGTTGTATGAGTATGCCGTTCTCGGAGCTCGGAGGATAGGAGTCAGCAATGGGCTATTATTTCCCAACGTCTGTCCCACGCCCCGCGGGAAGGCGATGAGCTCTGAACTCTTGCCATCTCCCCCGAAGAAGTTCTTGACATCTGGTCGGAGAGCATCTGGGCGCGGGATGAGAACAACGTCGTGTTTCTCAGGGGCGCTCAATGTATCGTAGTTGAAGTGGTCAACAACGAGCGCATTGCGATCGGTAGGAAGATGGATGTCAAGCTCGAGGAGGAGTGATACGAGGGCGGATGGGGTGGGGTTGGATGCAGAGAGTGTGAGGAGGATGTTTCCACCAGCGTTGATGAAATCCAGGAGGAGTTTTGGAGTCAACTGTGGCCCAAGCCCTACAACAAGTCAGACTGGGGCCCTGATTGCAAAAGCTTGTGGGTTCTACCTTTGGACTTTGGAGGGAGGATTAATAGATGGTCGTAAGCTCTCTCGCCCAACTCAAACAGCCCAACTTTCTCGCTCTTCGGTGATTCGAATGTGAGATCAAATCCTCTTCCTAAAATTAAACAGAGGTTAGTCTGACATGGTCCATTACCATAAAATAAAAGTAAGAAAATAGGGAAAAGAGAGCCGGAAAGAGAGGGCTACCTTCGAGATCCCCAAGATACTTTGAGTATTTGGACTTATCTGCCAATTCCTCCACCACCACCAACAATTTTTTCCCACTGGAGCTCGCGGCCTCGACGACAGCGAGCAGGCCCAGCAACAGCAGAGAAAATAACCACCTCATTGTCGTTGTCGTGTTGTCGATTCCGCGCTGTTCGAGTTGCCGCGTCTCGAGAGGCTTTAGGAAACGTATGCCATGCCCACACCTTGCAGGGTCGGGTATCGGCACGTGACGCAGTGGTCCGAGCTCCAGGGCGGATTTCAACATCGACGTCCGGATTGGATCCCGAGAGAGCTACGACAATCGCACAACTTGATACAAGAGAGATTCGGCGAGGTGTCACGCCCGGTCAATTGAGTAAGCGGCGGTTGGCTCTCGAAGCTGGGAGGCCATGCTAACTGACTCTGGGTCTGCAGATAAACAATGTCCACTCCTCGATTTTTCTCGCAGCCCCTGCGATACCTTCACTGGGCTTCCCTCGAGAAGCCCGCGATTTTCTGGTCCATCGTCGTCGGGTCCATAGGCCCTGTCATGGTCGTCACAGTGCCTGGCATCAGAGCGCGGTTAGGCGACCCAAAGAGACCCGAGATTCCTCTCACATACCCAAGTACGTCCGCCGCGAACCGCGTGTTGCCAAGCAGAGCTTTGATGAGAGGGGCAATGGCTAATCCGTTTTGTGTTGCTGCAGTACCCACCGGTCCTAGAAAACAACTATCTGGATATGATGACGAGTAAGGGCCTGGTAGTGGTGGCATGTTGGGGGGGGTAACTTGGGGACAGATGGTGGCCCTGTTGTACATAAGGCGGCGTCTTGACAATGGAAGATATACTAAGGGGTTGTCTTCTTAACCAATGTGACTCGGTCTTTCTAGTGATACGCAACTTGGGAGTGGGAGCAGGGGACCTGGAGAATCAGCGTAGGAGAGCGAGATGAGCTTGGCCATCTCGAACCGGTCATCGAATGGTCTAAGGGACTCCTGCTCGAGCCCCTCTTGAGGAAGAGCTTGTTCAGGTGTGGCGCGACCCGAAGTACCGACCTGACTGAGGGGTACCGGAGAGAAGGGCAGTATGCATGATTCTTAAAGTTGGTAGGTCCGAGTCCTTACGAGTGTGGGGGTTTCGTCTAATCCCACGATTGTTCTCTTTTGTTACAATAGTGCATACAAGTATGCATCCACTGAAGGTTCAGTAGGTATGAGGGCGCGGTTTTGACGAGAAGTGTGGTGCGAATGAGGGAAGAACAGGGGCCATGTTATTTGAAGCATTGTTTAAGCACTTACGTGACTTGAGGCGGATATCAGACTTGATATGGAATAAGGTATGGATTATTTATCATTTCATGTCTCTATCCCAGATATTAGTTTTACAATTCCTACATCCACCGTATTCAGGCGTCTATTACATGTCTCCTTTGTCGTAACTCGTCGAAAACCTCCTGCCACTTCACGGACAGAGGTTTGACGAAAGGCTTGGTGCTCAGACAAGCCGGAAACGGCTGGTACCCTGGATCTTCTCCAAAAGTCATACTGCTGGCCTCGTCCGCAGTGAAGGTCCTACGTTTCCATTCTCGCTTTGCCGGATACCCTCTTCCGAGCGGATATCCAATCCGGCGCGCATAGATGACCGTGAGACCGCGGGGCACGTCGCCGTAGTGGTGCAGAACCCATATGATGCGAAATCTTGCACTCTCGGGTATCTTCCCATCTTCATTTCTGCTCTTCTCCTCAAGTTCCGCTAGGTACTTGACTCTCGTTACCAGCTTGGCCATGTGATCTGTCGGACTGCGGAGCGCCTGGGAAGCAAAGATAGGAAGTGCTGCTTGGCGAACCTTTTTGTCTCGACAGAAGGCAATTACATCGTGGAGGGGCTGGTGCAGCCCGGGCAGATAGTTGAATATCTGTTGGCCATTTGGCTGTAGCCGAGCGGTCTCCTTATCGATGAGTGCTGCAAGTGAGACTATCTCTCTTGCTTCAGGGAGGAATACGTCGTGGTCACATTCTTCTGTGAAGAAGGCGCCCGCGAGGCCTATTTCAGCACCTAGAGCTTGCGCCCTAAGCAATGCCGCCGCAATTGTGGTCGCTGGGTCCTTGGATGTTATCAACGTTACGAAAATTGGTTGGAATGCCTTGTGCCATCTTCTCAGGTCATTTAGATATGCATCGCGGTCTGCGAATAACATCGTTGGTAGACTACATGGATCTACGAGTTCACCTGGAGTGTCTGCTATTTCTGCAGGTCCGGACTCGACCTTTGCAGAGATGATGCGAACGTATGCTTCACCAATAAGATGAAAGGTCCGCCTCATGAGTAGTTGCTGATACAACCTGGCCTCTTCCAGGCTGCCAAACCGAGCCGGCATATTCTTAATCGTCTCAGAACCATCATGCCTCCGTACGGCATGAACACCGAGGGTGCGGTTTCCCCAGAACATGGCGTACCGCAGATCCAATCTAGTAAATTCATGGAAGATCTCATCCTCAACAACATTCACGTCCGGAGACGCAATCCCGGCTGCGCGGTGGGGCTTTCGCGACTCCAATCGGCGCAGGAGCAGGTAGCCTTCTTCGCCCTGCATCGTAGACGTATTTGGCGAGTCTAGAAAGTGCTCAAGGCAGAAGACTAGGAGACAAGCTATCATGACTTTCCTCAACGAAGGTGCTGAGCCTGGAGGATTCGCCGAAGCTAGTCTCTGCATTCCTTTCAGGGCTTTGTCGTACGCCGCGAGAGCAAACTCGCGATGCTTGGCTGATATGTCTAGGGCGACCTCCCGCATGGAGACCGGGTAGACAGAGGCAGCGCGTGTTACTTTGAAGGACTTGTAGAGCGCCCCGAGAGCTACGATCGAGCGAAGCACGAACGGTTCCGTGTGAGCTTCTTGGAGTATTGTATACGTCCAAGGCGACGTCTTGATGACGCCGGCCAGCTCCGAAGCGACCTCGTCTCGATAAGCCCAGAAGTAATAGACCTCTCTCTCATCTATGAAAGGTAGCGCCTGCGAGGGGCGAAGCTGACGGAGCTGAGAGCTCCTTTGCGAGACGATATCCAATATTTTCTTGGATTCGTCGGGGGGCGGTTTCCACTGGCACTGACGCCGAGATTTACTGCAAGTATTGCATTTTGGTCTCGTCTCGTCACATTTCACCCGACGAAGCCTAGAAGAGTCTTGTTGGCACAACCATCGCGACTCCTCATGGTGATGGAGACTTACTTGCAAGTAAGACAGCCATTCTTCGACTTTGGGGCCGAGGCCCTCCGAGCTCTGGATTCGGAGATGGACTGGCCATTCTCCCTCATGATGCAGTATTAAGATGCCCAAACTTGGAGACAAGAAGGAAAGATCGTGAAAGGCATGGAGAAGGCTTTCATTGTACACTTGTATTCATACCCGGCAATATAATTATTAAATCTGAGGGGGAGAAAGAGAATCAAAAGTCGGTAAGGACGTCAACGATGATTTCAGGCACGAGGGAGGTCGTGGATGAAGGCCAGGTCTGAATTGACGATCACTTAGGGGATTGAAGAATATATTGCCCAATCATATTGAGCCACTCATACTGTACTGCCGTAAGAATGGGGGGCATTGCTCATTGAGCCACAATAGCCGAGGACACTGTTTCGTCTGCCGATACTACGAATCCGTGATTCTTTCAAGCTGGTCAGTAAGGTAATGAGTCCTAACATAACTAATCCTCGTACCTTAACCACGCCCTCGATGTTACAGCGTAATCGCTTAGGACTACCAACCTAAAATGCCTGGAATTACGTGAATCTATTCGATTCAGCCAAGATACCCTAACCCCTGAAAGGGGCACTGCTCCCTCAAGCTACTTTCGGGAAGTAACGCTCTCGATGTCACGTTCATTTCTGGATAGGAATCGGGATGTAACCTCTTCTCCAACTGCTCAAAGGGCACCACGACTCACAACCTCCAAATTCTCGGTTTCGAGGTCCTAGATCAAACGATGCATCTGTAATGAATTTTCAACGCCAGTGTCTTAAATACATGTTTTTACACCGCCGCCCTGCTTGATGCCTATACCCAGTCCGTGCTATGATACCAGCACAGCAGCATGAGGCACCATGAGCTCATAACGCCGTTCACCATGTATATAAGGTATATATAGGAGCATCCGAGAACGCCTAACCCCCTGAGCAGCGAGCTACTCGTCTATTTTTCATCTCTCACGTTGGATCAAATCCCATTCATACTATTTCTTTAAGTCAGCATCATTTTTCGCGCAGTTTGTCAAGACATATGACGAAAGGGGTATCTTACGACTCGCCCATCCTCATCACCCGTATACACGCACTGCGGCATAGGCGTAATGCATGTAATCGCCGCTTCGGTATTTCTTTCATCGTCGCCGCCTCTCCTCCTTGAATCCACATGATCCAGGCGTTTCACCAATTCCAACTTCCAGCCCTCTTTGCCCGGTCCCACAACCTTCTTCCAGACGTTCACCACGCCCCTGCGTTGGCCCGTAAATACCAGCGTGTTTTCCAGCCACTCGTTACCGGTACCTTCGTAGAAAGCACAGCTAGAGATCCAGTCATCGTGGTCGCTGCAGACGTTTTGGTCGAGGATGAGCTCGCCGTTTAGCGTGTACAAGGCAACTTTCTGGCCGCGGCAGAGCATGATATCCCCGGTGACGTCGTTGATAAGGGCGCATTCTATGGGTCGGCCATGTGCTAATTTGCGGACGAACTCGAGACGGTTGAGATCCCAGAGGATGACTGTACCATCGCTCGAGGCGGAAAGGAGCGTACTGAAACTCTTGCTGACTGCAAGTGTAGTGACTGGAGTCTTATGTCCAAAGAGCGAAGATCTTGGCTGCAGTTCTACAGGCTTGGAAGGCGATGTAATGACGGTATGAGCAGATATCACACAATCCTCCCCTGCCGTTATGAGCAGTTGGGACGACGCGAAGAGGGCACAAGATAATTGCCCTTGATGCAAATTTTCAAAGAGGCCAGCTAGTTTCTTCGATTCGTTGAAATAGAAACGTACACTGTTGTCCGCGAATCCCCACTCGAGGTATTTGTCGTAATGGGGCGGGTGATTGAGTTTGAATGCAGTAGCGCAGAGCAGGCGATCAAGTTTTGACGAGAAGATGAGTGATGCTACGCGTTCCTTGGATTCGAGGAGAGGGAAAGGAAGCAGCGTGAGGCCTTCGGCCGATGTGTCAAGCCTCTTGATCTTATGGCGCATTTCTTCGCGGGGTTGGTGTGGTTTGGTAAAAACTTGATGTGGTGTTTGGCCAAAATTATGTATGATGCCGATTGTTGCCAGCCTCTCGACCGGATCTTCGATATTATCGAGGTCTTTGGCGCCATGATACGAGAGATGGTGGAAGACATTGACGGCTTCGATTGCAGCCTCTCCACGCTGTTTAGATCCAAAGACAAGATCAATCCAGTGGTGCAGATGCTTGCTGACATATGGACTTTCTAAAGCTTCTCGGTGCTTTGCTATGAAGATCTTAGGGTCTCCTTTGGCCCAAGGAGGTAGCTGCACATTATCGATAGCGCCACCATTGCCCTGTCTTACTCCAAAATTATATCCATTGCTATTGGTAAGAAACTCGGGCAGGTAGAAAAACTCTGGGATAAGCTCCCGTACGTCCGACATATTGTCTCTTGAAGCAGACATCCAGGCTTTCTCTATGGAATAGAAGAGTCGGTCCGGGTGGTCGAAGTTGCCTCCCTGGAGGAGCAAATACGATTGCACAAAGGGTTGAAGTCTGATGAGATAGGATGTTACAATCATAGCTGATGAGTAATGAGTGCCGTAGTGGAATGCTGGCGTGTGGTCAGTCATATCTGCAAATGTCTTGTAACGTTCAATAAAGTCCATTTGCCGGGATATATGTTGTGCACCCATGGGCTTTGTGAGGTCTCTAAATGAAGCAGGGTTGTTTAGATCCAACTCTTCACTGGTATAGTCTGCAAGGACCCATGGAAAGACTGGGTACTGGGTAAGATCATTGAAGGTCCGACCAGCCATTGTGTTGACTAGCATCAGATAATGGAAGTTGGAGATCTCGCCCTTGGCCCATCTTCGCATTGCTGGGTTCCAGGCTGATGGATTGAATATGTTACCGAACTTAGAACCGAAGGTTGTCGGTGACTCTTCCACTACTCTAAGCGCCTCAAGACGCCAGCTATGCTCTGGATTGGGCAAGCTCGAGCTTCCAATTGAATGAGGTGCCTTCGAGGCGAGCTTGTTATACAAGTCATCTCTAAGTGCGGGCGAAATAGCAGTTAAAAGGTAGCTGCGTCCATCGGTGAAAAAGACCTCCACCGCAACATCTCGAAATAAGAAACGGCGTTTGGAGATGCTGATCACATCACTCCACTTCCAGCTTCTTGATTCTTGATCGGCTCTAACCGGCTGCGTTCTCTTGTCGTTCGTCTTTTGACCAGAGATCATTTGTAAATATGGATCTCGCTCCTCTTTCGCAGCTTGCCAAACGTTTACGATTTCCCCATCAGACTGTTGGAAGACGTTGTCAATGAGGTACAATGAGTCTTTGCCCAATATCAACAAGCCTTCAACTGCCTCGAGCCCAATGATTCGAGAGATGTTGAATACTTGTTGAACTTGGTCGCCTCGTTGAAGGCTGCGCATAACCTTTCTGTTCTTGTCCTCGTACGCTTCGTCACCTTCCCCGGGGTCGTTTGGATCATCAACAAGCTCGAAATCTTCCTCAGCCATCACACTCTCCTGTGATCCGCTGGATCCGGTCTGTGGATGATTTACTGAGGTATCGTATGGCTTCTCTGCTGATGTACCATCAAGTGCCAATTCGCCTGGTGGAGTTGATACAGACGTTCCCGTCCCAATAGATCCAGGCTTGCTGTTGGGTTTTGAAACCCCATTTGATGTGGCATCTGTGATCCTACGTTTGGGTTGGTAGTCATAGGAAGGAGGCGCGCGGTCTGGTAGCATTCGTAGGCGCATACGATTTCGACCCTCTGTGCGGTCGAGCATCCATTTTGTGGCTGACCCACTGTCAAAGACTGCGCATGGTCTGTGAAGTTCACGATCCATTTTTGAAAATGCAGATGCCAGGAACACAAAGTTGTCTTGCTGGTCTTGTTGTGATCTTTGGTGTTTCAGATGCTCTGAGGCGTAGATCTGCTTCATCCAAACAGTCGACGCAAGATCATGGCGGAACAGAATATCTTCTTCGTTCAGATCTTCAGTATGCCACTGCCTGAGCTTTTCTCGACGCTTGGCCACACGTGTGTTGGCAGCATCTTCGGTTTTCTCATTCTCAGCGTGGACAAATTCTTCCCAGGTACGAGACATCGCGCCAAAGAACAAAGCATCTAGCTCCACTCGATGCTCACCAACCCAATCAACGAATGTCTCATTATCCAACTCCGTAAGTTTCTTGAACCCAGAACTTAGTTGTCTATACTCGGACGGCATTGTATGCTGGAGCATCTTTGAGGTCTCTTCCGGTTTCTGCACGAGTAAGATCCGCCACAGATTGGCAGCAGCTAAACGAACCTTTTCTCGTGAGTCAACCAATTTAAGATATAATTGGTAGCATATGAGTTTTAGAAAATCCTCTTCAACATCGGAAGAGAGAACCACTGTTTGCCAGTAGTGAAGCTTATCCATGAAAGCCACAGCTTCATCCTCAGAGATATGACCATGATCAAGCTCTGATAATCGAAGCAGAATTACTCTCAAGAAGACATGTGTGATGGAGAGAATAGCCTGACTGCAAAGTCGCACGCTTTTGATTTTGGATACCTCAGGCCGCTGCAGATATTCAAGCAATGTCCCCGCGAAGTCAAGCAATGGTTCTGCACCGTTCAAAAACCAGCCTTCGAAGACAGCTTCACCAATATGTAGAACGAATCGAGACATATTTTGGATGAGCCTAGGTTCCCATAAGGATTTCTGGTCGAGCTGAACAGTACTTTCGAGCTGTGATACTGTGTTGCGTAGTAAGTAAGACTCAAAATATGCCTGGTGCTCTCGAAATCCTGGAGGGATCTTCAGGAAAAGCCCGAAGCCAGGGAATTCTTTCCGGACCATAACCTGATCGACAAAGATATTGAGGAGGAGCTCAAGTAAACCTTCAACAAGCGTATTACTGATCTTCTGCGTCGCGAGCTTCTTCTTTGGTGACATTACAATGTTTAACTTGGCATTTGATGGGCTAAATTCGGACGGTTGAGATGTCAGTAGAATAAATGATGACCCCCTCCGTAAAGGCACCGCTCGAGCAGCCGTCGGGCTGGGAGGCAGATCGGTTTCTACCGTTGAGGTTCGAACTATGGGGGTAGGCATTGTTGATATGCGAGCAATGGGACGTATGATGACATCGTCACCCTCGAATGTTAGAGCCGAATCTCGAGAGTTCAACTCAGTCTCTGCACTAACAGAGTCTGTACTGACGACAACTGGAAATAGGACTGCAAGCAGTAGCCTTACATAGTCCGAAGACACTGCAAAGTCCCGGAAGTCGGAAGATTTACCATGCAAGTCAGCAAGGAAACGAATAACTGTATGTAAAACGGTGGCTTGTCCGCCGAGCTTCTCCTTCTTCGGTTGGTTTGATTCTGTTTACATGTTAGAGAATAGGACCATTAGGTTCCTGAAGCATATCTTACGTCGAGATTCTAGTTCCTTTGTCAAGGACATCGACCTAGGACGGAGGCTAATCGGTACGGTCAGATTCGCCTCTTGATCTTGCCCACTACCTCGATCAGTCAAAGGAGAATCAGGATCATCTTGATGTCGCAAGACATCCTTCAAACCGTGCTGCAGCATGGACGTAATCACCGGCAAGACGTCGGGATATATGACTTTACCATTGCTGAAGGTTTCTAAAAGGCTGAACAGTTCGAAAGGTCTCTCAAAGTTGATATCAGCAACGTCGCGGGCGAACAAAATACTGAAACAGATGGGCCACAGGGTTGAAAGATCCCACCACCTCTTGAGGCGGAAGCGCATGATTGTGAAGCCGCCCGTTTTGAGAGAAAATTTCGACACATATCCTGAGCCAGAAGTGACGAGAAGCCGCGCAAGGATCTTAGTGCCATGAACCACTACTTCAGGATCATCTTCTGTCAAGAGGTGGAGGAGCCACTGTTGATGTTAGGATAAGACAAGGATGGTTTTGGGAGGTTAACTTGCCTTGTTTGTAACGGTCCTGGCGAACTTTTTAATGTTCGCCGTGCTACCCTTTTCACAGAGAAGTCCCGTATACATCTCAAGTACCTTATTACCCAACTGTCTCTTTGTTAAAATCTGAGATGTTGCTTCTTTCCCATCAAATAGAGTGCTGACTGTCGGCTTTCTTCGGCTACCTGAGATCGTTGCTGATCGTGTGGGTAAGGTTCCGCTCTGTCCTTTGGGTGTTCGAGTGGCCGAGCCAGATGTCTGATGATAGGCATACGTGATGAACAGCGCAAGAGATCGAAATACTTCCGCAGTCATATTGCATTTCACCAATATCTCAAAAGCCTCCATGAAATATGGAAAAACATCACGAGAGAACGTCTCGGCTTTCATCGCATCTATAAATCTTTTGACAATACCTGTCCTCAGTTAGCGTGAGAGTAGCAAAAAGCGGCGGTACTAGTTTCTTACGCATTCGAAGCAGTCTTCGGGAATTGAACTGGTGGAATTTACTGCGCACACCGAAGGTGACAAACTGTTTGTAGTATAGTTTTTGGGTGGCCGGTGCAGTCTTTCGCCACATATCAAAGTCAACCAGCAGGATTCGATATGCCAATGGGTTGATGATGAAGGATTCTTCCGGTTTCTCGTGATTGTATCCCAGAAACTCCAGTACCAGATTGAGTAACTGAAAGCCAAGCTTGTCTCGGTCATCGTTGGTTAAGGTAGAAACATCAGGGTTATTGTACTTGGACGCAACAACAACGCCAGCGCCCATTTTCCCGCGCAGCAAAGCACCAAGTATAGCGTATCCATTGTCTCTCTCCATGGCCTCACTGTTACGCCAGCTACCTTTGATACTGTAGAACAAAGTCTCGACAGCTCGCACGATAGCGTCCTTGGTAGTTGCGCTCTCTACCAGTTTCAGGGCGATGCCACTGAAGCCTCCGAGGCGCCATAATGCATCATCAAGGGACTGAGGAACAAATACAATCGGTTCACCTGTCAGAACAGTAGTACCTTGTGCTCGAGTCAGAGCTTCATTGATTGAAGGGATTGCAGCATTGATAGCCAAGGAGGTGCCGGTATGATGAGTCAATTGGAACAAGTTGTTAGAAGCGGTTCGACCCAATCCTCGAAGTAGCTGTGATTCGTGATCATCTTCCCCCAGGACAGCTGTAGGCAGAATACTCAATAGGATACGATGTTCTGGAACAAGTGCGCTCGCCTTTTCGCGGATGGCACTAAGGATGTCTGAGCTCTCGTCTTTGCCAGGGTGAATCAACTCGTTCCGCATGCCCAACGCTGCTGAGGCTTCGTAGGTCTGAAAGGAGCCAAGGCAATCTTGAAAGTTCCCATTATATCGAGGCCCTAGCCGATAATATACGGCAATTAGATCATCGCTGAGGCAACCTTCGAAGAGATGTGCTGAGGCTAGAGACCAACGAGAGAACACCACCCCACGACCGAGACGTGTCGACAAATCTTGCGGTGTTCCCAGAAATGCTTGCACAGGGGTTGTCCTGGTTGTCGATGGTGATGTGAAAGACGAAAAGCTGTCTGCGGCAGAGTTGGAGAGAGGTGGGTGTTCGGGATACTGGCTTTTGACTTGTTCCACGAATTCTCCGTCCACATAAAGCAATGCCTTGCTAGACGACATTGTTTTGGGTCGCCGATGGACTATTGCAATATGATACCACTGTCCTTCTTTGAATGCTGTTGATTTGAACCTTACACTAGGGCGTGAGGATGTCACAGAAGTCTGGAGAATGAAGTTATGAGTATCTCTTTCCAGATATGCAAGGACGAAACAAGTTTGGGTCGAGTCAAAAGCCCCAAAAATAGTTGTATGAGCATTCGGATCAAACTGATCCACATATATCCAGGCTGTAAAAGTATACCCTGGCATCGTTGAAAGTGGAGGGAATGACCGTCCTAGGGTTGGTAGCTCCACTGATGCAAAGCCATTCAAGGAGAGGTCGAACTGAATATATGCTGGGGAGTGAGATTCCTTCATGGATCGAAGAAGGAAATCAGCCGCATTGGAAGATTGGTTACAAACAAGATACTGGGCATCATTTAAGGTGTTGACCCCGCGGGATATTAGAGATCCGCAAAGAGCTTCCACACAACACCTTTCGGTGGTATTCAGGGGTGAGTCAGAATCAAAAGCAAGCGGCAGGAGGGTCGATAGAATGCCAGTCGAATGCAGAGCCGCGAGATTATGCTTGGAGATTGACGATATCTTTGATAGCGTCAAGATGACGACTAATGCAGCAGGATTCACAGGTGTGTTCGGAATTCGAGGAATTGTCTTCCAAAAATCAATGATGATTGGCACCACATCGGGAGTGGATAGCAAAGCGCTCTCTCCGAGTATTTCTTGGAGCCTGGATTGCACCACGGTAATAACATCTTCATCACTATGCAATGCCACAGTACTCGTTGCAGGACTAGGCTCACTATCCCGGAGTGATTTTTGGACTGCCTCTTCTGTGCTTGGAGATTTCTGTTGCTGTGGTGCATTTCCCTGCTCTTTGAACATGGAAGGGTGTAGTCCAGCAACTTTCTGACACAGCGATTCGAACCTCTTGTCATCCAGTGCAAAAGCAAGGAGTCGTCCAAAGAGTTGGGCTTCACCCCACACATCAGATTCGCTACCCCCAACACCAATGCTGGCGATGATCTGCTCTAGGGCACCCCATCCGCCGCCCTCAACCCTTCGTTTGAAGTATCTCTGGTTCCCATAGTGCTCCCGAAATGCTTGTGCCAAAACCCCCAGTACAATTTCCAGAAGCTCAAATAGCTGTATCTTGTCTTCCTTGCTCCTCTTTGTCGGGTGGTAGAAGCCGGAGAATGCTCGGAGAGTATCTATGATGATCTGGAAGCCATGGAGATGCCGGAAATCGTCCTTCGCCCGGGCAGATTGGGGCGCTGCAATCAAATGCTGACGCACAAGTTGGGCCTGACTGATGAGCTTCGAGAGGTCGGGGTAAGCGTTGCCTACGGGGCTCTGGAGTGTGGCCGAAAGGTTGTCGAGAAGAAGCTGTAGCTCGACGGTAGCTTTCGTGCTCTCTGGTGGAGTCGATGCAACGGTTGATGAGCGCTGCTGCCGTGAACGCGTAGACATTCTTCCACGCCGCCCCAGGCTCCGAGTTGGATCAGGTCGGCCGGTCCTCCTTCATTAGATGTCGCCGTTCTCTCACGGCCGTGGAGATTCTAGGTAACCGGGAAGCCTGACGGTCATTGAATTCTGACCGCGACGGCGGGAGGGGAAATGTTTTGGGAGGATCTCGAGAGCAGAGGAGAATTGAAATTCAGAGGGAGCAGAAATGACTGTGGACGTAGGTAGTTACAGCTCGTTTCTTTATTGGATTTGCATTTGCATTTGTCTGGTTTTCATTTTCATGGCGCGCTGCTGACTACGGTTATTGCAAGCCGGCTGATGAGGCTGCGAGTCTCCAAACAGAAGGGTCCTGTTTCTGCCTAAGGTACCTAGAATGGGGGATGAGTGCCTCAGGTATGATTAGTTGAAACCTAGGTACCCATTATAGCCTCAGGCACTAAGGCACTAAGGCAGACAATGGTCGGTCATACATCATAGGTAGCTTCCAGCTTGATACCGCACGGAGTATCTGCCGATAAGTGAGGTAAGGTACCTAGTATGAGTGATACGACGCACGACTATTATAAGTGTTAAACAACTTATGAACGTACACCGTAGGTAGGTCCTTCAGAGCTCGGACTTGAGATTCTCACCGGTATCTTTGGCAGCTTGGCTTGATTGGACTCAACGTGAAGAAGAAGCAGGGCGGCTCAAGGCTCGGGGCTCAGGGCTCGAGGGTTCAAGGCCCCGAGTCATGCGTAGTTTACGGGTACCTGGTGACTCAGTGAGTGCGAGAAACCATGATGCCGGGCCCACAAGAACGATATCTCACGTCCTGGACGGTGCCAGCCTGGATGCCAATTCTGCCTTGCCTTTCCTGTATTGAAGCTGCTCACGTGCGCTTGGGAGCAGGTATCCGGAGATAGCTGATCGGCAGGTAGCGGCTTATGGGTACCGTACTGTACCGTACCTTGGTACGTCGCTCTTGGTGGCTCTCGTAGCCGCTCTGAACCTCTGAAGAGAGCTCTCCGCGCTAAGAATGCTGATGTAGACCACTCTATTATACGATCATGCAATAAGGATTGCGGCACCAAGATGCCAATTCAAGTGCCAGATTCCTTATGTTCATCACATAATAAGACAACTTGCGTGCAAGTACCTACGTACTCCGTAATCCGCTCATTCTGACGCTCGTGACGATAGAGCCCACCCGGGCGATAAGGACAGCAAATCATGCCCAAAGCGGCCAAGCGGCGTTTAGAGCTCCGCCCCACCCCCGAAAGCCGGCCGGGGCTCAGCCAGTCACGTCGTCTGTCTATCCCCTATCTGGCCTAGCCGTTGCTCGGTCGGCTGGGGAGCTTTCGCCATCAGTCACTTGCCTCCTCCTCCATCTCTCCTCTCCTCTCTCCTCCATCTTCCTCTTCCCTTCTTCTATCCCTCATCCCCCCCCCCCCAAATCCACCTCTGAAGACAGCATCATCAACTGTCTTCACCACCCACCTCTTTATCCTCAACAACCTTTGTTTGTTCCTTAATTCTTTCGAAAGTCGCAGGCAGACAAGTCCCCTTCTTTCACACCCTCTCCGCAACCCCCATCATCATGCTGGGGCTCTACGCCTTATCGCTGTTGCCGCTGCTGGCATCAGCGGCACCAACATTCAGCACTGAAACCATCCATGAAGGTGCTGCTCCTCTCCTTTCGTCCTCCAATGCCGAGGCCGTTCCGGACTCCTACATCGTCGTGTTCAAGAAGCACGTCACCGACGCCTTGGCATCGGAGCACCACAGCTGGGTGCAAGACATCCATCTCCAGAGCGAGAACGCTCGCACCGAGCTTCGAAAGCGATCGCAATTCCCTATTACCAACGACATCTTCGAGGGTCTCAAGCACACATACAGTATCGCTGGCGAGTTCTTGGGTTACTCGGGGCACTTCGATGACTCGGTCATCGAGAAGGTCCGCAGACATCCCGACGTAAGTAGCCCTGAACCCTTTTTCCTTGATTTCCCCGTCATCAATGCATCTCTCTCTCGACAGCAACTTGATGGCAGATCACGATCACCCTCGTGTGCCCTTGTCCAGCATCTGTCCGTCAAGGTGTAGCAGCGCAGTACCTTGTTATCGTAGCTAGTCAGCTTACAGAAGCTTCGCACGTGACACTTCTTATCTGTCCCTGCTTCAACTGGCATGTGTAATCTTGAGCACGTGGCTAACATTCCTCTCTCTAGGTCGAGTACGTTGAGAAAGACTCTGTTGTTCACACACTAGGCGACACTGGTGACACTGGAGAGCTGGAAAAGAACGCTCCATGGGGTCTCGCTCGTATTTCCCACCGGGATAGCCTGACCTTCAGCGATTTCAACAAGTACCTCTACGCCGCTGATGCGGGTGAGGGTGTGGATGTCTATGTTATCGACACTGGAACCAACACTGAGCACGTCGACTTCGAAGGTCGAGCACACTGGGGCAAGACCATCCCTGTCAACGATGCTGACGAGGACGGAAATGGACACGGAACTCACTGCTCTGGTACCGTTGCTGGCAAGAAGTATGGTGTAGCCAAGAAGGCCAATGTCTACGCTGTCAAGGTTCTCAGATCTAACGGCTCCGGAACCATGTCGGATGTCGTCAAGGGCGTTGAGTGGGCTGCAAACTCCCACGCCCAGAAGGTCAAGAAGGGTAAGAAGGGCTTCAAGGGCTCTGCCGCCAACATGTCTCTCGGAGGTGGCAAGTCTCCCGCTCTCGACCGTGCTGTGAACAGCGCCGTTGCCGCTGGTATCCACTTTGCTGTTGCCGCCGGTAATGACAATGCCGATTCTTGCAACTACTCCCCAGCTGCTGCCGAGAACGCCATCACTGTCGGTGCTTCGGCTCTAGATGACTCCCGCGCTTACTTCTCCAACTATGGACCATGCAATGATATCTTCGCACCTGGTCTGAGCATCCTTTCTACTTGGATTGGCAGCAAGTACGCTGTCAACACCATCTCCGGTACTTCTATGGCTTCTCCCCACATTGCTGGTCTTCTGGCATACTACCTTTCCCTGCAGCCATCCTCCGACTCTGCTTATGCAGTCGCTGAGATCACCCCTAAGAAGTTGAAGGAGAACATTATCAGCATCGCCACTGAGGGTGCCTTGACTGATGTCCCGTCTGATACCAAGAACGTGCTTGCATGGAACGGTGGTGGATCTTCCAACTATTCTTCCATCATCAAGGCTGGTGGATACACCGTGAAGAAGGGCTCCAAGCCCACCACCAACTTGCCAACCACGATTGAGTTGTTGGAGGAGGCAATGGAGAATGACTTCGACATGGTTTCTGGAGAGATCGCCAAGGACGCCAAGAACATGATGTCCAAGACCGAGACCTTCTCCAAGAAGATCCAGGAGGAGATCAAGGAATTTTTTGAGGGGCTTGAGGAGTTTGAGTCCTAAACGTCACCCTAATATTGGTGGCATATTGCGAGCCTGACTTAACTCAAGGACACAGTCCTATGTAGCCTTGCCTTACTGTTTGAGCAAGGTCATGGAGGAGGAGCTGGGTGGTGGATTTTCATTATACGCATTTTGGATATAGGTTTCATTGCGTCTCAGATCTTCATGGTTTTCCTGTTGTCACGGGCATACATAGACCAAGAGTTAAATTGTACCCCTTTTCGGTCTCCCGTGATCTTGCTTCGTGATGTGATGCATTGCCGACTCGAACTACACTGTTCCACCCTGTTGAGAAGTTTTGCTTAGTGGCGATTCTTTAGAATGGTCATGATTGAGGACCTCCCGGGGTCACTCCTTCTCACTTCGTACGGGTCGTCATTATTTGGTTTCAGTTTTCCTTTTATCTGGTAAGATCTGTGCCTTCCTCCAAAATGACGGCTCCGGACAACCTCAAAAGTTCCTGGTGTCTTCGTGCCTTTTGCTCTCTTCCCCCTGCTCTCTCAGCTTTTGGCTATTGAATTCACCATTCGAAACGGCATCAGCTGCTGTCTGCAAAAGTTCAAGTCGCACTCTGTGCGCTTCACACCATACTCTATACTCTTCACTTCGCACTCCACACTTCTCTCATCTCGTCACACATCCCATTACTTTATATATTAAACTCTACAAACCTCCCATTAGCTGCTTCGCTCTCGGGGTCGTCGCATCGAGAAGATGCTCCAACGGAGCAGCTCCCATGGGGCTGATTGTCATAGATCAACCTCGTCTGTTCACAGCAAACCTGAATCCACCAAGGCTGAGGTCGCCAACCAGCATGCCCATGCCGCAGCAACACTAGCCTTCGCTCGAGCACAAGAGAAAAGCAGCACCGATGCTAGCCACAAAGGTGTCGGATTTTCACGGAAAAATATAACTTCGAGTAGTCAAGACAGTCAGCCACCGCTTCAGCAGAACAAAGGTCCAAGCAATGTGGACCGGGTCGTCAAGCGACAGCAGAGTGTGCGGTTTGTGACTTGCACTGACGTGGAAGGACGGCAATCTAAGAGCAATAGGGAGGTTCGTGTTGAACCGCGGGGCAGCTTTTCGACTGTTAGACCCGCCGCACTCCGCCCTCTTAGTCGATGCTCATCTCTTGGCAACGCTGGAATAGCGGGGGAGAAAGCAGGATTCAATGAGAGAGAGCTCGCCCCGTATGGTCCATACTCAAGAAAGGATGATGCCGTTGCCTCTTCTCCAGCTTCGTCTCGCCATGTCCGAAAGTCCAGGTCTATGTTCATGCCACTCAAAGCTCCCAAGGTCTTCTATACCAACGGGACCCCCGAAAGACCAGGGAACACCTCCTCTGGTCACCGGGACAGTAATTTGAACGCTGCAACGCCGCACATGAATTCATACGAAGCTCCTCTGAGAACCCCAAAGTCAATGAGCTTCCTTGGGCTGAGACGAGAACGTGACTCTTCGGGGAGTCGCGAGAGCAATGATTTGGGCATACAGATGGCGCGGGATAGGTTCCTCCATCAAACAAATCAGCAGAGGCTTCTGGAGAAGCCTTCGTTCCTCTTCAAGTTGAAAGTTCAAAGACAAGAGAAGCAGTCCCGGAAATTTGTTCTTACTAGCAGCACAAACAGCTATGGATCACCCATCGCCTCTTCCAACCAAGGCACAACACCAAAAGAATTCAAGCTGAAGGACAAAGCTCGCAAGGCAAGGCGGAATATCAAGGACAGATTCAGACGGGCTTTCGGGCGTAGCAGCAAGGAACAATTAGATATTCCGGTCCAACAAGTCGATGCCTATGAGACACATGTCCGAGAATATCCAAGTGGTTCGGACGCTAGACTCAGCAACTTTGAAGATATTCCACTTCAATCAGAAGCGACTCTTTGCCAAGTAGCATCTCGCCCTCCTTCTATTTATATGATAAGCTCAAGCCAGCGAATAGAATCGCAAACTGGCAGCGTTAAGAGCATAGGAAGTGATCGCAGTGGCGACAACTTGCCCACCACTGATACCAATGCCACCACAAGCCAGGGATCCAGACTCCAGCCCGAAAGGGATATTCAGCGTCTATCTGTCATCAACGAGAATGGCGCTCATGTTCCCTCGTCCTCATTGAATAATACACCAGCAAACCATAAGCTCGGTAAGAGCGACGGTTATGTGCCTGATGGCAATTCGAAGACGACTCCTGTCCCCGAGCACGCCAGTCTCTACCACTATTTAATGAAACGCCTCGAGGATACTTCTCCTCAGCGCCGCCTCGAGGCTTTGCGAAAGAAAATGAAGGAAAGCGTCAGTATCTCAAAGGATGTGGAAAGTATTAGCAGTGCAAAGCATGTGGAAAACGTCAACGCCGCAAAAGATGTGGAAAACATCAACATCACAGAAGTGCCACGACGTCTCGCTTCTTTTGCTGGCACTGGCGTTAAATACAAGATGGTAACCATAAAACCGGTTCCGCCGTCTCCCATGTGCAGCAGTGAGGCAGGCCGGTCTCCCAAGCATGGCCACCAATGGGTCACAGCTGACTCCGCCCACGCAGCTAGAGCTGAGGATATTTTCGGACGTACAGGTCCCCACGTACATGAATGGTTTGCAGCAGACTCTCTCCGGGAAGCAAGAATGCGTAGGCAAGGCAATAAGGTACTGCCAGAGGAACATGCCATCAATGAAGTTATCAGCGGCTTAAAGCAAGGGCGGAGCGGCTCAGATGCAGCTACTTTTTCACACTCTCATGAAGCCAGCACCAAAACATCAAACCATTTGGCGCCAGAGAATATGAATATGACGCCGCAGGAGGTTGCGCACCTTATTGAGCCAATCGTTCCGGAAAGGAGAATTGTGCTCGAAGCAAGATCTACCTTCTTTGGTGGGACCAAATACGCCACTGTCAAAACTATCAGCCCATTTCGGCGTGCATTGACAGAAAGTGAAGCTGAGAGCTCTGCTGCAGGCGCTGAAACTCAGGATGCAAACAAGCCTCCGAGTGTACCCTATTCAGAGAGCATCTATTCAAGAAGCACAGGCGGTGGGACACCAGCCTTCGCCAAGAGTTCCTTGACTTTGCACTCATGCGAGGAAGACATCCCAAAGATGTCATCTGCTGACGCCGGCAATGGAGATGCAATCATTCTTGATAGACATATATATCGTCCAATCATGCCAGACATGAAGGGCCATCGCGCTACGAGCTATGCAGGTTCAGTTGAGTCATTCGAGTGGCAGAACTGGATGAGTTCAGAAGTCACGAAACTTGAAAACGGCAAGGCAAATCCAAACTGCGCTTCTACTCAGGCCGCCTTCTATATCAAGGATCTTCCCGTGATGACATGGTCCTTGCGTAGCAGACATGTCCGAGAGAATGCGCAGATCATTGGTGATGACACCGAGGTGAACCAGAGCAAGGCCATTCCGGTGAAGCAACCGCTGGGAACGGTGCAGCAGAATGTGAAACTAAACCAACAAAACATACCCGTGCTGAAACCCATCGTGAAGTATAGATCCTCAACAGCTCTTGTTCTTGCCGAGAACATCGACTCGGGCAGAAGATCAATTCCACCACCACCACCTGCACGGCCAGCGAGCCCACCCCCACCGCCGATTCCACTTCGCTCGCACCTCCGACCAAACCCTTATCCGAAATTTGGTCTGTCTTCTGCGAATGCAGTCAATACAACTAATCTTTTCGGCGCACCAAATTCGGCAGCCAATGTTCCGAGAATGGGTAGAGAGAATCTCAGGAGCGGCTCAGAAACTGCGTTCAATAGTCCGAAGAGCATTGGGACTCCGGTGAATTTGGCGAAGAGAGTCAGGCAGTCTAATAAAGTGAGTCCAGGAGGAGGCCTTAGTGCCGCTGTCGAGAAACAGTTTGGGAGTACATATCCAATAAGTCCAGGTGATTGGAGAGTTAATGGAAAGGACATGGATCCAGGAGGTGTGGAGGAAGATGACATCTATGGAGCAGAGGGTGCAGGATTGATGGGTCCCAGCATGACGAGGGATGTCGGGGGGATGGGAAGTCTGGGGTTGGTGAACTCGTATTTGAGTAGCCGGCGCAGAAAGGTGGCTGAATTCAGTGATGAGAGTTAGAGGGCGTTTCTTTGATGGGGTTTGGGTTTATTGGATCAGGAGATGGCTCGACTTCATTGGAGAGAAGCGAATTGATCCATGGAACAAACGATGTTTCCTTCCCCCATTCTGCTTTTGACGGCTGGGCTTGGGTGGAGTTATGGAGGAACATGGCTGAATCGGGGGTTAGGTATCAATATCATGAGAAGGGATGAACATGAGCTGCGGAACATGTTTCTGAATAAACCAAGCATTATTAGATAGAAGAAAGAAATGGCAGTCTTTTACTATGCACGAATACGAATTGGCTGCTGACCTGAATTGTGAATACGGGATCTCCGTAAAGCCAATGATTTATCCTGGGTTTTTCCAATTACTTACTTCGCTTTGTTCTCAAGACTGTACATATATACCGTACCTCCACCATGTAGAGGTTGGCTCTTCATATGATATCTAATACACAAAAAATGTTGTCTCTCCAAATACCCACAGCATCCGGAACCATTCCTATCTATCCCTGCCATCTTCATTCGTACAGCTCAACCCTCAAGATGCGGCGTCTCTCTAGTTTCCCCATCGTGTAAAAAATCTAAATACCCTAAAAACAAAAAGAATCTCAAGAGAATCCAGATATCCTCAGTAGGTAAATAATGACCCATACCATGGAGAAAAGCGCCGAGACATGAAGTTATAATATGATTAATACTGGGTCGGGAACGGGTGGGGAGTGTGGGGAAAAGAGCGGAGAAAGTTCCCGCGCACCGTCGACGGGGCTCGCGACTCCACTTCGTTTAAGTCGCTTAGATTCAGGGGGAGGAATCGAGGATCATGAATTGAATTTGAATTGAATTGAAAGAGAAAATGAGTTCTTCGGTCCCGTCAAGTTGCTCAACTTGCCTGAGTAACTCGAGCAGCGAGCCTGAGCGAGTTTGATGAGCGGGGTTTAGCACATGTTGCAGGGTTTTTGACTTGAAGCGATGAGAGCGATGAGGAATGAAGATACTCAGGTTTGGATTTACGTTGGTTACTCCTTTTGCATGGCGTTTTAATGAATACTGGGCACATATAGTAAGATGTGGGAGTTCTAAGCTGTGAATATTACTAATTGGAAGATTCCTTTCTGCAGATGGTACGTACTAAGTCCATATCCATTGCTCTGTTATAACTTGGTCTTTCTGAAGGTGCAGCTTCGTGGCTTACACACTTTCATTTCCTTGCATCCCACTCCTGTCCACCCCTTTTCACTTGGACAGAAAGAGCTATCTTGCACAAAAGTCCCCGACCCACCGTTTTAACTCGGAGCCGTCAATGGCGCCTTTATCATTAGTACTATGATTAGATGGCTTGATTACATTGGTTGCTGGCTAGCTACAGAACAGGGCTACCCTTTAGACGACTTAGGCGTATGCCGCGTATCTTAGCTGTCTGGATTTTGAGATTGCATTTCCATGTCATTTCTTCATTCATGTTATATATTCATCTTCATCAAGCTCTTTATTAACATATGAGCACTTCTACTTCAGCTCAACACCCCCCTTGACCTCCGCGCCCGAAAGCTTCCCTTCCTTAAACTCCGCAACCATCTGTTCCATGGTACACCACTCCACACCCTGATGCTTACTGATATACTCAATCAACCTCTCATGCATGAGGATAACCTGCGGCTTGCCGCTAACCTGGGGGTGGATGCTCATAGGAAATATGAAGGTATCATATTCGCGGTACAGGAAATCGAACTGGTCTTTCCAGAGCTGCTCGATAGAGCGCGTGTCAACGTAGCCGTGGGTAGAGGCTTGTTTGAGAGAGAGCACGAAGGGTGGCCAGTCGTCGAGGTGCCAGTTAGCTGGGACCTCGACTACTTTGGATGGCTTGAGGGACGTCATTGGTACCATCCATGAAGAGGCGGGAACGGCGGTGTTGGTCTCAATGTATTCTGGTTCGTAGGGTGCGTAGTAAAGCTGGGAGTCGTGGTGCATAAAGGAGTGGTCGTATTCCTAGATTAAAAGGATTGTTAGTTTGGGACTACATTGTGTGGTTGATGTGGAGGAACTTACAATGCCGTATTCTTCAAGCAGTCTGATCGTTTGCTTGGAGGTATCCCATGCAGGAGCGGTCCATCCCTTTGGTTTCTTGCCCAGGAATTTGGTGAGGACGTCAATTGATTTTGAAAGGATATCTCTCTGTTGTTGCTCGTTCAGCGTCGAGACGAATTCGTGCGTATACCCGTGAAGTCCACTATGTTGCCAGATTAGTATTGTCTTCTTAAATAGGAACATCTCTTCGCTCACATCTCATGCCCAGCATCTCGAACCTTGGTAATCTGCTCCGGGAACGATTCGAGAGAATGTGCTGGCACAAACCAAGTCGTCTTGATCCCGTACTTGTCCCATAGCTTCAGGAGACGGTCGATCCCAACTGTTGCACCGAAGATACCTCGCGAGACATCGGTTGGGTTTGCTGGCGATCCATTTCTGGTGTTGATCCTGAGTAGTATCAGCACTATGCCTCTAGTTATCTTATCAGGAAGAATTACCAGCCACTTACAGCGTCGACATCGACACCGTATCCAACGAGTACGCGTTTAACCATGATGAAGATAGTCTTAAAATTTCCTGGAAATTGTTTGAAAAATCAGATATCAGAGATGAGCTGAAAAGTGATGTGCAAAGAAGACCCGAGAGAGTTAGTTAAAGATACTTTTATGATGCTCAGCCTTAGAGCGCACAGTATTAGGTAGGGCGTGCGTGCATAGCCAAGTAGATAGTTTAGCGGGGTAGCTTCCCCCCTATCTTAGCCGCGGAGGAGAGCGCAACTCGAACCCCACCCTTGCCTTCGCTGATCCCCGTGGCAACATGAAAAGAGCACTATTGATGGAGATACGATATCGACGTTGCATCCTGTGTATCATCATCGTCGTGTGCCTCGGGTAGATCTTCGAAGCCGTGTTCTCGTCCGAGGGTCTCTAAAATGCGGGGAATTTCGGTTAACCCAAATAATGCGCTCTCTCCTCCTATCACCCCGCCTCCTATTTTCCCCAGTTTTCTATTGCCTAGCTCTCTACACCCTCGCTTTCTTATCAGAACAACGCTTTACACAAATTCTCCTTCTATATCTTCATGAAGATAACGCTAATGATAGGAGGTAAGCATCCAATGCGAACTCTTCAGCAGAACTTAGATGTTAGAACTCAATGTCATTGGCCCTTTTCCCTGAGAAAACCTCATGACACTTCTCAAAATGAAAATCTCAACCAAGACCAATTTGAAGCTGGTGGTAGAGTGTGATCAAGAGTCCGTAATCTCATTTTATTGACTGGCATAAGTGTATTCGACGTGCAATACTAGACAGGGTAGGCTGCCCCGTTGTAGATAATACCAAGGACGTAGAGGAGCGCAGAGAAGGTTGTGCTATTATTCATCTTTGCTTTCGGGTTATGAGAGAGTCTCAAGGTTACATAGTTTGGACCTGGGACAAAGACGTTGCCAAATCTTCTCTAAAGCCTTCTACCTCGATTGCAGACATATTATACTCTGACAGGCTCGGATTCCAGATGTTATGACTCGTGAGTCGTATTTCAAAAGGCATATCCCTAGGCTAATAGCCATGAGAAGACCAGCTGGAAGAGACGGAGGCACCCAAGGATGAAGAGCAGCTAGATTTATAGACTATTGTAAATGTGGTGAGCCATGAATAGTTGTAGTGGTCAAGAAGGACTTCAGTGATACGCTATTCTTGACGAGTATCAATGTAATATCACACTACAAGGCAAATATCACCGCACTCTCAAAGCAATGTGTAGACAAAGTTGAATTGAAGTACTAGCAAAGTTCATCCCTTCAGCTGGTCACCCCATAATACAATAAAGCGCTCGGCCTGTTTAATCAAACGGCAATAGCTGTTGCAAGCTCCGTTCCGGCTGCCCCGTAACTCTGCTTGTAACGCTTGATGCAGTGGTCCTCCACCTTCAATGGTGCATACAACGGCTGCTCTCCTGGCTTCAAGCAAGTGGGGATACATTCCACAACCGCATCCAAAGCACCATCATTAAAGAAAGCACATGAGTATCTGTCCTTCTCGCTGTAGGGGCTAATAACACGGTGCATAGTTGACTTGTAGCGGTTGTTGGTCCAGATTTCTGCGTGTTTGTTAGCTGCGGTTGAGGATGAGTAGGGAAGAGAGAGGCTTACGCATCAGGTCACCGATGTTGACTACATATGCGCCTTTGATAGGTATCACGGGGTGCCAGGTTCCAGTTGGCTTGTGGAGAACTTCAAGACCGCCGACTTTGAAACATTAATGATGAGATCTAATTAATAAGGGTGGGGAAATCTCACCAGAATCTTGGAGTAGAAGTGTGAGAGCACCAAAGTCGGTATGAGATCCAACTCCTCGAGTTCTTCCTGCAGCGTCTTTTGGCGTCGGAGGGTAGTGGTGCGCGCGGCAGAGACAAATACCTGGCCAGTTCATTAGACTTAGATGTACAGTGTGAGTCGGAAATTCTCACCATTTGGATCTGATGCGAAGTAATCAAAGTGATCCTCGGGAAGTCCCAGTGAGAGTGCCACAAGTCTGAACATAGTCTTTGACAACTGATGAACTGCCTCGTAATACTCCATGGAAATGGTCTTGAAATGAGGAAGTGCTTCAGGCCACTGGTTTGGACCTTCCAAGAATCGACCAAGGGGTCTATCCCGTCGGATCGAGAATCCTTCTTTCTGATCAGGCGTGGCCTGGTCGTCAAGTTCATCAAGTTTTTGTCCACCGATTCGTTCGTATCCGCGATGGCATTGCGACTTTGTCAGGGCGACTTTCTCCTTTTCCTCGAGAGGGAGGTTGAAGAATTCGGCAACAGCAGCGAGGTAGCGTTCTTGGAGATCGATAGAAACTGAATGCCCAACCACTTGGAGGAAGCCTTGGGTTTCACATGCTTCACGGATCTCATCTGCGACCTTTTTCTTGGACTCTTCGTCGCCAGAGAGGTAGCCGGAGATATCGATCACTGGGATAGTCACCTCGACGGAGCCCATCTTGATAGTTGCAATGGAGGGTATTCAAATGGAAATGGAAGAAATTGAAGCTATTCCGGAGTCTACAGACTCTACTTCGTGTGATTTGAAATGGCAAGGGCGTCTGCAGGGGACTGTGATAGAGAAGAGTTCAACGGCTGATAACATCGATAGGGCTTGCGACTTTATATTAGATTTGATTGACCCTGTGAACTTTGATAACTTACTTTGCAACTATTTGTTCCGCATGCCGATATCACATGTACCTCCAGGATATCAACGAGCTTGATGCGCGGGAACGGGGGACGATGTGGACCCAGAAACCGGGACCCCATCTATGGAGTAGAAACCCGCGGGAATGGGCGCAGTGTAAAGTGGCCTTACCCTATCATATTTGATATATATCATGGCTAGTAGTTGAAGTGTCAGGGGAGGTTACTGGCCTCCTCGGATAAGAGCGCAAGGATTAAATAGACACTGGGACACAGGTTTCGGAGATCCGCGCAGGCAGCTGTACCGGCAATCAACAACTGTGTGCCAGGCAGATCGATACCCGTCTTGAACTGATACGCGCTGATACAGATGAGCGTGAAGGAGATTGGAATACATAAACACATCATGCCACGACCGAGCTCTGCTGAACACCTTCGACTTCGAAGCCCATTCTTCCCCCTTGCAAAATGAAGAAGGCAATCAAGCTACCCTTTCTCCCAGAGTTGCGACTTAACTCACCCTATTGGCAAAAGTATAGCTCCATCCCCACGTTTCTTAATGCAAGGCCATGGCATTCCCCGGCTAACCTAACGCGATAGTGTCATCATCGGAATTCTTGTCGGGTTGTCAGCGGGTCTCTATGTGGCGCTGAACCTCCTGGGTGCCGGCGGAGGGAAACCCAACTCGGCCCAGACAGTCCAGATTGTCAATGCCACGCTATGCAGCGTATGGTTCTTCTCGGCTTCTTTTGGAGGCTCGGTACTCAACACCGTCGGCCCCGCAATCACCGGTTGCTTAGGCGTGATCGGGTACATGATCTATGTCGGCAGTCTCTGGTATTTTGACCACACCGGAAAGCAGGGCTTCCCCATCTTCGCCGGTGTGGCAATTGGAGTAATACACACCGACCTCGGATCCTTCTGTAGGATGGCATGCTGACGTTGTAAAGGTATCTGCCGGGCTCATATACGTTACAATGGGGTATATCGCAATGTCGTACTCCGAGGAGAAAGATCGCGGTTCATATATTACCATGTCAATAAATCTCCAGGCTATGGGCTCGGTCGTTGGTGGCATCATTCCTTTAATCATAAATCGCCACTCGGTCAGTGTAGCAAATTGTTAAGTACCGAAAGATGTTGGTGCTAACTCCATTGCCAGACTGAAGCTGCCGGTGTCCCAACTGCGGTATATGTTGTCTTTATCGTCTTGATGGGAGTTGGCGCTTGCATGGCTTTCCTTCTGCAGCCACCCCAGAAAATAGTGAGAGACGATGGAACTCAGGTAGCAACGGTAGCGCCTCGAGGCTTCATTGAAGAGTTGAAAGCAAACCTTGAGATATTCAAAGACTGGAAACTCCTGATAATGGTAATGACCCCTGATATCTGAAGTGTTCAATTTTACGAAACTAACATATCTCCCTGTACAGATTCCAGCCTTCCTGCCGGCCGAATGTTTTCTTGTCTATGGGGGCTCGGTAAATGCTTTCCACAATGATCTCCGGACAAGGAGTCTTCTGTCATTTATTGCAGTGTGCCTACAGATCCCGTGCGGATATGGGTTGCAGAAGATCTTGGATCACAAAACTTGTAAGTCGATTGTGATCCCCAGAACTAAATCGATGAAGCATCTGACGTAATAAAAGGGGCTCGTAGGACCAGAGCTTTCATTGGATTGGCAGTAGTTGGCATTCCCCTGATGGGAGCATGGATTTGGGAGATTGTTCGGACACGAAATTACAACCGACACGATCCCCCCAAGAATCCAACGGACTGGACAGACGGCAACTTTGTTGCGATCTTTTTCCTGTTCATGTTGAACTGGGTAGCGAGCTCCCTTTGGCAATACATTGTTATGTATTTCCTTGGGTGCTTCACGAACTCTCCACGAAAAGCAGCCAATTATGCTGTAAGTCCGTCCTATCTCTACATTGGTTTGATCTAACCAAGTTATAGGGTGTATTCCGTGGGTTTCTTGGTGCCGGTGAAGCTATTTGCTTCGGGGTCGACTCAATTAATGTTCCTTACATCAAGGAAGCAGCTGTCATCTTCACCTTTTATGCAACTGGTGTCCTCATCTTCATATATCTGGCTGCGTTCCACATCAAGGAAACAAAATATTTCGTTGAGGACGACGTTGTCGTTCCAAAGCATATCTTGGAGGGACATGCCCACGATGGTGAGGCCGTTGAAGTTGGTGGAGAGAGCCAGGGCACCTCTATTGAGGGTGAGAAAAAGATGCCTCTGCCAGAAAATGCCGCCGAGAAGTCGGTCTAAAATTATCATGGCAGTGCCAGATTTCTAGTGTAAGTTTAGGCATGCTCCCGGGTTTTTGAGAGTCAAGGGAATTGGAATAGAATTGTCCGAATCATTATAGAATTCAGCATAGACCTTTTTGGGAACCTTTAATCCATTTCGAAATCAAACTCTGCATTCCAATTTGTTGGTACTTGGGAATATAACCAACTGTGCTCTTCAACAGTAGAAGATCCTGCCGGGTGAAAGAAGGAGCCGAAATTGAACATCTCGTCAAGGTTGGTAACTGGGTCCATAAGTTCCTCGGGAAATCCAACGAGAGTGCTGAGATCCGAGGTCCCATGGGAAAAACTTCGGGTTCGAGCTCGCTGGGTTATGAAGTCGACGTAATCTTTCTTGACTGGTGCTAACAGTCGCTCATACTCCTCCAAGCAACGTGATGCAGCAGGCCACCGCTCTGCCATCGTTGAAAACAGGCGTGAGAACGAGGCCATAAAGCCTTCGACCTGATCTAAAGAGTATAGAGTACAGACACTATCTTTGCACCTCTGAAGCGCTTGTAGAAAAGCAACAGCTGAGGCAAATGTGTGATGACATTGGTGAAACACGTACTTGCTGTTGCCAAAGTCCAGATTTGCCTGTGTGAAGTATCCGTCCGCGACCCTTACCGCTGCTATAAAAGCTTTCATAAGGTTTTGGCAGGTTGGTTCCCGGATCCGAGGACTGGGCCGGTAGAGAGTGACTATAATGTACGGAGTTGCAATATTAGCGTAGAGGTCCATTTCTGCCCATTGTGAATTCAGAGAAGGATCCATGTTGGAGGCTGCGGAGCGATGAACTTCGTCGTCCCATTCGTGTATGGCCTTCTCCATACTGTCCATCCAAGCCTCTAGTGACATTGAGGCATCGGATGGCTCTTCATTCTGGAAGAGGACTGACACAATCTCGCATTCAATCTGACGGAAACGCCATATTCTATGAGATGTGAACTTAGATGGCCGGCCTTTTGGATCAATCCCGGCCCCACAGATAGCGTTGTCCTCAATGTCCGTGGGGAAAGATACATTGATATTTTTACCAAGAAGGCTTGTTGGTCGCAAAAGCCCACCACAGACTGCAATCTCCATCTCATAGGCGCACCAAAAGACGCGGCGCCTCATATCCCGGGTAAGGATCGAGACAGGAGAATCTGGGGGAAGTTCTTGGTGTAATCCGAGGTCTATGCAAGCCTGACTTGAAAATCCCGAAAGCAGCCATATATTGGCAGCGCCGGGGTCAAGAAAGGCGTACTGAAGCAGCAAGAGCAAGGCCTGTAGCCCTTTGAAATCATTCGTGAGAACTTCCGGAATTTGACGAATAGCATTCTTAAATAGTCCGGAAGCAATGGAATTTGCTCGTGCTTGCTGAGTTCTAGCGGCAGTAGTCAAAGAGATGGCCATTATGAGACTGACAACATATATCTCATAGGCATTTGCTTCCGCTCCGAAGTTCGAGTTCCCTGATGACCGCTTGAAGACAGAATTGTAGCAAGATATCACGTGGTTTGAGTAGAAGATTGGATACTGAGCTGCTACCCGGTTCATATAATTATCAAAGAGATATTTGGATGCATCGAGTGGTATCGAATTTAATGGTGTGCCAAGCGGAAATGGATTGATGATTGATCTGGGATGGTGCTCATCTATGTCCGTGGCCCCGAAAAGTCGGGTTGAGGGGATTCGAGTCCCGACAACAACACACCGTGCAAACGGTATAGCTGCTGATAAGCCTAGAAAGTTCGGCGTGAAGTCTTTAATGACGAGATCCGACAGAGAGCATTGCTGACCGCCAGGAGAACTTGGAGGATGGGCAGCCGGGCTGAATTCTTGCCCTGGCCCCGTTGACCTCAGGCTCGAATGATGCCTCTCGCGATTTGCGATTTCCGTCTCCAGGTACTGGGCAATGCTCCGTGGAGCTGCTCGTTTGGTTGACGAATCCAACGCAACACAAGGAACGCCGGCATCGACACACCGCGAACAGGCTGGGGAGACAGCATCACACTGAAACCGTGAGACACAGCCAGTGATGTGATCGAGAGTCTACTTACCATTACCTTCCGCAAACGACATCGGGCGCAAGCAACAGCTCGTCGACGGACACGAGCCTGTGAGGACATCTCACGCGTGGTAGGTGAGGGGGCCATGCCGAGGAGGGAGGAGGAGGCAGGGAACAAACCTAGAGAAGAACTCCACGGCTGGCCTGTAAGATCACGAGTAAATACTCGGTACCTACCTTAGGCAAATTCGGTAGAAGATAAGCTAAATAAACTATTTGGGTTACCTAAATACTTATAAATATCTCCTTATCTTAGCGTGATTATATAATAGGCCCTCAACGGTCACGGCTCAACAGTGGGGGGATAATGCCAGCCAAAACTCCCTCCCTTAACGCCGCATTCGCCTTACAACTCGGCATATATCCACGACTCCCGCTCCCGGGTCGGCTTTCTTGGTAGATATGTCCAGCAAGGATGGAACAAATAAACCTCACGAGAGGACCGCGGCTCGACGAGCTGCTAAGTACTTTGCCTGCATGTCGTCGTTGCCGGGCAAATAGGAGGCGTTGCGACACCCTGCTGCCCTCGTGTCGCAATTGTGCCAAATCCGGGGCGGAGTGTGTTTTTTTCGATCATGTGCTAGATGAAGACCTTCCTCGAAGGTAGGTGGGCAGTTCTTTATTAGTTGGGAGTCAAGAGAAAACCTGACCACATCTATCAGCTACATCTCATCTCTCGTGGAAGCTCTCGATCAAACCTCCTCACCAAACCAGTCACAAGCGGCTGGACAGCAAGCTAATGGTAATGGATCCGCTCGGAGAGAGTATCCCACAATTTCTCTTTAATAACCATCTTGACATAGGACCAGAGTCAGACGGTGGACCCTCTGCTCCAGGCTCAGCCAGACAGACTTCTCTTCCACGAGAAGATTCAAGATATATTGGACAGCGCTCAGCCCTTTCTCAAAGCCTTGCTATTAGAGGTCCTGAGAGTTTCTCTATACCTCCCGATGAATCTACATATCCTCTTGAGGAACTTGGGGAAGATTTGATTGTGAAGCCCAGAATGCACCATTTCCTGCTCCAAAAGTATCTGTCGGTCATCCATCCAATATACCCATTTCTGGACAGTTCACTTCCATTTTTGTCTCCTCACACCACGCCTACCCAAGACCTTTCTCCGGCAGAGACATTCATATTACAAATGGTTTACTCAATTACCTGTCAGTGCATACAGGGAAGGGGTAATCAGCTTTTGCCTCTGTCAGATGCTTGCTACACACGAGCACTCCAACATATTGACAGCGCTACAGCAAATCTTACCATAATAACATTGCAAGCAATCACGCTCCTAGCGATGCATAGTCTTTTTGATCCCCAAAAGGGTAACTTCGGTCAGCTCATCACCTTGGCCGCTAGACTGGCAATCGATATTGGAGGACAAGATATGCCCGCACGCGGCGAAAACATGCGCAACATCCATTCATCCATATATTGCATGGAGAATCAAGTTACGGTTGCATTAGATAGACCGCCCTTTCTACCAGAGCCAGTAGGTGCATCATCAAGTCACGTTGACTTCTCTAACACTGAATCAGAAACGGGCGATCGAGTTCGATGTATCACAGCCTTCTGAGTTTCTTTGCTCCCTGTATCGGGTCCAATCCAAATTCCGAAAGGGAGCTGTCTCTGAGGCTCGGAAATTGCTGCAAGTATTGAATATAGAAGAATTGGAGAGACAAGCCAATTCAGATCATCCTATCAGCCCAAACATTATGTCCGCTGTATACGAAACCCAACTCCTTATGGACCCCAACACCACTTCCGCCATTCGCCTTCTCAATACGTATGCGCACCCAAACCATGTTGAGATATTTCTGACGCCTCAATGGGTATATCGGGCGGGGCTTATTCTTCTGGAACACCAAGACACTGAGAAGGAGAGACGTTCGACAGTGATGGAAGGCTACGGGACATCTTTGATACTTTTAGATCGAGCTGCTCTGAGATGGAAGGGGGCTGCAGCCATGAGCGAGTCTCTTCGCTCGTATATGAAGCGGTCTGAGGGTCGGTAGCCATCTGCAACTGAAGAAATAATAATTGCAGACGTCAGTCTCCGTCCCTGGGGTCTAGAGATAACATTTAGCGATCACCACGGACGAGCTAATTCGAAGCTACACGCCCTTAATAGGGAAGATATACTCTTATATAATTAGTAGAAAACCTGTAACAATTCCATAATAAATATCAGAAAATCCCAGTCCAAAAATAGGATATAGGGGTCGCCCTCCCCATCTGTGATTGGCTTAGGCGCTACGGGCGCTAGTCAACAGGGGCTGGCAGCCGAGAGGACGCCGGATGATGTCGAGTGCTCAATATCATTCTTCACTGTGATCGAGGACGAACGGGCTGCAAGCATCGCAGCAGAAACATGAGCAATGTTCAACTTTTCAAGCCTTGTGCAGAAGGCCCAATCGTTCATTGACCCTACACAAGCCCTCAACATATCTGCGTCCGACCGCAATCCTGCGAAATCCACGCTCTTCCGCCATCAGTTTCGACTGCCGGATACACAAACCCCTCTACAAGAGATCAATGCGGAGCTTACAATCAGTCCGCCCATCGCATATGCTCCAAATGCCACACAAGGGGAGAAAGACAGAGATCGGGACAGAGGCTATCATTACGCTGGGAAGCTCCATCTGAGTGAAGCTTACCTGTGCTTCTCAACACAGCCTACAAGCTTCCTACAGACAGCAAGTACGAGCACATCATCTGGATTCACCGGGCAAACACATGGTGCCGGACCTGGTGGCAATGGTTTTACGCTTCCCTTATGTGCTATCAGACGTGTCGAGCGGCTGCATAGCCAAAGCTACCAGGTAGAGGACCCGTCTCAACATTCATGTCAATTGCTAACCTATTATATAGTTTGCCTTGGCGATCACGACATGGAATGGAATCAGCAATACACCCGCAACCGACTCAAAAACTCCCGTCTACCAGCAGAAGATCACAATACAACTCGCTGGCACCCGCCAGGCTTGTGAAAGGTTTTGCGATGGGTTGAAAAAGGGCCTCAAATCAGGCGTGGGCGATGTTGGCAAGTTGAAAAGAGTGGTCTCAGAGTGCTACTCGGAACATTTGCTTTCTGGCGATAGCAAGAAATCTGATCCACCCGATGCAGGACTGGGCATGATTTTCAAATATCCTGGGGATGCCAAGAAGCTACGCGATAGAAGCAAGATGAGGCTATGGGCAGAGTATCTACGAGATAACGGACGGAATGTCACGCTGATACGTCAGCCAACGTTTCACAAGCTCATCCGTGTCGGATTGCCGAATCGGCTCCGAGGAGAGATATGGGAGCTGACATCTGGATCTTTATTCCTACGCTTGGAGCATCCGACGCTATACCAAGAAACTTTGGCAAAATTCGAGGGTAGAGACTCTCTTGCGATTGATGAAATCGAGAAAGATTTGAACCGAAGTCTTCCAGAATATCCCGGATTCCAAAGCGAGCAAGGAATCGGTCGTCTGAGAAGAGTACTCACAGCCTATAGTTGGATCAATGAGGAGGTCGGATACTGCCAAGCCATGAACATCGTCGTTGCAGCGTTACTCATATACATGTCGGAATCTCAGGCGTTCTTTCTCCTGTCTGCGCTCTGTGACAGACTGCTGCCGGGATACTATTCAACGACCATGTACGGCACGTTGCTTGATCAACGAGTTTTCGAGTCCCTCGTGGAGAAGACCATGCCAATCCTTTGGGACCATCTGGTTAAATCAGACGTTCAGCTTTCCGTTGTCTCCCTGCCATGGTTCTTATCACTATATATTAACTCGATGCCTCTGGTCTTCGCCTTTCGCGTTTTAGATGTTTTCTTTCTCGAGGGCCCAAAGGTCCTATTTCAGGTTGGACTGGCCATTTTACGTATTAATGGGGAGGAACTTCTGGACGCCACCGATGATGGCGCTTTCATATCTGTGTTAAAATCATACTTTTCAAAATTGGACGAATCAGCGCATCCAAAATCGGAAAATGTGAAGCTCAGAGCAGTTACTCGCTTCCAAGAGCTTATGGTTGTCGCCTTCAAAGAGTTCTCGGGCATCACACAAAGCAGTATCTCGGAACAGCGGATGAAGCATAAGGATAGTGTCCTGAATAACATAGAGAGCTTCGCAAAACGAACTTCGATACGCAACCTGGGCCCAGATAGCAAACGACTGAGCGTTGATGAGCTGGGTGCCCTATATGATAGATTCTATGGAATACTGTACGAGCGGCAGCAGAGAAATCAAATGATACAAGAAGAGGCGGAAAGGCGAGCGAAAGCCAGCAGAGCAATGGCAGCCGAAGTCGTCAACGGGCTTTCTGAGACTCAGAGTATCGAAAAGGGTCGTGTGGGCTTAGGACCAAGCCCTACGCTGATGGACTACGATGGATTTCGGGAGTTCCTTGCGGGGATGGCTAAGTGGGCTATCACCGATTCCCCATCATCTCCGGAGAAGGAGAACTTCTCAGAGCGGGAGAAGCATTCATATTTTGGTAATAGCGTGCGACGCAGGGAGCTGTCACCATGGGGTGGTAAGCCCGAACCAGCGGACCACGAGTTTATGCAGCGACTATTTCGACGATGGGATGTGGACATGAACTCGGCTTTGACCTTACAGAATGTCGTTGCCGGTTTGGCCCATATAAAAGGGAAGGGGGATATTATGGGCAGTATCACATACTTCTTCGAGCTTTACGACGACGATGGCGACGGGAAAGTTGATCGCGAGGGGATACTACGGATATCTGAAGCGCTTCTCTTCCTGTCTCGTAGAGGGCTAGAAGGTTCATTGACCCCGTCGAGTTCGATGACAGGTTTGAGCGAGTATGAAGCTGGAACGGGGGGTCTAATTGATGGAGCTCAAGGAAGCACAAACGAGCGGTTTCTCAGCAGCGTCAGTGCCTTCATCCGACGATGTTTTGAATACGCCGACCCAGATCATCCACAAAATCACGAAGACACTCCAAATAACAAAAACAATTCCGGCGTTGGCAAAGACAGTGATGACGGGGAAGATCTCCTTGATCTCGGCTCACCAGATACTGAAACAGCTCCATCGAGAGGCAATAAGCCCACCGGTCTTGCGGCCGTACCACCCCCCTCATCAAATCCAGTGGGCATAGAGGCCCGACGAAGCTCCTCCAAGGCCCAAGCCGCAGCCGCAAATGCGGCGCTAGACCCCTCCAAACCACTGCACATTACGCTCCCGACTTTCCGCATGGTCGTACTTGCCGACGAGCTCCTCGAGCAATTCTTCGAATCTTCCTTCCCCGCCTCCTTCCACATCACCGACAAAATCGCTCCTACGCCAGTTACCTCTTCGTCCCCCCTCACAACGTTCGCCAACCTCGGTTTCAACCGCCGGACCGCAACTCCCACGACTGCGGGTGTAGGCGGCACTGGATCAGCGGGTCTCGTGCCCCCCGGCAAAGGCCTCCGCGGCGTGCTCGACAACATTGTCACGGACGGCATGCGCGTGGCGGCTGAGGTACGACGCCGGATGGATGAGGCGCAGAAGGAGATGGAGAAGAATGCCCTGCAGCGACCCGACGACGACGATGAAGATGACGACGGGTACGAGTCTCGAACACCTGGTGGATATGGTGCAGATGCCGAGCGCAGGAGTGTCCGGAGTGAAGATCGGGATCTGCTTGAGGGCGCGGATGCAGAGGCAGGGAGCAGTAAGGGTCAGGATGGTGTCAAGACGACGAACTTGAGCCCGGTTAGTTCTGGATCAGGAACGGGAGCTGGAGGCCGGTCAAGGAGCGCTAGTACAGCTACGCAGAAGGTGGTGGAGTTTGAGCGGTGATTCTCTCTCTCCCTCTCTTTTTCTCTTTCCTCTTGTCATTTCTGATTGGGTTGAGGCGGGGGAGAAGGATATATGGGCAGGAGTTTAAGAGAGGGTTGTTTTAGCGTATCTTGTATGTATCATTGCGGGTTTGTGGGATCTAGGAATGAATTCAGGGGGGGATTAAGTCAACCTGTTTCTGTATCTTTTGGGTATATCTGTTGAGCTGGCCTCTTGGGCCCATGCCCGTTCTCACTATTCCTATTCTTACGAGGATGTGCAGATATCTACAGAGCACGTAGGGTATATATCTGTGTATTGTTGATATGGGACCTTTCACTGGCAAAACGGGAGATTTCACTGTGAGGCGGGGCTTAAGGCCGTCGGCGTTTGGTGGGCGGGGGAAAAGGGCGGGCAGAATAGACCAGCAACGCAAAAGGTGGGATGTACTGGGGGACACGCAGCTTCATGAAGAGCAACAAACTGGATTCTGGCAAGAGAAGATCAACGATGCAAAGGAATGCAGGAAGAGATGGCCGGAAAAATACAGTCGGGCAGGCTGGATGTAGATGCATATAATATATAGGGTATTCTCTATCTTCCCGTGCAGGCCATATCATATAATCATATATATAATCATGATCATATACCTAGTCATATAGGTAATCAGGCCGACCATTATAAACATGGCAGTACGGCACCCCACAGCGCCGCCACGCGCCGGACTGATGACGATGCAAGGTCCGCCCGCCCCTCGCCTCCCCCCCCAACGAGGGGCTGCAACACCACTCAAAGCGACCGTCTCCGATTTTTCCAATTTCTCAACCTCCATAAAACCCATCACATCTCTTCGTCCCCGCCACCTCTTTTCCAACCCCATTTCATCTCCACATCTACAGCAAAGGAGCTGATTCTTGATACTCAACACCATATTCACGCCCCCCGCCATCATGTCTACCTCTCTGGACCACCTGAAGGCCACTGGCACCGTAAGTCCTTCCTCCCCCACCCCCCGCTGATCGGAGAACCCGGAAATCTCCCATCTGTTGAGACCTTGGCGGTGTCAAATCGCCTTCTCTCTTCAATTATGCGGATTCCGGGCGTCCAAGAACGAGTATGCTGACTCTCTGTCGCCGTTTAGACCGTTGTCTGCGACTCTGGTAAGCTTCAATCCTGGGGCAGCGTCCGAAGAATCTGAGCTAACGGTCTATCTCGAATAGGTGACTTCGCAAGTACGTCTCCTCCCGACACGCGCATCTCCCAAAGGGCTCGAATGAACAAACAACTGACCATTTCCAGCAATCGGCAAGTACAAGCCTCAAGATGCCACCACCAACCCCTCCCTCATCCTTGCCGCTACCCAAAAGCCCGAGTATGCCAAGCTCATGGATGTTGCCATCGCATACGGCAAGGAGCACGGCAAGACGCTCGACGAGAAGATCGATGCGGCTCTCGACCGTCTCTTGGTTGAGTTCGGAAAGGAGATCTTGAAGATTGTGCCCGGAAAGGTGTCAACTGAGGTCGACGCCCGCTTCTCTTTTGATACCAAGGCCTCTGTTGACAAGGCACTCCACTTAATTGAGGTAGGTCCTCTCCAACCTGCTAATGGTCAGAGGCTGATCGAGGATAGCTCTACAAATCCATCGGTATCGACAAGTCCCGCGTCTTGATCAAGATTGCTTCCACATGGGAAGGTATTCAGGCCGCCCGTATCCTGCAACGGGACCACCAGATCAACTGCAACCTGACCCTCATGTTCTCCAAGGTCCAGGCCATTGCTGGAGCCGAGGCTGGCGCCTTCCTGATCTCACCATTCGTTGGCCGTATCCTGGATTGGTACAAGGCCAAGACTGGAAAGACCTACTCCAAGGAGGAGGACCCAGGAGTGGCATCTGTCAAGGCCATCTATGACTACTACAAGAAGTACGACTACAAGACCATCGTCATGGGTGCTTCTTTCAGAAACACTGGGGAGATCACAGAGTTGGCTGGCTGCGACTACCTGACCATCTCGGTATGTTTCCAGGACCACATTCACATTTACAGCAGAAACTAACACCGCGTAGCCCAACCTGCTTGAGGAATTAATGACAGCCACTGCGCCTGTCCCGAAGAAGCTCGACGCTTCAGGCGCCAAGAGCCTCAACATCGAGAAGAAGTCCTACATCAATGACGAGCCCAACTTCCGATTCGATTTCAACGAGGACACCATGGCGGTGGAGAAGCTGCGCGAGGGTATCAGCAAGTTCGCCGCTGATGCCGTCACCCTGAAGGATATCCTGAGCAAGAAGATTGTCGCATAGAATTTTCATTTTTGCTAGACGGGGAAAAGGGAAATTGTTCGCCGGCTGGGGAGGAAGGGAAGTAGATTGGTTGATCCTTGACCCAGTGATCTATAACGCATGGACGTAGTTACGATCGGCAGCAGTGATATATATCATGAGTTCTGATGCTCTTCCCCCGTCCAATGCCTTCCCCGTACAAATACCCGTATCACCCGCGTCAGAATAGGTAGCTCAATAAGTCAACATGACGACAGCGTCCATCAAGGCCGTCTATCAAGCCGTCGATCACGCCGTCAATCAAGATCTCTATTTATAATCCCATCACGTGAATATGCCCGACACCGAGTAGATTTTATACGAGGCTAAGTACACTTGTACCTGACTCCCCTGACGTCATCTACATTTTGGAAAACCCCCTCCTTAAATATCAACTGTCCCCTGGATAGAAAACTAGGTAGAAACTAGTGGAATGAATTCGTACTGGATGAGTTGGGACATCATATTCTTTCTGTATTTTGCTTTGTCGTTTATGTTTTATTGTACAGTAGAGTAGTGGTACAGTATAGGTAGGTACTTTTCATTCGTCGTTCAGATATATCATCCCATCCCTTCTCGTCAAGATATGCCATCCTGCCTTATAGTAGTAGTACCTAGGTAGGGTAGCTGAATAATCCAATTCAATCCAAATCCAAATCCAAATCCAATCCAATCCAATCAACGAGCAAAAGCGCCGCTCACGAAACACCCCAAAAGAGGAAAAAAAAAGAAGACAAGAGAAACCGTCGACACTTCTAAAACCGCCTCTGATCCCTCCTCTCCCCATCCGCCCCAGGCACCACGCCCTCCCGATTCTTCGTCAATCTATTAAAGCGACCTGACGCCATCTCATCCTCGCCCGCTGCCGCAATAGCGCTATTCCGCTCCTCGCCCGTTTTCTGTTCCTTGTCTGTTAGTCTTGCATGGAGAGGGAGGGGGGAAAAGGGGGGGGACAGTACGTCGTGAAAGAGTCGATCGATTTCAGCGTTTATGTTACCGCGTAGTGATTCTCCTGCGCCGTGCACAGCGGCTACGAGACCTTTGAGTCCGGATGCGGACTCGTGGAATTTGTCGCCCGTGTGGTGTGCGGTGTCTGCGGCTGTGCTGTGGTGGTGGGAGTCGGGGTTGTATGTGCTGATTTGGTTCGTTAGCTTTCCTTTTTTTTTTCCCCCCCTTCTCTCGTGCTTGGTGATTGATGGATGGGTGGGTGGTGAAAAGGGGAGAGAGGTTACTGTTCATTCGCGCCGGTGGTTCCGGTGGTCTGCCCCGCGGTGTCGTAGGGAACGTGTGAGGTCCCGCTTGTCGCTGTGCTGGTGTCCTGATATGCTGGGCCGCTGGAAGCGTACCCGGATTCTTGCACTGGATGCGACTGCGCAGCTCCATAGGGAGGTCTTGGAGGAGGATCAGGCTTCGTAGATCCGGTGGGATAGGGGTTATTGCTCTGGAGGTTCTGGGTTTGACCGGTGGTCTGGCCGGGGTATTGAGAGTCGAAGTTGCTGCTCATCTTTGCGGATTTTTGACAGTGATCAAGAAGATAACTCTGGGAAAGTCGAGACAATTGGAGATATTGAAGAGAGGAAAAGGTGTTCTTTCATATGAATGAAGAAATGTAGAATGGTTCCTGATCAGATATCAGATAGATATAGGGAGGAGCGACAACACGTGCATGTGACGTCACGATTCCAAGAATGCTGCCCCGTCGCCACTTGGAGAGAGGGGCAACAGGGGTCAATCCTTACAATGACACTCGATGATCTGCCTCCCCCTTAGTATTGCCCCGTCATTCCATCATTGCCGTATGTTCCACGTTTGTAACTTACAGGTTGTGCTCTGTCTGCTCAGCCTTCCATTTGGATCTCCACGTGACTTGAGGCAATGCTACATCTGACCGATACGTACATCTTCGCAAAGTATTGCAAGGTGTGGTATTCTCACCTAGATTGTGTCGTTACCATAGATCAGGTCCCTGGGGAGGTAGCTAAGTTATGTTCTTGGCTATTGCATAGTTTGCTGTCCTCTGTCCTTTGTTAAAATTCAGATATTCCAAGAACCTGTCAGAGAGTACCTCATTTGATCACACAGAAAATCCTTAGCTGCCTCAACAACAAAAGAATCATCTCAAAATCACATAATCCAAAAGTGCCAGGCAACTGGCATCAGCTATGACTCTGGAAGCAGGTTACACCTTATTGCGTTCATCGTATCTCACTACGCTGGAGTGCTGTTCGCAATTCTATTCATCATGTTTGTGTGGTTTCGACAAGTCTTCCTACAACTAAGACATGTTCAGCAATTAATCAACGACCGAAAGGAGTGAAGAAACAGACCTACAGGAGCATCTAGAGAACCAGCAAATGATGCCCGGGACCCAGTTTCCAAATCGGTCTTGGATTGGCCTTTATCAACATCCTGTTATGCTCTTGATCTCCTTATCCAGAAGTAGGTTCGTTAGGTGGTCCATATTATCCAACGAGTATTTGATATGGTCATGACGGGGAGGGGGAGTAGATCATTAGCGAGAGAGATGGCATTCCTTTTCCAAAATGCCCGGCTGGTATCAACATGCTTTCCACTCATTTCTCATTCTCAGTAGTTACTGATATTTCCCGAGTAATTGACAACGCAGCCCCCTCCTTAAATATGAGTATCTTTTGTTGTACATCGCACCTTGAGATAAGGTTTGATCACTGCATCTCATTGAAAATCATCATCTCATTGTACTCATTTCCTCCAATTCAGATGCTGGGTATCGTGAAGCCTTCCGGGCATAATCATTCCGAATGTCCCTCGTTGAGGACCACTTCCAGCACTATTTGATTCCCCGCTATTTCCGGATGAGCCATCGCCAGTTTCAAGGTCCTCCGCTCCGCTCCGTTATCACAACCTGGTGAATTCATATGACTACTGGCATTACCCGCTCCAAGCGGATTGACCCCGTAATCTAAACACCGCACATCTCTGCCCGCAATGACTTGTCGCAGTCTGCCATTCTCGGCATTTCTAATCTCGACGAAATCACTGTCGAATAGGAGGAGGTACGCCCCGTACATACCGGCGTGTTTTGCCTTGCCCACGAACTCCATGATGACCGACCTTGATACATCGCCGTGCTTGTCAACATAGACACCGCATTCTTCGTAACATAGCAAAAATTCCGCATCTGATAGCCTAAACATGCCAAGAGGCTTCTGGCTCGCAATCCTGTTTGCAATATTGCTGATGGTAGGGTTCTTCAAATCCGGGATACTCATTGGGACCTTCTTATCCAATGTCATGAGCTCAAAACCCTTCAGTGTACTTATAGCAATATAAGTATGGAAGAGATTGATTGTGAAGCATTCAGTCGGGATGTAAAATTCATCGAATTCTCTAAAGAATTCCGTTGTCCCACCACCGAACTTCCTGCCGAAGAGTCGAGACTTTTTCTCCGTGGATTTCTGGAACACGGGTTCCAGAACTTTGAAGGTGGAATGCAGCCCTTCACGCTTCTTGTAGAATACCAAAGTCCGGTCTTTCATGCGGGCAGTCGCAAAGAAGGATACATCACGAGTGCCGGAGAGCTTCTGAGGTGCCCGCCGAGCAGAATCGTGTTGTGGGCCTGGGAAACTGGTCGTTGGTACGATTACATCGAGGTGATATGCTATTAAGGCTTTGTCGGCGATGATAAGGCAGAGAGAGAATTCTTCCAGGACTGCTATTTGAGTCACCCGAGCAATTTGGATCGCCTAGGTGTGTTAGCGTGAGCTATGAAATATATTGTTCTCAACTCACTCTTGTCCAGCCTCGAGGATTTGACGCCTCCGAAATATAGACACCGTAATCCGTCCCGATCGCAACCATCTGCTTTCCGTGGCAGTTGAACGCTGTAGCACAGTTAACTTGAGCCCTGCATACTGGCCCTGGCCTTGGCCCTGTTCCATATGTGGCTTCCATCTCTCGGATCGCTCTATCCAATGGTGTCCCTTTCACAGAAACTACGCTCTTTTGCGTTCCAGCTGTCATCACATCATAAGCAAAGGCGCTGTCAGCCATGACTCGTAACCGGAATGGCTCAGCATTCTGCTCAAACAAAGATGCTGCATGGCGAGTTTTGGCTTCCAATATTTTGTCGCACCAATCTTGTCGGTTTTGTGCAGATGGCGCGTAAAGAGTATATACTTCGGTCTTCCCGAGGTGTTTGATTCGGAAAGGGTACATTGACCTGGTATCGTCGTTCGAGCTTGATGGATTGAGCCTTGTCACCGACGCTACTGTTGCTGTAGAGTTGCTTGAGCTGGTATGTTCTAAGGCATTCGTTTTCTCAATACTGTTCATCGCAGTTCGTGGGATTCTTGTCTCCACAGCAGAGCTTGGCGCGGGTTTGGTAACAGTTGTGACAGCACCGATCCCTTTCACAGAGGATTTGACGACTGGGTCATCATTGGTACTCTCAAGGACCAAGAGCTGCATTGGGATAGGCTACAGAATTAGTCCAGAGACGACATCAGAAGAAAGATAATACTCACAAGCTTCGATACATCGTAAACCTCTTTCTTCCGCCCACCACCGGCATCTCGTTGAACGACAGTCTTGGCGAGTACGAGATAATGATCAAAGAGGATGGCATGTGTCTCTAGCCAGGTGAAGCGATTGGCACCAGCACGTTGAAGATCACCCTGGAAGAGAAGCTCTCGACCTAGATGATCGAGGTTCAATTCTACCCGTTCCATTCCTGGCCGGAGGAACAGTTTGGCTTGCAACTCGATCATCTCGACCTTTTTCGATTGTTCATCCACCTTCGCATCACATTCAAGCGTGACTGCCTTAATTTCTTCTATGGCAGTCGAAAGGTTCGCCTTCTCTTCAGTATCCTGCGTCATGTTGTGTAGAACAGTGTTGAGTAGAAGTGTGTATCGCTGTAATCGAGTAATGGGTGCCTTGAGGTAGGTGTTCCAATCAAGGCGGCCAGAAAGCTTATTGTCTCGAGCTTGGTCTAGAAATTGTCGGAATAGAAGGTTCCTGTCCGCCTCACGTCGTACCAAATATGTAGCATATGGGAACCCAGCGGCATATTCAATGTACGCAGTTCTGGCCTTTCGAATCCACTCTCGGAAGATATCGCTGAAGCCTATGATCCAGGGGCCTTGTTCCTTCTGTCGATATTTCAGCTGCGCCAGGAGATAGTTCTCATTGACCTCCTTGATAGCTTCAATTTTACCAAAAACGGATGTGATGAATTTTGAAATCTTCGATTTGGCAATGATGGGTGGTTGCCACGTCGACAGCTCGTCTCTGTATAATACTCGCAGGACATTGATTTGGTCCATGTATGTATCCTCAGACATGACAATCTCGTGCAGATTGTTCTGGCGCTGGATCTCCTTTTTGTTCGCACCCTCAAGTTGCTCTTTCGTAACTTTGAAGAAGGTGACCCAATCCTCGGATTTGCGCGATGGCTCAAGATTTCGCTTTTGAAGATTGATCTTCTTCAATGTTCTGCCGCAGTGATGCGAATAACATCGGCCATGGATCTCCGGCTCGTGAAGCTTAGGTGCATAGCAACCAGACCCAGTCAATTGCCACAGGACCCCAGCAACTTTACCATGACCGAACTTGACCCATTCTTCTTCAGGCAAGAGGATACCAGCATCAAGCATTGACTTGACGACCTTTTGACTCAGTGTTTCTGCATCAGCTGTGTTCATAGTAGGGACTTTGTGGGTGAAGAGAGCTACGAGTCCATCCTCAATTGTCTTTTGCCTGAGATCCGATTCTCCTTCACCAGTCTCTCCGCCAGCCATCTCTCGGATCCACCCCGCGAGCCCGCTCAAAGCCCAGGGTTCCTGACATTTTCTAAAATCTGCAGACGACAATCTTGACGGTGAGAACTTCTTTCGTCTTCCGGCTGGAAGTGCAGGGAGATCAAGCGCGACTGTTGACTGCGGAGTTGCCGAGGCCAAATCGTAACCATCTATGCCAGAGCTAGAACGGAGACCCATTTGCTTGGCGCCAGCAGCCTTCAGGGCACGTGCGCGCTCTTCTGCATCAGTCTTTGATCTGACTGGAGGCACAGTTTGCGGCGTGCTACTATGGCTTATCAGGGAGGTCGACCTAGGAACATATTGGCCACCGGCGTTAAGAATTTCTTGCGAAGGGTACCCATCAGGATTGTTAGGAACATATGGTGGGCGAGCAATTTCAGTTGACCCATACGAATTGGAATACTGATGGTTCCTATACGAACCAGCGGGCAATAGTTGAGGGATCATGTTTTCTGACATCGGAGGAACAGCGGGGAGTGGCCGGTTCAGATTGTATGGGGATGTACCCATACCGGGATGATAGAATAACTCAGGCATATCATCTCGGGAAGGGCTTTCACTCCCAGATCTTTCACTTTGTCTCGATTCGGAGATCCGGGCTTGCAAAGACTGCTCGTCTCCTTCATCAAAACTAAGTCGGTGGGAGTGTGAAGTTGGTCTTTGTAGCCCACCAGTTCCGAAGGTGTCGACCCTTGCGTCTTCGAAAGCTGGAAAGGGATGGCCGGCTCCCTCGCCGGGATGAGAATAATCCATCATTCCCCCAAGACCGGGGGCAGGACTGTGACTGTAGCTATCAGATCTCCCTAGCTCATGCGGAGTAGGCAGGGGCCTGCTCTGGTCCTCCAATTCACTACTATGGCCAGTATGCGTGGCACTTAGATCCTCACCATAAGACATATGAGCATCGTAACCACCGCCAACGAGCCCTAAGTCCATGTTCTTGTAGTCATCATCACTACTACTTTCGTCCTGTGATAGTTGTCGACCTGGAGATTGCTGGTTTTCGTAGCTGCTGAAACTTAGAGCTCTGGTTCCCCCTCGTTGTGCTTCTTGTGCATCTTGTTCTTCGGCAATTCGCATGGCTTCTAGGCCAGCCGCAGCCTCTATATCACTCTCGTCATCATCATCATAATCATCTGTCGGCGCGAGATGGTTTGAATGCAATGTAGAGGAGGTAGACGAGAATCGATCAATGCCAGTTCCAGGGCCAGCTGTAGTGGCTCTTGAATCAAATCGATGCAGGGCTCCAGGTTCTCTATCTAGAAGATCCCCGTTCCTCTGGCTATGCCTCGGGGAGGCCCCAGACAGGGCATCGCCAATATCCGCGAAAAGTTGCTCCTGTGTCATAGTTTCCACCACTTGGCCATGCCTCGGGAGTCCCCAATCGTCTTCATCTTCGGTGTCATCGTCATCTACCGGGGCACTGGGTAATGGCCGAAGGGTCGGGTGTCTCTGGAGTCTCGGGCCGTCTGGTCCAGCTGAGTTAGGACCAGTAGGCATGGGAATTGGAGGTGGGGTCGGCTGGCTTGGTTGCGTCGAGGCTCGTTTTGAACGATTTGAGAAGGCATGCTGGTTTGCGGCGTCTGGATAGGACTGTGATACCAGCCGTGGCGCATAACCAGTGTAGTTCGGGTACGGAGCCTGCGTAGCGATTGGAGTTGCATGATTATCCTGAGGATAATTGTCACCATTCGTTGGGTAGGGAGCAGTAGATTGCGGCGCGTTATAGAAGCTCTGCCGAGGTCGAAGGGGGACTGAACTTGACGGTGTGTATGTCGGACTAGTCAGGGGTTGATCATACATAGCATGCGTAGAAGAGCGTGCAGGGACCGGAGGGCCATATTGTTGCTGTGGAATCCACTGTGTAGAAGTTTGGGCTGTAAGTGGTGTGGATGCTGTCGCATATGAGGGATTGGGGTAAGTGGTATAGCCCGAAACCGTACTCTGACGCGCTGGAACAGGCGGAGGCTGAGAAGTCTGGTAATTTGCAGGATTGTACGGTTGGACACCTGGAAATGCAGAGGTATTGAAGCTAGGACTGGGATCCGGACGGTATTGGGGAGCCTGCGATTGGGACTGTGTGCGGGCAAAGTGCTGTGGATTGTAGGAGGGTTGCGACAATGATGGCGATTGAGGCCCAGCGGGGAAAGGCTGATACTGATGCTGATATCCTGACATCGCCGGACTGGTATTTCCAAAGGAGGAACGACCCGGTGAAGCCGCAGTAGGACTTCTCATAAATAGCTCCTCGTTTGACGGGTTTGGGGTCTTCGCAGGCACTGGAGGGGGGACAACACCCTGATACCTGCTATTATTGCTCGGGTCGAAGAACGCGGCATCGTCACCATTGTCAAAACTTGGCCGCCTATGCAAACCGAGATTCGCCAGATTCTGGTCTTGCGCTCCTGGTGATCCATATTGTGCCGGGGGTACATGGCCATAACGCCGCTGACTGTTTCCGTGGAAGGACATCTTGACTGCTACGGGATCTGGCGCGCAGTCGAGTCAACCAGCAGTATCCTGATCAGAACCGGCGCAGCTCTTACGAGACAACCGGAGAATTTGTTGTGCAGACCTGCAGTCGGGTGGCCCAAAGCCAGAGGTCGTCGATGGTAGCAAAAGCCTTGCTACATTGGAGGGCGACGTGCGCGGGGGGGGGAACTTGCTAGAGGGCCGGCTGCGGTCGCATCGGTTTCGCGCAGATGTGCACGCGCTCGCGAGAGCTATGTGATTTTGGACCCTGACTGGTGATCCAGTACAGCTGTCGGTGGTTGGGTGTGCGATGTCTGTGGGGTGAATTCTTCGCGGAGGAGCTGTTCTGGCCGATATAATCAATCGCATCTGTGGTGGATGCCGGTGGATGCCTCAATCGTCGGGAGCGGCAGGCCGCGATACCAGGCAGCCGAGCCGAGCCTCCCTAACCTCCCCCGTGCCTGGCCTACTAGTCGTGGGTCTTCCGACCGTCTCTGAAAGTACGGATCACGGTTACTATTGGAGCATCAACTCGTGAGCCAGATAAGATACGCCCTCTTCTTTTCGGTATCTTTCTTGCTCTTTTCTCCCTCCATCATGCGTGTTCGAATAGACGAAACCCGAGCAGAAAGGTTCGTGGTTCTTACGGAGGGGCTTATTACTAATGTACCGTATCTGAGCATCTACGGAGTAGTCAGGGACATGATGGAGCTGATAGTTGTTCAGCTCTACGCTACGAGAGCCGCTATTAGTCCTATGTTGTGCCTTAGGTAAGCTACGCAGGAAGATATCAAAACATGTTACTTGCCCCTGTAGGTGTCATGAAGTGTCATGGAGCCACACAAGTAAAAAAGTCATGAAGTCATGGAACAGAACCCATAGGGCTGTGGTGGCGCAGTACCGAGGCTCGTGGGGTGGTGTGGCTGAGGGCACGCCGTACTCGGTACATGCCCACCTCCCACTCGGACGACGTGCAGTACAGCGAGGCGTCCAAGCATCCGAGACTCGATGCCGCGATGCAAACCCCGCGATTATCAGATACGATGATGACTGGGAGGTTAAGAATTCCCGAGACTCCAGGCTTGTCGAGACGGACTGTGGGTATGTGATCTAGGGATGTTTTTCCTCCGTTGATTTAAATTTAAATTTAAATTTAAATTTATATTCATTTTTATCTTCATCCCCAGATGCACATCCGTCCTGATGTTGGCGTAGTCATCTTGATATGTAGCTATCTAGGTGCCTACCTGGACCTGAGTGTATATATGCGTATGTAAAGACATATCTTACCTGTAGTATATTCATATTCATATCGTATCTACATTCCCATCCACACCCCGATATGTTTTCCCATCCGCAAGTACCAGCTACATTCATCTCGATATCCTCTCCCACGCCCACCGTATCTGGCGGCGGGGCTGACTAATATTCTCCCGCGGCCCAATTGCCCGTCGACTGATCATCTCTGTTGAATGATGCCATCCACGTGACCCCGCCCGCTCCCCACTTTCTCCGACGGTTACGGAGTTATTTTATTAAGTAACCTGCCTACTTCATCCTTCTCTTCCCTTCTCTTCCCCTCTTCCCCCTCCATCAGTTATTCACAACAAAACTCAGCTTCCATTCCCCAAGTCCAAAATCAAACTTTAAACCCACGTCGAGCTTCTCAGAGTCAAAATGGTCAAAGCAGGTACGTCTCGCACCAGGCACCTCCCTCTTGCCACCCTTTCTACCCCGCTGTTCCTAGCTTCCGGCCAATCGCGGGGGTTTGAGCATGTTTATCCACGAGGCAAAACTACCTGGATGGACACCCTCTAAACCTGTTCCTCGCAAGCATCTCACTCGACACGGCCCATCGGTGCCTCTGATTGTTGCGTTGCTTTGTGCGGGCCCTTGCTGACGATCTGGTCCCTTGCGTAGTTGCGTTCATTCGAGGTGACTCGAAGATCACCGGAACCGTCACCTTGGAGCAGGCTTCCGAGTCTTCCCCAACCACCATCTCATGGAACATCACTGGCCACGATGCCAATGCTAAGCGTGGCATGCACGTCCACCAATTCGGTGACAACACCAACGGCTGCACATCCGCTGGACCCCACTGTAAGCCAGCTTCCATCAAACTGCAAGTGCTGTGCAAGTCTGACAAGAAAATGCAACAGTCAACCCATACGGAAAGACACACGGTGGTCCCAACGATGAGAACCGTCACGTAGGCGACCTCGGAAACTTCGAGACCGACGCTCAAGGCAATGCCAAGGGTACGGTCACAGACAAGCTCATCAAGCTGATTGGTCCCGAGAGCGTTATTGGCGTACGTTGAAGATCTGTCGATATTCGTCGGATAGGACTGACCTTGTTGCAGCGCACTATCGTCGTCCACGCCGGAACTGATGACCTTGGCAAGGGAGGAAACGAGGAATCTTTGAAGACCGGAAACGCTGGCGGCCGACCTGCTTGCGGTATGTGTTCCTGCTCCTTGATGCGTGTTTCCGCTGCTGACTTCCGCTGGCTAGGTGTTATCGGCATTGCCGCATAAATGGGCGACCAGCCCCTGAGAGACAATAGGATCTGGGAATGAACATTGTGGTTGCCGCTTGGTGTGAAGCGGGCCTGCCTAGGTAGTCAATATAACCGTTTCCTGTCCCACACTTGCCCTCCCTACAAGTCAGAGGCCAATGCATGAACACAAGTTTGTTGTTGGGTGCGTGGATGGCCGAAGAAAAGTGAATAAATATCTGCTTGCCTGACATGAGTCCCTTGATATGAATTCCTTCGTTTAGATCAGGTGACCTCGTCTAATATGCCCGGGGTGACAGTCGTTCGTTGACAGCGGGGTCCACACGAACAATTACTCAATCTGTCCCCAGACAAAACGAATTGCTCCCCACAACGTTCCTTTTAGTACCTCAATTGCCGCGATCTGGCTGGTTTGGGTGGTTTTTGATACTAGCAAACATTCCAAGCATCTGAATCTCTGTAAGTCACCAATTCTTTCCTATTCCTCAGATCGGGAGTCTGTCTTCATGTCGCGGCCTGCACAGGCAGCTGTCCTGCCGAGAGAGAGCGTTAAGGTTTGGAGCACTGCGTCGCCCGATTGCTATCTCGAAAGGGAATATCTGGTTCGAAACCAATCCCTCCTTCCTTCTTGGACGGCGAGGTCTTCTCGAAAGCAGCATCCCGGCGGGTTTTGAGTCCAGTCGTGGACCTCCACCCCTTCACCAGTCCAGCTACCTTCAGCTACCTCCAGCAGGCCAATTCACTCCTTACCCGCCGTGCTGCTGCTTTCCATGAAGAAGACCCTACTGCAGCAGTACTACATTCTTCTACAACGTCGATCTACCGAATCTAACCCCACATCAACAACCCACGTTGTTGAATATCACCCTCCTCTGCTCGACCGAACGCTCTCTGCAACAGGCTGTACCTTTCTCAATATGCCCGTCAGGGATCTCAAGATCGGCCATGCCGTAGGTCAAGGCAGTCGAGGACACCAAGGCTCTGCTACTTCACCCTCACAAGACTCGGAGAAGAGTACTTTGAATGCTGACATGCCTGAACCATTTCCTAGTGCTCCTCCAGGTCCGGTGGCCACGCCTCCATTCCCCAGCCCTCTACTGAGACCATTTATCGAATACGCGCCCGCGCCCGCGCCCTTCCCGAGCCCTCTGCGGGAACCTTCTCCTAACCCGAACACACAGTCTCTTGAAGGAGTCAGTTTACCTGTCATCCCTCCTGCTAGGTATAAAAACATGCCTCTCAATCAAGGAAAAGTGAAGTGTGTCCTTAGCGGCGACACTCTTGTCTTATCCTCCGTCGAGAACCCCGAACGCGAGCGTACTCTTTCTCTGGCATATTGTACCGCACCACATCTTAGGAAGGAAGGAGATGAACAGTGGGCTTTCGAATCTCGCGACGCGTTGCGTAAGATGGTAGTGGGCAAGCACGTACAGTTTCAAGTCCTATACACAATTCCCAATACGAAGCGCGAATATGGAATCGTCTTCCTCAATGATGGGCAAAAGCTTCCCGAACAGATGGTTCAGGAGGGCTGGCTTAAGTTACGAGATGATGCTGGTCGGAAAGAGGATACTGAGGAAGCTATTCAACAACTCTCCCAGCTACGCGTGCTTGAGGCTACCGCTCGAAGCGAAGATAAGGGTATTTGGGCTCCCAATGGTGCGCGGATCGATGTTCAGCATGATATGGGCGATCCACAGGCGTTCATGGATAACTGGAAAGGCAAGACTATCGATGGTATGGTTGAGCGTGTGTTGAGCGGAGATCGAATGCTCATACGCCTGATAATCAACCCTACGAAGCATGTTCAAGGTGAGTATCAGTTCTTAGCTCTTGCGGGTTCCATGTGGATATTGAAATGCGACTCCTTGTGTTCCATTCATCGAGAATATCAACTAACGAGCCTTAGTTATGACTTTGGTTGCTGGAATCCGCGCACCTACCACCGAACGTGTCAATCCCTCAAATCAACAAGTCCAACCAGCGGAAGAATATGGAAACGAGGCCAGATTATTTGTCGAAGAAAGATTATTACAGAGAAACGTAAAGGTCGACATTCTTGGTCTTAGCCCTCAAAATCAACTTATCGCGTCTGTCAAACACCCACGGGGATCGATCGCAGTGTTCCTTCTTGAAGCGGGCCTTGCACGATGCTTGGATTTCCACTCGACTTTATTAGGTCCTGATATGGCCCCCTTGCGAAAGGCTGAGAAGGTCGGCCAGGCAGCAAAGCGGGGTTTATTCAAGGACCACGTTGCTAAGGTAAATCCTCAAGGAGGAAATCTAGAAGCTCAAGTCACCAGGGTCTTCAGTGCAGATGTAATTTTTGTCCGAAACAGAGCCGGTGTTGAGAAGCGCATCAACCTCAGCAGTATTCGTGGGCCACGTCCTTCAGAAGCAGCCGAGGCTCCGTTCCGGGATGAAGCCAAAGAGTTCTTGCGAAAGAAGGTTATTGGGAAGCATGTGCGTCTTAGCATTGATGGCTCACGCCCTGCTACCGATGAATACGATGCGAAGGAGGTTGCAACAGTCACTTTGAATGATAAGAATATCGGATTACTGCTAGTGCAGGAGGGCTGGTGCTCTGTGGTCAGACATCGACGGGATGACACGGACAGAGCTCCCAACTATGATGAACTACTTGCTGCTCAAGAAAAGGCGAAAGAAGACAAGAAGGGAATGTGGTCTGGAAAACCCGCCAAGGCTAAGCAGTATGTCGACGTGTCCGAGACATTGCAAAAAGCCAAGCTCCAGGTTTCGACTCTCCAGCGACAGAAGAGAATCCCTGCTATCGTTGATTTCGTCAAGGGCGGATCGAGATTCGTTGTCTTGATTCCACGAGAGAACATTAAGCTCACTTTTGTTCTGGGTGGCATCCGCGCTCCCCGATCAGCAAGAAGCCCCAATGAGAAGAGCGAGCCATTCGGCCAAGAAGCCCATGACTTAGCCACTAGACGCTTGACTCAACGGGATGTCGAGATTGATGTCCATGGTCTTGATAAAGTTGGTGGATTCATTGGTTCACTCTACATTAATAAGGAATCCTTCGCGAAGATCCTCGTGGATGAAGGCTTCGCTACGGTCCATCCCTATTCCGCCGAGCAATCCGGAAATGCGAATGAGTTGCTAGCTGCAGAACAGAGAGCAAAGAATGCCCATAAAGGTATGTGGGTCAACTGGGATCCTTCAGTGGATGCGGTAGAAGAAGAGGTCGAAACCTCCAATGGATCAAATGGCGATGCGGCCCCTATCACCCGCGCTAAAGACTACCGAGATGTCGTGGTCACCAACATCGATGAGACCGGCAAGCTAAAAGTCCAAATCGTTGGTACCGGTACTGCTGCCCTGGAGACGATGATGACCCAATTCAAATCTTTTCACCTGAACCCCTCAAACAACACTCCGCTTCCCGGCCCTCCCAAGGCTGGTGAGTACGTTGCAGCCAAGTTCACCGAAGACGACATGTGGTACCGTGCTCGTGTACGATCAAACGACCGCACAGCTAAGGAAGCAGAAGTTGTTTATATCGACTACGGTAATAGCGAGAAAATCCCATGGACTCGACTCCGGCCTCTTTCTCAACCACAGTTCTCGCCTCAAAAGCTACGCCCACAAGCTGTCGATGCAGTCCTTTCTCTCCTCCAGCTGCCAACCAACAAAGACTACCTGACCGAAGCCATAAACTACATCGCCGAACTTACTGCAAACAAATCTCTCGTCGCAAATGTTGATTACACCGCACCCGAGGGCACCCTCTACATCACACTGTATGATCCAAAACACAGTGAGAAATTGACTGACAGCATCAACGCTGAGATTGTCTCCGCTGGCTATGCAATCGTACCAACTAGCCTCAAGTCCTGGGAGCGTGGCTTCAGTGATGTTCTCAAGGTTATGAGGGAGAGGATGGAGGAGGCCAAGGAGGAGCACTTGGGTATGTGGGAGTATGGTGACCCGACCGAGGATTAGAGATGCATCTGTTGGGGCTTGGATAATGGGATGATTTCCTCGTCCTCATTTCCGAACCTGACCCTGGCTGTATGATGGCTCTCTCTCTCCTCATTCTGCATACATTTCGTTTCTTGAACTCCTTGTTATTTCAGATAAGCGAACGGAATTGTCTCTTATTACGAATTATGACTCGCATTGCGTGGCCGGCGGATAAAAAATTCGAACGTACACAAAGCATGGCATGGGTGCATGGTGGTGGTTCTCCATAAAATTTGCATAGATGAGGCATCAAAAGCTTTCAATGTCAAACCTCGTTTCCCTTGTGACTTGAAAATCAGTATTCTTTAAGCGCTAGATTCATGGGAAATACCCAAGCAACCCACGGACTCTTTGACCAGGTAGACTTTATGTCTTAGTAGTAGTAGAGTATTCTCGTATTGAACACATCAAGAGGCGCTATGGGAGCCATGCCAAATATTTTGCGTTCTGCGGGTAGAAAAGAAGAAGGGGAAGGGAAAGGGCAAAAAAAAAGGGACCCCCGCTAAGGCACAGATGCTGTGTTGTTAAACAACAAAACCCTCCCCAAAAAAAGAACGAAAAAAAGAAAAAAAAATATGCACGGAACCTCTTCTCTACACAATTGAGGCTGTAGTAGAAATGTCTTGCAGGTTCTAGTAGGAATCGAACCAACATCTCCGGAATCAGAATCCGACGTGCTAACCATTACACCATAGAACCGTCTTTATGAAGCCGGTCGCTTTTGCACCTCAGGCTCTAATGTAAACTGAAATAGATTGATGAGTAATGGAGGGTGTGTATGAAGAACCTATTATCATCAGAATGAATATTCTAAAAGCTCAAGAAAATCTGTATTTTTCATCGTAAATCTCTTATCTATTTTCTTCGTTCTAGATTTTTTTTTTTAGAGAAAAATTTGTATATACTGTGGGTGGGGTTATACAAGCTCCCGAGCGACCGCTCCTGGATCGACTTCAGCCCCGGTGGCTTCTACTTTCTCATTTTCGAATCCCCTTCCTAGACGTCTATCCTCATCGTCCTCCGGCGTGCCCTCCCTACACGCCCACGCATCCACAAACCGCAGCGTCTCGCGGCCCCACACGCGATTCATGACTGCCAGGCGGGCCGGCACGCACGCAATGATGATAACCGGGAAGGCGGGAGCCGCGACCGTCAACGTGACGTAGAAGATGATGCCCGTGAGCACGATCTGGAGCAGGGTGTAGGCGTGGATAGGGCGGTAGGAGGGGATTCCTGCGGGGAGGGCGGGGAGCGCGGAGGTGGGCGTGAGGAGTTGGAAAAATCGGTGCAGGATCGGGTTCACGGCGAGGGACTGCTCGCCCATGAATAGGAAGAGCCCCGCGAGTACGGAGGTCGGGGTCAGGCCTAGGACGTGCTGGAGGGGTGGGGCGACGAAGGCGAGGATGCAGGCGGCTTGGAGGAAGGGTGAGAAGCGCTGCTCGTAGACTTCATGTCGCGCGGCTGGAGTGTGTGTTCCCGTTTCGGAGTCGGGGGAGGGGAGCGCGACAGTGTGTAGGAGTGATTCGGAGTGTAGGGGCGCTTGGGGAAGGAGGCCGTTGGCGGGCGGGATACCGAGGATGCCACAGATGGCGGTCGTGGTCCCTAGGAGGACGATGTCCCATGCGAAGCCGCCCGGTTTCTTGGTCCCATAGCGGGGAAGCGTGCAGATGATACTGCTGATCTCGTGGTCGAAGTAGAACAGAACAGTGATGATGGCACCGGGGATGATGGAGATGAAGATCCACTCGACGGGTAGCTCCCAGAAACGCACGAAGAAGACGGAGCGTTCTGGTGACGTGGGACGGAAGGATTTCTGCACAACTAGGGTCTGCTTGTCCAAAGTGGCCAGTTCCCCGACGTGAGGCATGCCTATGAAGAGGATGATGGAGATGGCGGCGGCGTATTCGGAGAGCCCCATGCGGATGTAGCGGTGGAAGAGAGGGGCCCACGAGTTGGCCGTGGAGAGAGCAACGGCGAGGAGAAAGGTGCCAATACATCCTATGATAGAGTAGAGGAAAGAGGCAAAAGAGACGGCCGCGTGGTCGCGTTGTAGTTCCTGGATGGCTTTGTGGAAGTAGATCACGGAGTTGAGGAGCGAGAAGATGTCAGCGGTGAAGGTCGTTACATACTGCATGGTCCAATCGTGGGCATTGAAGATGGCAAGGAGGTAGTGCATCCAGGCAGCGTGGATCAGAGACCATGCCATTAGGGGAAGAAATTCGACCTTTGGATGATCAGTGGGATTTCTTAGGAATAGGGGGGCACACGCACGTGAAAGGAATCTCGACATAAGGAGTAGATATTTTCTGCCAGTACGGAAAAAGGCCCAGTAACACCCAGAATGGTTAAAGGCTGAATAGAAAACCTGTCCCAATCAGCAATGTCCTTTTTTGGAATCGTAAAACCCACAGAGAGAAGACAAGCCCACACAGTCCCGTACTAAACACTACCTCTATAGTCCCCCAGGTTTTGCCCGTCAACACATACAGATCACTTGCAAAGGTGATCCCCGGTAAGATATTCGTAAAGAACACATAGACTGCACTTGCCAATACCAGCTGATTGAAGGTTGACCAATCTGAGATATACCTCGTTCTGATATTACGGATATCTTGCTTCAGAAGACGAAATGGACGAAGATTTCCTCCTGGGGAGAACCACGTTTTGAGTTTGCTTTTTAAAGGAGCCCTAGAACGAAGCACGGTTTTCGATTCATCTGCTTCTGCCTGAGCCTGAGGGTTTCTTTCAAAACCGCTCCCTTCTTGGGCCGTAGACTCGATATCGCTACCAGAGCGTATGCTGTCGTGAAATGGCGGCTGGGGTCCCTTTTCCGGCAAGCCAGAGCTGGAGGGACTTCCTGAAGCTGGGGTCATTGTCGTTGAAACCAAGCTAATGTCCAAGGAGGACATTTCTTGTGGTGGCTGAAATCTGTTCCTGGCCATGTTGAGAACAGTCCCTTCGCCTTGTTATACCTTCGAGCTCTTCAATATCGAAGCCCCATCCGAGCTTATAATTGGCTGCAGGCTAGGAGGCATTGTCTTGAAAAGAAATAGAAATACCTGGCAGCAAGGCGTCCTGGTATAGAAAATAATTTTCCAATCACAGTTGGTCCACGTGGTGGAGGAAGCCAAGCTTCAGCTTCGTCATTCTGCCAGGGCCTCTTCAGAATGGATGTGAAGAGTGGGGTTGAGATAAGCGGTAAAAGACGCAAAGCATCCCTCACTTGATACCTTGGAATATCTCTCTTTGTACCGGGTAGCTTTCAACCACTTCTCTATCCTCCAGCAATAATGAGGCTTCAAATATCAAGTATTCAAATCTGGGGTCGCCGTCGACGAGCGCCACCAGCAAATGCCGACAAGGCGTCAGTGATATGGTGCTGTGCAGGGATCTGAGTGGCTTCCTGGCCTTAGCGAGGAACTTAATAGGGAACCTCAAAAATTCCCATCTCAGCCTTGTCCTCCACACCTCGCTATCATCAGAACAAGTTGCACCTCGACTCGCCCTGTCGTGGTGATATGACTTCTGGCCTTTCATGTACTATGGCCCATAGGTAGCATCTACAGAACAGCCAGCACAATGGCATCCTTCATCCCGCGTTCCTCCTTTCCCGCTCAGCTCTCGTTACCTCGATCTTACTTCCTCGGCCATCATGCTTCCGGACTCGCGAAGATGAAGACCATGCTTTCATCCATCGATCTCATAATTGAATGTCGCGATTACCGTGTCCCGCTCACGTCCCGGAATCCATTGTTTGAGCAATCACTGGCCGGCCGAGAACGCCTGATTATCTACACCAAGCGGGACCTTGGAAGTAAAGACCGGCCATCGGACAAGAAAGTATGCTTTTATCAAGTTTCCCCCTTCAAAAGGAATTTGCTAATTTGATATGCATTTAGAAAGAAGAAATCGTTCGATCATGGCACTCCCCTAGCACAACTCTTTTCACAAACCACAAGTCGAAAAAGGACATGAAAGCGGTCCTCAATTTCACGAAAGAATTCGCCTCGCAATCGCAGTCCGTCATAGGCTCGCGCATCCTTGTGGTTGGCATGCCAAATGTTGGAAAATCATCCTTGCTCAACGCACTCCGAATGGAAGGCGTACATCGTGCCAAAGCTGCTTTCACTGGTGCACAACCAGGTATTACAAGGAAGATTGCAAGCGGCGTAAAAATTGTGGATAGAGATGAGGAGAAAGGAATCGAGGGTGTGTATTTGGTGGACACGCCCGGTGTATTTGTCCCATATGTGCCTGATGCGGAGAGCATGCTGAAATTGGCTCTGGTTGGGTCAGTCAAGGACACCATTATTTCGCCAGTTACGTTGGCGGATTATCTACTTTTCCATATCAACAAGAATTATCCCGGGACGAATATATACCGGGAATACTGTGGACAGACTAATGACATAGCAGAATTCCTTGAGAGTGTATGCAAGAAAACGGGGAGGTTGGGCAAAGGTGGTGTCCCGGATCTGGATGCTGCTGCGCTATGGGTCATCCAGAGATGGAGACAGGGCAATCTGGGAACTTTCATATTAGATGAAGTTACAGAAGATGCGCTGGAGAAGAAAATGATGGAGGAGGTGGCCATGAGTTATAGTCAAGCCCGGAAACAGAAGAAGGAAGCACAGAGAGCCAAGGCGAAACTAAAACCTAGTGAAGCAGCTTGAAATACTCGGCTGGCTGCTTAACTTTGAAAGGTTCGATTCTTTACATAGCGCGGAGTTGAGGCGTCATCCAACTCTGGCGTTTGAGCGGCTGGATATCATTGCCACATGGCGAACATATATAGGTCTTGTTAGGACACTGCCATATTACTCATAATGTGAGTTCCCTCCCAAATATAAAAACCCGTGGTCTCTGACGCCCAAAACTTCAGCGGGCCCTTCTACCTGATATCTGCCGGTAACAGCTTGTTCTTGCCGCCAAGAACTCCAGCTCCTGCGGCGAGAGATGGTAATCAGGGCAAGGAAATGTTCTGATCAAACATTTGCCACTGATATGATACTCAACAACTCAGAACAAGAACAATAAAGAAGCTGTGGCGGATACAGTCTCTGCCTTCCTGAGAGTAGGCATGCTCAAGTGCTTAAGGTGGAGCTTGCGAGGCAACTGACATATAGAGGGAGACCTGTGATATGAATCAATTTCCATTTGCGGGCTGGATATTAGAATTAATTAAACACCTAGACATCACCCAAGCTTGTCCAGCAACCTCCTCCGTCTCCTCTCTACTAATTCTTCTTGGACTTCTTCGCTTGTTGGTACGTTCCATGGCTCGCCATCTCCTGCATCCCCGGGCAAAGGCTCCCATGCTTTTGGCGGTCTACCCTCGCTGCTAGCAAGCAAATTCTCAAAAGCTTCCTTCTCCTTCTGTGCCTCGTATTCCAACAGTGTGCCATCCTCTTCGTCAAGGTTGTAGCCGTAATATGATGCATCGACCTGTTTTCGCAGATCGGCTCTCGAGTCCAGGGGCTTATCTTCACGAGGTTTCTGTGCAGCTGCCTCGAAGAGCTCTTTAACCCCAGGTAGTTCCCTCGCACGTCCAAAATACCTGCATAGATTTACCCATTAGCTTGATCGCAAGCTTCACAACAGCGTCGCAACGAACCTATAACCCTTCCCCCCGCCAGGTATCTCCCTCCCCTCCTCATCATAAACCTTCCCACCCCCACGCATATAATTTGGGCCTCCTAAATTTCGTATTTGCACTTCCCACATGTGTTTCTCGCGCATCGCCTTATTGATCTCATCGTTCAGATCTCTGATCATGAAATCGCTCAGACTCGGGTCCTGGATCTTGCTGACTTTTCGCGAGATCTCCTTGAGCACTTGGCCACGCCATTTTTCGCACGTTGGTATCGATGTCACTTCCGTGATCATCTTCGGCCGGCGCGTTCGTCCGGCATCGATAATACCTAGGTCTGCTGCTTGCGCTTCGCGGAAGCGGAAGAGCATAGACTGGGCTTTTTCTGAATTGCGCGCCTGGAGATAGAGGCGTCAGTATTGATCAGAAGAGCTTGAGAACTAGATTTTTAACATACCATGATTGCGATTATGCCGCGCAAGAGTCCTCAAGGAGGATACGACTTTCGGTGGTGGTTGGGGAGGGGTTTGAAGTTGAAGAAGGAGCTCCAGAAATGCAGGCTGATAGAGTTACAGTAGTCTCCACTAGCGCCGTTTCCGTCGCGTGGAGAAAGGCTTCGTCGCGTTTACATTGACGACCTCTTATCAACATACACAACCTGCCGTGACGATAAACCTCATCGAGCTTCCATTATTCAACAATCTAGAGATCTAGATGGGTTGAATATGAGTGAGATATATGAACAGAGATCTTAGCAGGTTCGATATCCTTCTACCACAACCATCGGCATCGATATTAGCAGAGGTTTCGAGCTAGGGGATCAAGGAGGGGTCTCGAGCTGCAATGCCGACAATCAGCTCCTACTTGAGATGCTTGTCATGAAGCTGTAACTCTCGTTGTCTATACTTTTTGTGCTTAATGAACGTTGGGCACGGATTCTTAGCAAACGGGACAAGCAGCAAATTGGCGCAACGCATCGCTGAGAGTGGACATAGTTTTCAATCGAAGTAGCTTGGTAAGTACATTCTCTTTAACCCAAACGCGTGCGCTAACCTGTCAACAGATACCAAGGCCTTGATTACTCTAACGAGATAACCCCTGCGAATACCGATATCCGTTGGGAAGTGTAAGGTTGGATGTCTTTCTTAGCCCAGTGATGACCAATGTGTCCAAAAAGCCAAATTTGCAGGCCAACCTACCGCTCTCCTCTGATTCGTTTCGACGATTCTGGGGGAGTAAGCGTTGGCCATGAGAACTTGAGAGCTGATCTGAGGGCATTACATTCTATTTCGAGTCTATCAAGTTTCCCTTCTTGTCCTGCCTCTCAATGCATACGTGTGTTATTGGGCGCGCCTAGCTAGTCATTCAAAGTTGAATCTAATTCTCTATCCCTAAAGATATATCTGAGCTGGGGGCTTTCGGGGTATGCTCTGTGCCGTATTCCGCCAATCTGCAAAATTGACGGGAAATAAGTAAATTTCTTGGAGCTATCAAGAATGCTTTGGTGTCAAAGTTGGCCGGAATATACTGGCCTCTGCGCATGAATAATGTCCATCAGCAGAGCGGCTTTCTAATCCGGCCCATGCTAGTATCCTCTTTAACAAATATCCTTGCAAATCTGTCTGTAGTGACCCAGACATCTATACTCGCTGGTTAAGAGTACGTGCCTCTGCTCTGTTAATGATTGTTATATTCTAAATGTTTCTGTGAATACTATTTGTGTCTATCAGGCAATATCTCCCTGTTCCAGTCATGCTTTGTGTATTACATGAGTTATTATAGCATAAGCAACTTTTCAAGAAATTCGAAATGTCTCAAATCCTAAGCTCACCTACGTTCTTTGTAATTGCCTGGTTTACTCTACACGTTGTGTCCTCTGAAGCCTGCTTCTTTGCCCTCCATATAGCATTATCTTCTAAGTGATTGGCTCAATGATTGTCATAGGTAGAGCCTGGTCTCCACGATTGGTCCCCATTTGGGAGTCAGTGCAGTAGGTGGATTGAGAGTTATTCAGTACTATTGAAGACTGAAAATACTTTAGCGATCCAATCCTACTGGCATCATTAATTGCTAAAATAAGCTGAGCAATCCATTAGCGCTCATTTACCATCTCATCTTGATGCATTGGTGCCCCTTTTTACCTAGTAAAATGACCAGTATCTATATTGCCATCGCCTTTGCTAAATCACTCTTCTATTTATCAGGTAGCCTCACTTTCCTATTGCGCAATATCTTCTACTACCTGGGTATTTATTGACGACCTAGTCCACTTGTCAAACTCTCTTTGCTCACCTTGTCTAGGTTCATATCCTTCTGTGATTGGATCACTGTCCCACAACTAGACTTCAAGATGGCAAACGTCAAACCTGAAGCACCAGAGACGATCGATGTTAAGGCTCATATAGCACTAGCACCAGTTGAAAGACCTTCCCTGGCTACACCTTCGCCCGCAGAACTCCCTCAACAGTAAGTTTATCTTCCACCTTCAGTCATTCTCAGCAGTCCAAGGTCTATGAGCCATCAAAATATTGTCATTTTCTAGTATGTCTGGCTTTTCCCGGTTCCAAGTGAAAGCAATTTGACGCGGGTAAATTCAGAATCTACGTTCGCTCAATCTTTTAATCTTTCGTTTTCTGTTCGATTTACTCATCTTTCGTTTTCTTTTTCGTCCATGTCTATCTTTCCTAGCTTCTAGGTGAATGAAATTTTACGTGGGTAAATGCAAATAGATCTGTTCTTTCAATCCATTCATCTTTTCCTTAGTAACACTTCTCCACCAGAAATGACCCAGCAAGTATTAACGTTGTTATCCAAGACTGATAATGGAATCTGCAACCAGTTCACCTACTCCTGATGAAAAAGGATTCCCCCATTTCGAAGATGGAGATGTTCTCATCGTTTCTGGCGACGGCAGGTCCTGGAAGCTTCATTCTACCACTCTGCGCAATGCCTCCGGCAGGTTCAAGACTCTGCTTGATGAAAACGATGCTCGCCACATCACGAAGAAGCAGAAGATTGAGGGCAAGACCATCCGTTTCAAACTTGAGATGAGTGCGTCCGAAGATAGTCCAGACATTCGGTTCAGATCCTTCCGTGCCTTTGTACGTTGTTCTCATATGATCTTCTTCTTCATATTCTATGCTGAATATGTGCTATTATTTCTACATTATTTTTCCAAGTGGTATTATTAATCGCCGTTTTACCAAACATGTACCCTTTGTATGGTTTCATGAAACCCTCTTGTTCAATCTCTCCCGATAAGTCGATGCTAACCCGCTGTAGAGCTCATCCTCCAAGCATTCATTCCAAGTAAACGTCAATGGTATCCTTAATGGCCTGGGCCACCACCAGCTATACGATAATCTGTTCAAGTGCTTTTATAACATTGACCCTGAATTCTCTGCCATCGGCGATGATAATGGTAGTCGTCGTATTTACGACGCTGTCTCTCTGCTGCAGGCTGCAGAATATCTCGATGCAGCTAAGACTGTCCGCATCGTCATCGAGGCTCACCTATTGCGTCTTGACCAGATGATATGGGATCATGTTGAGGTCAACGCCGAAGTATGGTCCGACGTTGCCATCCGTCTACAATCTCCCATCTTATTCCGCGAAGCCATTGCCCACATTATCGGGAAGTGGGATTATCCGAATGGGCTCAAGAAAGAATTCTTGAAGTCCCAGGACAATGGTCCTGCTATTGTTAAGCTTGCCGAGGCCAAGGTCAAGGAGATTAAAGACAAGAAGGTTCACGTTGAGCGTCTCCTTATCGAATACTTCCCAGAAAAGATGATGCATCCCGAGACTCCCGGACTTGTCCCCGGCCGTGCTACATACGCCACCGACATCTACCTCTGGCAGGCTCTCTGCCTCGTGCGTCAATACGTGACTTCCGCATACCTTAACAACCTGCACCATCGTGCTCTGGACGGAGGCGCCAGCTTCTACCGATCCATCGGCATGGGAGGCGACGCCTACCTTGGCAGAGATGTCCTAGCGCTCTTCCATACCAACTTCAGCATGAGCTCGAAGGGAAAGACGTGTCTTCAATCTGCCGTTGAGTTCTTCAAGGATGCCATCAAGCCCATCGTCGCGGATCTCCTTGTTCTTGGTACCCACGGCCAGCAAGCGCCAGACCGTGTCCTTCCGTACCTCACCTGTGCGGAGATTTTGGATGAGGAACTCCCGTGGGTCATTGAGCGTGCCGAGGCCGCTGTTAAGCAGCGAGACTAAAGGAGGTGCTACAGTGGGATGTGAGAGAGCTTCTAGGTTTTTAGAGGGTTTCTATCGCATGCGTTTCGCGCTGGATTTTTTGACATGGAATTTGCTTTATTGACAACTTTTATAAATCACAAGCCAGGGTTATAAAGGAATTAATGCAATATTAGCGCAATGCTTCCCCCCTTTGTATCCCAATGTAGTAATCGACCCGTGGCGGTGTAGCTTTTGGATTGGTAATATCTAATCCTGCCTATAACTAGTACTTTATCAACGATCCGACGCGACACAGATATTGGAACACTTAGTTCTGTTGGGAGAAAGTGCACCGCTCTCAGGGCCTTGTTCTTGCTCTCCATTAGACATCGGGCTGTGAAAGTTTGTACTGTAGATGAGAAATAGTAGACCTGACGGCAGCCAATATAGCAACAGCCCCCTCAGTGGTCAGTTCAAGATCCAGGGGAAATAGAGATGAAAATCATGGGTGGTAAAGAGGGTAGTCTCCTGTGAAGGGATTGGAAACAACGATAATGAAAGCATTGAGGAGCGAGACGCGCTCAACTAAATGTTCAGGGGTATTTTATGAACGTACGCGTTGTGCCAAACACCTCTGCACGTGACCTACTCCGGGCTCTGCATTACCTACCTAGGTAGGTAAGGTACCCGGTAGAAGCGAATGCAAATGTAACTTCATCAATCTTCTCAGATTGCAGACAAGAAAGATCAATACTATCCAACGTTGTTTTTGCGCGACAGGAATGATTCGGTTCTTCTGCTCGATTCGCCCTGCTAATAGATGCCATTCTACAGTATTTATGTATGCTAAGTGGCAGCTGTTGTGCTCTCTCTTCCGTCGTCTTGTGCAGTGCACCGATATCAGCATTCCGCGTGCCGCGTGCGGCCCAGTCATCTATTTATTTCGTCCTTTTTCTCCTCGATGTATTGTATTCCATCAAATATGTAGGGAGAGTCTCTAATTTCGAAAGACTGAATGAGGCCGCTGACGGCGCGATCACGATGCGACGTGTCTCTGCAAATTTACTTTTTGATTTTTGGCTTGCAAGATGTAATTTCAAACTAAGCCTATCACAAAGCAAGAGAAGAAGAGCGAAGGTGGCAATGTTGCAGCAGGTACCTGCATAGGCCTCCAACAGTGTAAAGCAAGAGTCCCAACTCAACGAACACACAAAAAAAGGGAAAACACCAGCCGAAACGAGGCACACATACGAAATCCTCTTATCCCAATCATGCCAAGTCTGCATTCAGTTCAATACCTGCCATGGTCCAGAGCTCATTCAATGGATGTCTGGCCCTGACTATCCCTTCACAATGATGGATATGCTTCAGTCCATTCGACCTCTGCTCGATGGTAACACCTGTGAACTTGGAGCGATAATGCTTGCGCCAAGTATACATGCAGTGCATGATGTGCCATTCCTGCGTAGTATAAAAGACTCCTCCCGGGATGTCTGCAATGGCTCCTACCTCCTCGCGAGTCAGCGGTATGGTGCCATTGAGGTCTGCGTAGTAGGGCCAGCCCCCCTCCGGACCGATTTGATCAAATTCATCTGCGAGTTCCATGTCTAAACACTGAGGTGGAAGCCAGGCAATGGCTAAGGGTGTGAAGATGCAGCCGCGAGCCTTGGCTTCGACGACGGTGGTCCCGCCACAGGAGCAGGAAACAGGTTTCTTGGGCCAAATGGCACGGACGGAGTATCTCCCGATGTTGAATACCCCCCAGAGGGCGAAGATGATGAGTACTGACTTTGAGAAGAGAACGAAGAAGCGGTTGAGACGGCGAGCTTTGGCAGTCTGGGCCTGTTCGACAATTCCCTTTTCGTTTTCGAAGGTTGAATCGTCATCACTGGATTGCAGGAGGTGGCTGTAGGCTGCTTCATCACTCTTTTGAGTGTCTGACTGGTTGGCCGCGACGGTTTTCTTGAACCATTTTACGCTGGATACACTTCAGCCCAGGTATTAAAAAAGGAGCATGCCATACTTACTGATCCATGGTGCTGGAAAGTATTATAGCAACCTGCCAGAACTGAAACTTTGAGCTGTTGACTTGGTGAAAAAGCAGTGACTGTGAGTTGAAAGTAGAGGGGGGAACGTAAAGATCAAGAGGAAATGTATGGGGTCCGGTGCTCAGCTATTGCTTATCAAGGAGGACAAGGCAAGTCCGGAGCTTACTCGGTAATGTGTGATGCACCATGCAATGCCATCAAGAGCCTTTGACAAAGCTAATGAATCCTGTCCTCCCCGCCTTTCTGCAGCAAGGTTTCTAGTTTTTGCCAAGATCAAGCGCAGTTTGGAGCAGCATTATCTGGAGAGAAGTGCGTCGTACTGATCAGGCATCAGTGGGAAACCAAGTCAAATGACTGGGTCTAACCAATATGAAGTGAGTAGATGTTTTCCGGGATACAACATACTGCAACTGTTGATAGCAGTGTTGAATTGCGTGCTAATCAAGTGCAGCTGGGTATTACAATTTACAGGTCATCCAAATGGAAAGCTTCATTGATGTGACTGATCATTGTAGGCGCAGCGATTCAATCTTGTAAGTGGAGCCGATTACACAGCTAACGTACAGTCTGTACTTCGAAAGCTCAAATCAGAACTTGATTCGATCTTCTCTCATTTTACAAGAGTGTACGGGCCGAATATGAGAAATGTACAATGGTAGTTCCATGCTGTACGGCGGCAGCATTACAATAACAACCCTCAAAAGCGGAGAAATCAAATGCAGAGCTTCAGCGATATGATGCCTACAGATCGAAAGGCTCAGCCTTATCACGATAGCCGGGTGGTATCTGGAAGCTGGCCGTTGAGAAACGGGCCCGTTGTGTTACAAGAGCGACCTGCAGTATCACGCTCGGTCATCTAGACCGCTTTACCCCTCAGATCCCCGCATAGGGCTGGCTCGTAAGGTACCACGAACGAGTGGGGCTCCAGCCATTTCTTCCTGGTCAACACCAGCTCCAGGCGGTGTGAGATTCATCATAGTTGAAAGGAATCTGCCAATCATGAATTGCAATGGCAATGGTTGTCAAGCTTCTGTGACATTTTCAAATGCAGGGACGGCTTCAGCATACGGTACAAGTTGTACCGTACAACTCGAACGGGCCAAACGAGTGGACTCGCCCGTGGACAACCGTTGTAGCAGGGTTTCTGCACGTCAGCAGTAAAGGTATTACAGCAACTCAAGAAGCAAGGCTTTGTTACTCATTCCTATAAAGGTACGAGGACTTCGGGTCAGGAGAGCTGCAGTTCACGTCCCACGACATATGAAGATATATCTTCGAGCTGAAGGCTCATCATGAAATGGAAGTTCACCCAGGCCATTTGATCACCGGAACGAACAGGATGCTTCATCTAGAGTCATACAACATATTCAAGTACTCGTATTCGTATGTACGTAATTCTGATTATATGCTGAATACTCGTGGCTAGGCTCTTTCTTCTTCACTGATAGGTATCTGCTCGACGCAGACAAAGCGCTTACTCTTAGCCCCATAGTCCGTAGCTTGACTTGGATGATCTTGCAGCAAAGAGAAGCTTCCCGAGAATTATCCACTCGAGTACCACATTTCGTGATGAGATGCAGATGTCGTCCTTCGGTATCGAAATTGAACTTCCTATTGCCGCCGAAGGGTTGGTGATATCGAGTTTCGCCTCCTCCCCCCTTTCTATTTTGCTGGCTGTATTCTTTCTATATATACTGCTTCTTGATCCCAAATTGCCAGCCCATCACAGATCAGTCTAATACCCCTCCTCATTCTCAACATATTCCTCAACACTACTCGCAATCAAGTCTATATCTATCTCTCAAAATGCATTTCATCAACATTGCAACTGTTGCTGCTCTCCTCAGTCTTGTCAGCGCTACGCCAGTGGCCGACAGACGTCACGTCCATGGAGTAGCGAATGCAGATGAGGTATACCGGCGCTCATACTATGCAGTGGCCAATGCCGACGAGGTCTCGAGGCGTGCGGTAGCCAATGCCGATGAGGTTCACGCCGTGGCCAACGCCGACGAAGTCTCGAAACGTGCGGTAGCAAATGCCGATGAGGTCCACGCTGTGGCCAATGCCGACGAAGTCTCGAGACGCGCGGTAGCGAATGCCGACGAAGTCCACGCAGTTGCTAATGCCGACGAAGTCTCGAAACGCGCGGTAGCCAATGCAGACGAGGTCCATACTGTGGCCAATGCCGACGAAGTCTCGAAACGTGCCGTAGCAAATGCAGACGAGGTCCACGCCGTGGCCAATGCCGACGAAGTCTCGAGACGTGCGGTAGCGAATGCCGACGAGGTCCACGCCGTGGCCAATGCCGACGAAGTCTCGAGACGTGCGGTAGCGAATGCCGACGAGGTCCATGCAGTTGCCAACGCCGATGAGGTGACCAGACGCTCCTACTATACGGTTTACTAGTTTAGAACGCCCTTCCACTCCACAACGCTCCGAGCAAGTCGCAAAAGCCCGTGAAGTTGCCAGATTCTAGGCGATGACTCTGCGATAAGTCAAAGCCAGCATGAGGCAGGCTACTATATTGTAGCCTCTCCTTGGCTCGAGATGGAAGGAGTGGATTCTCTGGGTTGCTGCTTGTCATTTTCTTTTCTTTTCTTTGACCTGTGTATCTTCGGTATGGCCGATGGTGTGGAGGAGGCAGAGACGGAAATTTTGTACGCGTGCGAGTATTTTTTGGAAAATTGGACATTCGTTAAGTAAAGTACCTAGTGCTTGAATATTTGACATGAATCTTTTGTACCCACGTGCCTTTGGTTCCTTTCCATAACATCAGATAAGAAGATCCCCATCAATCTAAGTTATCTAAAAGAATCTGAATTTATGTATAAATCTCATGCCGTGACTTCTAGTAAGTAAGTACCTAATGATAAGATCCCCGAATGGCTTTCAAACCACGCAGACTCTCCTTATCCCGACCCTACTTTAGTCTCGCTTAAATAGGTAAGTAGGGGGAGGTTGTTGAAAAAGTCCCCCGCAAGCGAGCCGACGATTAGCTCTCCCTACCTACCTACCTAACCTCACCTTACTATGCGCAGCCAAGTCCTCTGGGGACCTCGTGATTGCGGGGGAGAAAGCATAGAGAGAGAGGGGGCATGTGAGCGTGACATTCTCTAAATCCTTACCTACCTATAGGTACAATATCGAGTAGTACCTAAAGCCCCTGCTATCCAAATAGTTTGGGCGTCTGAGGTCAAGTGACTAGTTACTTGTGGTGAACCCCGCACCTAGGCGATTATTAGTGAGTGATGCTTTTGTCGATTATTGAATTCGTGCGAGGGCTTACAAAGATAGATAGTGTAGGGATGATCGGGGATTCGTTTTCTGTTTGAGGGGGATTCATGTTGGGTTGTGGGGAGGTGGGGTTTACCTCTTTGGATATCCCTGTGTTAGATGTTGATTAAATCGGTGGTTGAAGGTGGTGCTTGTTTGTGGCTACTCAGTGTCTTAGACAATGCAAAACTGCGCTTTGAGCATTCCCAGGACCTGAGGAGTTTCTTAAGCTATTGACTACTCAAAGCCTCCTTCAATGTTCTCAAGCCAGGTTATTTCTTTTTTTCGGAACTCGCAATCAGTCCTTCCAAGTCGTTTGACATTGCCGTCCGGCTGATTGATGATGTTAACCGAGCAAGTAACACCCAGCTACGGAGCATTGTAGCTTGGCGAAGCTTGACCCATGTGCGCGATTAGCCGCGGTGACTAAAAGCTCAAGAAACGATGTCATCGCATCGCCAAGAAACACAAAATTGCTCCGAGCCACTTGCTCGTCACTGCAGCCAAGAGACTCGTGTACGATCTGGACCAAGACAATAAAAGCTTGTGACCGCGCCGGCTCCGTCTCTAGACAATATAAGCCGTGGCTTGACAAGGAGTCATTTGCGTAGATTTATAACCAAGGCCCAGATCCCTCTCGTGAAGCTCGATATCCGTCACATTCTTCTCAAAAGGTATTGAAGTGTGGCTGATCAACGTGGCAGTGCATGTGGAGTATCGCGGGGGGCCAGTGACATTCCCCGTCGAGTAGAAAGGAGCGGACATCTTGACGCTTGCAAGGTCGACGGGAGCTGCAGGAGGGCACGCTTCGAACTCCTCTTTACAGACAAGAATAATCAGCTGCAGAGCGACGACTCACGACTCACGAGACAGAGTTCGCCTCAGGGAGTCGATGGATGGGACATGGGTCGCCCCGAGTCGAGTCAGTCATTCCTGTACAGAGGGCAAAGGAAAGGGAAAAGCTTAAAAGCGCGGTTCATTCGGTTGTGGTCCCTGAGCCGTGGGTTTGTTTGCCTGTTGGACGGGCAACATGCGAAAACTGCGCCCGAAAAACCGGGGAAATCGGTGGAGTCGAAGAGGGGCGGAGGGTGGTCAAATAATGCAGACAAATAAATAATAATCAAATATGTAAAAAATTGGCAGATGCCAAGGGATGCCTGGGATTATGTATCAAGATTCAAGGAGAAGAAGAGAAAAGAGAAAAGATTAGAAAGACGGCGCATCCAGACCCCTGGGGCCCTTACTCGTGTCATCACATGCGCGAGCTAATGCAGGGCTGACGAAATTTGGGATGCGACAGGGAGGAAAGCAGCAAGGCCTCTCTAGAGGTGTTCTGCTCACTCCGCCCTTCTCTCCTGCGAAACCTTTTTTTAATATCATACGGTCCATACCATCTTCATCCTCCCTTCTGCTCTGCATATCTATCTCTCTGTGATCATTCTTCCACGAGCGGCCCCTTTTTTAATCCTTTCTCTCTCGCCCTGCCGCCCTTGACGGAAGCCTTTAATTCATACTTTTGACATCATGGACCAGCTTAATCTGCTTGCACAGCTGGAGGACGAAGAGAAGAGGAAGCGGAGGCAACAGACCCCCAAAGGGAACGGCAGGAAGTCAAAGGTCGCTTCGTCCCACGTATCGTATGTATTCTATTCCTCCCAGTTTACTTGGATCACTCCCGTCGCTAACACAGCCGGCGCAGCGAAGGAGCCCGAAAGACGCGACGTCCTCATTCTCTCCCTCCACCTCAAACCAAAAATCAACCCCAAACCCTCCAAACTACCATCTCTGGCTCGCCTAGCTCTTTCGAACGCCCGCTCTCTCGAGGCGATGGCCGACGAATCTCTTTTGGAAACACCCCCCGACCTGACAAGAAGTTTGTCTTCTCTATACCAACCAAGAATGAACCCTTATCTTCCGGCTTCCAATGGGACGGCAGACTTGCCCTCCGGTACGGAGTGAGCGAAGAGATGTGGAAACACTTCAGTCGCGAGATCATCGAGGCTGCCGAGATCCCTGGCCCCTCGTGGGTTTGGCGCCTCCACAAGAGGAGCGTCATCAATCGCATCAAGAAGGACTTGGTCTACGAGAGTGACTTGAAGAGTACTCTCAAGAAGTGGAATAGGCTCTTCAGTGACCGGCATGGTTTCAAGGCATACCTGAAACCTCCGGACCCAAAGGGGGAAGAGAATATAAATGATGAGGACATTGGGGACACGGAGGCAGAGAGGCAGCAAGCGATTCTGATGGCCAGGCGCTTTAGGATCGTTATCAATTCGAATACGGAGAGGGCTGCGTCAGTCTACTCTCGTTCATCCAGCATGACGAGATCGGTATCGGGAGAGGCCACGGCCGTCCAGAATCGAGCATCCGATTCAAAAGCAGAGGACGTTGAGGACGATGCGAAGGGGTGAAGACGGACGACTAAACGACTTGACGAATTATTATATCACGATTGGTTTACGACTGATTCGCAGCGATGGCGTGACTTGTTGGATACATTATAGACTTATCCCTTCTCAACTGTTTTTTGTTACCCTCCGAGGCGACGGCGCCGATAAGAGATGATCGATTGGCGTTTGGTGGATTATTAATTACTTTTCTCTTTATCATCGGTCACTGCAGCTCTCTTCTAGGAACCGGATCGCGGTTCAGGACAAGGGAGCCGCTTGGGAAAGGAGTTTTTGCTCCGTCGATTGACGACGCCGCTCATAATAACAGGTTGAGGAAATCCCTGATGTATGTATATATTGGATGGGGATCGGAGCCGTTTGGCTGCGCACTGGACTAGATCGAACCATGAAAATTACCCCCATGATTCCAGCTTCAACCTCTCACAATAGGTAAACGATGGGCAGAATTCAGCCACGTGAGCAGCGTCTTTCCCCTACCTCAGTTTCCCGTCGCTGTCTCTATCCTCGCCATGTCTCTTGTTCAAATTCATCTTACCGTTTGTCTGTTTTTGAACTTTTAAGGACTCGTATGAGTGCTGCGCTTGATTGTGTTCGGAAATGCTTAGTGAAGCGCAAGTGATGCTTCGAAAGGGGAGACGAGTGTGTCACGTGATTGGAAGGGGAGCGTCCAAGATGCGGCTACTTTCAAGCGGCAACATATCAGAAAGGGTCTATGTGACTGATTACAGGCACATGAATTGCCTAATTACTACCCACCTAGGCTTAAGATTCGTGGATGAAGGAGCACAACGGCTGTTGGTTGAGAGTTCGGTGTTGCCTTGCCCATAGGCCTCCCCAGCGCGGTCTAGGAATGACTATATTATATCTATCTATCTATAATAGAACAAACCTACAGACCAGCGAAGATCTCAGCAAACGAATCCTGGGTGATCTTCATGCAGTCATGGCCATAGACGTGCTTTTGAATCTCAGCATCCGCCCACTTATCCGGCACCGAGCCCTTCTTCTCCCTCGCCGCCGCGAACTGCCTATCGCGCTCCTCCCTCGCGGCGCTCTCGCCCAGATGCAGCACCCGTCCCGACGCCGCCGCCATCTCGACCAGCGTCTCGGCGCGCTCCTTGCGGATCTTCTCGTACACGCGCAGCGACTTGTTGATGGTCTGCGGGTCCCGCGCCGGCATCAGCGCCAGCGCCTCGGCGATGACGGCCGCGTCCTCGATGGCCTGGGCGGCGCCCTGCGCCATGTGCGGCAGCGTCGGGTGGCAGGCGTCGCCGACGAGGGCGACGCAGCCGTGGATCCAGGTCGGGAGCGGGCTGTGGACGCGCAGCTTCCACTCGCAGACCTCGCCGTCGGGGACGAGGTTCAGCATGCGCTGGACCTTGGGGCAGAAGTCGGCGAAGGTGCTCAGCATGGCGGCCTTGGAGCCCTTGGTGGTGTAGGTGGCCGAGGGCGCCGCCGCGAAGTTGGTGTCGGGCTGCGCCGTCGAGAGGTTGTAGATCTGCTTGTTGGACACGGGGTACGCGATGATGTGGCGCTTCTCGCCGATCCAGCGCGTCGCGCGGTCGCCGTCGATGAGCTCGAGGAGCTCCGGGTCGTGTTTCATCTCGTCGCGCGTTAGCATGATGCGGTAGGCGGCTTGGTTGGTGTCTTGGATGTCGGCGTCGACCTTGAGTTCCTTGAGCATCTGGGCGCGGATGATACTCTTCACGCCGTCGGCCGCGAGGAGGATGTCTGCCGTGACGGTGTAGGGCTCTCCGTTACGTGGTTTAGCTCTGAAGGTCGGCTTGGGCGACCATGCATCTACTTGCTCTGCAGAGGTAGAGAAGAAAAACTTGATGCTCTTTTCCCGCTTGCAACCCTCGAAGAGCGAGCCGGCTAGAGAGGACCTATGTCCAACCATATGAGGGTAGCCATACTCCCCTCTGACATAGCCCAGATCCACGAGTGTCAATTCCTCATCGGAAGATCCCTCTATTATCATCAGCTCTCACCGACCGACATCTCTGACTAATTAGGTAGGGAAGGGACATACGCCGAATGCTCGTCTCTTTGAGGTCAACAGCCTCCTTTTCGATATCTGCCCAGCAACCAAGTCGATCGAGGATCCGGGCCATGTTTGGTGCGAGTTGGATGCCCGCACCTACGAACCCCAGATTCGACGCCGTTTCATAGACTTCAATATGCCTGAATCCCTTCTTCGCCAGAGCAAGAGCGCAGGCCAGCCCGCCCATGCCTAGGTAGATAGATATCCAACATTAGCAAGATCTTTCCCCCTTCAAGCCGGGAAAATAGGGGGAGGGGAAGAGGAGGGGGAGTACACACCCGCCCCGACAATAGCAATATGGAGATCTTGGTTAGCCATTGAGTTCAAGGATTCATAAATAAACAACTTCTAAAAGAGGCCTATGTGATATAGCGAATTGAGATCAGAAATCCAAAAATCAATCATTGTACATTCATCCTCCTCCCCGGAATTATATTTATGATATATGGAAGGGCTGGCCCCAGCAAATAACTGCTCCTCTCTCCTCTCCTCCACCCCACCCCCCGCTTCTGCGAGATGCAGCGGCAAACATATTATCCGGTACGGGGCAAGGTAAGGTAAGGTACCTGCTTAGGAAATAGGACGGCCCGGTAGGTGAGTGCGTAAGCAGGTTTGAAAGGTCGTTGATGCGGGAGCCGCCAACGGTACTTACCTACCTACCTACCTAGATATACTAGACCCATATGTTTGTTTTTCTCAACGATAGAGCATCGCAAAATGATCGATAATCAATAAAGACATGGTTTGTTCGTCTGCGAATGCAGCGTGGAGCGGCTCCCTCCGCCCCGCGTTCCCCGGAGTGGAGTTCGATGTAGATACCTTAATCAGAGATGTCACGTGTTGCCATCCTAAAAGGGATTTCCTCTTTTCCGCCCCCCCCCCCCCCCCCGGGGAGGGAGAGATTCCTGGGGTCCCACTAATGTTACGAAACCACATTATTGGGCAGTGCCCCGAGTTTTGTTCCTAGCTGTGGAGTCCGGAGTACATACAGAAGCTCCGTCCGGTCTTTGATGTGGGAGGCTGATAGAGATGTCGGGTAAATGTTCACCAGGCTTTCGTGGGTGGAAGAATGTTATCGAGATGTGCACGTGCGTGCTAGGCTAGAGCTGTTGAGGTGGGTTTGGGGGTTTAAGGGAGGTGTTGATCATTTGTAGATTGGAGATTTTTGATATGGGAAAGAAAGGCTGGCTGTTTTTGGTGTTGGGAGAGATAGTTGAGTTGAGAAGAGAGAGGATAGAGTTATTTGGGGCAGTGAGTTGGTGTTGTTTTCTTGGATGATATGTATCGAAACAATGTGAGAGGTGTAGGAGGGGCATTGGTGAAGAGGTGAGCTAATCCATGACTGGCGTGGAGGCAAAGGTATTGACCGCAAAGCGCATCGCCGGGTTCATGCGGTTTGAGACTGAGAAGAGAAGCTGGAAATAAGATAAATGCAGCTATATCCCTACCGAAATAGAATGTCAATATATACTTACTTATGACCGAGTACACCTAGGTACCTAAGGTACCTAGATAACTTGACTGAAGGTTTGCAGCGTTCTCTCACTGAGATATAAGGTCCGGCCGTTGACTCGTTTCAGGAAGTACTCCGTAGTAAATGTAGTTGTTAAATGCGGGGTGTGAGGCTGATATTCCTCACCTTAATGGGTCTACTCTGCGGAAACGCATCAGGAGTACCTAGATATGTCCTTGGGCCAGAGGACATTCAACGTCTTAGGAGAACTCATAGTGCATTTCCGGACCTCGATAATCTCGATGTCGAATTGTGTAATCCTTCAGTGGTTGACAGTTGAGATTATGATGTAGGCAAGAGAAGGGCAACAAACCCGAGACTCCTCTGCAGTTAGTGAGAAGAACATATATAAATACCATAAACATTGAGCTCAGTCAAGCTTTTGGGAACTTCTATTTCGATATTCACAATCCATGTATACTTGCAGGTAGTTCAATCTTCAACCACGTGACTGATACACACACCCCTGGCTGCCCAAGTCGCGAAACGGCCACCATAGGCTTGGCGGCCCATGAAGTTGTCTGGAGCTCAGCAACAGCTCTCGAAGAGGTTCATCACCGCATCCACCATTCATAAATATGCGGCTCCCGATCAACCTCCTCTGTCTGACTCTGTCGATCCTTCCCTCCACCCTCGCCGTTTTCGCAGACGAGGCCTACCATGTCGATTACCAGCACCAATTACTAGGCATCCCGCAACCGCATACGACGTTCTTCCATCGTCCTAGGCCACAAGACAAAGCGACATTATTGTATACGTTGAGTGATCTGGGTGTGCTTGGAGCCGTTAATCCTGGGACTGGGGAGGTCATATGGCGGCAATTCCTCGCCGGGAGCCACGGCGCTGACGATGCGCGCCTGGGAGGCTTTCTGAGGCCGGTGGAAGGAGAGAGCGGCGTCGTTTCTGCGATTGGGAATAGAGTCGATGCCTGGGATGCTATGACTGGTCGAGAAAGCTGGGGGAATGTGTTCAGCGGATCCGTCAGAGATTTGGAGGTTATGGAGGGACCGACTACAGAGGGCCAAGCCAAGGACGTGCTGGTTTTGTTCGAGGACGCCGGCCACAAGGGAATCTTGAGGAAGTTGAAGGGCGCGAATGGAAATGTGGCTTGGGAATATGAGGGGGACAGCCATGACATCCCATTTCAAGTCAGTACAGATGCGGCGAACGTATTCCTGGTGTCCCTGCACACCTCAGGAGGAGGGTACGACATGAAAGTTACGACACTCGATCCAGTTACTGGGAAGAAGACCAACGAGTACAAGCTTTCGAGTCATGGAGATGTTCATTCCCCGGAGGATGTATTATTCGTGGGGGCCAATTCAGCAGCTCCGATTGTTGCTTGGGCGGACAAGGCCAAGAAGACTCTCAAGGTTAACATCCTGGGTAAACCCAAGGATTTACACAACCTAGCACTGAAGGAATTGGATGGGGATATCGTGAAGGTCACTCTGCACGCCCCACATCTTCCCCAATCACTACCGCATTTCCTAGTCCACAGCGAATCGGGCCTTTCAAACCGAGCAGACGTCTACCACATCGATCTCGCAAGTGGAAGCATCAACAAGGCATACGAATTGCCGAAGCTATCAGGAAAAGGTCTGTTCTCAGCAAATTCCCAAGATGCCAATGTCTACTTCACTCGCGAAACCGAGCACGAGGTCATCGTTGTCTCATCTGCCTCTCATGGGATCCTCGGAAGATGGCCAGTCAAGGCTGAGAAAGATCATGGAGCGCTTCTTCATGGTGTTTCGGAAGTCGTGAAACGTGCTGAAGATGCATATGCTGTCAGGTCCGCTATAGTTACCGCGGACGAGGACTGGGTACTGGTCCGCAATGGAGCTGAAGCTTGGTTCCGTCCGGAGGGTCTTTCCGGCGCTGTGGCTGCAGAGTGGGCAGAGATTCCAGAGCCAGAAAGCTTGGCTAAGACTTTGGAGGCTGAGGCCCACAGTAACCCCCTCTCTGCATACATTCACCGTGTCAAGCGTCATGTGAATGACTTGCAGTACCTCCCTGCCTATCTACAACAACTTCCACAACGTTTCTTAAGCAGCATTCTTCCAGGAGAAACCACCCTGCAAAAGCCAGGAACCCTCGTACGCGACAATTTTGGTTTTAACAAACTGGCTATTGTGGCAACTCAGCGTGGCCGGGTATATGGGATCGATTCTGGTAATCATGGAAGGATTGTCTGGTCATTGAAGGCGTTTGACATACCTCGTGGTGCGAAGTGGGATGTGAGAGGAATTTGGGTTGAGAACTCTAGAGGCGTCACAACGATCATAGGAGCTGAAGGCGAGCACCTCTTGATTCGAACTGCTACTGGCGAGAATGTCGAGACACCGAACCATGGATCTTCACCCGTTGCAAGCGCTGCTGTTGTTGATAGCCCGTCTGGAAGATGGTTCTTACCAATTGGCGTCGATGGCAACCCGGGCGAGGTCCCCAAAGATTGGGCACCAAAAGACACTATCGTCGTGCAGGGTGCAAATGGAGAGGTAAGGGGCCTGAAATTTGAGGTCAAGGGTGATAAAGCCCACCCTGTCATTGCATGGAATTTTCAGCCTCCTCTAGGTCAGAGAGTCACAAATGTTGCTGCACGACCTGCCCATGATCCGGTCGCATCCATCGGTAGAGTTCTTGGTGACCGCACTGTCCTCTATAAGTACCTCAACCCGAATCTCGTATTGGTCACGGCAGTGTCAGACGAGGGCTCCACCGCGTCATTCTATCTTCTCGATACTGTCTCAGGCGATATTCTGTATTCAACAAGCCATGAAGGTGTCGATACAAAGCAACCAATTACCTCCGCCCTCACAGAGAACTGGTTTGCTTACTCTCTCTGGGGCGATGTCTTGGCCAATACTAGTACCACCGCCCTTCCAGCATCCAAAGGATACCAAATTATCATCTCTGAGATGTTTGAATCGGGCATCGCCAACGACCGTGGTCCACTTGGCGCTACAGCAAACTATTCCAGCCTTGAACCCTCCGAAATCCCCAACGTCGAACCCGCCATCCCTCACGTCCTGACCCAGTCTTTCCTCATCCCAGAAGCCATTAGCCATATGTCCGTTACACAAACACGTCAAGGAATCACGACTCGGCAACTCTTGTGCGTACTTGATTCTTCCAATGCAATAATTGGCATCCCACGCGCAATGCTGGATCCTCGCCGCCCTGTTGGCCGGGATCCGACAGCCCAAGAAGCGGAAGAAGGACTTTTCCGCTACGAACCATTCCTCCCATTTGATCCCAAACTCATCATCACCCACAAACGTGAAGTCATCGGCGTGAAGGGTGTTATTACAACCCCGGCGCTTCTAGAAAGCACGAGTTTGGTGCTTGCTTACGGGATTGATATATTTGGAACGAGAGTTACGCCTAGTTTTGCGTTTGATATCCTTGGGAAGTCGTTCAATAAGCTGAGTTTGGTGTCGACGGTGGTTGCGCTGGCCATTGGTGTTTTTATATTGGCGCCTATGGTATGTTTTTCTGCAATGCCCCTCTATTTTGATTATGCTAATAGTTCGATAGGTACGGAGGAAGCAAATCAATGGCCGATGGATGACCTCATAGGTGTGTAAATTGTAGTAATAGAAATCCAAAGTTATATTTCATCCACGTCGTGTTCAATGATATTATGATATTTTCCTTCTTGGCTATGATTTCTCTTCGTCCCGCTGTCTATTTATTTCCCTCCATGCAGAGATAATCCATCTCCGAGATCAAGCTCACAGAATTTGAAAATGCGCATCAACGGGCTTCCCACAGTTAATGCTCAGGATATCCTATATGATCACAATCAGCATCCTTCACTACTCCCCGCAATATCCACACATCACTCTACGCAAGTTTCAGGACAGGGCATTTTCATAACTCACCTGAGGACAAGCACTAAAAGCAATAACCAAATCGACCTCAGCCTTCAAACAAACATACTGGCCCTCCTTGCTAGTTGGCGGGTCAAAACTGAGGGTAGTTCGATCCTCGTGGACTGGAATGTTCATGAACAGATTGAACGGCGAGGGAGTGAATTGTGGTGCTTTGAGACCTATACGAAGGATGTTTCAATTTAACACCAATATTCTTTATCCTCGCCATTGAAAACAAAACGGAGAGGGAAAGAAGGAAGAAGAAAACATAAAGAAAGGGGCCAACCAACCAATAGCCGCCAACCCCTCCACCAAATTATCCGAACAATTACGATGGCTACTGCCGCCGCCCAACTCCTCATAGCGCTGCTTGTCGCACGCCGCCATCAACGTATCATGATGTCCCGCCGTCGTATCCTCCGTCATAGTCAAGATCTTCTTGCGCTCGTTGTCATACAGCCCGTCGCCAGCCTGCGGGATCACGCGGCATAGCGAGGCGCGCGTGTGCTGCATGCTCAGCTGCGTCTTGATGGCGCTGCTGGGCGACGGCGGGAAGGAGCTCAGCGTGAAGGCCCACGTGTCGACGACTTGGTTGCCGTGCGTGTTGATCACTTTTATGGTCTGGCCGGCTGAGAGGGGAACTGCGATTCCGTGGCGCGCCGGAATGGTCGTTAATTGGGAGGTCATCATGGATGGGTACGGGGTTTGAGAGATTTGCCTTGGGGATTACGGGGAGGAGATCGGGGAGATGAGGTATTTGGATACTTGATTTGGTTTTTGATATAGAGGGAAGGTTTGGGATTTTTTGAGTCATGGCTGATACTCTTATATGCTACTGTCGTCGTCGTTGCCGTTGCTAAGGATTTGGACGATAAGCGATAAGAGAAAAGGGGGGTCAAAAGTGGGCAGAGTTCACGTAAGAGCAATCCCGGAATACAGTAATTCTAAACTGTAACATCTGGAGAGAGATGTAAGTGAGGGAGCTTGGGAACGCTGAAAATGTTGTGAGGCTTTAATAAAGGAATATATCTTCAATATGGTCCCGGCTCGTCAGCGGAAGGCAATCAATCCCTTTTGGTCATCTGAAAATGGCCTGGATATACTTTTTGTTGTCTCCATTTCAGCGTACGTTTTAGAAGCCCTGGCAATGTAACTAGTGTGCTGTATACTAGGTTACATATGACACCTTGCGGGTTGCTTCTCATCAACTGAATAGGCCACGAAAGTTACTAGCCTCCATTTCAAAGATAAAGCCCAGATTTAAGCTCTGTTCCTTTTTCAAATTTATGGGCGTACCCTCTTTCGAATATTGTTAAAAGCTCAAGGGTCGGTTCACAATGCCTTCCAGCCAGCACCTTTGCAGATCCGTCCTTTGTCGATCCATTTGGTATGTGGGAGTAGTTGACTGGTGACCCATCTGGCAGTCGTTGTATGTTGACTACCATCACCAAATGGTTCGTCTGTTCGATCAACTTGATTCCCCTCCGAAGACAAAGCCTCTGAATTCCCGGGTATACTTGAGCTCCCTTCTGCCAGAGCTTGGAATACGACCAATTGATCCTGGAGGTACTCATCCACAAGACCACCTTTCTGGACTTCTGCATCAAGCTTGGCCACGACTTTCTCCGCGACTTCTGTGGCTATGTCGTCTGGGGTCTTACCCGTCGCCTTTCTATCATACAGCCAATCGCATCCAAATCGCAAGCCCGTTGATGTATGAGCTACCAAAAGAGTATATATCCGTGTCCTATGCCGGCTGTCTTCCACAAGATGATAATTCGTCCCGACGCCAGGAAGTACCTGGTCAATCCTAAAAACGAGAGCTTTTTTGAAAGCCTCTATTGTATCCGCCGGAACAAGGATCGTAATATCAATCTCGGTGATTTCTCCACGCTCCACTGGCCACACAGGTGCTTTGAGCGTCTGTCCGGGGGTAAGAGGGACAAACCTGAACGTGGCAGAGCCTACATTTGTAGCTCCCAGAGACCAGCCCCGGGAATCGAGTTTTCTGTCGATCTTGACCCCAAATCTCTCAAGAGCAGGAGCGAGTACTTGATCGAAGTACTCAAAAGAGAGTGAGAAACGGACATTAGTACCACCCTGAATCGTGGCTGTAATTGGAGATCCGCTATCGTCTCCGCAGAAAAGGAGGAAGGGAAGCATCGACTGAAAGACGAGGAGGATGCTGGCTGCGGATTCTGCTTTGATCCTGATGTTTCGATTGACTAGGTTTGCGAGAGTTGTAGTTGGCTTGAATTCGATAGATTTGCTCCCAACATAGCAGCCCGTGACCTCTGCAGCCGTGGCATCAGCGAGATACCGGACGCAGGACGCGTGTTGTGCTTTAAGGCCTGCAAATGATTAATATTTATTAATAACGACGCTCAATAGGCAGATATGAGAAGCTAACCTCCACCACGCTTCCCATCTCCTCTGTATATAGGTGTTAGAGATAAGCTGAATATGAACAAAACAGGTGCCGTGAGAAGAGTTACGTACCTATTGCCCCGGACATGATCTATTCGAAGGGGCGTACCGGTCAGAGCTGCGAGCGACACAGCAATTCGGACAAGCTGACCGCCTCCCTCGCCCACTCTGCCGTCGAGCTTTACCAGCTTCTGAGGCTTAAAACCGTCCATTCGGAGAATAGAAAATGGGTGAAGATCTCTTCGGGGATTTTTTACTGTGGTTGCCTACTCGCATGTCCGCCTTGCCCTGTGTCGATCGTCAGCCTTGTAGGAGTGGGGACAGGATGGGATGCGACATATTCCTGCACCAGTCCCTCCATTGGTAGCCCCAAACCGGGGGCCTGAATACGACGAAGATAGTTGACAAGGTGGTCGGGCATGGCAACGATGAGCAGAGAGCGGCATCTTTATATCTCTTCACTTCCTGGGGAAGCTGGGGAAAGACCCGATCCCCAACCAGGGTGGGCTGAACCAAGGGCCGTCTTTTGATCGATAAAGTCACCGAGGCAAGGGGTACAATATTCTAGATCAAGATACAAGATACACCCCGATCCCCGCAATCCTGGCTTGGCGACTGTCTATTAGTACAGCCTTACTGCACCCACGGTCTGACAGTAACACCGTCGCCATCACCATCGTCGTCGCTGTCGCCGTCACCTACCATGATCTCAAGGCTGGCTGGTGGTCAGCTAAAATACCACTTGGTCCTTGCGAGTTGAAGAGATACTGCCCACTATGTCCGGCAAGATGCGTCGCGAAGCATCGCATGCGAGTTCAATCTCGAACCCGGCTGCCAGTCCGAAGGGACGGTTGAACTTCTTCAAGAAGAGACAATTCAGTGTAGACGGCGCAGAGGCTTCTGACAAGATCGACGAGGCGGGTTGCACCCTACCACATCTTTCATTCATTGCTGATCTGATCATCTAGTTTCCGGTCAGCGACAGGACAGTGAACTCGCCGTTTCATTTCCCAGACATCGAAGCCTCACTAAAGTTAACGAGATCAAGTTCAAACTTGCCTTCACCGGATTCGTTCGTTGGCGCAACTCACGATGCGCAGTACTTACATCTCCGCGAGAATACCCGACGGATTCGAAAAGCCACGCTCGACCCAAAGAAAGTGGATGCAGCATGGGAAGTCTATAAGAAATACAGGGAGGAATCTCATCAACTGTGCAAGAGCCTACTTGAAAAATCCCGTGAGTAGTCTTTATAGATCCACTTTCCGGGTCACGCAAGTGTCCTAACTCACGCTTGTAGAAAATCGCGGTCGCAGCGCATCTCTCGAATCAAATATCAGCCCTCTGGATACTCATTCCTCATCCAGTGGTTCAATCACAGAGACCTTCTTACCATTCAAGGTCAACGATCAATGGCTTGCAGCTATTCAGGAATACAAAGGTGTTCAAGAAGTGATGCTCGATAATTTCCGCAATTCGATCGCAGGGACCTTTAAGGAGTACCAGCCCGGTTCTTCGGAGAAGCAGCTAGAAGCATTTCTGGCTGACAAGGAGTTACGGAAAAGCTACATCGCCCAATGGAGAGAAATCAGCATTCACAAAATGAAGTCGGAGAAACTTCTCTTTTGGCAGCAATACAGAATACGCTCTTTGAACTTCCACACCCTTGCCCAAGATCTACAAGCTCTCGAGCAACTGTTCGACGTAGCGGATTCAGGTATTGCTGAGAATATGACTATTCGCGAATATGTGATTAGCAAAAATGGGGATGCGATATTGGAGTTTGCAAATGCAGCATCTGAGATACACCCCATCTTAAGGTTTCGTGTGTCCTCACACCTCCTGGCCGAAGCCTCGCCACTGTTTGCATATATGTTCTCACCTTCACGGCAAGAAGGAGGAGCTTCATTCGATGTGATTGCTGATCTACCACCACCACCCTCAAGGTATACCTGCAAAGACAAAATGGAAGTAAAGGTATACCGAATGCCTCAAATCGAGCTCAACAACAATGAAGCATTGACGATACTGCTCCATTCTGCCCATATGCACAAGTCTGAAGTTCCGAGAGAGATTGATTTTCCGACCTTCGTCAGCATTGCGGAAGTATGCTTACGATACCGGTGTACGCCGGTGCAGCTTGAAATGCAGGTCGAATACCAATGGCTCCCTCAATGGAAACACATGGCAAACGATAGTAGCCAAGGTCGAGATGGCCTTCTGCTGATTAGCTACGTGTTTCGTGCTCAAGAGGTGTTTACACAGGTATCCAAAAACGCGATAATGAATACCGTTGATGAGGCAGAAATTGAGAGCAAGGCCATCTGGCCTCAGACTGTCAGGGAACGGATTAAAGCAGTCAGAGCTGCAAAGCTTGCTCAGATCCATGAGTGTTGTACCAACACCATCAAAGAGTATCTATGTCCGCCAGAGGACATTACTGGTCGTTCAGCAAGCATTGGATCACCTACGCCGACAATGCTGCCTCGGTGCCCAAGGAAATCTCGAACGTGCGATGCAATAAATCTCGGTTGGCTTATGTACTGTTACAACAACTTGGGGATTTTATCGAACATGATGAATAATGACAGCTTCTACGATCTACCCACGTCGCCCCGTCGAAGTCTCAAAGAACTAGTGGATTGTTTGAGATCGCTTCCCAGTTCTCCCCAGGGACACAATGGAATCTGCGATTATGCTCCTGCGCTTAGAAGTGCTATCAATGATATCTACAACAGTGTCTCAGGACTAACATTAAAGGAGGTTGGTTTGACCCATGACAGGAGCTCTATGGAAGGTCCGAACAGCGATCTACCGCGGGACGTGCATGAATTACAAGCAATCGAACACAGGGCTTACAGAAGCGGGCCAATACCGATCTCTTCTGATGCAGCGGTTTGCCTGCGCATTCTATCTTATCTTGATGACATTGATGATCTCAATGCCGCGGCGATGATCGATAAAGGATTCTATGGTGTGTTCAAGAGAAACGAGGCAGCCCTTTTGAGGAACGTGGTGAAAGCTGAGAGGAGAAGGACATCCTCGATGGCTAGCCCCAATAAATCTGATACTATCCGGGTTTCTGCGAGACAAAGGGCCCCTCATAGATCTCGACCCAAAACTGGCGATGAAACAAAGTCTCTTCTATCGGACTACGTGCTATCCGCACCGCAGAATGATTTATACGATATTTCACCTCTACAATCACCGCGCGGTTCTGACGAGGTACCTATGTCCCATGAGGAAGCACAAAAAATCCTTTGGCCGGACGACCTGGTCAACAGCCTAAAGACGCCAGAACCGCGCATGAACGATGAGCCTCTCGAAGAAAATGAAAAGTATTTGATGGGTGAATTTGCCCACAGTGAAGATAAGGCAAGGATGGAAGACAATAGTAAGCATTTACGTGATGAAAAGGATGTAGCTTTGGGACTCGGGATATATAAACCGGATGGGTCCCGATGAGATTTGATGGCATGGTGGCGTTTAGGTTGCAAAATCCAAAGTGAGTACCGGTGCTGGTCCAGTCAATTGTAGCGCCATATACCCTGAGCACATCCTTGGTGTTGATGTCTTGAGATATACGGTTTGCTTATGTTTAAATGTAATTGGATACCCTTTGATATATATCAGTGCAGTTCATTGGTTTCGTTTCCACCATAGTGAAGGCAAACTCACTCAATCAAATTCCCATCCGGGTCTCTACAATACACGCTTGTCAATCTCCCACACCTCGTCCGACATTTCGTTTTCCAGGTCCAGCATTTCCACACTGGCATTAAGGAGGCGGTTACGAACTTCCTTCACGTCATCATCCGTCAAGAAATAGAGGTCTGTACTACCATCCTTGACATGCGGTGCTTTCCGGTCAGATTCCTGATACTACAAAAGTTATATTTCCGTCGTACTTCTCAGAAATACAGACAAAGCAGAAATCCACAATGATGGTCTCGGGAGGGGAAAGAACACCTCTCCAAGCTTATGTATATTAACCTTCTATTGCCCAAAAATCAAGGAACACCGGATTGTATCAGGAGTAGCCGCTGAAATAAAGGATTCTGATTTCATTCCTAGACTTTTTGGGTACCATTCGGTGGTTTTTGAGATGCACTTCACGGTCAGAACTAGATGATCCAGCGAGTTGATCGTTGCTGCGCGAGCTAAGGCCCTTCTGGAAAGTTTAGCTGGTAGGAGGATATGAGGGGCTTGGAATGAAACGGGACAGAGGTTTGAGTAGAGCATACATTTTGAAGTCTACTCCTCAAGAGGATGGGAGAAGGGAAGTTGTGCTTTTGATGTTGTTACATCGGCCAATCACATAGCGCTGTGGCTACTGTGGCTGACCCTTGCGTTGTGGCGCAATATTTCTTGCGCATATCAAAAGCTTCGCACAGGGATCTTGCGACAGCATTGAGAGCTACACGACAAGAATACAAAGCACACCATGGATTGCCCTCGCAATGGTCAGGCGGTCTACCCATTCTAAAAGCTACGAAGACCCATATTCAAGCTATTTCGCCCCGTCAGAATCCGAATTCTATCTACCCACCACGATCCTCCCGCACTGAATCTCCTCCAACCCAAAAATCCACCATGGCCTCCTGGCTCAACAATACCAAGGCGCAGTTCGCCGCTACGGCCATCGTCTCCGGGGCTATTGTTGCGGGTAGTATTCTTGGATACCAACATGTGCGACGCCAGGAAAAGTTAGAGGATTTAAAGAGTTCTATACCGCCGCTGGGAAAGGAGCATCAGGCCGACAAGGTACGTTGTGCTTTCTCGGTAGAGGGCGAGGTGGATATGGAATTAAAATGGAAGGGGAAGCTGACGGGCGAAGTGAAGCTTACCGACTTTGGGGCGGCAGCTACTGATTCGAGGGAAGTAAAACTGAGTAAGGAGGATGAAAGGGCGGTTCAGTTGGCGGCACGAGCACAACGAGGGGAATATGATGATGGTATGATTGAAGGGATATTTTGATTGAGGAATACCTGCTAATTGGTCTCTAGAGCTCATACTGGAACAATTGGCCCGGAATCGCGTCTTTCTCACGGACGACGGGTTGAAGAAGTTACGCTCAGCATTCGTGATAGTCGTCGGTTGCGGAGGAGTGGGATCGCACTGTACCGCAGCATTGGCACGCAGCGGTGTGTCGCATATCCGCCTCATCGATTTCGACCAAGTTACTCTTTCTTCCTTGAACCGACACGCAGTTGCTACTCTCGCCGATGTTGGGACCTCTAAAGTCCACTGTCTCCGCAGACGTCTGCAACAAATTACGCCGTGGGTGCATTTCGATCTCAAAAACGAACTCTTCGCTCCTGGCGCGGCAGACACATTATTAGGCGCATGGGATGGAAGGAAACCGGATTTCATCGTAGATGCTATCGATAATATCGATAGTAAAGTCGCTTTACTGGAATACTGTTACAAGAACAACCTACCGGTTATCAGCTCTATGGGTGCAGGATGCAAGTCAGATCCAACACGGATATTCATTGGCGACATCTCAACCAGCACAGAAGATCCGCTGTCCCGTTCTACTCGTCGCCGTCTTCGCGCCCTTGGTGTAGCAAGTGGAGTTCCCGTCGTCTACTCAACCGAAAAACCAGGTGAGGGTAAGGCCCAGCTTCTACCGCTTCCCGAAGAAGAATTTGCCAAGGGATCCGTTGGAGATCTGGGCGTGCTTCCTGATTTCAGGGTCCGGATTCTCCCCGTGCTGGGGACGATGCCCGCCGTCTTCGGGTACACTTGTGCCAATTTCGTGATTCTGAAGATTACGGGGTATCCCTGCGAATACGTGCCTGCGAAGGGAAGAGAGAAGATGTACGACGGGATCCTAGCGCAGCTACAAGGCAGCGAAGAGAAGTTGATAAGAGCGACGACGCCAGGTCAGGAGCCGCAGGGGTTGAAGTTAGGTGTCACGGCTAATGATGTGGGGTACGTGGTTGAGGAGGTATACAAGGGGAAGAGTGCTATTAGTGGCATTCCGACTAGATTAGCGCTTGTCAGATGGCGGAAGCCGGAGGGAAGTACCCTGGAGTTGGGGGTTGAAGGGCAAAAGAGCAGTACGCTGAAATTGAGGGATCTGGTGTGTATGACGAGGGAAGAAGCGGCCGTGCATGAGAGGGAGGTGGTGAAGGGCTCCAAGACGCCGGAAGAACTTTATGATAGAGAGACGGTAGAATTGGTAGAGGCCAGGATTCAGGAGGAGATTAGGTATGAGAAATATAGATGAATTGTTATTCTCTTTGAGATCTCAATTATCCTAGTTAGAGTGTTAGAGTCCCTTGGATAAGAATGCCCTACGGGTACCAGCCTTTCGTGGGGGCATTTCTGATAGGAGGGGTTTCCCTTTTTTTTGGGCCCGGTTAGAAGCTGGGGGGGGGCATGTTTGAGAAGCGCTATGGAAGAAACACATGAAAATCCCTCGTGGAACCCCCCCCCCCCCCCAACCAAAAAAAAAGAAACAAATCAGAAGCCTCTCGACCGAGGAATCTTCAAAGATTGTCACTTAATGAAAGCACTCATTGGACCGAGTATCGAACCAACAGCCAGTATTCGCCCGAGTATACTGAGCTGTAGTGATTGATGAATGCATTTGATGAAATTGATAAATTGAACGGGAACCAGAAGATAGAAAAGGTCGTTCACAGGATCATAAATGATAATAAATTGCGTAAGGAAGTTTACTTTCTACACATACAAATCTTAAGATCAGTACAAGATTGCGTCTCTGGAATTAAATACTATTTCAGAACCCACAGATCAGAGCAAGCTGGACTTTCCTACCTGCAGTATGCCTCTAGACCCCCCCCTCCTATTTATCTCGGCTACAATATTATTGGACGAGCTCTAGTGAGCTAAGGATAGGGCATACGACGTTGGACGTACATAATCAAATAGAAGTTTGGATTTCAACAAATCATGCAAACATGCAACAGATCAGCGTTTGTGGTTTAGTGGTAAAATCCATCGTTGCCAGTGAAGCGATTCACCCAACCTCGATGGGCCCCGGGTTCGATTCCCGGCGAACGCATTAGAAGAGATTTCTCTTTTTTTGTTCTATTCATTACATGTTTCTTTTTTGTGCCCTTCTCCACAGAGGGATTCTGATTCCAAGGCTAAAGTTCGGCGTTACTAATCATTTCACTTAGAACTCGCTTAGTGACAGACGTCCCTTTTTTTGTGGCTTTTTTTGACCTTCTATCTTCCCTTTCTTCTTATACTGTTCCAATCAGAATTTTCACACGTCTCATCCGCGTTTGTGGTTTAGTGGTAAAATCCATCGTTGCCATTGAAGTGATTCATTCAACCTCGATGGGCCCCGGGTTCGATTCCCGGCGAACGCATCTCTTCTCCTTTCCAGGCGTTTGTGGTTTAGTGGTAAAATCCATCGTTGCCTATATGAATAGGTAACTTCTTATTCTGCAGCTTCGATGGGCCCCGGGTTCGATTCCCGGCGAACGCAATATTAGAGATTCTATTTTGGTTCCATTGCATGTTTTTTTTTGTAGGATCAGACCTTTTTAGCTTCAGCTATCAGCCATCGTTGGCTTGGGCCTTGGACGTCGTTTAAATGCCCCCCTCGGTTTGAATGAGGGGGAGATGGGAGGAGTTGTTTAGCCTCGCAGATAGCTACTGTTTTATCAGGTATAGGTGTCCGACGAGGCCCTGGCCCGGTGTCACTATTTTGGTCAGTAGCTGACTATGATCTTATTTCTGTATGACATACTATGAGTACCTGACGGTGCTTCCCCAAGCTCTTGTCATCGGCTCAAGTTCTCAACCATGACGAGTTCCTCTTCTTCCAAAGGTTTCATGGTCTTTAGAAGCAGGATGTGAAAGTCGCCATCTGCTATACAGCACCAATTGAGAAACTATTCAAAAAGTCTGGGATAATAGCCTGCAGAGCACCAATCCAGCAGACAGATTGTATTATCCTCAAGGATAAGGATACTTCATGGCGCAATATTTCCATGGCACAGCACCAAGTCGCGAGTTCGAAACGATAGCAGAGGATCTCCTCTGCACTGCCAGCGGTTCCACCACTCTTCTAGCTCCTCAGTAGAGCGATATGTTGGCGACGATTTCCCATAACATAGTGGGCCTGGCCGGGACGCTCGCAGCTCCGTGAATCGAGTCAAGATCTCGGTAATTCTTCTTGTTATGGCGGGGTATTCGTCGTCCGTCGGTTGTCGGCCAAAGATTGTTCTCTATCACAATGTATCCTTGATCGTCAGATCTGAAAAAGCGAGGAATGCATGGGGGACACGGACAATCTTTCCATCTAGGAGCTGGCAAGCCGTGTGAAGGTTGTCTGCTTCCTCCTGATGAACGCCAATGCCAAACTTGATAAGACCTCATCCGAGATCTGCACAATATTCGATTGCAGGAACTTGCCCCCGATTTCTGCGAGATTTGCCGACTCGGGATACGAGCAGAGTGAAATCAGATCCTCTACAGTAGCAGTCTCATGTTGGAAAGGTACCGATGCCATGGTGTAGTAGCGTGAACTGGATTAGGGAAAATGTATGAACAAAGGTCAGATACTGAGCCAGTGGGCGCGGTTGCTCGTGATAGCGAGAGGAGTTGATGTTGAAGAAAAGGTAGAGGCAAAGCGACTTCGATTGGCAATTCCTGCAGGTACGAAGCAGACTTCGCCCACGACCGCAACCACACCACCACCAATTCATTCCTAGCCCTGTATTTGTGAGGTGTAAGGCTTGTTACCCTGGTTGTCCTCCTGTGCTCGTAAACATCAGAGAGGCACCTAGAAGAAGAAGGGACATTTTTGTAGGTATATTTGTTTTCCCCTCCTGGTTCACAGGAGACATATCCGCTCCTTACGAGAGGAGCTTCACTACTGCCTCTGCGTGTCCACCCATTGATGCCCAATAAAATGACGTTTGCTGATACTTGGGGCGTCACGACGTTCTGGGCAAATATAATCCGCCTTTCCAAATAGTTGATCTCGGCCACCGTGGCCTTTTCTCTTCTCCTTCGAAGTCGAAGGACGCATCCAAATCATACCATTTATGAGGTATCGTTTCTATGAATTTGAACACCTTCATCATATGCTCAATTCTGTTCTGAATTCTTGCTGGTTGTATATTTGCCGTCTTGCTGTATACTGTTTGCTCTCGTATGGCACAGAAACTTGAATCGATCTCTGAGGTCACCCCGGTACATCCTCGACCTAGATTTACTCCTCTATTAGTAGCAAAAGAGCGGGCCGCAACCGCTTTTCAAGAACCCCCAAAAGAACAGTGTCTTCGAAATAGTCTCTACTTTCCATTTGTCTGAAATATCGCTCAAGTTGGGCTGCAAGACCTGAAGTGATCGTCTCTTCTCACAACCTGTCATATGCAAATAGTCCTCACAACTTTGACGAGAAAACCAATATTGAAACCAAAAAATGTAACGGACATTTGGTTGATTTCATTATGGTCAATTCGAGGGTAGCATATCGAAGTTTTGGGCTCCACAAGCAAGAAAATCGATTTCGACTGATCTCAACTATACGGCAAGTAGCCTGGTGATTAATTTATATTTAACACGATGGTATATCAATCATGATCAAATATGAACTTCCTTATGACTACATCACAACCTAAGTTCCGGCCTATATCTCGTCATCGTCTTCTGTCATCATTCACGCCAATCTTGAGGGAAACCCCCTAGTTCGCATGACCTTTCCCCACCTTGAGCGGCCCCTCATTACCCTACTACGACACCACCAATATGTTTATATTCATGTATCACGCTGGATCTCTATTGTGCCTTAACTTTCCATTCTGCACAAGACAGGTTTCCGCTTTCAACACCGCAACCCTCTCGTTCTGTCCCGATCCATACGCCCTAGGCAAAGAATTGAGCGCCGCAATATAATATCCAGCTCTTGCCGCCACCATCTTACAGCAACCGTCATGGACCCTCCACCGTATGCCCCTTTCGAGCCTCTATCGTATACGGATTTTGAAACGGCCTCCATCCGCTCTGCGGCTCCCTCCTACACCAGCGAAGCACCACCCTACGTCTCTGCAAACTCCACCTCCCCAAATAATGGACTGAACTCACCATACATATACTCGTCTTCTGCCACCTCCCAATACCATCGCGCAAACATCACTCCTTCACTTGCTGCTTTCCGCATGCCAACATGGTCACACACTCAAATCTCTAATCCTACCGCTAGACACTATCATTCTGTTGCGCAACGAAGAGCGACAGCGCGTATTGTGCGGGAACAAGCCACGCTACTAGCAGCGGCTGTGAATGGAAAAGAGAGGGTTGCTCTAATGAAGAGGAAGATGGAACTAGAGAGGAAGACGAGAATGCTGGAGGACCCGGACTTGGTCGGAGAACAGGCAGCTGAGGAGAACAAGCAGCAGAGATTAAGGCGTTTCTCACAGTGAGAGGAAGGATAGGAGGCGGAGTTGGTTGTTTGCAGAGCTGAGTAATTGGAAGGAGGAAGAAGAGTTGGAGGAAGCTCAGACGGGGAAGAGGGCTGAGAGAGTGGCAAATTGGCTAGAAGATTCGGCTGTTCCCCCTGAAGGTTCGATAATTTGTGGATCTGGTACGGTTAGCAATAGATAACCAGGCGTTGGGTTACATAGGCCTGCGAGCAAGAGCTTAAGATAAAGTTCTGATAGTGGCGCACTCTGATAATAGGATTACTTGTATGTTTCCAAGAAGGCCTTGCTGTTTCTTTCGCTTGAGGAAGGCGTTTCAGCAACCGTACGATGCTGATCTCCGGATTTTCAAATACCTTGATATCATATTGACGCACAAAAGAATGTCAAGGCAAATGCCAAGGGGCAAGAAGCATTAATCATTGAACGTCATTATCATCACCTGGGAATCGTCCATCCATGCATATCTCGTCCATCCTATAAAACCAACGCCCTGATAGCAAAATAAGCCCCGATAGCACCTAGTAGCATGGCCAGCACAATGCCAGCACCTTCCAGAGTCATGGTAAAATATATTGCAAACCCAGTCACCAACTCTAACAACCGCGCGCGCGCTCTCCGCTGCTTCCAATCCGGGTCTACACCGAACGGTGGACTGACTCGTGGGTCCGGATTCCCACTCTCCTCTTCCGCGTCGGGCTTCGGGATGGGGATCAGAGGAACCGATACGTCCAATGCGACAGCCCGATGATCAGAAGTTGGAAGTAATGGCAATGCCGTATATTTATGTGTGATTATATGCGCGGAGGGCTCTTGGCTCTTCAGCCAAGATGGGATATCGAGGTATAAGATCCGATCACACCAGCTGGGCCATCGATGTTTGGCCCAGTACCACCTCGATAAATCTTCGTCGGGAGTGAGGAATGGTTCTTTGGGGTCATATTTATATGTTGGGGGGAATGTGACGGGGGCTTCGATCAGACCGTGGCAAGTCCGACCTGCAAGGCGTTCTTGGTTTAATTGATCTCTTTTGAAGAGGGAGGAGAAGTGGTTTGGTGAAGAGAGCTCGTGATGTGGCTGTGGGAACGAATCGATATGATCCGAGGGCGAGGGTTTGATGGTCGAGGTTCGATAGTTCAGATCTCCTGCCAGGAAGAGGTGGGATGTCGATTTGTAGATTGAGGCATCTTGGGGTGAAATTGAGAGGAGGGGTAGCCCTTCGCTGGCTGCTGTTAACGATGTTGCTGGCATCCCTTCTTGAGGTGCAGATGAGAAGATTAACCCCCGCACTATGCTCTTCCAATCTTCGTTTCGGCGTGGGACCTCATTTTCCATCGCTGCCAGGTGGGCCGAGACAAATGTCAATTCCGTATAGGAGGAACCTCCACTATGATACGTGAAGCGTGCACCGACCGCGCCTTTGTTTCCCATTTCCGCAGCTCCTACTCCCACCCCTCCAGTTTCGAGATCTTGTATAGCTGCAGGATCTTTTGCAAATACCATAATTCCTACCATGCCAACATTCCGAGCTACTATCGGTGTATATATCGAGGTATTGTTGGAGCCGGCAGATAGCTTTCGAGCCGCCTTTTGGACAGCATCGTCAAATCTCGAGAAGTATGGGACCAGAAAGGACCCGCCTATCAAGGAATTGGATAACGGCGCAATTTCTTGTAGGGAGAGAACGAGTAGGTCGGGGAGTTTAGGCGTGCTGAGTCCGGAGAAGAGTTGCGAAGCGAATGCGTCGGTGTCGATTAGGGAACAGGCACAGTTGAAGGTCAAAACATAAAGACTAAGATTCGCCATTGCAAGTGTGTTTGTCATGTTAGTCGGATCATTTCAGCGCCCATTTCAGTGTTGTGGGTTGGGCCTTGAGTTGGTCGCATAGGTAGAGCTGCGATGCTGTCGTCGCGATTCGTCGACGTCATTTTGGCAGCATTCGCTTAATTTCAGGGGACACACAAACCGGGGATGATATATCCTTCACCAAATCACAAAATGCTGGCAACACGATGCAAAAAATAACCCAAGTGCGTGGGAGAAAAGGTCAAAAAAAAGAAAAAAGCAATTTCGTTTTGCGTTCGCCGGGAATCGAACCCGGGGCCCATCGAGGTTGAATGAATCGCTTCATTGGCAACGATGGATTTTACCACTAAACCACAAACGCGGATAATACAATGAAATATAATCTTTCAAAGTAGTAGAAGAAGCAACAAAGAACAGGTCCAAGAAAATGATAAAAATACTAAATCCCATGCTATCGAAAAGTTTCGGGTGTGCATTTATTATAATTTCTACTCCAACATTCGCCGGTCTCGCTCAGGTTGGTAGACATCTAGGTAATTTCTAGGTGTTGTCCTAGTAAAACATTGGAATCAACCGTTTCTCTACCGCTTTTAACTTGGTTACTACATTGAACATGTTGCTTTTAATTTGAAGACTGTTGATTTGTACCTATACAAAGGTAATATACAATCACTTGACTAGATACGCATTTGCTTTACCAACTGCCACTTCAAGGCAGTAGGAGACCGCATCAAGCGAGCCGACGAGGAGTTGAACTTGAAGACTTCGAGCCAAACTTATAAAGGTTATTAATTCGACGCTTGTCTTTTCAATGACAGGGATGAGATTCTGCTGATAAAATGATCTAAAAGACGTGTACCCATAGGCTGAACAATGCATTGCAGCATTCAACAAAACGAGTTCTCAGGAGAATCCTCCCTCTAGATTATTGAATTTTGATATCCTGTGCTTCGCAATCAAGATCAGGCGGCCATAACACAAATCTCCCGTTCCCACGACGGGATTCGATGATATCATATGGCGCAATGGCTTTCTGATATGGAGAAGGAGAAGAACTCTCAGGGGGAAAGAATGAAGTTGGGGCCCATTTCAGGATCACGTGAAATTTCACTAACTCTTTAGGGCAAGGCGGCAGATGCTTGATATCTGACATCTGGCCGACTACAGTCTTCAAACAACAACCCTTCACAACCTCGGTATTTCACCTGCTTGCTAGAGAGGAGAGAGAATTCCCATCGTTCTTTTCTCTCTTCTCACCGCTCATTCTGCGCCTTTACTACGTCGCACAGTTACTGCACCTCCCTCTTACACATTGGCAACGGCTGCCTATTGTTACGCCCACTCATTTTACAGCCGGGCGTTTAAGGCGTCCAAGGCGACTAGCCCAGCGAAAGAGGATGATCTCGTGAGACGGGAAGAAGAGGAAGTGTTGAGGCATTTCATTTCGTTTGTCAAGGGTAGATTCAGGCTGAGTGACAAAATGCAGGCCAAGCAGCCAGCACAGCAAGTACCTCACCCAGTCGAGCCTACAACAATTTGCCACTGTTTGAATTCGGAAATCTAGATCGATTTGATTGATTTCATGACCTCAGCTGTGAGGAGGGCTGTGTCTACAGCTTGAGCATCATTTCAGCACAACTGGGAGAGGAAAAACTTTTCTGGCTTGTCACGCCCGCCGCTCCCCTGAAGGCTGGTTGATGCTAGGTTTCACGACAGTAGTAAAGTGAAATCGTTGGGATTTGATGGCCGCTGCGCCCCCAGAGAGCTATCTGTAAGGCTGTCTCTGGCATTATTGTTCTATTGTCTCATTTGCTACGATTTTCATGAGATTGTTATGATCCTGGGCAGTTTCACGTGGCTGGCTATTGCATGGACTGCGTAGTTGAAAGCGTATCAAATAGTTGAGGCAGACTTCGTTCTTTTTTTCAAGTCAGCCTTCAAGCTCAACAAGAGATTGGCATTAGCAACGTTAAGGCAACAAGCCTTTCAATGTTCAGGGTAATGAGATGACAAAGTTGTTGCATTACACAGAGTGCCTGTGAAGGCTATCTCGAGCCATGATACTTAGCTTTTGTCTCTCGAAAAAAAGTTTTGTCCAGGCACCAGGCAAGATCAAAGAATGTAGTATAATCTATAAATGAAATCTCATCTATTCCAAGAAAAAATGAAACCAACAGCTGCTGATGTATGATCCGTGGGGAAAGTCGTCAAAACTCCAAGTCTATCCAGCATCGCCCAATCCCCAAAACCCAAGCAAGAAAATCTATAAGGAACATTTGCCATCATAAAAAGTTAACATCCACCATGCCTCCTATCTAAGCCTCGATCTTAGATTCCCCACCACCATTGGTCCTGGGCCCTGAGAGAGAGAAGGGCAGTAGCCTCAAGAGAGGCTTACAAGCCAATTAGCTTCAGAAACTGGCAAGTCCCATGAATTGAGGCTTGATTAATCGGACTTACCCTCAACTTTGCTAGTTGCCAAGAGGAATCTTCCTTGCCTCCACCTCGCAATCCCCGCACCGCAGATGACCGCAAACTGGACAGAGGTCCACAAAAGTTGTACTTCCGCTATCGCCGCATTTGTGGCATGTCCAGACATAGACGATTTGGTATCTTGGCATGTTGTTTGTCTTTGTGATTGGGGATTGAGATGGAATGAAGACGAAGAGTTTTCAGGTTCCAATTGATGGCTGTTGGATTGTGGTAGAGTGTATAGAAGCTGTCGATTCCTTGAATGTATGATCAATAAATGAGGGATACATTTCATATTTATGCCAAAATTCCAGATCAAGTCTACCTGTCCCAGACCTTGTACAAGGAAAGGCAGTCCCAGACGCCCGACCTGAAAACTCACACCGATGCCCTACTGCGCCATCTCCAAGTCCCTTCGCACGACGCCCGTCGCCCCGACGAGACGTTCCAATCCTGATGCCGAGCAGGGCAAAAGCGTGATACACGCAGCCCAAGGTTGACGACCGTGGCGTAGTCCTCAAGAAGTCCTTCTCAGTAGTAGGGCCTTTCTTCTACCTAGTTTCCCAACGCTCATCTCAACATAGGAGTGGAGGAGGAAAAAGGGGGCGGTTTGAGGTAAAGATGCGTCAATTGTCCATTCTTAGTCACTTGACTTGTGCTGGCGAATTGCTCACCGAAGCCCATACTGCACGCTTGGAAAAAAAAAACCCCTGACACGCCCGGTTGGCTTATAATGGGATATCAGGGCGTCTCTGCTCTAGCGACGGGGCGTTTCAATCAGTCCTGAATAAACGCTCAGTCAAACCTCCCATATTGGCTGGATAGCCACGATAGTACGTCATCAGAACATACTGGCTGGAAAGGGACAACGTATTGGAACGCAAGGCTGAGAAGGCGGAAAAGGCGACAGTCGTGCACGCCCAAACGCTGGAATAGGTAGGCTAACATAGGTAGGCAAAAAGGGGCACTGCGTGGGGGCTGTATTAAGCGAGCAGGAGAATATATGTACCTACTTTAAGGTACCTTATCTTGCCTTACCTTGCCTTAGATGGGTACCTTAAGTATCGTAAGCAGTACTGTCGTACAAACAATCAAACTTTATGACAAGATAGCCGAGATCTCGAGACCCTGCTATACGACCGAAAGCCTCAGTCTTTGCGTTGTCAGCGGAAGGGATCACATGTTAATTGCATATGGCCGCACAGTATAACAGAGATGAGTGGATGGTGGTAAAATTAATTTCAACGCCCAACGCTATGCAGACTAGACCGCTATTAGAGACAAAGAACATGCGAAGAGTACAAGACTACTTAGTGAGGGGCAAAAGCAAGAATAAAAATCAAGAGTTTCAAAATCAGGACAGGCACGATGCTATGAAAACCAAATCCACAAGGAAACGTGAAACAATTGCACGCAACAACACCCAACAAACTGAACAAAAATTTCATTCGCAAAGGCCCTCTTTAAAACATATCGCCACTGCCTAGCCACCCGAGGGTGTAAAGATTTCTAGGATGGTGGTAAGCCTGGGACTCTGGGAGATAAGCACGCCCTTGTGAATAGCGGAGGATACATACGTTTAACGGTGGATCGGGACCTTCACACTCTCAACGAAACAGTACTGGCATCTGTAGTGCTGACACTCCGGGCAAGCTGGAGTTGATGTTGTGTCCATCGCACCGCTCCTGCGGCAGGCACAGCATGTCCAGTTCCAAAAGCGCTGGTATGCCGGTTCCCCCTTTTTAGGGCCTCCCGAGGAGCCTTTGCCCTTGGAGGAAGAGGAGTGGTGGTGGTGAGATGAAGAGGAAGGCATTGATTATAATGGCTGCTAGGAGTAGATTCTGTCTGTCTCGAATTTGAAGAGGTCCAGGACGAAAATAAAGGCGGAAGCACGAGATTGAGTCCCTTGAGTAGATGGAAGCTTAATGCAGCGGCGATAGACAATATTCAAAGAGGAAATAACAGGGAAAGATATCCAACGGTTTATGTAGGAGATTCTCAAGCATCTCTTCAACTGTGTTCCGGACATGAGGTCTCTCACCGACGTAAGTCCTGGCAGACTCACAGGCGCATCTAGTCATTTCGCCCATCTCTCCAGACCGAAGTCTCGAATATGCCATTGAGTCCAATGATCAATAGACAGCTCGTCATTCAATCGCTGCCAAGAAAGTCCTGATCAAGAATGGCGAGGCACACTCGTTTTCGTTGAGGTTGATGAAGGTTCAGTAGAGTCATACCTTATGATAGGTGACGGATACGAATCCATCTAGGCGGTGCACTTAAGGAGAGTGCTACTTCAATCCGACCATGTAATCCAATACAAGACTTCGTCGGGCTCCGGTGAGGATCTCAGTAAGGCCGATACCGGGCGTAGAAATAGTGATTTGCTTGCCGCCTCGTCTGTATGATTTACACGGTGAGGCAAAGCGGTATGGTACTTGGACAACCAGGCCCATCAAGGGTCATCTTAACTTCGTAAAGTCGACTAACCAAATCTCAGTCCTCAAAATCCGGGCAATCTGCGTGGTACGATTTGTTTAATTGCGGTGAACTCGTGATAAATCTGATGGCCTAGCAGGGGTGCACGGTTGAGGCTGGAAATTTGTGACGCCACAGCAATGGGCGCACTGGAAATGCATGCGATTATAAGGAAATTAATTGCTGTGCCATAAAATCCACAAGAGACGCAATGGAAGACTTAGAAGGGAAATAAAAATATCCTGCGCCGACTTTTACACAAGATCTACGGATTGACCTGCAAATTGATAGGCGAGGCTGGGAGACGAGGCTGAGAGACGCGCACAACGCCCCAAGGCAGATATCAGACTTTGCTGCAAGGAAGCCATGGAACTTTGACCGAGCAAGCCGTAGCAGAGCTCGAGACCTTGCAAAAATCTCCTTTTGAGTTTGATTCGTCCTGTAGCTCTTTGACGACAAGAGCTGTTAAAAAGGTGATAACAAACACGGTGTGTGTGACAAGGTTGCCGAGAGCCTACCATTAAACCTCTCAAGAAAAGCTGTGCATATGAAGGCCCTCGCTCGAAAAAGCGACAATTGAAAGTTGCTCTCTTCATATCGTCAAGTCGGCAGAAATACCAAGTTTAGATATCTAACCTCTTGGGTAGGTGGGTAGGTCCTCGAACTGGCTCAAAGAATGACGAGAGTGCGAATGAGAATCTTTCGGTGTGCTAGATATAGGAAGTACTCGCTCAGCAAAAAAAGCTTGCTCAATTCTTGTATGGGATGAGATGTTATTGAAAGCAATAGGCCCAGTTGGCTGGAGTTTGCACTGTTATCCCGCAGCCAATGACACAAATTAGCTACGTGCTTAATCTGGGCATGCGACCTAGGAAGAATACAAAGCAATGAAAGGCGTTCATCAAGTGCCTGAGATAGAGAATGAATCTGGCCAGAGTGGCATTTGAAGAGTACTTCTTCACTAGTTGTAGATTGCAAAAAGAATAACATTGAGCGAAGATATGTGGCTTTTCTATCTCAGTTGTAAGGGGTCAAAAATTCTAACAAAGGCAAATATGGACTTGGATATACTCCGTATAGAAAAAGGAAATAAAACAATAAAGCACGCTCAGCACTGAGTCTACACTGCGTCGTGTTTCTTCCTTGATAGAGACCGAGCGCGACTGAACATCGCGATAAGGAATCTCATTTTGCATTATGCGCTTATACGCGGAGCTAGTCTTGTTTCGTCAACAACGCGGTGCGCACAGAGCAGGGAAGCTACATAGTACATACAGCTTCACCTTGCTCTGACTTGTGGTGTATAACGTACCATTATGGAGAATCGCTTCTATATTTTGGCGCCATAACACCGAATCTCTTTGCAGGGCGTTCATATTTCTGCAGAAACGACAGCTCTTAGCCTTGCAGGGGAGGAAACCGAAAGTCCTAGACGATACACAGCTTTACTGGAGACACTGCCGAGTCTGAGAGAGCGGCTCTGGAGAACTATTCTATACCCAGAATTCCCCTTGGACCGCGATTTTACGCATGATTTACTCTTTGCCCTATAGAAATGGTTATGGTGGCCTGAAAGGTCCCCCCGAGGCCGAGATGCAGACCAAGGTGGAGTGCAACAAGATATCAGCCTCTCTGTGGACGGCACGGATCATACCAATTATATTGGCGGGAATTGTTGGTTACGCTACCTACGTGCTTGTCGCTATTCTGTCCGGTAATATATTTATCTCTGTTGGATTCTGTGGCTAACTATTACAGTAAATTATCTCCTTAGGAAACGTCACGACCATGGCGCTGCAATTCCAATTCTCGTTGTGTATTTCATCCTGTTCATACTTATGACAACATCTTTTCTACGACTAGTCCACATAACCATCTTCGATCCTCCCTATGTACCATTACCGCCGCCGACACCTCCATATGCAGGCCCGAACGAACCAAACAGTAGTTCGTACTGGGCTGCACAAACAAAGGATGTGTTTACCTGCTCAATGGACGGAAGACCAAGTTGGTGCAATACTTGTGGAAACTGGAAACCTGATCGTGCACACCATTGCAGTAGCTCGGGACGCTGCATATTCAAGATGGACCACTTCTGCCCTTGGGTTGGAGGACCTATTGGAGAGAACAATTTCAAATTTTTCATTCAATTCACTGGATACACGGCATTGTATTGCATTCACCTCTTGGTTGTAATGGCAATCTACATTCACCAGCAGAAAGTCACAGAGGTATGGCAACTGAAGCTCTTCCCGCGCTCCTCCTCGAAGCGTTACTGATCAAACTGGATTTAGGGCGAAAGCGTCAACCCACAATTCGCGGTGATTTTAGGACTGTAAGAGCGTGAATGACCTTTGGTATAGTATTATACTTACTTTAATGTAGTGCTGCATTCTTCGGATTATTTACAGGAAGCATGTTTAGTACGGGTATCGGCATGGCCATGACCAATCTAACACAGGTTGAAAAACTTGGCCACAAGACCAAGGTTCACACTTTGGCAGTGCTCAAGCCCTTGCCAGAAGAACTTCTTCGTACTGGACAGTATACTGTTTCTCAGTTTCCTTATCCAGAGATCATATATCCTTTGGAAATTGGCTACGCTCTACGTGCCGACAGTTGCGAGGTTCTCCCGCAAACCAATACGGATAAACCCTTGCCAGACACAAAGCGAACCGCCGCTCTGCAACAATCTCAAACTCTGCAGGAGAAATCAACGCACCCTATGCCCGGGTTATCTCCAGGCCCGGGAGATGATAGCTCGGTATCTGTACGTTCACCAGGACACTTAGGAGAACGCTCAAAAAAGACTGTAGTGGCCCCAACAGGAGACAATGTGGAGCAAGCAGCACTATCAAGGGTTTCGTCAGAGCTCCGACAAAGAAAGGAATTCGAAATCGAGGCTAGCAGGAGACCTAGAAAAGCCCTATCAGCTAGTGAGCTCAAGGCCGTACGACTTTTTGCTATCCTAAGACTGAATCCCGGTGATAATCCATGGGACTTAGGGTCTTATCTTCTAAATTTTGAAACGGTCATGGGTGAGAATGTTTTTGATTGGTTTTTACCTTTCAGAAGAAGTCCATGCTGTAATCACGAGGATCCAGAAAGCTATTATCGCATAGGCCCAGTGGTGAAACTTGCTAGAGCAAAAGCCTTCTCTATGGATGCGAAGGACCCAGGTGCAAAGGTCAACCCTAAAATGTCTGAACGCTATCAGAATGATGCAGAAGCTGGATGTCCAGGACGAGAACCTACAGAAGGACATAGCCTCCTCAGCAATCACGAACACGCCATTAGCCCAAACGCTCAAATTGAGATGAACAATCTCAGCGGTTATCCGCCACAACAGCAGCCAGGATGAAAGCAATATGTACATTAAATATCCTTTTCCCGGAAGGTCTCGAGAGCGGATAATCTTGAGACCCCGCCTTCTTATTGGTTTATTTTCATTGGAAGAGAGCGGTTTTCTGCCGCGCCTTCAATATGGGTAGAGCGGCGTTTTGGTTCAAGGAAAGCTGCCACAGCACATGAGCTTTGTTCACAACAAGGGGCTGGTATGACCTCACGGGAGCGTGGCATATGGACAGGGTAAATTAATGAATATGGGGTCACTGGGATATATACAGATTAGACAGACCTATTCTCTTTGCTACGGTCGTCGTCACCATTGTGGCAACCAGGAATAATGCTAATGAATTCATCGTCAGAAGACCATCGCAAAGATGTGAATGGTGAAAAGTGCTCCCTATAATGCCGTTATTACGTGGCGGCCACTTGGCTATCGCACTGGTGCCCGCTTAGCCATCCCTTCAAGCTCGACGACATGCCATCTGGAAGGCCGACTTCTGACTTGAGGTACGTACTTCCGACCACCAACAATGCCCGAGACTGCCTACCTATCCAACAAAGGGCGAGGCACCCAGGCATCAGGTCGCGCAAGATCCTTTTGTTGACCTGTTACAGTAAGCCTTATGTCCAAACTTCATCAGACCCCGGCACCATGAAGTATTCTTTAAACAGCAATCAAGCCTTCATAGGTCGTGCTACTGTATAACCTTCATGATGAATCTTTATCTTCATCGGCAGCTGCCTAAGTCCGAGAGCAAGCCTGTCGAGTCAGATCCTCTGCTAAGGTATCCTGCTAAAGCTTTGAGCCCAAGTCAATCGCATGAGGTGTGAACGACCATGCCGATATGCTCGCGATAGGACTAATTTGGGGATCCTTGGATAAGAATATAAATAAGCTCTACTCTCCATGGAATCAGCAGACACAGTCCTCCAGAGACAGTTTCCAGGAATCGCCGATACAAACCTCAATACATACCTATATACCGACCTCGAAGCTTATCCATGAGGATAGACAGCCGGTCATAGGTGCTGAACAGCTCCGGACAGAGTGAGCCAAGGCATTACAGTTCATTCCCAACTTGAAGGTCGACGCAAGATGCGGTGTAGGAGCAATGAGGTCTTGCTGTTTTCGAAAGGCCTATGGGCTGACGGCGGGGCGGTGGAAAATTCCGTGGATATGACTGTTGGAGGGATGAGGGAAGTTGTCGGAGTTACAGTGGGTTCTTGGACAAAGAGCGGTATCTTTCTGGCACTGGAAGATGTGTAGGCGGCTGCCAGTACATCAACTTGACAAGGCGGATTTCAGAGTAGGTACACCTATCAACCTCACGTGATAGTACCTACCGACTTGTATACCTACCTACCTACTAGGTAAGGTAGTATAAGGTACTTACTAGGTACTTTGTTTCGAAGTCACGGCAGTCACCCTTGTCACGCCATCTGGGGAACGTCTAGTTCAACATAAAGCCTGCTCAATACTCAAAACAGAAATGGATATCAATAAAACGAGGCGCGAACTTCGAAGTGTCAAGAAACAGGTCAACCGCCAGCCAAAACACTAGGAGGACTCTGGAGGAGACAGCATGAGGAACCCAAACAGCAATAGAATCATCACGTTTTCATGAATTGAATGTCCGCTGGCGGAAATATCTAAAGAAGACAGCAAGGAAAGCTAAGCAGAAAGGGAGTTGTCAGAAAAGTAGAAAGCCGAAACAGGGAAAAGAGTCAACATGGAAGACAAGAAAGCATAGAGAAGAGACAACAACGACAACAGGAAAAACAGGGAATCCAGACAACAGAAAATCAACCAATCAGCGAGGGCCTGCTCTACCCCCTTCGTGCGGCCCAGGAGCCCCTGAGGAATCCTCCGACTGTGTGAGAGGCCTTATATCCATCAGAACCCGGCTTCCCCACAAGCATTGCATTCCTTGTGGACACAATCTCCCCATGCACCAGGATTGATACCATGCAGGAAGATACGACATCTCCACCAACTCGTCATATCTAGCACACCCCGCGTGCTATCTTGCACGGCGCCGGCCAGATATTTATCGTTGAGCAAGCAATATCACCACTTCATTGCATGAAGAGCATCTATAGTGCGAGCAGTCTGGGCAGTAGAGTCCCCAGGTCAGTTCCTGCACTTCGCGTCCACATCCACAGCACTCCCACCATCCTCTCATCGATACTGGGTGGGTGTGGTTACGAGGCATCGTTGATCTTGGAGATGTTAGCATATATCTGCAACGACTAAGCATCTACGCAACATACATTCAGATGCTTGTTGAGGTTCGAAGTAAGCCTTGGAGTTGTGGTGTAGTTTTGCTGAGTGGGATTTGTAGGAGAGTAACCCTGTGGTACTTGCTGAAAATCGAAGATAGCAGGTGGGAGGCAGGGGAGGTAGGTCAAATATGTTGCTCTTGATCCTGATTCTGCTGTTCAGGTGCTTTGAACTTTGCTGCTCTCTTGCTCTTCTCCTTGCATAAGAGGCGTTGTCCATACTTTATACTCATGGCACTCAAGTACCTTGAGACTAGATACCCAATCTGCGAGAGGCCTCTAAAAACTTCCAAGCGGAGCATGCGATGCTGTGAGTTGGCTCGGGCGAGGCGCCCGTCAAATTTCCCTCGCCTCCTGATTTTGACTGCATGACGACCAACGAGCCCATCAGTGACTCGGTGATCATTGAAGTCTGGCAGCGTCTTGAGAGATATTGACGGTGAGGGAAGACCTATGTAATGCTAGTGGCCGTTACCACACAGGCATATCCTTGATGCCATAGTCGACTTCGCATCTAAGAGGACCCGTGATAGCTTTGATCAAGGGATGGTTTCGTCCATGCAAAGGTAGAACACCCTCTAAAAAGTGGACCTCAAATCTCCTTCATAGCTTCACAGACCTATCTCAAGTTTCATTAGTGGAAAATAAAAGCTGTGGCTGTGTTGATACTCTTGGGTATCGGGTTGGACAGATGTGAGGCAATGTCGAGGTGCCTTGACATGTTGCTGTCCATGTGAGAGTCCCACGCCCGTGGCTCTCAGAGGCGCAGACTGATGCTGTACGATAGTTGGAAACACATCTTGCCCTGTATTCGAGTGGATACCAGAAGCTTTGTTTGCTGGCTCTGGAAGGATGGATCTCTCAGTGTCGTGCGTGTTGAAACAGATCAAGAGCTCCTGACTTGTCCAAGCCGCAGATAGGCAACCTTTGCCTCTCGAGACGCTGTCTGAAAGGTAACTAGGGACCTTCAGACGTAGATATCGGGTCAATCTAAACGCGCAACCGCCCCGAGGCTGACTCTGAGAAGCCCCGGAGGAAGGTACATCACTTCTCCACAATTCCCGAACCACCTGATATGTCTCTCCAAGTGTATCCCCAATCTATCCTATTGTATGCCGGTATGCTACCGTATCTAGCATATAAGGCCAGCACCTCGGTGGCTGTGAGGATCTGAGGCGTCCAGATGCATGGCTCATTCCGGGACTCGCTACCTCCTCTGGAATAAAGCAAAAGCTTCGAAGGCATTCTGTCGTCATGTACGCCGCAGAACTGAAAGGACACTCTAACCATGTCAAGCCTTGTCTGGCTTCTCAAATTCTTCCGTGAAAATGCCTAGCATTGGGGCGTGGCGCCGGTATTGTCGGCTTGAGCCTTGTGCTTCTTATGCTGACGTTGTGTCATCTAAACGTATCCTTAGATGAATGGCTAGTTTCATATATGATAGGAAGGTAATAACCCCACTGCCTATCTTCCTTCTTTTGTATTGGTGTGTTGCTCTCTCACCGGTAGTGGTTTTGTCTCTCCTGTCTTGTTGTCTCGTAAGTAATCGACGACCTCACCGAGCCTCCAGGTCATTGGAAAGTATCTGCAGGGGGGAGCTGTGCAGTACTGGCAGAGCTGCCTGGAGTCATTCAAGCTTTTCGTTGCCCACATTTGGTTCAATCTAATATGATGGCATGAAAGATGCAAATGCACTTGAATCGATCTGCTAAACTGGGCCGTTGGATACATGTAAGGAATACAGCTCTGTTCTCCCTCCCCTCCCCCAGAACATAATCATTCAATAGGTACTTATTATCCGCCAGTTCCTCCAGCACAGAGCCTCAATCGCGGAGTGTGGCACGGAAACGGTACCTAAAGCATATCACTTACATGAACTTCAAGGGCCTTTGTGCGACCTATTGACTGCATTTCACATAACTGGCAGTAATCATTGGTATAAATCAGCAATTCTGCATGTGCGTGCGTTCATGCGGTACCAGGATCAAGATCTGGCGGCAATCTAAGGTGGTATCTCCTTGAATCTTTGTCCCCGCCCCTCTTCCCAGAAAGATCATTCCTGCATGGAAGGTCTCCAATACGTGAATAGCAGACGGATGACCGGCATGTTCTCCATCCCATTCCATGGGCATCTTCCACCTTTGCTTCTTCTTCCATAACGCCAAGATTATTTTCAAAAACGGCTTCTAGTTCGCTTTCCCCTTGTTGTGTGGGAAGATTCCAACTCAAAATGTTCAACGGCAATCCTTCTCCCACCCCATACCACCATTGTCCATCACTTGACAGCCAATCAGAACTCGAACCACAAAGGGTGGTGGCTGCTTTTCCAACAAGCCACTTCAAGTTATGATACTCCCCATTCCATGGCGATTGGGAAGAGACACTGGTGTGCCATTATTTCTCAAGCTGCTCAGTTGACCAGGTTGGAACGAATGCTACGTGTGTATTACTGTATTACGTACTTCAACTAGCCAAGGGACGTTGATATGGAGTTAGCAGGGAAGGATGCTTTTGGGGTGAGAAAGGGAACGCCCATGAGCACTGTGGCGAAATGTTATGGAACCAATTAAGTCAGACAGGAACCATACTAAATTCGAGAGAAGTAAGGATTTATGAAGTTCTCTTCAACTCCAACTTCAAGGGTCCCCCTCGAAGTATTACGTAGCGATTGCCGAGCGTCACGTCTTCCCCGCGATTACCTACGCGTCGGAGAATCAATTATCCAAATCTACATCCACAGCGGATGCAATTTGACGGACATGGAATTTTATACATCACTAGAAACGTCTCATCATGCGCAACAGTAGAAGTAATGCTTCTAAGAGGGAAGCTATAAGCTAGGGATCGAGCGTTGTGGATAGCTTTATGTGCAGCAGCGCTTCAAAAACGCGAGATGTCTTCGCCGCTGCCCTTCCAGCCTTCCTCGCCAGAGTCTGGCAATGGAATACGTCGCAAGTCCCAGTTTACGTATAGGCAGTTGGCACAACTTGCGCTGTCGTCGACAACATGCCCTCTGAGAGTTATCGCACACGTCGATCTTGATGCTTTCTACGCGCAGTGTGAAATGGTGCGATTGGGCGTCGCGGAAGACCAACCATTGGCTGTTCAACAATGGTATTCTACGACCTCGCTCATGCTGGATAGGATGATAGCTAACGTGGAAGATGCAGGCAGGGTCTGATCGCCATCAATTATCCATCTCGCGCGTTCGGTCTCACTCGACACATCACAGTCACGGAAGCGAAGAAGCTCTGTCCCAACCTCATCCTGCAGCATGTTGCAACTTGGCGGGAAGGGGATGAGAAGTGGGCATACCATGATGATGCCGCGAAGAATATTGCTACGCACAAGGTCTCGCTGGATCCGTACCGGCTGGAGTCTAGGCGGATTCTGGCTTGTATAAAGGAGACTCTTCCAGCAAACCTGCAAAAGGTAGAGAAGGCCAGCATTGACGAAGTATTTATGGACCTGTCAGCGCAAGTCCATGCGATAATGCTGGAACGATATCCTGAACTATCTGTTCCTGCGCCAAACGATGACCCAACGGAACACTTACCTTTACCTCCGACAACAGCCCTTGATTGGAAAGCTGATGCCGTGGTGGATCTCGACACTGGCGAAAGAGAAGAGGATGACCCTGATTGGGATGATATCGCGATCCTAATAGGCTCTGAGATAGTAAGGGACGTTCGCGCTGCTATTCGAGAGAAGCTAAAGTATACTTGTTCTGGTGGGATTTCGCGGAACAAGATGTTGGCCAAGCTAGGCTCTGGACACAAGAAGCCAAACCAACAGACAGTGATAAGAAATCGAGCTGTGCAGCAATTTCTGTCTGATTTCAAGTTTACAAAAATACGAGGCCTAGGAGGCAAGCTAGGCGAACAAGTGTCTTCAGCCTTCAACACTGATACAGTCAAAGACCTGCTTCCTGTTTCTATTGAGCAGCTAAAGCAGAAGCTTGGAGATGATACAGCTATATGGTTCTACCAGACGATTCGTGGGATAGACACAAGCGAGGTAAATTCCAGGACCCAGATCAAATCCATGTTATCTGCCAAGTCATTTCAACCCAGTATCAATACCCCAGAGCAGGCCAAACGCTGGTTACGAATCTTTGTCGCCGATATCTTCTCTCGATTAGTCGAGGAAGGAGTTCTTGAGAACAAGAGAAGGCCAAAAACAATCAATCTACATCACCGTACGGGCGGTCAGACGAGGTCTCGACAAGCCCCTATTCCTCAAGGGAAGAAGTTGGACGAGTCTGGACTTTTCAACCTTGCACAGACCTTGATGGGTCAAATCATACTTGAAGGCAATGCCTGGCCATGTTCAAACATTAGCCTTAGTGTTGGAGGATTCGAGGACGGTGTTAGTGGGAACATGGATATTGCGGGTTTCTTGGTGAAGGGTGAGGAGGCGAAGGCGCTTAACATGAGTCCCCGAGATTCCGATACAAAACATGTCAACCAAGGTAGGCGAGAGAAGCGTCGACGCATTGAATCACCGGGAGGGATCAAAAGATTCTTTGTCACGGCGGACAGTGTAGACGAGCACGATGATGACTTTGGAGCCCAACAACTACCCAGACCAGATGCCGTCTTCACTGAAGGTCAAGATGCGTATTTGACAGAATATGGTGAGGTAGCGAGTCCTCATGAGAACGAGACGGACAATAATCAGCAGATAAATGACACGCCTTTGTCTGGTTCACCGGCCCTTGGCCAACAAGGGCTTACCGGCTACAGTTGCAATCGTTGCAACTCGATTCTGTTATCTGCAGATGCCCTGCAGAGCCACCAAGATTGGCACTTTGCAAAGGATCTCCAAGAGGAGGATCATGGGCGCGCTGCTCAGGCCGTTAAACCATCCGCGCCAAGCGGAGGCAAGCACGTTTCTCAAAGCTCAAGTAAGAAGAGGAAGAGTGGACACGGGAAAGCAGAGAAGGGGCAGAGGAAACTAGCTTTTGGATGACCACCAAAATCATCCTCGCCGTCTTTATTCCCACCTATTCCCCATCTTCTATAGCGAAAAGGCACATTCTTGCATACGGTACCGCCGACGGAAGCTATCCGAATTCCCGACCGAGCAGCGGTGACCATGGACCGGAAGTGCTGTATGGAGCCGCCCCCCTCCCCCCAGCCCTATCAAATTCCGAGCAGAATTTCTTTATATCTTTGTACGACCAGAGTTCAGGGGTGAGACCCGGGGGTGGGGCTCCAAGCGTGGGAATGGCGTAAGAGAAAGGGACGATTTGCATGGACGAGGGGGCGAGAAGAGCATCTCTGGGAGGGATGCATCTGCAGGTCATGTGTACCACCACCACCGCAACTCCCAGGTTATGCAGGCTTGCGGTTGGAGGATTACTCGCCGGCAGTGAAAAGAGAGTAGGTCTCCTGGGTACAGTACTTTTGCTTGGCAGGGGGGGGATTGTGAATGGTGGTATATACGTGGGGCCATTGGATGTTTAGGAGACCGATCAGCTGATCTCGTCCCTTTCCTGCCCGGGCATGCCGTCTTCTTCCATGCTCGCACCTCTCCTTTCCCGTCTTGTTGGTATCCGGAAGCCTCAGGTATCCAGCGTCCCGTCTGGACCCACGCCGGCCATCACTCTTCCCACGCCGCGAGTATCCCGCAGCCAGGTGTCGCGCATGGGACTTCGCTGTCAAGCGAGGGTCGGTGGCCGCTTGTGCAGCGAATCAGAGGGCGGCGTCGGACGGCGTTGGGCACCATTAGGCTGTACTGCATGGAGGCCCAACTTGGTGGCGGGCCTGAGGCCAACGCGAGCCTCTTTCTCTCGAGTCTCGGCGGTCTGCTGTGGCCGGTGCAGGTTCAAGAGGGGAAGAGAGGGAGAGACGAAAAGTCTGCCGAGGGATGGGATATATGTACTTATGTAAAGGATCAACTGCGATGCTCCACGATTCTATTCCTTCGCTTGATGACTGCCGCTGTGGTGAAAAGGTACACCTGCACGGTTAAAAGCAGCAGCATCTCTGTCTCGGAGAGGGGGAAAAGCGGCACCAGACCAGGGGTTCCCGTGGTGCAAGCGAACAGAACCTAAAGCGGCGGCTGCTGTTTTCGCGCTCTCGCAGATTCCGATTCACAGACTCTCTCTCTCTCCTGTCAAGACTCACGCACTTGTTCCTCGTCAGCCCATTCATTCACCGACCGCCCTCCTCTTCGTCCTCTTCGTCTTCTTCTCTCCTCCTCCACTCACTGGTCCCTGCCCTTTCCTGGCCCTCGCTTACTGGACCAGGGCCGCCCTTTTGATTGGACAGGATCTGCCCACCGCCTTTTCTGTGCTGGAGCGCCCTCTCCCTCTCTCGCTCTCTCCCGCCTTCCCCCCCCTCCCCGGCGCTGCTACTGTCTCTCGAGTCTTGCCCCTCTGCGCTCTCGCGACTGACTACTGGCCACTTTGTCCTTCCATCAGCTTCCCACCACCGCATTCTGCACCTGCGCCCGGCCTGACGTGGTGTGCGTGACTTGCCTATCCATCCCCATCCATCTCTTCCCTTGCTTCGGGCTGGCCTTCTTCTTCCTGTTTCCTTTCTTCTCACAACCTTCTTCCATCCTAATCGTTCCCCCTCATCATGTCTGGCAGAGACAGAGATCGCGATAGAGACAGAGCCCCGCGCTCCCAACCACAGCCAGCCGCTCGCACGAACGAGTATTTCGTGCCTAAAAATGGTATCGATAGGGAGGTCATCACCGCCGACATCTGTCGATACCTGGGCAACGATGCTCTCGTGCGGCCTGGCACCTACGAGGTAGGCTCCCCGAGATCAAGAGGGGCAAAAAATCCCCTCGCCGAAAACGCGCGACCAGATGGCTGATATCCTCCCCTTCTTCAGGACCCCGTAACGCGAGTAGTCCAGCAGGGCTACTTCATCACCGCATACCGAAATCTCACAACAGTAATACCGCTCCCTCACCTCCTGGCCCTGCCTCACTAATCTTTCCCTCCGACAGGCAATGATTGCGGACCTCAAGCAAGATTCGGAGAGATGGGATGCCGAGCGGCGTCAGACTGCTTCGCGAGGGCAGCCGTCAAATGGTATCTCTTCGCGGGACTCGAACGGTATAGTTCGAAACTCTAACACGCCTATAGTGGAGTATCGTTCTTCCACAACACATCAGTCTCGCCAGTATTATGGTCCCACGGAGGCTTCTTCAGGAGGCAGCCAGGGATTTGGAGCCTCCCCAGGATACACAGGCGCTGCAGTAAGCGCGCAACAGGGAGTATATGACAATGGTTACCCTAGCCAGCCCAGCTATGCCCAGCCAGCTCCAGGATATGCTCCCCAAGGATATCCCACCCAGGATAACTACTATGTTGCCGGAGCAGACTTAACCGTTGACCAGCAACGTTCAGGCCGTGCTCCCGTCCCGCAGTCCGGGACCATCCCAAGGACAGGCCCAGCCCAATATGCAAATCCTTCTTATCAGCAGCCAGATGCCAGAGGTTATCCCGCCTACCCCTCTCAGTCTACTCCTTCTCCAGCTGCGTATGCCCAGGGACCTTCACAGCAGCCGTCGGACCCCTTCTATCCTCGTGGTGCGTACAATCAAACGTCATTTTCTGAACCTCCTCTCCGCAAACGAAAGCTCTCTAACAGTTCAGCTGCTGCCCAAACAGGTACTTATGGTGACCCTACCCCGGATATGTATGATGGCCGCGGATACCAGGATGCAGGAGCCTATAGTCAAGCCCAAATCCCAAGTGCGACAGCCACTTCCGGATCTTCCAGGCGTGACCGTGACCGGGACGCGGATCGCGACAGTAGGCATCACCGTAGCACCCGCCGTTAGCATTTTTCATCCGGACTTCTTTTTTTCTTGGGGTATCTGCATCCAGCGAATCCATATGTCGGTCTTGCATTTTTCTTCCGGCGTTTTTTCTAATTTCTCTACCCTTCCATGGATTTTCTGGCATACCTGGAACAAATTACCGTGGATATTCCCGCCCACTTCATGGAACAGACCACTATTATGGGCCCTTGAAAAAAAAAGTCTTTTTACCACCAGACTTTGATGAGTTGTCATGAGTGAACTCATCGGAAGTGGAAACCAAGCTGGACCTTCATACCAAGGTGGATCCGTGTCCTATCCCACATTAGACATGTTTTCTTTTCCCTTTGAGACTGGATCGATGACCGGATGGATATACGACCACCATGGAAGATGATTTTATGGCCCTTTGCACATGCAGTTCATCTGCTTTAATGCCGTTACGAACCGGGAGATGCCTGGAGAAAGAGAGTGCATCTGTTGGGCGGTCTCTACTGTCCAGTGCATCAGTGATTGCATCAGTACAGGCGTTCAGGATCTGTTTTGTTTTGTTGCTTCTCGGATACCACTCTGGACCCTGCTGCCTGGATCCCTGCTACCACTGAGCTTGATCGTCTACGTTCCTTTTCCCTTCTATTTCTGTTGGGTGGGTCTTCTGGATTCTAATAGAGGCGTTGGCTTCGGACCAGGCAGCATGGCAGAGGCGTACTTGTGTATATATATGTATGCGCGGCTCAGGCACACGATGGAATACCTTTCACTCTTCAGACCCTTTCTCTTCCAGAGGAACGTCCCGCATGGAGATCAATCTTTGCCTGTGGATCTTGCTGCTAACCTTTCTAGTTTCCACCGTGCATTACAAAGTGACCTTTTGGAAATGGACCGCCCGGTAGGACCAGGACTTTCATTCTTCAGCTACCGTTGGAAAATTGCATTCTTTGTGTCCTTTTTTTCATCGGATTCGCCCTGGCATGCAAGGTTCCACCAAATGGTTGATTACCGGACTTGGCCAGGAATCCCGTGGAAAGTCAACTGCCTAGGAACCGCAAACCTGTGTCTACCCTGTAGCTTCTACCGTGTGGATCTGGGCTTATTTTTGTGCGTGAAAGAGTTCCTGGGATCCAAGGATCATGAACCATGATTGAATTGAGAATATCCGCTCTTCGGCAATGCATTGGCCGTTGATATCCGGGAGCAGGTTGGTTTCTAAGCTCCCTCTTCCTGGATCGCAGAATAGGAGGCCGCCGGAAGTGTCTATTGAGAGGCATCTAATCACACGTCTACTGCATGGAATCCGGGTTTCTGAAGCCTTACATGGACACCCATCACAGACAGCCTTGAGGCCAGCAGGCTCGGGTTCCTACATGTCTAATTCTAATAACCGACAACGGTTCCCACTCCGCGGCAAACAGGCCTAGACATGACTCCAACTATGAGACTACTTCGGATCCGCTGTTTGCCCAGTTCAATTATGATGTTCTGCTGATACCGCTCTCCTCGTTGGCTCTTATGTACTGAACCTCACATTGTTTCTCTACCTCAACGGGACTGGCAGACTGACTCTTGTGTAGGACTTTGAATGGAAGCCGGGCGATGAAAGAGGCTACCGGGCAGATCGAAGAGTTGGATGAATGGGACCAAAGGCCGTGGATAGAGGGTAAGGCGAGGAATATATGAAGGAAGGGGTTGCTTCCTAGGACTCTAGGACGGATGGGAACGAGCAGAGGAAATTTCAGGTTGGCATTTTGAGCCGTGATGGAGATGACGGGGGGGAGTGATAATCAGGAGACTTTGAAGCTCACACCAACCAAGCCATCTCGAATGCCATTTACCGTTCTTTACCTACCTTCCTCCCCTAATTCCCCTTGCAAAGCACATGATTCGTGATGCCCCCCTCGGAGAAGAGCGTCTCAGCACGCGCATCAGCATCGATTCGCGGACGGGTGAGAACCGCAGACCGGGCACCCGTTTTGCTCGTCGCACGGGGCGGCGACACCCGCCCCCTGATCGTCGCCGGTCCGGCAGCTGTAGTCGTAGTAGCGGAGGGTCGTCGCACGGCGGGTTTGTCGGCGGGTGGAGGCACCGTCCGTAGTGTCGAAAGGAGGAGAGGTTAGGTAGGTCGGACGGGATTTTTATGGTGGACGGCCCGTCTCTCGTAGTATACTGGTCTGGTGTGCGGGCGTTTCAGGAGAGGGCGATCTTCTTCAGAGAGGTTGGAAGGGTATAAACCGAGAGACAATATTGGTACTGTACTGTATACTGTACTGTATAGGTAGGATGTAGAGGAGATTGAACAAGCACGAGTAAGGAGAGGAATGAAGCTGAGCTGCGAGATGCGCGCACATGAGTCGAGGTTCAGGACAGGACGCAGGGCTCTCACTCAGGAGAGCGATGGACGGGGGAGGGACATGGGTACGGGCCGGGAGGGCTGGTCGCACGGAAGAGGAGCTATGGGCGTTTTGGGGAGGGATGAGGTCATTGGGGATGGGGGGGATGTAGATGACAATTTGGGTGATTGGGATTTGGGAAGAGATTTATTGATTATGATATTGATTGATTTGAGGAGAGGAGAGGAGAGAAGGGGAAGTGGAAGAGGAGGGGAGGGGAGGGAAGGGGAGGGGATGGTTGAATTGATGGATGGGTAAGGTATAGAATGATATACATATGTACATATACATAGGTAGATGGGTTGATGGATTTTTATATATATCCTCTATATCATATTCTCAAGAAGAAAGGGACTTGTCACAGCAAAAACATCCACCTCCGTCATTGGCACGGCTCCCTCAGCGTCGATCGACGACCCGAGTCAATAGCGAACAGTATTGACGCTGTTGCCGGCGTTTCAGGTGTTCGCTTGCATTGCATCCCGCCCGTGGCTCCGCGCAATACGACGCAATACGAAGCCCGTGACGAGGCGGGCTCAGGAAGACAAGAAAGATAATACAACACTCCACGACACTGCCTCTGTCGTCTCACACACACACGTACTCATTCCTTCTGATCCTCTTCTCTTCTTTTCTCTTCTCTTCAGCTTCACTTCTTCCCCTTCAAGACAAACAACACACTCACTTCTCCCCTCTTGCCAACACCTCTGCCTCGTCCCTCGTCCCTCGTCCCCCCCGATCCATGTGCGCCCGGCCAGAGGAGACGTCCCCCAGTCAACTCTCCGCGCTCCCCAGCCTTCTTGGCAGCCGTCATTCTTTTTTTGTCCCCGTTCCCTTCCCACGTTTCCCCTTCCGATCATTTTCGACCCTTAACGACAACCTGTCGCCCTCTTCTCCATTTCTCACGACATAACTGATACAGAGACGCCGCTGTTTCCCGTCGAGACGTTGTGCGCAGACAGCAATTGCTGTCGATTGCAAAGATGCTCACCTTCAGGAGGGCCCTGGTTGCTGCGGGCTTCCTTATCACCATGCTCTTCCTCATCTCTCGAACGCACACCACGAAGCCATATCAGGAGCCACTGCCCCCGAAAGATGCTACGGAGGTGCAACAAAGCGTAAAGGACGAAGGGCAGACGAAAACTGGATACGCCCCGACTACCCCTGTCTCGACCTCGAGTTCCGCCAAGGTGGCTCCCGCAGTTGCTGAGAAGAGGCCCCAGCCCGGACAGCAATTGCTGCAGGACTTATCACGGGCACCACTGAAGGACCGGCTCGCATACCAATTCCCCTACGACGTTGAGTCCAAGTTCCCCGCGTACATCTGGCAGACCTGGAAATACACGCCGGCATCTGGTGATTTTGGGGAGAGCTTCCGTCCGGCTGAGGCAAGTTGGTCGGAGAAGCATCCAGGTTTCATACATGAGGTCATCACGGATCAGGTTGCGGTGCATCTTCTGCGGCATCTGTATGCCTCGGTGCCGGAGGTTCTCGAGGCCTACAACTCCCTTCCCCTTCCCGTGCTGAAGGCCGACTTCTTTCGCTACCTAATCCTACTGGCCAGAGGAGGCATCTACTCTGATATCGACACGCATGCCATCAAGTCGGCCGCCGATTGGCTCCCGGACAGCGTTCCCCGGGAGGCCATCGGACTGGTGGTCGGTATTGAAGCAGACCCCGACAGGGAGGACTGGGCACAGTGGTACTCACGCAGGATCCAGTTCTGCCAATGGACCATCCAAGCGAAACCAGGGCACCCGGTCCTCCGCGACGTTGTTGCCAACATCACACTCCGGACCCTGCAGAAGAAGAAGGACGGATCGTTGAAGTCCTTCCAAGACAAGAATGTCATCGAGTTTACTGGGCCCGCTGTATGGACGGATGCCATCTTTGACTATATGAACGACGAGAAGTATTTCGACATGAACACTGGGAGTGGCAACATTACGTGGAGGGATTTCACCGGCATGACGGCCCCTAAGAAGGTTGGCGATGTTGTCGTCCTGCCCATTACGAGTTTTAGTCCGGGGGTAGGACAGATGGGAGCCGGGGACTATGATGATCCGATGGCTTTTGTCATGCATGAATTTGAGGGTAGGTTTGCAATTGTTGAGTATTGAGGAAGCAATACTAAACTACATCTCCAGGAACTTGGAAACCAGAGAGCGAACGGCATATTGGCGAAGAAACAGCCTCTTGATCAAACAGATTCCCTTCTTTCCTCCTATGTAGGAAGTACTTGTATTATTTTACGACACGATGAGGAGCTACATCTTCACAATGCATATTCGAGCGTTCATTCACGGGTATCAGCGGCGTACACACACCACCACACTTTACGGAATGGGTAAATTGGCAGGTCCTGTTTGTTTTGTTTTTGCAAGGGGGAAGGGGTAAAAAAAAACTATAGACCAGGGAGCTTCTTCTGATTGGGAATTTTGCCTTGCCTGCCTGCCTGCTGAAGGCGGTTTAGAAATGAGGGGACCAGCTATTCTGAATTGTATGCACGCAAGCCCGCGCACACACACACGTGGGGAGGAGAGTCCTCGGGATCCCCCACGACATCCGAAGAGAAGTCATCGGTGGAGGGAAGGAAGGAAACAAACCAAAGCCGGGAGGGGTGAGGATAGGAAAGAAAGAAGCAAGAAGGACACGAATTTTTTCAAGAGCTGAAACTTTTGTGTACTTTGACTGAGCTGAGCTGAGCTGAGCTGGAGAGACGAGAAATGCAATGCAATGCAATGCAATAATATTTGCACGCACGTCTTGTCTGTTCTACCTATCCTATCTATCGATCGACATTAGGTAGGTATGCGAGCCTCGCTTCTTCTTCATCACTAAGGAACAGGGAGGGAGGGAGGGATCTGGCGGCGTTCGGTTTTTTTTTTTTTTTCATGATGCATAGGAGGGAGTTACCTAGGTAAGGTAGTTACTTTTGTTGTTGTTGTTGTAGCGAAGAAAAGAAAAAAGAAACGAAAATAAGAATATGCTGGTTGGTTGGTTGGTTGGTTGGTTGGTTGCGTACGGTAAGGTAGGATAAAAAGTATGGATGTGAAGATGAATGTGAATGTGTGGATTTCAAATAGCTTACCTACTTATAATCAAACCTACCTTATACTTCTTCTTCTTCAACCCACCTTTAATAACCCCTCCCTTATATATACCTGGTAGGCATAAACATCACAATATGGTCCGAGGTCTAGGGAGGTACCTAGGTACCCCGCACCCCCGCATTTCCCACTCTCCACTCCACTTCCCCCCATCAAATCAATCAATCAACCTCCACATCCCCACGCTTCATCGCATCTCTAACCTGCCTCTCTCTCTATCTATCCAACCCCTCTTCTTCTTCTTTTTCTTTTCGCTATTATTATCCCTCGCTTTGACTCTTCGATGATTACTCGATGGAAAAGCGGAGAATTTATCATGAGATATTGTATGAGTTGATTAAGGAGTGAATTGAACGAATCATGAAGCTGCGCGCTATACTCAGGAGTCGAGGTAGCGGTAGCGGTAGTGGTAGTTGGGCATGGGCTCCTCCTCCTCCTCCTCCTCCGAGGACAAGAAGGGGATATCTAACAAGCAGCCACGCCCACGGTCCCAGCTCGCCGCCTCTCCTCCCGCACACCATCCCGCAACACTTCAGCAGCATCGTGTCCACGCACGGTGATCGTCTCGGTGTCATCTCGCGCTCGCAGAACACGAGACTCACGTACCGAGAGCTGGATGAGCGGAGTAATGCGCTGGCGAGGGGACTGCAGGAGAGGGGCGTGAGGAAGGGGGATAGGGTCGTCGTGAATCTGGGGAATGGCTGGGAGAATGCGGTCCTGAGTTATGCGGTTTGGAAGGTTGGGGGGGTGTTGGTGAGTTTTTTTTTTTTGGTTTCTTCTTCTTTTTGGGGGGAAGAGGGGAGGGGCTTTGGTCTTTTTGGGGGGGGGGGGGGGGAACGGGGATGGGCATGGGAATGGGGATAGAGGCTAATAAGGGGTGTCATACCTAGGTACCGTTGAATCCAGCCTTCAACTCGACACAGGTCATCGCGGCACTCTCGCACCTCGCAGCCGCCCACCTAGTAATCGGCACCGAGACCAATCTTCCATACAAGCAGCCGCGGGAGAATATCTCGTTGTTGAAACAGATCGTGCCGGATCTTGCATCGTCCAGGGTGGAATCGGCAGCTGTGCAATCCCTCCGCAATATCATCCTGGTTGACAATTCCGAGGACCGCGTGGATATCTCTCCGCTCAAAGCGACGATTCCTTTTACGGATCTTATAAATGGGACGGATGGGGGGAGGGAGGTCGTCCCGGATGAACCGCTGCATAGGGATGATATTGTGAATATCCAGTTCACGTCGGGCACGACGAGCCTTCCGAAAGCTGCGTGCCTCACTCATCACTCGATCTTGAACAATGGGTATTTTATAGGGGAACGCATGGGGTTGACCCCCGAGGATGTGGTTTGTTGCCCGCCGCCGTTGTTTCACTGCTTTGGATGCATTCTGGGGTACATGGCAACGGCTACGCATGGCTCCGCCATCCTCTTCCCGAGTGAGGCGTTTAACCCGGAAGCTTCCTTGCGCGCAGTGCAGGAAGAGCGTGCTACAGCCTTATATGGCGTAGCCACCATGTTCGTCGCCGAATTGGATCTCCTAGCCAGCGGCATCGTCCCACACGAAGGCTTCGAGCATCTCCGGACCGGCATCGCGGCCGGCTCTTCGGTGCCCAGCAACCTCATGGCGAAGCTGCACGAGACCCTGAACCTCACGGGGCTGACGATCTGCTACGGCATGACCGAGACGAGCCCCGTGAGCTGCATGACGACGCCCACTGACCCGCTAGAGAAACGGCTCGATAGCGTCGGCCGTCTCATGCCGCACGTCGAGGCCAAGATCGTCGCCGTCGACGACCCGTCCCGCATCCTGCCCATCGGCGAGAGGGGCGAGCTCGTCGTTTCCGGCTACCTGGTCATGAAAGGGTACTGGGGGGACGTGGCGCGCACGGAAGAGGTGCGTATCGTGGAGCGCGTGGTGGAGGATGGCGAGGCGCGCGAGAAGGTGTGGATGCGGACGGGCGACGAGGCCGAGATGGACGCCCAAGGCTACGTCAAGATCACGGGCCGCATCAAGGACCTGATCATCCGGGGAGGGGAGAACATCCACCCGCTGGAGGTAGAGAACGCGCTGTTCAAGCACCCGGCGGTGAGTGAGGCGAGCGTCGTGGGCCTCCCGGACGAGCGGTACGGCGAGTGCGTCGCCGCGTTCGTGGTCGTCCATCCACACATCCGCGTGGGTGTCGACGATGCAGGGAAGGGCGAGGCGGCGGTGGATATCGACGAGGAAAATAATAAGGGGGAAGCGACGAGGGATAGGGGTGAAGTGTTGACGAAGCGAGATGTTCGGGAGTGGGTGCGCTCCCAGCTGAGCAACCACCTGGTCCCGAGATACGTCTTCTGGGTGAGCGAATACCCGAAGACGGCGAGTGGCAAGATCCAGAAGTTTAAGTTAAGGGAGATGGGCGTAAAGATGCTGAGGGATGCGGAGCTGGTGAGAGGTAGGATGAGGAGTTGATGAGAAAGGGGGAGGGTGGAAGGGATGAGGTAGAATAGGTAGCTTATATGTCGTGGCTATGAGTGAGATGGGCTTCACTTATAGATGCTTGACTTGAACTGGAGGCATAATCAAGGGGGTTTGAAGCTTGGATATCGAGAGGGGAGATGATTGTTGTTGATGTTGTAGTCTAGAGGGGGGTGATCAATGATAGGGAAGACCCATAAATTTATACATACCTAGTAGTTCTAATGCGATGATATGCACCGGGATTTTACTGTACTACGGAGGTAAGGGATGCATCAAGTTGATATATCCGGCAGAGGCCGAGGTGGGGATACAGAGATATAAAGTAATTAATAAATAAATAAACAACATCCTTTTCTCAACCACAACCACAACCACAACCAACAACCAACAACCACAAACATTTATTTTAACCATTACTAACTTTCTCACTCCCCCCCACGTTTGAACGGCCCTCCCCACTGCGTCATCCCCCCCTAAGCGAAACGGACGAACAGGAGCCGCGGGTCTCGACTCGTCGAACCCCGATCAAAGCAGAAGAACCCCTCCCGCGTCTCCGATTGCTCAATTGGCATGACCCCACCAACCGTCGACTTAGGTATTGCTGACTTGCCTTTGTGGGTGATCTAAGTTGTGGGATGTCCCATGGACGGGAAGCTGTCATCCATGATTCGGAGCGTCGTCCTCTCTTAACATCTACGTACCGTTTCCATTCTCGACCTCCCCGTCTTTGATCCGCAGACGACGACGGCTACGACCACCGATCGATCGGGAATCATAGTAACAAACTGTTGAGGGAAGAATAACGGAGGCGCGAGGATAACTTGCTTGGTGGTGATCGAAGGGATGAGAGGCTAAATACCATTGCATCAGCACCATCATCATCATCATCGCACGGAAATCAACCATCGAACCTTCATCCTCCATCGAACAACCAACGTACCTACTACCATGCCGTCCAAGCTATAATCTCCTCTCCTCCATCCACGAACCAAACCTTCTCCAGACCAACGCTCCTTCATCCCACATAACCCCGCCGCCTCCTCTCTCAGGTCGGGACATCTGCCCCACCTCTTCTCTGCCCCATGTTAGGCGGCGACATCAAGAAGATGGCCGCGACGCTACTACATCACCACCGGTCGACGCCCGCCGGCACCCCCGCCGTGGATCCTGATGTCGTCGAACAGGAGAAGAAATTCGTCGCGGCGTTCAGCGACCAGACACACGTGTTGCCGCCTGATGAGATACAGCAGGATCCGAGGAATAAGGAGTTGGGTGGGAAGTCGAGAGGGTTGTCGGTTAGGGATTTTGAACTGGTGAGGACGTTGGGGACTGGTGGGTTTGAATCCTTTTCTTTGATTTGGGCTGCTTTTGTAAGGGGTTGCATGGGAATGCATGAATGAATGAATGCATTTGGCTGATCGTTGTGTCCTGCTATTAGGGACCTTTGCTAGGGTGTGGCTTGTACGGCTTGCAAGCCCGCCGGAAGAGGAGGACCGCGATAAAGTCTTTGCTTTGAAAGTCTTGCGCAAGGCTGAGAGTGAGTTCGCCCATTCGGATTCAGACTTTTGGGGTTGCTGACAGCGAGGGAAGTTATCAAGCTCAAGCAGGTTGATCATGTCAACCAGGAACGACAAGTTCTGGCGGATGTTGCGGGTCACCCTTTTATTACCACCTTAATTACTACCTTCTCAGACCATGATTCATTGTATATGCTTGTCAGTCCCCTCTCTCCAATTCAGAGATTCGTGCTGATATGAGAGAACAGCTCGATTACTGCCCTGGAGGCGAAGTATTCTCCTACCTCCGCCGAGCAAAGCGCTTCGACGAGAACACCGCCCGCTTCTACGCCGCCGAGATCGTGCTCGTCCTCGAGTTCCTGCACGAGCGGGAAGGCGTGGCGTACCGAGACCTGAAGCCGGAGAACTTACTGCTGGACGCGGAAGGACATATCAAGTTGGTGGATTTCGGGTTCGCGAAAAGACTTGGTAACAGTAAGGCAACCTTTTCTCTCCTCCGCAAGTTCAGGAGGCCGAAGAGCGTCCGTGGTGGTCTTAGTGTCTTTGGTATTGACGATGCGGCACTTATCGATCATGATATTGACCATGACAAAGGGGAAACTTACACGCTGTGCGGCACCCCCGAGTATCTGGCTCCGGAGGTCATCCAGAGCAAGGGCCACACGACCGCGGTCGATTGGTGGGCGCTGGGCATCTTGATCTATGAGTTTCTGACGGGCTATCCCCCGTTTTGGAGTGCGAGCCCTATTGAGATATATAAACAGTGCGTTGACCTTCTCTCCCCCTCTCATTATATCCAGCCAGGACTCTCCGATTTATATATCATATTTTGCTCTTTTCCAAAACGCATGCTCACATCCACAGGATTGTATCAAAACCCGTCTCGTTCCCCTCCGAACCGGCCATCTCACCTGAGGCGAAAGACATCATCCGCCAATTCTGCACCGTCGACCGATCACGTCGACTCGGCAACATCTCCGGCCGAGCACAACGAGTCAAGGAGCATCCGTTCTTCCGCGGCATCCAGTGGGATGACGTCTACTACCGTCGATGCCGCGGGCCCATCATCCCACCTATACGATTCAAAGGCGACGCTCAATGCTTCGATATCTATCCAGACGAGAAGTTGGGCCGCGATCTGTACACGGACGATCTGAGGGCGAAGTGGGAGGACAAGTTCAAGGATTTCTGAGGTCGGTGTCGGGAATCGGTTCTTCTGGTACAGACGGTTTCTTGTAGAGACGGCGTGGGGAGACAGGTTGGGAATCGGGGTGGGGGTTGAATGGGCTGCCACCATGGTTTCGGCGTTTTCGGGACATGGGCAGATAGATACCCAGTATCTTTTCAGGACAAACATTTGGATATGATGTTGGATTGGGCAGGCATACAGGCTGTTGGGGTGTATATAGCGGCTTTCATATAAGCATACATATTCTCGCGTGGTTAGGAGAGGGTTCGAGGGTCCTTTGATGATGAGCTGATTTCCTCTTCTCTGGGGTTGGGGGTTTAGAAGGAATATCAAAAGTTAAAATTGGGGGGCATTCTTGACTTCGGCATTGATATACACAGTAGATGGTATGTAGTATGAATGACTTGGATATTTATGATTGGTCTGCCTGAGATTAGATATAGATTAAGAATAGAAGAGAGAGATGAAGAGATAGATAGATATCAAGGCAAGCCGACCTTCCCCCAAAAGCCACACCCACAGCCTACCTCCCCTTCTTCCCCGCCAAATACCATTTCATAACCCTCTCCCACACTTCGCCCCCATCCCCAAGCACCACGTCCCCATGACACGGGATTATATTCCTAACGCCCCACCCCCTAATCCTCTCCACACTCCTCCCAAACGCCTCCCTATCCGCCCTCCCAAAAACATACCAAACCATACATCTCTGCCCCCACGCCTTTCCCCCCGTCCCCCCCAATCCCCCCAGCACCCAATCCCAAACGTTCCTCCCCTCCGTCGTTCTCGAATACTGTTCCTTGGGCGGTAAATTAAACAATAAATCAGCCTGGATGAGTGTTTTCGTCGGGCGGTGGAAAAATGCGATTTCTCGATTGGGATGCACGTCCACGAATTCGATATCGAATTCAGCGTCGAATTCTGGCGTCACGGATTTCTGGGTGCGGGATATGACGGTGTGGAATTCTAGAGGTGGGGGCTGCTGCTGCGGGGGTGAAGAGGGAGATGAGGGGGGTTGGGATTGGGATTGGGATTGTTGGCGTTGCGAGGCAAGTTTCTCGGGAAGGCCAGATGGACAGATAAGTCGCGCGTGAGGAAACGCAAGACTCCAGGATTGCAAAGAGAGGTAATGCTCGAGATCCGGGGCCGCGATGTAAGATACCTGGTTTCCGAGACGGGAGAGCGTGGCGTAGACGCTGGGTGTGAGGGGTGTGGGGGAGAAGATGGCGAGGTTTCCGGTGCTGAGTTTTACTTGTTTAAGGGGTTAGCTTCTGATCTGGGGAGAGGGGCGTTTGGGAAGGGGAATAATTGGGGGATGGGATGATGAAGGGGGGGAAGGCAAACCGATGGTAGCGCGACCCCCGAATTTCAAAATCCCGAAGCGCGCGAAAGGCAGAGAGAGAGTCGTGATGTTTGGGAGAACATCCCGGATCACAAGCACGGCTTCGGGGTCCAGTGGGGTTAGCTGGCGGGGCATCGTTTGTGGGGTGTGGGGTTGCTGAATCGAATTGAATTCAGTCGAGTTGAATTGAGCGAGGTCTCGAGATACCTAGGTAGAGAGAGCTCTTTGAAGGGATTGACAAAGGTTGATAGTAAATCAGAAAAGATCAACCTTTATGTAGGTACGTTGTAGTATGCATATATGTATGTAGAATTTAAATTCAAGGTAATGTAAGTAAGTAGTGTAAGCAGCCTCAAACCACATGGGGCCTGGAACGGCGTACCTTATGAATCAATCAATCAATAAGGTAAGCAGCACAGCGGTGACGTGGTAGAGTTTCTTTTAGCGGGATATGATGCTGGTGCTGATCATCCATCTATCCGTCCATCCATCCAGCCAGCCAAGCCTTATCATTTTCTAATTATTACAGTGTTATTTTTTGTATAGGTAGGCGTACCTAAGGTACAGTAAGTGAGGTAGGTACCTTGGGTGAACGAGAGAGATCCAATGCAATGCAGGAAATCGAACCGAGACCGGGATTCTGCATGCTTTGGCAGCTGGGGATTATCCTTGTCAGGGGTGGTATATTGGAGCTTTGATATAGGGAGAATTTGACTGGGGTTGGCTTGGATTACAGAGTTGGATTAATAATTGGATCGTACCTAGATCCATTAGATAGATTGTTTACTCATCTTGAACATTGCCAAGCTTGATATCGTACCTAGGATTGCGAATCTAAATCTCACGAACCCCTTATTGATACAGTAGATTGCACATTCCGATCACGTTCTCAGGCACAGTGTGGAAGAAGAAGTTGCATGCGATTTATCTATCTAAAGAGCTAGCTAGTATTGCTAGTATTACAGGCGAAGAAAAGCCTGTGTGGTATGAAAAAGCAAATGATGAAGACGCCAGACCCTTAACGCCGGTCATCGAATCATCAGGATATGAAAAAGACGGTCCTTCCCATGATTTCCTTTTTGGATGAGAGGAAGGATACGAAGTGAAATGACCATTAATGACTGTCTGGTAGTGGCGATGGATGGACTGAGAAGCCATTGGTGCCGACAGTGTGATGTAATGGTGGCAGATGAAGACCGATATAAAGAGACGCCGCTCATCGAATCATCAGATATGAAAAAGACGGTCCTTCCTATGATTTCCTTTCTGTAGGAGTAGGAAGGATACGAAGTGAAATAACCATTGACAACTGCTTAGTAGTGGCAATAGATGAGTTGACAAGAAGCCATCGATGCCGACAGTGTGATGTAATGGTGGCAGATGAATCCGATATAAAGAGACGCCGCTCATCGAATCATCAGGATATGAAAAAGAAGGTCCTTCCTATGGATTCCTCGGAGGAGTAGGAAGGATACGAAGTGAAATGACCATTAACGACTGCTTGGTAGTGGCGATAGATGAGCTGACAAGAAGCCATCGGTGCCGACAGTGTACTGTAATGGTGGCAGATTGAATACCGGTATGAAGAGACGCCGGATTCCTGCAATGTGGTGTATAGGACGGGACAATAACTCCGTCGATGTCGGCCATGAGCAGAAGCAGACGAATAAAACTCCAGCCGAAAAAACAAGTTCCTGTCGTGTAGTCGTAGCAAAAATTGTCATAGCAAGAACGCCGAAATGAAAAAGACCATTAATCGCTGCCCGAGACGAAAAGAAGCCATCAGCGCCGGTAGTGTAATAGTGGCGGATGGAAGATGAAAAGGTCATGAATGGGTGTCGGTAAGAGTGATGGACAGATTGTGGACAGAAAGCCATCGGTGCCGGCAGCGTAATGGTGCAAACAGAATGTAAAAACGCCGGATGCCTGCCATCAGTAATCGCAGACGAATAGAATACCGGCCATAAAACGCCAGTTGATGCGGGCCATGCAATGTAGCAGTCGAAATAAAAGAACCACCAACGCCGGCTTTTGAGACGTAAAGGCAGACGTGAAGTGAGGTGGCATGACGTGACAGACGTGACAGACGTTCTACCTGGGAAAATAATCTATCCAGGCATCTGATAGCTGACTTGCATGCCCCAGCGGAGGACGATATTGCGCCACATCAGGATATCAATGTTGCGCTTCCAGTCCTCGGGCAGTACGGAGAAGAATCTAGCAAAACCGGTTGGGTAGACGCCAGGTTGTGTGAGCAGTTGGTGGACAAAGGCGCGGGTCTGGTCGTTGGCAGCAAGCCAGACCTCCCGCTCGTAGTATGCGTCGCAGCAAATGGCCAGAGCTATGTAGACGATAAGATGGAATGCAGCGCCGATGAGGGTATGGCGGACGGAAGGTAAGGTGGAAGGGTCGAGCTTCAGGAATGTGCGCCAGGACCAGACCTTGGGTTTGGGGGCGGGTTTACCATTGCTTGACTGAGCAGATGGTGCTTGAGCAATTTGTTGCGGTGTGGTGAGAGGTTTACCACCGTATGAGGTACCAGGGCTTGCGGAGACAGGTTCACCTTGGTTGATATGTATGACTTGATCATTAGGAACTTCGTGTTCAACATGCATACCTTGATCATCAGAAGTATGTTCGTCGGGTATAACTTGATCATCAGAAACGTGTTCGTCATGGATAATTTGTTCATCAGAAAGTTCATGTCCGTCTTCGTGGCCGGAGGGTCCTTCGATAGCGGGAGTTGCTGGAGCCGGAGTAATAGCACCGACTCTCATAATGCCTTCTCGCATAAGAGCTTCCTGTCTGTCCAGAATTTCCTGTACAGGGACATTGGATTCGCCTTCAGCTGGTGCGGTGGTGTTTGGAGGAGGATATGGCTGATGGCCTGCGAGCTTCTTCTGAGGAGTGGATTTCGATAGCTTCATCTGAGAAGTGGATTTCGATGAGCCCAGATCGCCGCTGGTCTTCACGAATGCAGCAACAGCAGCTTTCTTGAGGATTTTCGCAAATAAATAGAGGGTTTGTTGCAACCAGTAGAGGAAGAGAATGAGCATGTTGAGCTCCACCAGGAACCAACACGTGACGGGGTTGTGGGCAGAGACTTGGAATGGGCGGTCGACAAAGACAGTGACCTTGATAGGGCGGTCAACATAGACAGGACGGTCGACATGGACGGTTCTGGTAATGTATTCGACGACTTTTTCGGGTTCGGGTGGTGGCAGCTGTGGAAGCACGGGAAGAGGTGAGTACCCGAGCATGTCGTCTTCGCCATCAGATCCCACGTCGGAAGAGGATTCCACGGCAGCGAGCTCATCGTTGAGAGTCTTTGGCTGTTGTGCGAGAGCGTCAATATTCTTGCGATAGGCGCTGGCGTCTGGGTTGAAACCCAAGGTCTTGATGTCTTGCTTGAGTTCTGAGATCTGTTGGTGCAGAGACTTGTTTTTGGCTCTCTCTAAGCGGATATCGTCGGCAGACTCCTTGAAGAAGATGGCTTGCACCTCCAACGAGGTGAGCTTGGAGTTGGCAGCGCTCAGCATGTGGTTGATCTCTTGACATTTGGCGCGGATGCCGCGGTTATCCTCGACGACGCCATCGTATTGCTGCTTAATGCCTTCGGCGCGGTCTGTAGCGGCCTTGGTCGCGGCGCGCGAATCCTCCAACATCTCGCGGGTACGGGCGAGGACCACATCGCGCTCGTCGATTTTATCGTTGGCATCCTTAACCTGCTGCTCGACGGCTTTGATGTGCTTGTCCTGCTCGCGGTTCTCCTCTTTGGCCTTCTCCAGCTGGGCTTTGCACTCGGCGAGAAGCTTTTGCTTTTCTTTGATCTCCCACGTGTGCTCCTTCCATTCGGCCTCGAGGCTCTCGATGTATTCGTTGGCTGTTTCGAGATCACTTGTCAGCTTGGATATCTGGGCTCGCTCGTCGTCTGCCATGGTATATTGGGTGGGGAGAGGGAATCTTGGAGTTCGCGGGGAAGTGGGGAGGGATGGGGACGATCGGGCAGCGGACTCGCAAAATGCTTCAACTTTCAAGGAAAACGGGGTTCTTTGACTTACATTCCTCGCTCCATTCCTTCGCCTTTAACTTCGCATTCGTCTTGACTAAGGCCAAATCCCTCTCGAACTCGTCGATCACGGGTGTCTTGACTCGCCGTGGCGGTTCGACCAGGGCGTCAAAGTCGGCCTCACCGACGAATGTGCCATCGGCGACGGGCGCTGGTAATTGTGGCTCGTCCACGTATGCTGGCACGCCGTGCACCGTCTCGATCCCGAACGCAAAGGTCGACAACTGCTCACTTCCGAATTGAACGCTCGACTCCCCCCCGAATTGAAAGGTCGTGGGTGCGGGATTCGACTGCGCCGGTGCTTGAATCGGAAGATCCGCGAGTTCCTTTTCGTCGATGCCTTTCAGTCCAAGGTTGGCACCCGTTAAAGCCTCACTTCCAAAGTGAAAGTCGGCACCCGCAAAGGCTTGACTATCAAATTGGAAGTGGGCCGGCTTGGACTGAACAGGCGGCTCGGGTTGGAGCTGTTCAGCGGGGAGCTGCTGGGCCTGAAGAGGTTCAGACTGAATCGGCTCTTCAAAATGAAGAGTTTCTTCAGCCTGAAGAGGTTCAGACTGAATCGGCTCTTCAAAATGAAGAGTTTCTTCAGCCTGAAGAGGCTCTTCAGCCGCAACAGGAGGCTCCGCCTGAACAGGAGACTCCGATCGAGGAAGATCCGCGAAGATCTCCCCGTCACCTTCAAGTTGAGGCTCGGAACATGTAGAACCCGAGACCTCAACTTGGGGGGCCGACTGTTCGCCTTGAAGCTCGGAACATGTAGAACCCGAGTCTTCCAGTTGACCAGTCGACTGTTCGGCCTGGACAGGCACGGATGGAAGACCCGCGAGGGCCTCTCCACTTCCAAACTGAAATTTGGCATCCGTGCTAGGTCCTCCGAACTGGAAGTTGGGATTGGAGCCACCAGATGGAAAGTTAGCTCGTTGTTCGGCCAGGACTTTCTCCTTGGTCCGAACAATCAGTTTGATTTCAACCCGCTTAGGCTTAACCTGCGGCGGGGTCTGCACAGCTGGCTCAGACTGAGGACTCGCGAGAGCCTCAGACTGGGAATTGGCCTGCTGCTCAGGTTCCCTTGGCAGCTCTGCTGGAAGACTCCCGAGAGTCTCAAATTCGAAGGTCGACACAGACTGCTCGGGCAGCTGAGGCTGGAGACTCTCAGGAGCCTCGAATTCGTAAGTCGAGAGCTGCTGGGATTGAAAACTTGTCGCAACCTCAGATTGTAAGTTCGTCTGAGGCTGGTTGGACTGAAAGCTGTCGGCGATCCACTGGTGGTCGGATTCGAAACTCATGGGGTCGTCGAATTGCGCGGAGAGGGTCAGGTCGTTGTCGAAGGTAGAACTTGAAGCCTGACCACCAGATGGAAAGTGAGGCTGTGGGGCTTCATCAAATTCAACGCCTGCCATAGCCTCACCTTCAAACTGGGGGTCGGCCAGCTCCGACATCCTGAGGGCACCATCTCCGGATTGATAGGCAGCTTGGGACTGGCCAGGTTGACCAGTCGCCAAGAATTCACTTCCAAAATGGTAGCTTGGCTGCTGCTCCCCCCCAAATTGAGGGTTTGCAACAGACCCGGACTGAACATTCATGTGAGCCGCTCCACTGAATGTGAAGTAGGCTTTCGGATTGTCTGAATGATCATTCGCGGGAGCACCAAATTGGTAGCTAGCCTGCGGCTCGCTCTGTGACTGGGGTTAGCTTGCAACTTGCCAGCGATCTGAGCAGAGGACAGAACGATCTAGGGGACAGGATGATCTGGGGGACAGGACGATCTGGGGGACAGGACGATCTTGGGAACAGGAGACGATCTTGGGAACAGGAGACGATCTTGGGAACAGGAGACGATCTTGGGAACAGGAGACGATCTTGGGAACAGGAGACGATCTTGGGAACAGGACGGTCTTGGGGATAGTTACCTTCTTCTTCCCCATGGTCATCTCCAAATCCTTCTCCAACTCCTCCTCCAACTCCCTCTCGACCTCCTTCTCGAAGGCCTCCCTCTTCTTCTTCTCCTTCAACTCCTTCCCCTTCTGGGCCGCAATGGCCAGCTTCTCCTTCTTGGCTTTCGCCGCTGCTAGTCTCCGCTGCTCCGACTCCTCTGGAGTGGAGGGGGCTCTTGCGTATTTAGGAGGCATCTTGGCGGTGGTGGTGTTGGTGGTGGTGGTGGTGGTGGTTGTGGTTGTGGTTGTGGTGGTGTGGTTTGGTTGTGGTGGTGGTGGTGATGTTGTGAGTGGAAGGTTGTTGTGAAAGAAGTTGTTGTTGTTGATGTCGAGTATGTAGGAAGGATGGAGGAGCAGGAAAAAGAGTCCAGGTCACTTCAGATCTCTCTGGGGGTTCGGTAAATTCAACGGAAGCACGTGTTGTTGTTTATTCATTGACTCATTCAATTCACTTCTTTTGTTGTGGCTCTTCCGACAATAAAGCTATTGTCTTCCTCTTCCTATTGTCATAGGATACCACAACCGCGCGAGACCAAAGCTCTATGACCGCACGAGTTCCAACATTGTCTCGATTAGTATCATGCAAGCTTCAATATCATCAAGTGTTATTATATTCTATTGTCTAATCTCACGCGCCGCGTCTACTGACATTTTGGTGTTTTGTGTTCTCGGTGCTATTGATATTGAATAGCGAGACAACAAGCGGCACCGCCACGCGCAAGGGCAATTTCCCTACAGCGAATTTTACCATCGTGCTTCAAATCTTACTTTCAAGCGGGATAATCAATCTGAATTGTAAGTGCACATAGCTTTAGATCGAAGGCATGAGGATCTTGTTGCTTGGCAGAATTACCCTTCTGCAGACCCTTGCCACCAAGATAGAAGTCAATTGAATTTTAAAGATCCGCTCTGCATCAACTAAGCTGTTTGTTTACTTGATTCCTCTGTACAGCTCAATTTGAGATATGCTTGATCTCGAAAGATGGGAAGGTGCATGGTTCATTGGATAGTCCAATATATCGAGATCGTGACCGAAGCTGGATCTTCCACAACTAAGGTAACTAAGGGCCGGTGGCATTTCTAAAACAAGAAAGGCTTTCAAGAAGAAATCAGAATCAAAGCAACATTGCTGGTAGAAAAGGGAATAACAAGCTCAGTGCGGTGTTTAGGTCCGTCTTTGTCTGGGCTTTGACCTACTCCATATCCTTGCTACTTGCTCGCAACGTCTGGATATCCTTTGTATCCAATCTGTGGGCGAACTCGGCAGTACCTAGATATACCTTTTACAAGAGATCACAGTCAACATGTTCAGAGAAGAAGAATTCCAAAATGCAGGCTCAGCCCCGCAAAGAGCCATTTATATTGATAGCACTCGGCCGACTACCGGCAATTAACACCCTTCTTAAACAATATATCCGCCCACATTTCGCATACCCTCCCTAAAGACATGCAATGCAACCCATAGTGGTATGAGATAGTGTACTGTACACAAACAAGAGTCATACAAGCAAGCAACCCAAAAAGAACGCCAAAACCCCGTAGCAAGTGCCCAAAAGTCTATGCATACCATCCTTTTGCTCCCACAGAAGAATGTTCTTCCTCTTCTCGATGCTTTATCATTGACTCTTTGATGTCGTAAAGGTCTATTAATTCTTCCCATGCTGCCATGTCGAGGGCTATTACAGCTTGGTGTTTCGACGCGCCTGATCCAGCCGTCTCGCTATGGTCTCTTGGTTCTTCAATAATTTCTGTATATAATGTGTTAGTTATCAAGGCAAAGGGAATGGTGAATGAGTGACAAACCTAGAAACGGCATGCCCTGATCATCATGACTGACGCCGATTTTCCCATCTCGGATCAAGAAGCTCACATAAAATAAATTCTCAACAGTTTGGCCGAACGAATGTGGATTGATGATGAATTTGAAATACGCAATTCCTCCGGTCCTTGATATGCCATACCGATCCAGGAGTTCATCTTCCTCTTTGGTAGTCATCCCCTCTTCAGTTTCGGCTTCTACAGCAGCCACTGCATCTCGTTGGACCTTGTTGAGCCTTCCAAGAATTTGTGTGCAAAGCGTGGTTAGATTCGCATTTTCTGATTTCTCAATATCACCAGCTCGTAGAACCTCAGGTCGCGTCTCTTGAAGATTATTAGGTCTTAAGGCAGCTTTACGTACCGCTACCTTCCGAGTGCGTTTTTCGAGTGATAAAGGACCATATAAGAACCCAGGCACGGAAGGCCGCGAGTTGTGAGGCAAACATGCATATCGTCCAAGATATTCCCAGTTAAGCATGTCCCCGTTTTCGTCTTGCTCGTCATCATCATCATCAGCATCAGCATCATGGGCTCTCCTGCTACGGCGCTGCGTACTCGCAGGCATCTGTGAGGGCTGAATTCCATCTTGATCAGCTCTCTCCGCTCGTTCCATGTATTGCTTGCATTTTGAGATGAAATCTTCCAGGTCAACCCCTTGAGAAGTGTCTCCGGCAACGAGAGCAAGAGTCCTTTTGTAAGAGAGATCTGCCGTAGTAACTAGGAGACGCGAATCGATAGTTGCATCTGAAGTTTGCTTGACCCGTCCGGAATAGTCGTTGGCTTTGATCAACGTATCTCGGAGACCCGTAGACGTGGGAGTAAGATACTCTGACCGATTCTCCGTTAGTGTCCGCGAGAGATCTCTGAGCCCTTTGCGTAGGCGCCGTCGCTCTTCCACATCCTGGTCTGGATCGTAGTCGTCAATATCACCGTCTTCGTCGACCTCTACCGTACGTCTTCTATGACTCCGTTCCGGTGACATCGGTTGTTCAGCTGGTCGCTTCCTTTTACTCTGTCCGGTTGCGAGTGCTGGCACACCAGGCGGTGCCATCGGCACGCGCCCCTTGCCCTTATCCAAGGGTCTCGAAGACCTGTTCTCCTTATCTGAACCTATCGAAGTCGCTGGTGATGAGGGGGACATTGAAGGGACAGCATTGTAATTTCGCGCAGTTCGAGGTGGACCAGGACCTGGAGTTGCTTCGTACATCTCGTCATGAAACGGACCCGGCGATTCCGACTTTTTGGTAGATCTGACCATATTGATTGACTATCAGATAGGCAACGCGAATCGTGTTTGCAACCCTGAATCAGGCGGTTTGGTGGGTCGTCGCGCGGCAGGCTGAACGTGGTCGCGTCCTCCCAAGGGTAAGTATAATTGACTGCGCGCTACTACACTATGCTATTATCATGGCCTGAGTGAGCTTTGCGGATGGAGGGGTTTGGCGAAGTGGATGGAAAGAAGTCGCGTCGCAATAAATTTCCTGGGCGTCGTGTCAGCAGCAGCGCGCAATGTACGTCGCGCGTCACGTGGCGCAGCTGTCGCACCAGCCACAGTGCACGGACCAACCCCGTGAACCCTGCTCAGAGCTCAGAGCTCCCATGAACGATCCCACAATCCGGGGCGCGCACTAGACCCCGATAATGGACATCATATCATGGAGCCATTTTCTTTTGCGAGCTCAGAAGCTTTGGAGCTTCCAGTAAGCATTAGGATGTAAGTGTTCTTGCGCCAGATTCCCTCCCTAGCTAATTTAATGTCCCTTCCAGTGTCAGCCTCGAGGGAGAACAAGCGCCTATCCCATTCTCCACGTTGATAAAGAGGCCTGACTTGCGGCACATCGGGTCGAATTTGAGGTATATTGCTATCCTGGGAGCAATAGTTCTATAAGGACTGACACTTTATGTAGCCCTCACTCAGATCTCTATGTCACAGTGCAGCTATGGGCCGACTCGAAGCCTCTGACAGTGCCTGTTCAGACCGCATACAAACCGTTTAGAAACGAGAGAAAGTATGTGTGAATGACGGGAAAGGATAAAGCTTAGATCAATAGACTCAACTGATGCTCTTCCAGGTGGAACGAATGGCTCACCCTTCCTATCAACTATTCGACGTTACCCTTAAGCTCGCAACTCGCGATTACAGTATGGGACTTATCACCAACCGGCGGGGAGGGTGCGCAAGGCCACGCAATACCGTTTGGGGGAACTACGCTCCCATTATTTGATAAGGAGAACCAGCTGCAGAAAGGACGTCAAAAATGCTACCTACATCGTCTCAAAGGCGCAGATGGCTTAGACTCCACCTCGACTCCTTCCATCTTTCCGGGTGACCGGCGCAATGGGTCTAAGGGAAAGAAGGGCCTAGACACGATTGATAAGGAAAGCGAGGAGTTGGACAGGCTGGAAAAGCTCTTCAAGAAACATGAAATGGGCGAGATACCTCGGATAGAATGGCTAGACCAACTAGTATTCCGCGGAGTTGAAAAGCGTGGACTGCAGGCATCTACCACATCTCTCAAGACCCTTCAGCGAAGCAGAGCTCGAAAGCAGAAGACGATCACAACATTGGATGGACAGGAAGAGAAGAATGAAGACCTTGATATCTATGAGGATTCTGTCGAGGACGAAAGATTCACATTACATGTCGAATTACCACGATTCGACTTTCCTATTGTCTTCGCAGACCACGAATACCCACCACCGCCCATATCGTCGCTGCAACATCTCTCAACCTCCCAATCAAACATTATACTCAAACCACCACCAGAAGTTCAATATGGCCCAGGTATCCACGGCCTTGGTGACAACGACAATGACGATGAGGGTTTTGGGGGGCGCTTAGTACGAGTCTACGACCCAGAAGTTGGGGCTAGAGATAATCCTGCGGAAAGCAAACATCGGCGTCTCGTGAGAAGTCATCGAACTGGTGTATTGGATCGAGATCTCAAACCAAATGCCAAAGTGAGGGACGAGTTGAATGCAATTATGGCTTATTCGCCAACGCACATACTTTCTCCTGAAGAGAAGGATCTTGTCTGGAAGTTCCGTCATCACCTTACTAGAGACAAGAGAGCCTTGACCAAGTTCGTCAAATCCGTGAATTGGCATGATCCAAGCGAACCACGCCAAGCGGTACAGATCCTTGCAAAATGGACCGAAATTGATGTTGATGATGCTCTTGAACTGCTGGGCCCTACATTTGATAATCCTGCAGTGAGAGCGTATGCTGTTGATCGTCTGAGAAAGTCCGACGATGATGAGCTTCTGCTTTATCTCTTACAGTTGGTGCAAGCTCTTAAATTCGAGCACATATCACCCGATTCCACCCAAGATGCGACGCAAGATTCTTCGCTTGCACGATTTCTCATTGCACGAGCAACCCGTAACTTTATGCTCGGGAACTACTTCCATTGGTACCTCATGGTGGAGTGTGATGACAGGAGTGAAGCCCAAGGCGCGGAGTATCGCAAACTATTCGCTAAGGTCGAGTATGATTTCATGACCGAGTTAGTGAAGCTTCCAGGTGGTCCTGAAACTCGGAAAACTCTCCTACGACAGGCTGAACTCATAACAGTTCTCTCTAAAATCTCGGGGGATATCAAGGCGTCTAAAGAAACGATACCCCGGAAGGCCGAAAGGGTGAAGCAGTTTCTTGCTGACCCTAAAAATGAGATTATTACTATTGACCCGCCTCTACCACTTCCCTTAGATCCATCTGTCATGATCACAGGTGTCGATCCAGCAGAGACTCTGGTCTTCAAATCGTCACTTTGTCCGATTAGGATTACCTTCAAGACGACAACCAGACAAAAGTACCAGATCATTTTCAAGACGGGGGACGATCTTCGACAAGACCAACTAGTCATTCAAATCATCACACTAATGGACCAGTTACTTCAAAAGGAAAACCTGGACCTGAAGTTATCTCCATATAAGATTCTCGCTACCAGTGTAACTGCTGGAGCAGCCCAATTCGTGCCGTCGATGAGTTTGCAAGCCATTGTTACCAAATACAAGGGTAATCAGGTCTTAGCCTACCTGAAGTCAAACAATCCTGATGACAAGGCACCACTGGGTGTCCGCAAGGAGGCACTCGATATATTCGTCAAGTCGTGTGCAGGATACTGTGTCATTACCTACCTGCTCGGGGTAGGAGATCGCCATTTGGACAACCTCCTCCTATCTCCGGATGGACATTTTTTCCACGCAGACTTCGGCTTTATTCTTGGCCGCGATCCCAAACCCTTTGCCCCGGCCATGAAGCTCTGCAAAGAAATGGTTGACGGCATGGGCGGTGCATCCTCAGAGCAATACCGCCAGTTCAAACAATATTGCTTTACAGCTTACACTACCTTACGGAAATCCTCAAATTTGATTCTTAACTTGTTTAGCCTGATGGTGGATGCCAATATTCCCGATATCAAATTGGAGCCAGATAAGGTGGTATTGAAGGTTAAGGAGAGGTTCCATTTGGAAATGAGCGAGGAGGATGCAATTAGGCACTTTGAGAGGCTGATTGAGGATAGTTCGAATGCTATCTTCCCCGTGGTTATCGATAGGTTACATGGGTTAGTGCAGCATTTTAGGGTGTAAAGACTTGCATGTCGTGGAGTTGGGAATTAGAGGGGTTCGGAATGGGCGTTATATCTGTGAATGGGGATTTTGGAAATAATTACTTGGGCTTCCGGAGAAATATTCAGACACATTGAATTGAGAAATCGACTTGATTTCATGAGAAAAAGCAGGAGTATGGCATACATTAGTATGAACTGTGACTGGCAGAAATGGGTATATTTTTGTATCCTCGTGAAATCGACTCTGCACCTTGAAACAACGAACTATGATGTGTCCATTCCATTCACCGGATCCTTGTCCACCCCATCATCAGCATGCTTCTCATGCGCGTCCGATGGTTCCGGAGTAACCTCTCCAAACTCACTCCCTGGACTCTTACTCCTCCCACTTCCCTCACTCCCTCCACCGTTAACCTCCTCCGGCTCACTATCCAGCAAATCCTCAATATCTCCCAAGGGGCTAACTCTCGGATCCAGCTTCTCCTCATCCTCCAGCTGCGCTCTGCTCGGCATCTTCCACAAAGTTGTCGAGCACATTCTCTCTTTTGTCAGCAGCCCATCCACGAACTCATCCATGAACGTTAATCTCCTCCCCGTCCTCGTCCGCATCACCAATTTCCTCTTATCCTCTAGAAACGGCTCCAAAAACAAATATACATCCTTCGCCTTCCTCGTCAACCGTACATAAAATACCGCCAGCGCCCTCAGATACTTGAATTTCTCGCCTCCATACCCTAGATACTCCTGTATAACATCATCGTCCGGCCCCAGCTGCAACAATTTGAACGCCAGGCATAAGAAAGGCGAGGGCTTCTGGGCATCGCCGTAAGTGCCGCCGATAAACCGCACGTGTGCGACGACGCGGTCGACGATGTCGGCTTCGTTGACGGCGAAACATTGGTCTTTCCAGAAGTAGGAATCGACGATGCGCTCCCGCACCGGCTTCTCCATGATCGTGGCAGGGTTTAGGCCATTGGGTGCTAGGGGCCCGCTGGAGCCGCGCTCGTCGAGGAAGCGCTTTTCGTCCGCGCGATGGGTGGCCATGATGGGCAGTGGGTGAGAGGTTGAGGAGGTTGAGGAGTTTGAGGGGGCAGGAGGGGTCGTTTGGATGGGGTGCGGTCTACGGTCGTTGGTAGGTAGTGGGTACTGGACGGTGAAGTTATTAGGCTTGTCGTACCTGGTGTTCAAGCTTCGAGATTGACACCAGGAGCTTCCTTGGAGGAGAACGTGAGATTTGTGGGGTCAAGGTGAGGTCTGGGGAAAGATTCTCTTATCGATAAAGCGAGAATTAGCTTATTAACTGGTACTTCGCAGATCACCCAGGTCTAGCCTTCAACACCACCCGTCAATCACTTCTTATGGAATATTGATTGACTTGTCCAAATCCCAGTACTCACGCATTGGAGCCATCACTCAGGACGAATTGAGAGCCTGGCAACAGACGGGCGCTGACTTTCAACCTGAATGACTTGGTCTCGTTAAGGAACTATTCTCCCAGAGAACTCCCCAAGCAACCTTATTTAATCGCCACTGATTATCTCGAGGCACTCGTTGAAGGGCATTTGCATCATCTCATTACTCAATGCAATGATGCAGTGGATGATGAAGCAGACTGAGGGAAATTTTGTCGCCCGCTTCTTGTTCCTCAGAATAATGCGGCAACTCTCTACAAAACACAGACACGGGCCTTTTCCGCTGTTCTGTGACGATCTCCGCCCCTCAAATGTTATCGTTGATGCTGACCTCAACGTCCGCGGTGTCATTGATTGGTAATTTTGTTACGCTGCCCCGGTTGGTTTCACCTACAACCCGCCATGGTGACTGTTATTAGCATTTCCGAGCAGCTGGGAAGGCGGGCTGGAGCTCTCCTTCGCTACCTATCTGTCACGGCTTGAGGTATTTCTGGAAATCCTACAAGAGAGCGAACATGAGACGATCGCGAAGGGCACATTCTCGAGGTGCAGGGGCTGACATAGCAGTTGAAAGATTCCTTCTATAGTGGACAGTTTTGGGTCTGCTTTGCAGCGAGGACCAGCTATGAGTTCGATGACATCTACTGGAAATTCATCGATCCGATATATTACGGCGAGTTTACTTTTATTGAAGACCAGATCGAACTTCTGGGCCCACAGGAACAAGATTATCGCAAGAGGTTTGCTCCTTTCAAGATACAGCACGCGAGAGAGGGCGGGTTGAGTGAGCATCGGACTCTGAAGGAGATACTATCTTCGTGAGTCTATACTCACCTTGACTCAGCACACTGTCTGGTTGTGTTGACTCTGTCGTGTGTCACTCTAGGTGACCTTGTTTTCTACTTCAGCAAACGGCGTTTGTGGATAGGATGCTTTGGGTTACGCTGCAGTGATTTATGAGACTCGATAAGTGCGAGTCTACATTGTCTCCCCATTGCATACCAGAATGCTAACCTGTTGGGCTCATTCTCGGAAACACTCGCAAGACACAAACAAAATGGCTACCTTTGGTAACTGGAATGACATTGGTCGTGCCAGAGAGAGCTTTTCATTCCTCCTTGCATCTTACACAGGGAGAGAAGTGCAGATATCCGGATCGGTGTAGCTGCTGGCACGGAGCTGTCAGATACATCTCTATCTCAAGGACTTTAGCATCTCCTTATCTGCTTTCGAGCTATAGCATCTTATGGCATATACATTCCTAAATTACTAACTGAATTTTAAAACACTGAATACGCCAATCTGCGCGCCCAATCCTTTGCAGTGTGGAACAATAGACTCAAGCAACTTCCTCAAGAAAGGGTGGCTCGTGCTCCTATGATCTGTAATCTGTTATCGATAGTTGCCGTGACAATGGCCATTGTTGACTTGAGCCCCTGCGTATACTTTCTTGAAACCACCATTTCAAGACTCCCAGACATCGCAATCACGATACATGCGCCAGTAATTATCATCTAATTTGAATAATTAGTTGCGCAATAAAAGAGTATGCTCCTTACATCAGGCCAAGTTTCCGTAGCCATCTCCTCCTTCGTCGGTACGAACTGAAATTCCCATTCCTTCCAGCCCAGCGCACTTCACTAACGATCATCAGTTTTCTTATTTACTTCTGCCCTTTTCCTGAGCGGTTACGTGATCCAGCAACAGACTGTTCGAGATATCAGGGCTGCAATAAGACCGCAACCTACACCGACGCAGGCGCGCATGTACCTCCCTACGCAGTTTGCGTCGAAACCTACACCAGCACAGCGAGAAGGAGGGGAGGAGGCTGTGATCAATATCAAGCATGATGGAGATCCGAGATATTTTGATGAGGCCGCTAGTTCAGAGGATCAGAACACACCCGCAACAAGGAGGAGGAAGGGGAAAGGAACAAACAAAAAACAATCCGAAGACGTCGTGCGGGGGGATGAAGCGGATCAGAAGCCGATGATGAAGATGGAGGAAGTTCGGCCGGTGCAAGCAGATAATCTTTATGATCTAGCTCCGGGTTCTAAACCTATCGGTGAGTCGGAGAAGTCGAGGGAGCAGAAACCGATCAGTAGAGCGGAAAGGAGGAGGAGGATTAAGGAGCAGATCCTAGCTGCTGGTGAGGGCGAGGGCTTTAAAGGATATAGGAGACGGATGTGGTAAAGGAAGGTTTGATATTATAGGTGAGGGGGATTTGAAATGAATATGGCGAGCACCCGGAATAGGCTCTGGCGTCTTGGGTATACAGGTACGGAGTTGGTATAATGATGGAATGTTGTATATTATGATGATGTATTGTATGACTGCCATGGCCCATCCATAAATGCGAAGAAGCTACGAGTTAAGGCATAGCAAACTTTCCAATTTCTGGACAGCATTGTGATAGGTTATTGAGTCCTAACAACTCCAGTTCAGGCTGAACTACCAGAGGATAGACTTCCTATTGACGCAGTTATATGCACAGTAACCAGTCAGTCATCTTTGGACTGTGAATTAATGTTTGATGGCCCCAGAAAGCTGGACTTGACGGAGCTTCGGATTCATTTCCAAAGAAGTACCTATATAGCATCCAGATATACTCTCACATATCCATACATCCTAGAACCAACGGAAGGACCAATCGAGAGCGGAATGCAATGAAAGACACACGGCCTACCGTGTGTCGTGCATCAATCCCTGGCAATACATCCGTCCCAATTTTCCAATCATCTATCTCTTGGAGGGAACCAACTCTGGCTGGAGTCGGTTTGTAGTACTACATGCAGCCCATCGTGGCGATCCTTGACTCCGCACAACTGGCGCTCTAGCCGTGCTGTTGAAAGCTACTTTGGTAAAAGGTATCTCTTGTTATGAAAACACAAGACCGGCTCCCTCCGAGCTACATGTGTCGTAATGACACCTCACTGATGAAGTATATTTCTGCCAGCATAACAACATCACACTGCACTGCTTTTGAGGACCTAGCCCAGACCTCCTAACAGCCTCCCCCAAGACAAGACATAGAGTACTATAGGCGTACAGTCAATGACCATATCCACTTCGCCCATGGCGTTCATTGGAGAGATATCAGACTTTCAATACGGACCTTGACAAATCAACTCTGCGCCTCGGAAATTACGCTCTGCGAGCAGCCTCGTGTAAAGTCCATGCCGGAAGACTGTCTACGAAGTCAGGTTTATTTTGAACATGTTGTCTGTTACAGATCATGATTGCATCTGTATAAAATGTTAAAAGCTTACCGGGCGTTTCCCAGGTTCAGTCATTATCCGACATCAGAACTGCCCGCATCTCTTCAACTCCAAACTTCACAATTGACAACACCTGGATGCCACGACCGAGTTCAGTGCCCTCGGACCCCATTAAAGATTTCTGACGCTCGATGCGGGCATTTTCAAGCTGGGACCTCTGCTCGGAAATAGCATTCTCGAATTTAGCAAGCATCGTATGCAAAGCCGCGGTCTGCTCACTTGTAAGAACACGGCGAGTTTTATCCGCTGCCTGTTCCTTGAAGCGGCGGAGCTGTTCTTCCTTTACACGTAGATAGCTCTCATTCCGTTCGATAGTCACGCATTTCGCGCATGGCCGGTCCCTCGTGACGATCTCGTAGATCAGCTGCCGGCTGCATGTGCCCTCAGAAATCGAGTGTGAGCATGGCCCTACACGCTGGTGCCATCGGTAATCCCCACACTCGTATAAGATCACGTCGACACACATGGGGCGTGGATCTGGTGGAAAGATGCTGGACCGAATAAGTACTGGACGTTGCGCGCTTGGCGAGGCGCCGAGGGAAGTCCTGGCGGGTCGCGGCAAGCGGGATCACGTGCCACACTAGCGTCCGCCCGAGTGGATTTCTGACGAGGCTGAAAGTGCATGATGCACATAAGAGGCATAAATGTATGCGATTTCAACTGCAACACCAACAACCTCAACCACGTCATATCATCTCGCCGGTGTTCGATAACAACTCCTCGAATTTTCTTTTTTCCTTCAACTTACTTGGTTCTGTTCAGGCCGCTGGTCTCTCCACAAGTCCAGCACCATGTCAGACCGAGAATTCAATAGTGAGTCCTCGATTTGCTTCGTGACTTCCGTCTCCCAACTCAAGTCCTTGCTCTCGCTCTCAATAAAAGTATATAAGGAGCTAGGCTTCCAAATATAAGAATATTATGTGATTTTGTTGACCTCGATATACTGTCGACTTCTGTCCGAGGCGCCGTTTTGAGCATCATCGCCTTTGTGCCCTGATGTGCCCTGCTGGATTCTGAGTTCATGTATACTATCTTTTTCTACTTGAAGATCCAGAGAACCAGTTTGCTTCTGTTGTGTCGATATGAGTAGTGACTAGCTGCTGACGCTCTTTCCTTCTAGGCAATGACGACTTATCTCTTCCCAAAGGTAATCTTTCTAACTTTTCTTCTTCTCTTCTTTCTTTCCCCTTCTCTCTTCACTGCAGCATCATCATCATCACATCGTTATACTCCATGGCGGGTTCTCATAAATTTGTCCCAAAAGACTACAAAGGTTCCTGGGACGACGGCCCGCCCTGGGCCGAGTGCAAGCACTGCGGATCAGGTGGTTCGCATAATGCTGCCTGCATGAGCAGTGCCGAACGAGTTGCTCCACAGGTCACTTCGCAAGTTACTCCTCAAGCCACTGCGCAAGTTACTTCGCAAGTCGCTCCACAGGTCACTCCGCGGGGTCCATCCTCACACCAAAATCGCTATATACCGCCCACAAGACCCGTGGAGATCCCTTCCAATAATCATTATCCGGGTGCTGGTCCCTTTGATCGTCGGGCCTCTGACTATTATTATGCGTGGCGTGAAAGAGGATTAGTTACTTCTGGGACTCCCACTTTCTTCACCAATCAACTAGCTCCACCAACTCTACCTTATGGAATGATGGGGCCGCCTCTACCTTCTGGAATGATGGGGCCGCCTGTAGGCCCACGTTATTCTGCTGCTATTGGGAACGGAAGATTCGTAAACCCGGAGGGCACGAATCTCAATTCATTCACTCAACATACTAGATACCCATACCCCAATCATGGGAATCTAGACCGTCGACTTCCACATCAGCAGAACGGTCTCCAGGCACGGGAACCTATACCAGCACCAGATCCAGTGAGGGAAGAGGGGTCTCAAGACGATCCCAACAACAACGCAATGGAGGCCAATAGCAATACACCAGCGAGGGAAGAGGGGTCTCAAGACGATCCTAACAACAACGCAATGGAGGCCAATAGCAATACACCAGCGAGGGAAGAGGGGTCTCAAGACGATCCCAACAACAACGCAATGGAGGCCAATAGCCATACACCAGCGAGGGAAGAGGGGTCTCAAGACGATCACGACAACAACGCAATGGAGGCCAACAGCCATACATCAAATCAAGATATTGACCGCAACCATCAGCCGGTAAAGCAAGTCCTGCACACCCCCTACAGGGATGCTCTGCAGCGTCCTTACCCCCCGCCACAACCACAGAAATAATTCGGAGGGATCAGCAAACAGACCAAAAGCCATTGTATCATCATCCGCGAGATGGAGATAAATCGATAAAGGCTGACACGCTTTTCCTTTGGGTCCAATCGGGTACTGGGCCAACATTCGGCAGCCGATAAATCGATCTTTACCACTCCATTACGCTGCCCGGTAGTACCAGGCGCAACCTTTAAGTTTTTGAGGTTCTAATGACACGGTTCTATCGGAAGAACCTTGCGAGTCTATGGAATCTTCTGGACACTCGTTTTTCTGAATCCCCAGCCTATAGCGCTAATTGCACTTATTACTTTCTTTTAAACACGAAGAACATTTGTAACATTCAGCGTACTAATATATTTTGATAGCCACCGTCCAAAAAATTGTCACGGAAATCCTTCCACCGTCGTCAGGCTTGGCATTTGGCAAAGATGCACGAGACCTTTTAATTGAATGCTGTGTTGAATTCATTACCTTGATCTCATCTGAAGCAAATGAGATCAGTGAGAAGGAAAGCAAGAAAACCATTGCTTGTGAGCATATCACAAAGGCACTGGAACAGTTGGGGTTTGGAGAATACGTGCCGGATATTATGGAGGTTGCTAGTGAACACAAAGAGCAACTGAAGGTATGCATCCTATCCATTTTTCCAGGTGATGTGGTGCTGATTCTGTGGAATAGGGACGAGAGAAAAAGGCAAATAAACTTGAACAAAGCGGCTTGTCAACAGAGCAACTTCTCGCAATGCAAGAAGAAGCCTTTAGAGATGCAGCGCAACGCCATGGATGATATGTTTTTGGAGGGTTCTTTTGCGTGGGCTCTTTTGTTTTCACTGCGTGCATGGTTTCTCGAGTTAGGGTTGGCATGGATGGTGGCGTTGGGCTTTCCCTCATTCCCAAGAGGGCTTTGATGTGGAGAATGTCTCTAAGCATAGAAGATGCCAATGAACATCACTCTCATCTTTCCATCATACTTTGGTCTAGCACTGCTCACATAGTTCAGGCATATTTGACCTTGATCCCACTTACCTAACTTCTAGTTAGGATTATGCAAAGCGCATAGTACCTATCTTCCCTTCCACTACCTGCCCAAAACCATAAACGTAGGGATACAGCGTCATCACATGACCACGTTCCTCTTGTCAAACCATACCCTCATCCAGCCTCTCATCCAACAGACAAATCAACTCCGGAGCCACCGAAGCTGGCACCCTTTTTCATAAACCGGATTTTGGTTCATAGTAGCTGAATGGTTAGACGTATACGATACTCACGATATAAAGATTAAAGATCACCAAGACCATGCACGCAAACGAAGCTAGGGCTTAAAATATTCTATATAATATGGGATATAGATCTAAACTCATGTATCGCCATAAACGAAGACGCCCTTCCCAGCTCTGAAGCCACCGAGGGTGCCCTGCACGGCATCCTTCAGGACGCTCTCCTCGGTGGACCAGTCCCAGGTCAGCTGCTGGACGGGGACGTCCTTGAACATGCCGAGCCTGGTCATCTCCAGGATCTCGTAGACCATGCGGCGCTTCTCGTCGGGGTTCGCGTCGCTCCAGCGGCTGACCCAGAAGCCGCTGAATTTCAGGTCTTTGAAGATCAGGGCTGCGGTGGGGAGTTGGAGCGGTTGCTTGGACATGCCGCCGTAGGTGACGAGGTGGCCGGATGGGGAGAGGCATTTCACTAATGCGGATGTGGGCTTGCCTCCTACGCAGTTCAGTCCGATCTTAACCTTTTCCCGGCCGCCATTCGTCCATTCCTTGACCTGGTCCGCGAATCCTTTGTCCATGAGTTCGGACTCGGTGACTACCTTCGTGGCACCGAGTTCTAGGAGCTCCTTCTTCATCGCCTCTGTCGCCGCCGGATCCGGTCTATCTCTAATGATATTTATAGATTTCAGACCCCATTGCTTACCCAGCTGGATCGCCGCTCTTCCCACACCACTGTTGGCTCCGTTCTGGATGAACCACTGGCCCTCCCTTATATCCTCGAAATCCTTCAGCATCCGATACGCAGTGCATGGGTTCACCGACACAGTGCCGACTTGGATGGGCGTCAATCCTTCCTTGTTTACTTTGAGCACGTCCGATTCCTCGGCGAGCGTGTGCGTGCGCCATGTCCCGAATCCCGTGTGCTTCATTATGATCCAGTCGCCCTTGCTCACGGATTTGACGGACGCTCCGACGGACGCAACTTCGAAGCAGCCCTCGTTACCGCCAACGGCGCTGGGCTCAGATGTCCCGAGGAGGGAGGTGAAGGGTGGTTTTGCTGGGTAGACGCCCTGGATCTGGTTTATATCCGCGGGGTTTATGGGCGTTGCGAGGGCGCGCAGGAGGAGGGAGTTAGAGGGGAGCGAGGGCGAGATGGAGTGCGTGTGTAGACTATGTTAGATTAGCTATTATTCTCTGCTGGGTGATAGCAAGGGGGAAGAGGCTTACGAGAGGACATCAGCTGGCTCTCCATATTTGGAGTAGACGAGAGCTTTTGCCTGCGTGTAGCCGTACGGACCCGACTTGAACCTACGGCAGGTCAATGGCCCATGGCGGGGAGCCAATGCCCGTGGCAGAGCTGCAATAGAGCGATTGCTGGCTCGTAGAGTCGGTAATTGAGGCATTGTGTGGTGGACTCGACTTCACAATTCGAGAAGTGAAGTCAAAACAAGTGGAGTGAAGCTTAGTGAAGCTTGCCAAGGTGCACGCGGCGCATGACGTTTAGCGGCCGACGGGAAGCTCCTTGCAGGGTCTCTGCACGTGGCTTCGCGATATATTGACATGTAAATAATAATAAATATTTACGCTATTTAAATCATAAATAACTGGATAAGTTGGAAGGTTAATAGGTTGATAGGTTGATAAAAGCAAGGTAGCCATGTATAATAAACACGCTTGGTATAGCCCTCACCCCGATGCATGTTCAATAGGACCCTGGCCAAAGTTTCCTTTTTCATCTTCCTTTCTCACGAGCCGTGAGGCCTTGGACAGAGCGAAGGTTCACGGAGCTGGGAAACCAAATGACCCTTATCCATCCACTTCAAATCCATGATGAGAACGTGTTGACCGATGAGAAAACGCCTAGGACATTATATTAATACTAATAACAGGTGGATGCTAAGGCCCGAAGCTCGAACGTCCACGGTGCCCCGAAAGCCTGCCAGAGTTACAAATGCTACCAGCTGATGGCAATTCCCATGCATTAACAGGAGAGAATGGCCCAAGACATCGACCAGTGACGCAAAGAATGAATAAAAAGAGCGCGATTGCTCATCTCTTCGAGCGGGTATCTCGATCCACCGTCACCTTCTTCAATCTGTCTCCTCCGCCCAATTATCAAAACTCCGTGACCTGTGAACAGCAATTGGTGCTCTACGTCCACCTCTGACCGTAGGTGTCGTAGCAACATGCCATGTCTGCTCATGAAATGTTCTTGAACAGCTCTCCTCCACCCAGACTACCCCCGTCATTGTCCGAAATCTTGGCCTTCAGTTGGCTCAACTCTGGCAGTTTCGGTGGCGGTGGTCCCACAGGTGCCACATGCTGCTTCACAACTGGCTCATCCTCATAAACTATGCTTGTCCGATGATTTATGGTTGAGAGCCTCTTGAACCAATTCCCACCCCGCTTCTTCGCTGGAGGCCCGCTAGTCATGAAACTACTCGGGCTTTCCGGCCTCCCGCCCGCTGCCAAATTCTCGTTCGTCCCATCATAGTTCATCCCATTCGTATAGTTTCCGTGGAGGGATTTCCGGGACAGGAATCGTCGGAGGCTGCTTGGCCGCCGCGACGAAGCAGGGCTCAACGGTGGTTCGCTCGTTCGACCGCGTCCATCAGAGGTTCTGGAAGTTCTAGGAGGAGCAGTGGAGGCTGCAGGCAGAGTGTCGATACTCGCAAGTGTGGATTGTGTGGTTCCTTTCGGCGCAGCAGCAGGAGTGGTCTCTTCGACGGGAGAGATGGGTGGAGGAGGGATGGAGGTGCCTTCGGTGAGGGAGTAGTTGATAGGGACGAGAGCGGGCAGCTCGAAACGCCCTTTGGTCTTGCCATTGGGAGGCATTGTAGGTGCTGGACGAAGGCGGCAGCGAAGAGGAATCCGCTGCTCGTATGGTACAGATATAGGAGAGGGACGCTTGCGCGGAAGAAGGGAAATAAGAAATTCTGGGGGAGAGTCGAGAGGGTCGAGGGTGCTTGGCTCGTGCTCGTGCTCGTGCTGGTGCTCGTGCTCGCTATATTTGTTGACTCTGCAGCTTTCTCCAATGCGATGCGATTGATTATGTGGTGAACGGAGGAAGGAAGCCTTGCTGTGTTTGTGTTGATGGGACGAGAGTCGCGGCCATGGAGTATTGGAGTATATACAGCGACCCAGATATCTTTTCCTCCAGATATCACGGCAAAAGAATGGAATTGATGGGCGGAGGAGGAGGGTGGTTGGATGGCGGGTCTTGCGTTCGTCCCATTTAATCCTCATTCAGGGTCCTCGTTTGCCGGGCTGGCTGCAGGGGTTCCCGATATGGACGAGTCACGTGATTGCCCCTGGCGAGAAAAGGGGTTGGGTCCAGCTGGACGAAGATGTCCGAATATCTCTCTATAAATGTCCACATATTGTCTTCTCAAATGTATCCAGTGATGCATGTATTAATAATGTGCTTCTAGAATCAAACCCCCCTCTTGCATTTCGGCGTGAGTCATTGGACTTTCGTATAAATCTCCTATACCCCCCATTTCTGTCCCTCAGATACAGTACTTCACCAACCCAAAAGGTTTCAAGCTCAAAATCCATAATGTCAAGTACTCCACGTCCCATTCGATCTGTTTCCAACACTGAGTTGTATGACCGGTGGGCTAAAGTATATACCCTTTCCTAAACATCTCATGTAAACATCGACTAAGACCCAGTTCAGGTCTATGACACCGACGGCAACATCTTGCAAGCACTTGATGACCACATGCTGCCTCCCCTCATCGACCGAGTCTTCAAGCTGCTCTCCTCCTCCTCACCACTGACCATCACCGAGCTTGGCGCAGGAACTGGGCGGAACACCGTCAAACTCCTATCCACTGCCCTCCCAATCTCTCGCATCAATGCTCTGGATCTAAGCCCTGGTATGCTCGCCGTTGCCAAGTCTCGGTGCGCTGGCGCTCTAGGATCTGATGGCCAGGCTCCCCAGGTCGCGTTCTACGATTTCGACGCCCTGCGCCCCGCCAACTATCCCCTTGTTGCCTCTCTCTCACTAACAGCAGACCTTGTCGTCTCCACGCTCGTCCTGGAGCACTTACCCCTGTCTGACTTTTTCCGGACTGTAAAATGGCTTCTTAAACCAGAGGGCGGCTATCTAGTGTTGACGAATATGCATGCCGACATGGGCCGGAAATCACAGGCCGGTTTTGTAGATGAAGAGACGGGGGAGAAGGTTAGAGGGGAGAGCTTTGTATATGAGGTTTCAGAGGTGCTGGAGGAGGGCAAGAAGTGGGGGTTTGTGCTTGAGGGGGAGGTGGGCGAGAGGGGTGTGAGGAAGGAGGACATTGGTGAGGGTAGATTGTTGGGGGAGAGGGGCAAGAAATGGATTGGTTGTTTGTGTTGGTTTGGATGTGTGATGCGGCTTAAGGTTTGAGGAGTGAGAAACTGGGTTGAGAGTGGAGTGCATAATGCAAAGAAGGGAAGAATATGTTTGTGTCCAAGCAGATATAGATACAATTGACTTCCTTACACACCTTCCTTCATACTTATAGTACAATTGATGTCTTGTTCGTAATTACACTCCCGGCCTAAACCCCTACTGTGCGCGCCAAATTCGTGGTTGAGGTCTTTTGGAAGTTTCAGAACATTCCCCACACATGTGAAAAGAGTACAAAATCAATTAATAATTTTGTACAAGGTTCCATTGGACCGCTGTATTTGGGTTGTAGAAGTTTGATGTGGAGAACTGCTCAGATGATTCGATCCTTGCGAGGTCCCCAGTCCCTCGATCAGTCTTTTGCTGAAACTTCTGGAACTGTAATGGCCCGTCCCTGTAACTTCAGCCTGGGTGAAGTTCGTAAACCGTATACTCGACGAAATTGCTACTTCGGGCGTTCAAGATTTTCCCACGATTTGAAGGCATCATCAAGATCGAGGTCGGGTTCCTGTTGCGAGCGAGGTTGCGAGCGAAGCTTCCGTGGCAGCTTCGCTTTCCTATCGGTCGATATGTATTTTCTAATTAATGGGGTCTTCTTCTTCTCCTCTGCGGGTGATCTTTGGGATTTAGAATCGACTGGAAAGTAAGATATTTTGAATTTTACCGGTCCGGGTCGTAGATTCTCGAGCAGCCGGGCGGTCTCCAGTAGCCGATGGTCGTCTGAGTATTGTCCAATAATTTGTATACCGGCGTATGCCGGGGTATTGGGCCGCTGATGCTCTTCAGGGATTGGGAATGGGATGCTAATAGCAGGAAGCCCAGCTAAGCTGGCGGGGACAGTGAAGACATCGTTCATGTACGTATCGACCGGCGTTTGCTTGGATATATCATCTAGGGTTGGTGGCGGAGTTGGGGCAGTTGGGCAAACTATGAAGTCTACCTGAGATGGGCCAAGTTTGTTGTCCAGTTCAACAGACTCATCCATGTCGCTGAGGTCAAATTGCTCGGAGGGACGAAGGAGATTTGGTAGAGAGAACACTCGGTCGAAATCCCGCTGCACTAACCTTCGGACCTTTTGAGCCTTGATGAAGTAGTTGTCAATGGCTTCCGAGCTTAGTGTGTATGACCCCAGCAGAATTCGTCGTTTCACTTCGTCGCCAAACCCCTCTCCTCTCGTCTTAGAATACAGAACGTCAACAGCAGAATCGCTAGAATCACTGCGAGTTCCATATCTAACGCCGTCATATTTTGACAAGTTGGAGGCTGCTTCAGCTGGCGCAATCACGTAATAGGCCGAAAGAGCATGTTTTGTATTCGGCAGAGACACTGGTACAACAGTACACCCCTTTTCTTGGAAGAGCTTCAAGGCGTTTTTCCAGGCTTGTCGAATTCCAGGGTCCAGTTCCGAGATGTTGTATTCAATTGGAACACCAATCTTTAAGTTCTGGATGTTTTTGTTGAAAGGTCCATGCCTACCAGACTGTATTGCAGATCTCTTCCGCCCTTCCTTTATGCGTTGCCAGGTTGCATCTGTGATAGAAGTTGGGTCTCGAGGGTCGTGTCCCTTAGCATTTTGTAGGAGTACAAAGAGGTTCTTAACCTTAGCTGACAAGATGCCTACAGTATCGAGGGAGTTGGCGTAGGGGACCACGCCCCAACGTGGAATCAAACCATAGGAAGGTTTGAATCCTACCACACCCGTATAAGCTGCTGGAAGTCTGACCGAGCCACCTGTGTCCGTTCCCAGAGCAACCTTGCATTGCTGAACCGCAACGGCCACTGCGCTTCCTCCTGAGCTTCCTCCAACTGAACGTTCATCAAAGGAGTCATGGCGAACGGGGCCAAAGAAGGAATTGGTAGAGTGTGATCCCATGCCAAACTCATCCAAATTAGTCTTCCCTACGATTGAAGCCCCAGCATGCCAAAGCCGTTCCGTAACAGTGGCCTCAAATGGGCTTTGATGGTCCTGGAGAATTCCTGATCCGCATGTTGTCGGGAGATTGGCCGTGGCTATGTTGTCCTTGACGGCTAGAAGTCGAGAGTGCTTTGAAATAAGTGCTTTTTTAGGATCTAGCCTTACAGTCAGCGTATATCTCTCCAATCCATGAATCCAATCCACAGACCTCGTGCTTGGACGTCGGCTTCGGCAGGGGCTTTGCCATCCTGAGGGGCGGGAGTCCTTGAGATGAAGGCATTCAAGTCCGCCTGTTTCCCATAATTGAAGAGCACATTTCGTACTCCTTGGTTAGTGGATGCGCGAAGCATTGGTGCTTCGCAATTCTGTTGCTGAAGTTAATATCGTCGTCGTCTCCCGTGTCGAAATCGCGCCGCGTTAAATTTGTCGCTAACTGCCGGCGGACACCGTTCTGGGCTACTGTGCACTACGATAACGTTGCTTATCGCAACAATCGCCACCGGGCCCGAGTCATCCCAGCCACACTTCAGTGGAACCTCCATCTAAGGTACCTGTGCCGCCAATGGTCCATAACCACCATTCTCACCAAGAACTACTGTAGTATTCGCATACATCTTGGTGGTGGTTTTTCCCTGTCTTCCTCAACACCATGGCTAAAGGATGGTTGGTTTGGATGAGCCTGCTGGCTTCGCTGGCCATCGCTGAACAGCCATCTGCCCCGAAGCCCATCGCAGCACCTATTAGACCTCTCCCATGGGGCCAGCTGAATTTCTTGCAGACGACGGATACACATGGATGGCTAGCGGGACACTTACAGGAGTGAGTCTTCTCGTCTTCAGGCTCTAAAATTCAAGAGAACTAACAGCATTGAGGCCTCAATACTCGGCCGACTGGGGAGATTATATATCGTTTGCAGAACGAATGCGGGAGAAAGCAGATGCCATAGGAGTAGATCTCCTACTTGTCGATACCGGCGATCGAATAGAAGGAAACGGGCTCTACGATGCTTCAGATCCCAAGGGAAAATACACCTCCGACATCTTTAAAGGGCAGGACATCGATATTATTTGTCCCGGAAACCACGAGTTATACCAAATCGCTTCTGGGGCTCGAGAGTACGACGTAACTGTGCCGAACTTCAAGGGGAAGTACATAGCCTCGAACCTTGACTACATAGACCCAAAGACCGGAGAGCAGGTTCCTATGGCTCAACGGTATCGAAAGTTCACGACCAAGAACCAAGGGATTCGAGTCCTAGCATTCGGATTCTTGTTTGATTTTACGGGCAATGCGAACAATACTGTGGTGCAACCAGTCGAGGAGACTATTAAAGAGCAATGGTTCCAGGATGCAATCAGGGAGAAGGTAGACCTATTCGTTGTAGCCGGCCATGTCACGCTCCCAGGGCGAGAATACAAGGCCATATTCAGGGCAATCAGGAGCCAGAATTGGGATACCCCAATCCAGTTTTTTGGTGGTCATAGCCACATTCGAGACTTCCACAAATATGACTCCAAGGCATATGGCCTGCAAGCGGGTCGCTATATGGAGACTATTGGATGGATGTCCATTGAGGGAATCAAGAAGAAATCGGGAGAGATCGAAGAGAGCCAGTCTAGTGCTGGAATATCATTCGAGCGGAGATACATCGATAACAACCTCTTTGGCTACCATTATCATACCGGATTAAACGCCACGACGTTCCCAACCGACCACGGGCTGAATATCTCCACCTCGATATACAAAGCGAGGCAAGCATTAGACCTCGATCACAACTTTGGCTGCGCACCAAAAGATCTCTGGATGAGCCGCGCGCCATATCCCAGCGAGGACAGTCTCTACACCTGGCTAGAGAACGAAGTTGTTCCCGATGTCGTCGTCAATCCGGAACGGAAAGATGTCCCAACCCTAGCAATTACCAACACTGGCGCCATGCGCTTTGACATCTTCAAAGGGGCCTTCACCCGCGACGCAACATACATCATCTCTCCCTTCGTCAGCAAATACCGCTATATCAAAGACGTGCCCTACGAATCGGCAAAACGCGTCTTGACAATAATCAACAACGCCGGGCAAGTCCTCTCAACGCCCGAACTCGACTTCTCCCAACTCGCCCCTCCAGAACAACTCTCCATCCGCACCTCCCCCTCCCCCTCGCCTCCCTCCTACCAACCAAACAACAACAACCTCCAATCACCTCTCCTCTCATCCCCCAACCACCCCCATCTCCTCCCGGGCTACACCACCAAAGACGACGGCGGCGACGAAGGCGACGACACGCTACATACGCCCATAACCTTCTACCGCGTACCCAACGTGATCCAGAGCGCGCTCTCGCTGCCCGCCGACCACGACCCAGACGTCGTCGATCTCGTGTTTATCGATTTCATCGAGCCGTGGGTGCTCGCGGCGCTGCGGTTCACGGGACAGGGTTATGGCGCGTCGGATGTCGCGGTGTATAGGAATGAGACGTTGACGGAGTTGATGGCGAAGTGGATTATGAAGAATTGGGGGAAGGATTGTTAGGGTGTCGATTGATTTGATTGATTGCTTATGGTAGATAGATAGTAAGGGCGGGGGGGGGGGGGTATATACTGTAATATATATCTAAAATAACTTCCATATTTGGCAACAATACACCCCCTCCCATCCTGTAATCCAATCAAAAATCCATTAAAAAATCCAATCGAAATCCAAATCCTATAAAAGGAGCACATACGTACCTATGTGGCATTCCATTTCCCAACTTTAAAATTTCCCGAACTTTCCTAGGTAATCATCGCGCTCGCGAAAGTCAGCCGCATGCAGGTCCCTGCATGTACCTATGTATGCATGCAGGAGAAGGATGTTTCAAACTTTCAAACTTTCAGCTCACTTCACTTCACTTGACTTCACTCCATTTCACTCCATCTAAGTTCACTTTCCAACACATTCGAAAAGCAATGAGGCAGAGATATAGATAGATATAGATAGATAAAAATATAGAATTTGGCAGGTTCGGGACTCTATTTAAGTAAGTACAGGTATATAAATTAGCCAGGAAATAAATATCGTCGCAACCCCATTGGTTTTTCGGTGCTCTCGAGAATCTTGGCCTTCTGCGCGCGTACATGACAGGAGGAGTAAATAGAGCGATGATTAGATCAGCCAACCAATGCGGTCTCCTCTCCTGCATTACCCTACTAGTCTTCTTGAGAGAGCCGTCCCCATCACACACACACACACACACACGAATCGTTGGGTATATTGTCGTACGAAAAAAACAATCTACGATGAAATAGCGCTAGAGGGCGCGAAACCGAATTGTGGGACGGAGGCGTCGAATACACCGTAGTTGGCGTTGAAGAAGACGTCGCCGTAGATGTTCTGGTTGCCACCACCGACGGATTGGAGACCGCCGAAGCAGCTGCCGGATTCGGAGGCAGGAGCGAAGTTGAGGAGGCTGCCAGGGACCGTGGCGTAGTCGCTTTCGCCGATCAGGAAGGAGATGTCGGGGAGAGTGGCAGAGCAGTCGAAGACGTAGCCGCCATCTTCTTGGGAGTTGGTAGCACCGGAAACCTGCTTGTAGTAGGCATCGACAGCGGAATCGGCCATGAGGAGGAGGGTGGTTCCGGTGTCAGAGATACCGACCTGGCCTTCCATGGAGCCAGTCTTGGAGCCGACCTTGAAGGAGGTGGAGTCGTACTGCCAGAAACCACCGCTGTTGTCAACAGGGGTGTACTTGATTGAGCCAGAGTACTTGGAGCTGTCGGTGTATCCGAAGTCGTATTCACCGTTGGCCTGCGATGGGAGGTAGGCAGCAAAGAGGGGAGAGTCGAGAGATTGTTGAGCATTGTCGAAGAAAGTCTGTGCTTGTTGGGGTTGAACTGGATGTTGGTTAGTCACGGGATCCATATGCCAACGACTGGTTTGAGAACATACCAGTGTTGATGCTGCTGAAAGCAAGACCCAAAAGTCCGTCGCTGCTATCTTGAACGAATTCGGATGAGACCTTGTTGGCAAGCTCGACAACTTGGCCAGTGACGGTCGTGTTTCCGACGGACACAGTGTCAGTTCCGCACACTCCGCTTGCGCCGGAGCCATCTGCGTAGGAGATGTTCCATGTTGATCCAGACATCGCCTTGTAGGTGCTGCTCTTGGATGAGGAGTAGACGGTGTGGTTCTCCTGTTCGCTCTTGCTAAGGAGAGTGGAGAAGACCCAGCTGAACGTTCTTGTCAGTTTCTGCTTCCCCTATTCTCAAGAGGGTCCGAGGAGAGCTTACAGATCAGCACTTCCGGTGTCGAAGTCCAAGTTCAGCTTCTGACCTCCAACAGTCACGGGGACCAGGTATTCGGCATCTTGTGAGGTTGGCACTGCCGGGACAGAGCCGTCTTGGCGCTTCCTTGACAGGGCGAGTTCGGTCAAGAAAGACTCAGAGAAGTCCTTGGTGGGCTGCAAGTTGTACTTCTTGTAGGCCTTCAACATGGCGGCCGTTCCGTTACGGACGGCGCCGCTGTGAACAGCTTGCACACTGAATGCACTGGCCCCGGCTTGGGCAACTGGGAGTGCTGGAGGAGCAGGAGCAGCCTGAGCCGCCGCCGCGAGGGCGAGGACAGTGGTCAGGGAGGAAAGCATCTTTGCGTGAGGCGTCGAAGCTGTTCGGAAACCGGAGATAATTGAAGGTGGAAGTGTGGAATGAGAGACTGTGAGCAGGCTGGAGAAGTGAGACAGGACGGGAGCAGCGGGTCTTCTTATAGACGATCATCGAGAGACAAGAGACGAGAGACAAAGGGGTCCAAAGAACGGAGAGACAAGAGCTCTGCCGGGGAATGGGAGGGCCGTCAGGAGGACGAGCTCGTCGTTGGCGGGACCGCCGGTGCTAAGGCATGGAAGGAAGGCAAATGTTCTACGGACGAAGTTCTGGGCAAGGGACGGTCATGGATCTGCCTCCCCGGGGATAGCTCGTCGTCGACCCCTCGCATGGGCATCATGTCAAGCATTGGGGTTCAGACCATTGATAGGTTCAGGTAGCATGAGACAGCGTCTGCCATCTGATATCTGGAGCGGCATGTGAACGCTGGTGTCGGGAGAACTAGCTCCTTCCTAGAAGTCCCTAGAAGTCCCGGCCTTCCTAAGTACAGCAGCGGATCCTCGGGGCTCTCCATGGGTGAGCTTCCCTAATGGTGATGGTGGTGGTGGGGGAGGCAGAGACAGAGAGAGACGGCCATCGTGTATAGGTTAGGTAGTGTCGTAGTGACGGCGGTGATCCAAATGACGCCACGAAGCCCGTGTCAAGAGCCAAGACTCTATCGAGACTCAAGCTTTCCCGCATGTCCAAGGAGCAGTGAGTTAGTCGTGGTACATGGGAGGGTGCGGTGGTGTTGTGTGGTCGTGTGTGTGGTCGACGATTGCCGGGTACTGTAAGGCGGGTTATCTGATTGATCGGCTGGGACGGACGATCGGCGCAGTGAAACAGGGCCGGTCTCGAGGCGGCGACCAATGGGGCTGGTGAGCGGGCGAAGGATGCGGAGGGTTCTGAACTTCTGATGTTGGTTTGTACTGCACCAGCGCAGTGCGGATGGAGATACACGGTCGTCGTGGTGGTGATACTGATACTGCCATCGTGACAATTGCCCTCCTCATGACACTCATCGCCATAACCCCAAGGTGCCTCAGCCCTCATAAGGCCGTGCATAAAATCCATAAAAGGCACAAAAGGCACAACAGCCACAGCAAACCATAAAACCCCAAGAATTGCACAAAAATAGTACCCGGTGCGTCGCCAAGGCGAGGGGCAGGGTGGGAGCTGCCGAAAGCGGTAGCCCCGGACCAGAATGCTGCGATAGGAAGGCGGGGAGTGGTGGCCGGGGACAGGGGTTTGAAGGCCCACTTACCAGAAGCAGTCTAGCACGCCAAGGGGTATCGATGATCGGCATCCTTCTCCTGCACCTTTGTTTCTGCAGCGCTGCTGATTGGCTCCTGTGCCGACTCCCCTTTGCGCTTGTGGCGGGCGGGTGGCTGTAGTGGCTGTAGTGGCGCTGTGGCTAATGCCTTCTTCGAGCTCTTCTCGACAGCTGGAACCTGACGGAGACTCGTGAGGCGAGGGCCCTGGATATGCATCATGCATCGCGAACATTCTGTTCGAATGTTCCCTGCAGATTGCATACTTCCGTACGTATTCTTCGAGGACCAGTAAGGTATGGCAAAGCTAGGTGTTCCGTCTGCATCATCGATCCTTCATTCTTCTACGCAGCATTCTACAATCAATCGCATTGACCACACCCCCATGGATCCCCTGCATTGCACTGGCTGGCCCATGAGTGGTAAGCGCTGGCGTCAGGAACCAGTCATACCGCTAGATTACCACCGTCCCGACAGAGCAGGCTGGGACCGGGGGCCGCCTCCTTCGCGCTCGGCAGTCCCGGCGGATCGACCTCGGGACTGATATCGAGGAACTGGAGAGCTGGACGGCATGCTGATTCGCGCTGCTGGGCAGATTGGAGGGCCAAGCGCGCCGGCCAATCATGGGCGCGGGGAGGGAGGGAGCATTAAGCATTGAGCAGTGGGAGAATCGGCGCTGCCCGTATGGGATAGCACTCAATGATCTGTCAGAGTCAGGTACCAGGCGGGCGAGGTAAGTGGCGGTCTCTCTCGCACGAAGGAGATACCGAAGGAGGTCGTTACTGCACGTCTGGGGACGGGGAACAAGAGGGGGATAACGCCAAGGTCCTACAGTACCGACGGAGGTATAACTCGAGCCTACACTAACCCCTCCCACTCCAGCTCTCCCTGGGTCCTCTGCCTCCCGCACAGGGAGGGCGCTGCAGTAGGTTTCCAGAGGACGGTACGTTGTAGCTGTAGCCTATAGCACTGCTGTGATTTGTATTTGGAAATCGTAAGGAGGTTGTGTCTCCCCTGGACACTGCGGGTGTGGCACTCGTTTGGTTTCCTGGGCCCCCTCCCCATACGTTCATCTATTCCGTACAGTACTGCACCGTCCTGGCCGGTACTTACGTATAGAGGCCCCCCTGCTAGAGATGGCCAGGCACAAGTTACAACGCGTCGGGATTGCGGGTTCTGGCGTCATATCTTGTCTGCATTGAGACGTTACCTCCCGTAGGCAGGACCTCTATTCCTCCTATGCCAGGTTAGTTCCTCTCCCGCTATCTCCGAAGGGATTCATTCCATGAGGCGGTAGCAGCGCTGTCCTAGAACACCCAAGTCAATATCTAGTGAAAAATGGGCCACTAGAAGAGATCACTTAGACGGAGTGCTGCTGGCACAGCTCATCCAATTCCGATTCCCTAATCGGGAAGGCAGTTAAGGAGAGAGCATCTTCTCCACACACATACAACCTTACAAGCGTACCATATTATTAACCCTACCGACTTCCCAACTGCCCTCCGGGAGCCAAGCGCAGAAGCGCAGAGCCGACTCAGAAGGATTCCTTCCAACGCCCGCTAGCGCCGGCACTGCGTCTTCAAAAGCGCAGGTCAGACTGCCATGCCTCCCCAGCCAGTAATCCCCCAGCAGATCATAGTAGTAATGCCAGCCAGCATCCCCTATATGCGAGTACCTGGTACTTAGCACTGTAAAATCATAAAATGCAAGTACCTACTTAGGTACATTACTGCCGAGGCGCTGCCGGGCAAGAGGGATCGCCGCTTTCCCACAGCCTCTATCTCTAAAGAAGAAGCTGCGGGAATCTCAGCGCGGCATGCGGATTTGGAAAAAGGGGGGAGGACGAATCTGCTCATACTGCGCTTGCACGTGAAGATGATGTCAGGTGGAGAGCGTCCTGCGTGCGCTGTACGCCGGAGCAGAATGGGAAGGAGAATTTCAAGGTGCGCTTCCATGGCCCACTGCTGCATAGATAGGGGAGAGGGCCCGGGAAGAGAAGAGAAGAGAAGAGAGCAGGTATGCCGATCTGCAAAACACGACGTGATCCCAAAAGAGAGGGAGGCTGCTGAGATCTTTAAGTCTCATAACAATAACAATGTGCTTCTAGTAAAGAGAGGATAAACTGGTCCACCTCTTCTATTAATGTGGCAGCTGTTGATGTGGCAGCTGAACAAACCTGATGCACCTTGACAGGTGAAATAGCCTCGTATCGAATGGAATATGTATACAGCCATATTCAAGTTGGAACATCTGCAGCGCATTTCATCGCCTTGATACACGCCCCAAAACTCCCAGCAATGCAAATACCCTACCGCTTTAATCAGACAATGTTTCTTCGTCCCACCATTCAACATCCGCGCTGATATTGTGCCTTCTCTTGTTCCCTTTAATCATCCCGTTGTACAGCTTCGAATTCGCCTATCCTCTGCTCTTCGTATTGAGGATCAAAGCAACAATGAGACTGCGCGCGTCAGTAGGGCACAACCTGCTTCAAACCCAGATATACTGACCCATAGAGACCCAATACTTCTCCAAAAATCAATATCAGAACCATACCGACGAAGATTCTCGACTGATACATGTATGTTCGGACTCCCATATCTCCAACAATCCCAATCGCATATCCCGCGGCCAGCCCGGTTAAACCAACGGAGAGACCACACGCTAGATGCATGAAGCCGCTGAGGTTCGTTAGCACAAGCCCATTGGGTGCTAGGTAAGGTGGTACGCGTACTTGAACAAGCTGTAATTCTGCTGGGGCGGTGGGCCCATATCACCTGCTATCAAGACCGCGATGACGAGCGAGTAAACCGCAATAATACCTGACATGACAACCGGGATAAGTGACTGTGGGAGAAACGTTAGCAGAGTCGCTACGTTCGACGCGTTCTCTGGCATGCCTTCATGATGAGATCTGGTCTGAATGTCCCAACGCCCGAAATTCCAATGCCCGACTTGGCGGTCCCATACGCAGCCCCAATACCTGGCCGCAATCGTCAGTGTATCTCAAGATAGTTTGAGTGTTGTTTCCTACATCCGAATGTCATTGCGGACGCAATGCCGGCCTGCAGAAGGTATCAGTAAAGTCCAAGCATCGTGAACCTGGCTCTGCTTACCATTCCGAAGAAAGGCGCAAACATCGGTGACTGCACTGATTCTGCCATGGTGAATTCAGCTCGCAGAACGCGCGATAGAGCTGGGCGACAATGGGGGCAGGTGTCAAAGGCCTTCAGGTGACGTTGAGGAGACGTGATAGGTACCTAGGATACGGTCAATAGCTTCAGCCGCCTCGAAGCTTCACGCTACCGGAGGCTGGCTCGCTACAGTCACGTGCCTAAACTACTCCTCTCTCCCCTCTGCGGGCATTTCGAACCAAATTGATGGGCTGACGGGAGTTAAGACTACAGGCTCTTTATTGTACTTTGTAGCTGTAATAGTAGACATAAAATCTACGTTTTCCTTCGCCGCATGGCTGGAAAAAAGGGCAAAAGTTCGTATCTACCTTAATTTCTGAATTCCGGATGGCAGACCCTCGCACGCTAACCGAAAGCAGCGACATGGTTGAACCTCTGGAGATCGCGAAGCATCCCAAGATTCGGACCTCCCACCTTCAACGACTGAACAACAATCATTGGGCTGGGGCTGTCATGATAGCTCGATGTCATTGCCTCTATCTGATCTGTACCTCTGCCGCTGACTATTAGCGATATCCCCCTGCTTAGGTGTAGGATCTTTCGCTTGAAACAATCTCTCCTCAGGAAGGACCAACAAACCACCACGATTTCGACCTCGTCCCAGTGACGGCCAGGAATTATCGGTCGACATACGACGGGACCCCGTCGGCGTCGGCAGGTGGATAAGGGGCTTGTTCTGACTTCAGAAACTGAAGCCGGGGTTGTTCTCCTCGGCTTCGAGGCGTAAGCTTCTCCCCATCCCAACAGCTATCTGAAGATATAAGGGACCGCAGAGCAGGAAGCTGATCTCATCATAGTCAGCAGACAAAATGGCAGACTACCAGCAAGGCCGATCAGGTGGACCCCGTCCCGATGGGTTTGGGCATGCCTCGAATTACCAAAGAGAAGCCGCGTTCTCGAATATCTTTGGTGCTTCCCCTCCACCGGGTCGATCTCAGACTATGACTTCGTCCACCCCTCCTCCTGCGATGCACCAAGCTCGCACTCAGACGATGACTTCGCAGGACCTAGGAATGCGTGGTGGGATGCAGCGGCCGCCCCCTCCACGCCCAGGCGGGTATCCTCCGCCAAATGGCAGCGCGCCGAATGGTGGGAGCATGCCAAATGGCTATAATCAGCCGCCGCGACAGTCCTTACCGGGTCAAATTCCATCTCAACCTCAACCGCACTATTTGCCACAGCAAGTCCGGCCAGACCGGCGGGCATACCCCTTACCACAACGCGTCGACCCTCGCGGCACTCCTCAATCACAATATGGGCAAAGGATGCCTCAGCAGCGATATTACACCGGTAGTGGACCTGGTCCGGCTCCAGCATTGAATTCGGATCCGTACCGATCACAATCGATGGCGAGCACTCCGAGGCCACAAATGTATTCACCGCCAGCCCCAGCTACCTTTAATCCGTCCCCGGCAATTGCTTTCAGACAAGGTCCATATCACCCACAGACTTCCCGGATGACTGCCCAGGGACGAACAGTACCCGAACGACACGATGAGAGGGCAATGTCCATGACGAGCTACCCTCAGGATCGGGATCAACATCAGACTGCGAGTGGGCGAACTATTCCGAATAGGAGAACTTCTTCATCTGGACCGCAGGAACCATTACCCAATGGATATCCTGGAGCGAGAAGTGCACCTGCTGTCCAGACTCGTACGGCTAGCATGGCATCAACAGTTGTGGGCGATGCGAGTCGCTCGATGTCAATGGCTTCAACTGTTGTCCCGCCCGAACAGGCAGAGGCTCTTCAACATCGGTCATCCGTTACTAAGTCTGTCAGCAGTGGTCGACAAAAGTCGCCATTAGTGTACCCTGCCTTGCTATCACGCGTTGGAGAATGTTTCAGGGAGAAAATCTCAGTGGGTGATAGGACGAAGAACGACCTTACGTACAAGAACGCCTTCAGCGGAGCTGAAGCCGTCGACGTTATCTCCTACATCATCAAGACTACGGATAGGAATCTAGCCCTGCTTCTTGGACGTGCCTTGGATGCTCAGAAGTTCTTCCACGATGTGACCTACGACCACCGGTTGCGAGACTCCACCACGGAGATGTATCAGTTCCGAGAGACGTTGATGGATGAACCGCATGAAGCGCCACAGGTTAATGGCGTCTTTGTGTTGCTTACCGAGTGCTACTCTCCAACATGTACCAGGGACCAACTGTGCTATTCGATAGCTTGCCCGCGTAGACTTGAGCAACAATCACGGTTGAACTTAAAGCCGCAGGGAGGTCTTCGGCGTGAGAAATCACAAGCAAGTCTACACGATGCGGACGAGCCGGATGAGCAAAAATTGTGGATCAACACCGTGTCCCAGGAGATCGCTAATAGTGTTGGTGATCGGGAGAAGAAGCGCCAGGAGGTCATTTCCGAAATCATGTATACCGAAAGAGACTTCGTGAAAGATTTGGAGTACTTGCGAGATTTCTGGATCCTCCCCTTGCGTTCTACGAATCCTGCTGCCCCCTCGCCAATCCCGGAGTCACGGAAAGAGAGGATCGTGCGAACCATATTTTCCAACATTATTGATCCGCCAAGTATCCACGGTGTCAGCTCAAGGTTTGCTGAAGCACTGACAGAGCGACAAAGGAAACATCCAGTTGTGCAATGCGTGGGCGATATCTTCCTCGAGTTTGTTCCGCAATTCGAACCATTCATCACATACGGCTCGAATCAACTAGCTGGGAAGTTTGAGTTCGAGAATGAGCGCTCACTGAACCCATATTTCGGGAAGTTTGTAGATGAAACAGAGCGGCGGAAGGAATCAAGGAAACTTGAGCTCAACGGATACTTGACGAAGCCTACGACGAGACTCGCAAGATATCCACTTCTATTGGAGAATGTCCTTAAATATACTGACCCCTCGAACAAGGATACAGAAGATATTCCGAAGGCCATGAAAATGATTCGCGATCTCTTGACCCGTGTGAATGCCGAGTCTGGCAAGGCGGAAAACCGCTTCAACCTAAAGAGACTCCATGAGCAGCTTCGATTCCGACCGAACGAACGTGTGGATTTGAAGCTCACAGATGATGGTCGAGAGCTGATATACAAGGGAACCTTGAAGAAGACCCCAACTGATCCCTCAGATATCCAAGCGTATCTCTTCGACCACGCCATGCTTTTGGTCCGTGTTAAGACGGTTGGCAAAAAAGAGGAAGTGAAGGTCTACCGACGGCCCATTCCTCTAGAGTTACTGGCCATCCGTGAAATGGACGAAGTAATTCCGAAGCTTGGCATAGCGAAACGACCATCATCTAGCTTAATTCCAGGAGCTAAAAACAACACAGCTGATAATTCTAAGAAGGATGGGTTCCCGATCACTTTCCGACATCTTGGAAAAGGTGGTTACGAGCTCACACTCTATGCAAGTACTCAAGGTGCACGGAAGAAGTGGATGGAACACATCGGAGACCAGCAGACTATCCTTCGGAAGCGCGGAGACTTCTACAACAGGTCAATTTTGAGCAATAATTTCTTTACGTCTGTCAACAGGGTCAACTGTGTTGCACCTTTCGGTATGCGCTCTCCCCCAAGCTCTGATGAAACAGTTACTGACGAATCACAAGACGGTGGTCGCAAATTGATCTACGGTACTGACTCTGGCATCTTCGTCTCGGATCGTAGGGCGAAGGATGCTGCAGCCAAGCCCATTCGAGTCTTAGATGCCACGAACGTTACTCAAATTGACGTTCTGGAGGAGTATCAACTACTCTTGGTCCTGTCACAAAAATCACTGCTGTCGTATTCCCTGTCTGCGCTCAATCCCCACGAGCCTGCACTTTCCAAGCGACCCAAGAAGATCCAAAGCCATTGCAATTTCTTCAAGACAGGCATATGTCTTGGCCGACATCTTGTCTGCTGCGTAAAATCCTCAGCACTGTCTACCACTATCAAGGTCTTTGAGCCCAATGATGCTATGTCGAAGGGCAAAAAGCAGAAAGGATTCAAGATGTTCAATAGCGGGCAGGATGAACTGAAAGCGTTCAAGGAGTTCTACATTCCAACTGAATCCTCGTCTATACACTTCCTCAAGTCGAAGCTCTGTGTGGCTTGCGCACGTGGGTTTGAAGTTGTGTCTCTGGAAACACTTGAAACGCAATCACTCCTCGATCAAGCAGATACGTCGTTGGATTTCGTGGCGCGCAAAGAGAACGTTAGGCCAATTCACATTGAACGTCTCAACGGTGAATTCCTTCTCAACTATTCTGAGTTCTCATTCTTTGTCAATCGCAATGGTTGGCGAGCAAGACCGGACTGGAGGATTGACTGGGAAGGGCAGCCTCAGAGCTTCGCTCTTTCGTACCCCTGGATACTCGCATTTGAATCGAATTTCATCGAGATTAGGAATATCGACACAAATGCGGTGCATATTGTGCCGCATAAGAATATTCGGATGCTTCACACAAGTACTCGGGAGGTAGGATACTAGTCTCTGGGTATAGTTGAACATTGCTGACACGATTAGATCATTTACGCATACGAGGACGAACGAGGCGAAGATATTGTGGCAGCTATTGATTTTTGGCCAGCCGGCCGCAAACCAGAAGGGGGACATCAGGCGCTGCCTCCAGCAGGAACTGACCAAGGCCATCCACAGACGTCATCACGGCACTGACCAACAGGCGGGTATCCAGAGCGGCTCCATCGCGCCTAGTGTTCAGATGGCATACTTCCTTCCATATCGATTGGGTAGAACTGCCTGGCACGTAATCCCAAATCTCCTCTGCTGTTCGTAACTTTCAAGTGGTTTTCCTCTCCGTGTGCTGGACACGCTCGCTCTCTTCCCACGCCTTATGTTTCTACGATGGATGGTCTTGTGGCCCCTTTTTTTTTAAGACGGGGAAGCGCGCTTTGATGGATGCATGGGCTTGATTGATGGAATTGATACAATGTGGTGCGTGTGGGTGGAATGCTTGGAACTTTATTCGTGACAGCTCAGCGACGCGGCGTATGAAGGTCTCTGGTTGATTAAGGGGCATACTATTTTTCTGTACATTGCCTGTGTAGCACGAATAGATCGTATATCGAGAGCTCTCTCTATTTAATTTCTGAACAAAGATTGAACTTGCATCCTGAGGTGGTGATCTGTTTCTAGTGGCTGGAGAGAGAGTGTATCTTCATTACCGATTGGTATATTTCATTCAAGAAAAATGCTTTGCTTATTGTGCTATGATACTATGTCCTACTGACAATCCCCATCCATCCCCCAGTTATATATATCTAGCAATCTACAACCCGCGCGTACCGCATTATACTGATGCTCGAAACCAGACTGTCTGCTTCCATCTCAAAAATCCGGGTTCGGAACGCTTGGAAGGATGAAGATATTTATCTATTTCGTGATATAGTTCATCTTTAGTTGTTTACGAATTTCCAGAAGAAAAAGAAGGCGGGGGGGGGTAAAGATTCAGGAAAGCGAAAGGGGATCAACTGCTTGGTACTCTAGCAGCATACACCGGAAAGAATAAATAAGAGACTGAGAAATAAATCCGTTATCTGTAAATATGTTCTTGTTAGCAAACACCATGCTACGTATATGTTCAGATCTGCGTAAGGTGGATAAAGGGACTCATGATTTTTTACAGTTCTTTCAGTATTATATAAAAATACAAGGGAGGGGTACCGAGAGCGCCTCATCAAACCCCCATTTATACATAAGTATACAAGATATCATCATTCGACCCTTGTAGGGATCTTGATAGCGCCCCGACTCCTGTCCATAGACGGAACACCATAGCGCCATCCCACTCCCCTATATCCTCTGCCGTCCTTCCCGGCCTCATCAACATTGATATCTGTGAATCTGAAGTGCCATCTCCCGTTGTCGACGATCTGCACCTCCTCCCGGTCCTTCTTCCTCTTGTCCAATGCTGCCTGTTTCCTCTTCGCCTCGGCTTCCTCTCGAGCTCGTTGCCTAGCTAGGATCTGCTCTTGTGGCATGCCGGCTTTGAAATCTTTGTGCATCAATGTCAATTCTGGATGTGGTACTCGGTCATCCGCGGGAAGCAGATTATCATCGAAGATCCTGGCGGCATCGGTACGGGTAAAATGTCTAGATTCGGATGTTGGATAGAAGATTTGCGCCCCGGTCGCCGCGTGCAATGGGAGATCATTGATGGATTCGTGCGGCCTTGGATTGGTGTCGTCGGGCCTATAATGTGTTTGTGGAAGCATAGACATGACTGCCTTTGCATATGGTCTGGCGAGCGGTTTCCCCTTGAATTATGAATATCAGCTAATGTCTGGCTCGAGATGAGATGAAATAAGGAGTGAGAGTGTAAATTTCAGAGAGGCTCGCATGCTAAATTTTGTAACCATGTGGTTGTCTTAAAGACTAATCGATTTATTTTTTGAGATCATCATAAAAGTGTGTCGTTGAGAAAAGCCACAGGAGAGAAACTTACTATTCGCTGCCACTCCTTCTCGATCTCCATCAGACGGACCACAGCCCCTATCCGACTCATCTCAACTCCAAGGCTGGCACTGACTTCTCGAACGGATTGACCCTTCTTCATGATCCTCTCCCATATCTTTTCTCGCATTTCCTCACTGAGCACCGGTTGGCTAACGAACGCGGGATTCATCGGAAACGGTCGTAAATCTCTCACCGTCTCCGGGGGTAGCTCTCCATTGGAGTTTCCTCCCCCAGACTCGTTGTTATCATTGCTATTAGATGTTCCACCCGATTGCCGTGATCTCTCTGCTCTGTCTGACGCAGCTTCTACGACTCTTTTTAGCTGTCCCGCGGCATTATATGCACTGAGATAGTTTGTTGAGTTCGGTAATGGGTTAAGAAAATTCTGTCCCTGGGTACCCAGCCATCGAAAGAATTGTCGGCGAGCTCTTGTGGCTCTTTGATCTCGTTGTGGAGTGGAAGAGAAAGACCGCGACTGGGCCGTTTTACGCAATTGTTTTGCGCATGAGGTCGAGGGAATGACTGATGGAGATCTTAATGGAGGCGGCATCCTCAGTTCACCTCAATTCGGCGCAGGGAGAAATAGCTGGCCGGTTGGTGGTCGTTGATGTTTGAAAGATGTTGGTAATTTGAATGTAGCTAGGAAGCAGAGAAAAAGTATATGGAGAAAGTATGTAAGCGAGGAACTGGTCACGTGAGCCTCCTAATTTCTGGGAGGTGGAGCAGAGCGCGAGTCCCTCACCCAAGTCCGAGGCTTCATCGTAAACAGTGTTCGAATTCAAATGTCCAGGACTTAATGACTATCTTCGAGATCGTAAATAAAGTTAAATTTGTTCTGTTATTTCATTAAACAATTAATAGTACCTAAAATGGCATTAAATCAAGATCGGAGCAGTCTACATTCCAGTTGCAGTTTCGAAACCGGCTGTTCTGAATCTATTCTACCCTAAAGAAAGGTTCATGAGCCGTGAAAAACCTTGGGTATCTAGGATGTCTGCAAGTTGTCTTAAGCCTTGGCATGAAAGGCAGGTTTCTCCACAATTAGATTAGCACGAATCCTCTCTATTTGCTCTTTCGTGAGACCGCATTTCCCAATCATATAGTTCTCTACTCCTCCGAACTCTTCATTAACCACCCTCAAGGCTGATAGCATGTTCTCCCTGGAGGGGCTTATTAGTGAAGGGTCTCAGCAATGAAAGGGGAAATTTACTTTGAACCTATCATATTCAAAGCCCCAGCCTTGTTGCCCTTGAGACCAGAATTCTTCATCAGATGCTCAACCGCAGCTTCCTTCCACTCCATGCTAAGGCCGAGGTCGGTAAGTGAGTATTCCTGCGCAACGGTTTCATCATCAACGCCGCAAAGAGACAAGATCAAGGCGCATATGATACCAGTCCTGTCCTTCCCAGCTGTACAATGAACGATCAACGGTTTCGAAGGCTCGTCCGCGAGATGCAGCAATATTGTTTTGTAATAAGGCGCAGCTTTGTTGAGAATCCTTGTGTAAACTCGAGTAAAACCCTGAGCTGAGTTAGCTAATACCATCCATGTCAGGATGCAGACATTTTTTTTCTTTTCACCTCTATGCCACTTGTGTAATCTTTGTATACGAGAGCCAGGCTCTCAGGGCTATAATCAGTATCCGTAAAGATAGGCAAGAAGACTCTAGTACAGCCATCCAATTCAACTATCCCTCCCCGCCCAGCAGCTTGAGCTCGCTCAATCTCAACGTTTGATCTCAGATCGTAAATATGAGTGATCCCTAGGCCTTGAATCTTATATATTCCATCTTTAGTGACTTTTGAAGGTTCAGCACAACGATATATGAATCCTCTTCGCACTGAATGACTTGGTGAAGTCGAAATGGGGTAGCCTCCAAGGTCACGGAAGTTGGGTATTCCAGCGACTTCTACGAATGGAGGAGATGGAAGGATCGAATGATCGGTGACCTTTGAGGTAATATCCATTTTGATACACCGAGTGCTTTTGAAGGCGAGGATAAAACTCTAGAGTTTGTCGTCGTCTTGGTCGTCGTCGAAGACGGGACCTTGCGGGGGTCGAGCCGAGGCCTTCGACAACCGAAATATTTGTTTCTCTGACAGAATCGTGCCACTTGAACCCCATCTCATCCATACCGTCCTGTGCGACCACTTGGAACCGATGATCCAATCTCCTTCAAATCGACTGCATGTGAAGACAGACAGCATGCCTCTCATCGTAGAGCCTGAAGGTGAAGCCAAACAAGATTCGCCCGAATCTTTGCAGCGTACTGCTCGCATACGTATCAAGAACCGCCGCAAGATGTACCTGGACCAGCATCCCTCCTATTTCACCTCTCCCGACCTCGAGCTTGCAGGTGCATCAATACTGCTCGATCACCAAAGAGGCAGACTAACAAGCATCAGATCCCTTACTGTATGACCGTTGCGTCAGAAGATTTCAGTCAGCAGCAGAACGGGAAGCGGATGGCCGGTCTAAAGGTTACTCGGGCGTATTGGAAGCAGATCTTTATCGATCAGAAGCCAAACTGGCAGCGTTGAAAGGCGAAAATCTAGATGGCGAGCCAGCGCAGTCATCTTCCGAAGCCTCGATACCTTTTGTTAGTTACCCTAGAGGTCAAGATGGTGAAGTCTTGCCAGAGGACCCTGATGAAGTTCCGAAAAGCAAAGAGGAAGGGTTTGAGAGGTGGAAGTATGGAATGACTATCAGGTTTTTGAATGGGGAAGATCCGGACTTTGATTACAAAAAGGTAGATGAGAGTGATGAATGGGATATCATCGAAAGCCAAGAGGAGGAGGAGAAATGGTTTGATGATGAGGAGCCAGAATGGGTTGGTGAAGAAAATCCGGATGTGGAGGTTATTGGTGGTGAGACTGGCATTCAAGACTTTTGAAAATGTCTTCTATTTCTAAATTTTTTGATCTTGCACCTCAGCGGCATTGGCATGAACTCAAAAAATTGACATGAGTTGGACGAGGGAGGGACGGCTACAACCCAAGTCACGAGGCTATTTGTCCAGTGCGGAACCTGTGGATCGGCCGTCTCTCTTTGGCAGGAGTCTCTTGGGAGGGCATTTCTGAATAGGCGGGGAGCAGCAGCAGAGCACTTCAAATGCGTGCTAGTCGTGATTTAGGGAAGACTTATATGAGGATTACTATGAGCTTCGAGGAGGTGACTCTGATGCGTTATGTTTAACCCAGATTAGGTCGCGAGTTGTCAAACAATTCAAAGATAAGATGAATTTAATACTACATATGAAGGGTGAAACAAATTTGGCCTGAACTCGTGCCTCATGCTCCAAGGATCACCAGGTATATCTACTTTGTCCTTCTATTGAGTTCGTCGATCCCCACTACCTTTAGGTACCAGAAAGAGGGGGGCGAATCACGTGCAGCATACCTCAGTCAGCACGAGGCTGAAACCGACTCGGATAAACCCGTCATTGCCTTTGTGCAGCTCCATGAGCATTCGAGGCATCTGCCTATGTCACGACCACCTTCTCATCGGGCCTGATACTTCGTACTTCGTGATATTTCGACCACAATCTCTCAAAGAAGGTACTTCAAGGCATAGGACTTGAGATCGCACCTACGAAAGAAACTCGGAAGCACAGCGACAGCGATCCCCCACGGCGACCCCGCTATCGTCATCATGAACTTCAACTTCATACACAGCACTCTCGACAAGGTCCGTGAGTGGGCGCCCGTTTCGCACACCTCGACGTTTCGCACAAATGGGCAAATCACTCCCGAAGAATTTGTCGCTGCGGGCGACTACCTTGTGTACAAGTTCCCCACCTGGTCTTGGGCGGATGCGTCTCCCGAGAGCAAACGTGTATCCTATCTACCTCCTGGAAAGCAGTTCCTTGTCACGCGCGGAGTGCCATGCCACCGAAGGCTCGATGAAAACTTTGCGGGAGATGCTGGAAAAGATGAGATGATGGTTGGAGATGGGGAAGACTTCAAGGGCGCTGAGGGCCATTCCGCCGGGGATGACGAGGATGGCTGGCTGAGGACTGGAGGGCTGGCTGCCAGTGGGACAGCTAGATTGACAGATGTGAGGACGGTTGATGAGAGCGGAAATATGGGCGAGAGAGAAGAGGATGAAGATGATATCCCAGATATGGAGGATGAGGAAGATGACGAAGAAGCTATTATTCGAGACCCAAAAGCCGAGGGAGCAGACACGTAGGTACTCTCCTCGACAGTTATTATGCTTCTACACGTGTCGCATTGATACTGATGTTGGATTCATGAGTAGGTCTCGGCGTACCTACACCCTCTATATTGCCTATACACCATACTACCGCACACCTCGCCTTTACCTCTCCGGTTATCTCTCCAGCTCACAACCCCTCCCTCCCCACCTCATGATGGAGGACATTGTTGGCGACTACAAAGACAAGACAGTTACGCTGGAGGATTTCCCTTATTTCAGCAACAATATCAAAATGGCCTCTGTCCACCCTTGCAAGCATGCCAGCGTCATGAAGACTCTCCTAGACCGTGCGGATGCCGCGCTGAAGATCCGAAGAGAGAAGCTAAAGAAGGGGAAGATTGTCCCTGGAGCCAAAGACGCTGGAATGGAAGGGTTGGTAGATGATTTTGAGAAGACTGGACTGGGAAGTGATGACAAGAAGGCTGTCATGGAAGGCATGAAGGCTGGTGGTAATGGGAATGATGAATGGGAGGTCTTACAGCATGATGCAGAGTCTGCTCAAGACGAAGAGGTAGCGATTCGGGTGGATCAATATCTGGTTGTCTTCTTGAAGGTATGTCCAAAGCCCATGATATGTTCAGAGTTATGCTGACGATGTCTCAGTTCATGGCAAGTGTTACACCAGGAATCGAGCACGACTTTACAATGGGAGTATAAGTTGGCGATACTTAACTGGAGAATGGTTCACTGGGTAGGGGCGTTGGCCGGTTATTTGTGTCGGAATACAGCGTCGTGGACATGATGTTATTTATTATTGCATACCATAGAATCCATGAACAGCCACCTACACCGCCGCCCACCAAATTTGAAGTCCGTTTCCTTATCTATGGGCGTGCCGCTAAATATACTGTGCATTATTGAGTTCAACATTTGTGAAGTTGTAAACTTTATAAACCATGCACAGCCTTTCTTATCGTATACTCGGCCGTTAAATGTTGCTATTTCCTCACCTTGCCCTTCAGTGCAATTAATTTTCTTGATACTCTCCTCATGAAAATCTCAGAATCAAGACGATCTGTTCACTCTAGAAAGTGGGCTGGGGAAGTTATAACTCCGCGCGGCTATAATGCGGACTTAGAAATCCATATCGGTGCTAGGCTTAAAGCGACCTTAGCGCAAAATCCCCAACGGATTTGGCAGCTGTCTTCCCAACGCCGGTGGAAAGCGCGTGAAGAAATATATCGACCGTCCCGTTCTACATTCTCTCCATAATTGCCATTACCCTCTTTTCCTCTTGTAGCTGCGGTACCTTACACGATGTCACGATTATTGCGCCCAGCATCTCGATTCGTGGCCGCTGCCACTGCTCGACCTGTAGCAGCTCGAAGTGCCTTCCAATCGTTTCCCCGGGTTCCGGCCATTGTCCAGAGCAGAGGATATGCGGAGACAAGCGGAGTGAAGGAATATACTGTTCGAGATGCTTTGAACGAAGCTCTTGCGGAGGAACTAGAACTGAACGACAAGGTCTTCATCCTCGGTGAGGAAGTTGCTCAGTACAATGGCGCGTACAAGGTCACCAAGGGGTTACTCGATCGATTTGGAGAGAAGAGGGTCATTGACAGTCCCATCACTGAATCTGGGTTCGCGGGTCTCACCGTCGGCGCGGCATTGGCTGGTTTACATCCTGTCGTAAGTCATCAACTGACCGGAAGGCATGGAGGCAATATCTAAGGAGTGCTACAGTGCGAGTTCATGACCTTCAACTTCGCCATGCAAGCAATTGATCAAATCATCAACTCAGCAGCAAAGACCCACTACATGTCCGGCGGTATCCAGCCCTGCAACATTACATTCCGAGGCCCCAACGGTTTCGCAGCTGGTGTCGCAGCACAACACTCCCAAGACTTCTCAGCTTGGTACGGAAGTATTCCAGGTCTCAAGGTCGTCACCCCATGGAGCGCTGAAGACGCCAAGGGATTAATGAAGGCTGCCATTCGAGACCCCAACCCGGTCTGTGTCCTTGAAAACGAATTGCTTTACGGCCAAAGCTTCCCCATGAGCGAAGCTGCTCAGCGAAACGACTTCGTTCTCCCCTTCGGCAAGGCCAAGATTGAGCGTGCTGGAAAGGATCTTACAATTGTCACCCTCTCCCGCTGCGTCGGCCAATCTCTTGTCGCTGCCGAGAACTTGAAGAAGAAGTACGGTGTTGAAGTTGAAGTTATCAACTTGCGATCCATCAAGCCTCTCGATGTCGAGTCGATTGTCAAATCAGTCAAGAAGACCCACCGCCTGCTAGCCGTCGAGTCTGGATTCCCAGCGTTCGGTGTCGGCGCTGAGCTCCTGGCTCTTACTATGGAATATGCTTTCGATTACCTTGATGCCCCAGCTCAGAGAATCACTGGTGCGGAGGTTCCAACCCCATACGCTGCGAAGCTGGAGGAGATGGCTTTCCCCAACGAGGGACTGATTGAGAACTACGTGGCGAAGATGTTACGACTGTAGATGCTTTAGATGGAACCTGGAGAGGAGAATAATGGCCAGTAATATGTATTTCTAAGGTGGTCTCATGATAATCAAAATGATACCTATTGACCACTCCCAGTTTCTGGTCACTTGGTATTCCAAACTTCTAATTCTTTCAAATCCTCAAATCAAGTAGATCTAGACCCGCAGCCACACTCAAGAAAACTTGTGTGTACTGCTCAATGAATTAATTTATTAACCTCTATTCCCCATCTTCTATAGCAAGAAGGCACAGTCTCTCAAGGTCTAAATTAGGCTTTTAACCCGGTGGGGTTTTAGTCCAAAATTGCTAATATTGGCATGATTGATAAGCTTATGTAATTCGTAATCCGTGTATCATATTATTCAAACCGTTATTCAAACCGTTATCCAGATATTGTTAGTACGGTTTCGCAGTCTTGGGAGGTTTGCTTTTTTATTTATTTCTCAATTTAAGAGTAGTTGAAGAGCGTAGCTATGTGAGAAAGCCGAGCTTTCCTAAGAAGATACCTGCCTATAGATAGTCTTGAGAAGGGAGATTGCCCAACCCAACACATGTGGGAGAACGAACGGAGGTGGTTTTGAGATTGTTGATACATTTGACCCCACAACGGAGTGACATGCCTTCCTCGCTAGCACTCGCCCCTTTTGCGACCCATCCTTAGCAGAGATGTCGGCCTGGAAGAGATGGGGGTGCCTCCCTCATCAGCTCCGGAAGATAACTGAGATATCTTCGTTTTGAGGTCCTGGTATGCCAAGTATCTTCCCAGTCGGGAGATCTGTACCACCGTCGTGTCTACTAGCAACATCGCCGTGCTTCATCTCCCACATTCTCTGCCGTCTCAGAAGCTGAACGCTACCATATGTGGCTATGCTTCGACATGTGAAGTGCGATCTGGTGATGTTCCCCGTTCTCAATCCGTTGGATGCCTTGGATCATACATCTCATACCCCTCATCCTCAGTATCGCTCTCACCCCCGACATTCTCCTCTGCAGGCGTAGTCGTACTACCCGGTGAAGCCTTTTTAGGCCCCTCGTCCTGCTTCTCCTCCGCCACTGGAGCTTCTGCATCCACAGGCGCGAAGGCGCTCTTGAAGCCCGCTTTCTTAAATCCCCCCTTCTTAAAACCACCGCCTCCACTACTCCCCGTGTCCCCACCAAGTTTGATCGATATGAGGCCGGATTGTGAGTTGGCTTTCGCTTCGGCTTTCCGTGCTTTGGTGGAGGCCATGGGATCGCGTGTTAGCTGGCGCATATCCTTGAGACGTTGCTTGTGCGAGTGGTCGTAGGAGGAGAGGTGGGTTTCATATTCGTTCATTCGCGCATAGCCTTTACTACATAGCTCACCTAGGGATACAAGTCAGACATGATCCTAAGAGCCGGACAGAGCGCAAACGTACAGTAGAAAGACTTGACAGCTTCTCGAGCGCTGTCCGTCTTGGGAGCGGGGTTTGTGAAGCCACGCTATAAAGTAACATAGTTAGAAACGTCAATTTTAGCGGAATTTGGGTTTGAAAAGCTTACTGGAGGCATGTTGATTTTCTGAGTATTGGTTGTTTGATAGGAGCAGGTCGTGTTAGGTAGATAATTGAGGTTTCCTGAAATGCTCACCGCCTTCCTATATTAGTCCATAGCAAGTGGTGACTGCCTGCCTTATTTACCTCCCGCCTTTAGCAATGCTCGTTATCAAAGTTGTGCCGGGTGAGGCTGAGAGGAATATTGATCTTGAGACTGAAACTAAAGCAAATGGGTATACTAGGACCTATGGCAATCTTGTCGAACAGCCAGATAATTCTTCTGGACTGGCTCCCGGCGGCGCGATTCATGTGATTTTTAGGTCAGCCTACATTGTCGGTTCGCTTTCGCCTATCGCGTCTACCAGTTACCTTCAGTACATTACTACTCCGTACCATATACAATGGACAGTCAGAACCCCAGGGCGTCAAAGTTCCACGAGGATTTGGAGTCCCTTCAGTATGTGGACCCTACTCCGCTCCCAGAGTCCCGCCACGGCTCGATCTCCGTCCCAGCGTCCAATGCATCGCCCAGCTCCTCGATTTTTGGCTCTGTCTTAGGCCTCAGTGGAAGTGGACATAGCCCTGTATACTACCGTTTGTTATATCCTTCATCGTACCATTGGAATCCTGCTAATAAACACTACGCAGTAACGCGGCTCCAGAAATACTCCTCCTACGTCTTCGGAGTCTATGCCTCTCTCCATATAACCAACACCTCCATCATCCCCCTCATAACCCGCTCCGTCTCCGCTTCAGAACCCTACCTTCTCCTCACGCGGCCCTTCTATCAATCATTCCCCCTCGAACCGCTTCTCGTATCACTCCCAATTGCAACGCACATCCTCGCCGGGCTCGCCCTACGGATTCACAGGCGCAATGCCAATCTTGAATACTACGGTGCTTCTAGCCTCCCTATATCAAAACGTTTGGAGAAACGGCTGAAAGTCTGGCCCGCGGTATCATGGACTAGTCTCTCTGGCTACATCCTCGCCCCGTTAGTAATTGGACATGCATTCGTGAATCGTGCTCTGCCGTTGATCTACGAGGGCGGTTCGTCAGGGGTAGGATTGGGGTTTGTGAGCCATGGTTTTGCGAGACATCCGGTTGTCTCATGGGTAGGGTATATGGCACTGCTTGGTGTCGCGGCGGGGCACTTTGTTTGGGGTGCGGCGAGGTGGAATGGGTGGTTGCCTCATGGCAGTGATAAAAGGGCGAAGAAAAGGTGGTGGACGATCAATGGACTGGGTCTTGCTCTTGCGGGCTTGTGGATGGCGGGTGGTCTTGGGGTTGTAGCTAGGGGTGGGAAGGAAGGAGGCTGGGTTGGAAAGGGCTACGATGTGCTGTATTCGAAAATACCACTTTTGAAATTATAGAGGTAATGAAGAGCCTGAACTAAGAACCGAGGACCTTGTACTTGCGATACGTAAGTGCACTCTGCTCGAGAGAATATGTCTTTTTGCTCCAGAAAATGCCACAGTACTAGAGGTCATACTAATTCCTACAACAGATGCAAATAATTCGCTGAAACTCGCCGTTGCGCCTCAGGTAATTCATTCACAAGGACCCTGATGTCTGAGGCAGTGGATGTCTCTGAAATAGCTTATCCGCCTTCACCATCAACTAATGCCCCAACTACCCTACTCCTTTCCTGCTGCCAACTCCTTTTTGGCCCCCATCATGGCCCCTAGCTCATCCAACAACTCGACCGTCTCCGCCGGACTAGCAATCCAAGCCGTGGTGCCCACCACTCTAGCCTTAAAATCATTACTGCCCGCACTCAAGAACTGATCCCCCACATGCAACGTCCTATCACCTCTGATACTCCCTCCCTCATCAACAGTACTAGCCGAGCCCCCAAAATACTTCTGACAGACACACACGCCCCAGCTCTTATCGCCGATATCAACAAAGACATCGTTTCCGCCGTTAAAGGCACAGAACGGAAGAAGCTTCCCGACCTCGCTCATTTCGAGTTTCTTCTGGACGTTGAGTACGGTTTCTTCGAGGGACTCTCGGGGGAAGCGGTAGCCGGGCTCAGAGGGGATGATCCCGACGGCCCGCTCCTTGCGTAGGATGCTTGCGGGCAAGGAGAGATTGGCCACGCATTCACGGAGTGAGACTTCGGCGAGGTCTAGAAGGTTCGTGATGGTTTGTTGGTTCCAGGTTGACATGCTTGGTAGGATCCAGCTGCGTCGGTGGAGGTGGGCGAGGAGGTATGGAGAGGTGGGGTCGTACTTGAAGAGGAAGTTAGATTCACCGCCTGTATCAAGTCAGTTCGGGTCTCAGGACAAGGAGTGGACGAGGTGGGAATATTAGATGCAGAAAGGGAATAGATGGTATACCCATAATGACTATGTTTTCTTTTTGAGAGGGACTGAGAATAGTAGATTCCTTGATAGCTTCGAGGAGGCCGTAAAGGCGGCCATAATACTTTTCGGCCTCTGTATAACCGGCAGCTGTAACAATACCGATTTTGGTACCATGGCTCATTAGATCTGTAGACCGATCAGCACGTGAGGTCTTTTATTCATGTACATGCGATGAATGCTCACTTATGATCCTTTGGATTACTGGATTCGTCGGTTCTAAGCATTTCCCATCCTCATATCTAGAAGAGTTAGACACGATACTCAAAGTTCTGTCTAGGTGCCGGCATACAGGGTCACATCACCATCAAACGTAGCAAGATCCACTCCACCCGCATTGATCAGGCCCATAAGCTGGGCCGTGTTCAAGATGAGTCGGATGTCATTGAAAGACGGTGGAACAAATCGCCTAGACGAGATGAACCGTTTTCTGTCCTGGTATCTAAATGCATCTGCGAGAGGAAGTCGAGTAAAAAATTCGCCGATAGTTGGTACTAGCAACTTCAGCTTGGATTGACTATGAAGGCCAACTTTCTGGTGCGCAACTAGGAGAAAGGTCAGTATTTCCCGGGGAAATCAGCGATGGTGGAATTACTGTGGTCATCTATCATGTCCTCCACATCTTGCATAATCTCGGCGTACCGTCGGTGAGCTTCTTCAGCCATCTGGGCCACGGTGCCAGTTCGCGACTCGAACACTCCCGTGGGTTGCGAATGTAGCACGAACGGAACGGCCAGCAATCCTTTGATCCATTCTGGTCAATCGTCAGCAAACCGGAGATGGCAGTCTGTGAGCTGTAGGTAGTGGCGGAGAGAGAGTTCAGTGGGGACTTGATCTGAATATCCGTCAAGTGGGAACCCCCACACTTCCTTGAACAGGGGGGGCAGGCGTGGGAGCGTAAGGTACCTATGAATTGATCTCGACGATGGGTCTTAAGGGCGTCTGGTTTCCGTTAGATGGGTTCGAGATCGTCCGGGCCACAGGGGTGGACTTAAATTCAACACGATACCTCGTCGTCATTTTGACTTGGTAGTACAGTAATATCTCGTTCCCGAGCACAGTTTTGATCGGATTCTCAATTCCTTTCTGAACAAATATCCAGGTAGGTAGATGTGGCAAGGTGGGATTACTCCGTAGTTGGTCCTGGATTCTTTCCAACCCCCCGGTTTCGTTCACTGTAGCCAAGCGAAGACGCAGCACCTCGATTAGGAGTACAGAACGACAAAAAGGAAAATGAAAGAAGAAGCAATGTTAACCCGCATAGTAAACTGAAATAACTTGATACTAAAGAATAAGCTCTACGTGTAGAGCACTTTAAAGATACAGAAAGATACTTAGTTGCAAATAAATCAAGGAGACTGTTGTTGAAATCTAATCAAAGAATACGTACCGCAAGCCATTTTTCTAGAGGACGTTAATTTAGGGACTGCGCTATAGAGTGCTATGCTCCATAAGCGTACCTTGGAGAAACGCGGATCGACAAACAAGGAGAGCGACTTCAAGTATGACGCTAAAGTTGATGTTGTTTTGGATAGCGAGAGTTTTACAGTACAAGGTGAGATTCAAGACACATGTCTTTAAAAGGATGGGCCATTACCGAGACTTCACTTTCAAAAAAGCAGTTCTAGGCGCGTCGAGAAGTAACAAAAGCTTCCAGGTTCATTATTGACACCGTTGGTCGAGCCGTGTACTCCAGCTGTATTGCGCAATGTGGTTTTCGATCCCCCTCATCCTTTATCTTCATCTTCATCTTCTACCGTGTGGGTACCTTAGTCTAATTCGAACTTCCCCCTCGCACCTCCAAATTCCATTGTAATTAAATGCAACCTTTGAACAACTGACGATGAAGAGAATCACACCCCACTCTATCCCAACGAGCAAGTCGCAGCAGCAGGTAGTGACTACGCTTTAAGTCATTCGACAAAGTTGCCAAAACACATCTCTGATCACCATGCTTGGGGTGTAAGAAGTCAAGAGAGCAAATTACATGATTTCTCCTCTGCAAGGTTCATCTCGGGTTTGGTTCGCAAAGGCCATGGGTGCGAAGAGAAGTACGTTTTGCTTTCCTTTGAACAATACAATGTTCCCCTGTTGAAGAGGCATTCAGAATCAACGCTGTATTTTCTGGCAGGTACTGACTTCTTTCTCTTTCATCTGAAAAGTCTAGGGGTCTTGCTCCCACGAAATAAGTGGTCATCCCTGGATTCCTTCCTCTGTTTCTCGCTTCTCACATCTGCAATGTTCGAATTCTTTCTGTATGTGAGTATTGAAACGCTATTTCTAACACTCTACGACCATAGAAATTGGTACATTCATAGGCTTCTCGTCGATGGGCTGGGCAGAGGCAGTCGGTCCGGATGGTCATGTGACAAGCCTCGAGTTCCTCCCTGAGTATGCAGCCATTGCCGTAGAATCATTTCCAAAGAATGGTATTAAAATGCAGAAGTAATTGTTGGTGAGGCTCGGGAGTCGTAAGAGCAGCTCTCAGAAGTAGTATACCGGCTGACGGGGTCTCCAGCATCAATAACATAGCAGCCAGAGGAAGAGAACCATACGATCTCATTCTTCATTGATGCGGAAATAAAAAAGAAGCTATCCTGTCTATCTCTCCTCAATTCTAGAGCTCTCTCCTACCGCCTCCAATTTCATATCGTCTTCTCCGCCCTGGTGGTATTATTCTGGCCGTCCTTCGCCGAGGACTTGGTCGCAGAACTTGCTCCAGCGCATCCCTCGTACGAGGACAAGACAGGAGAGAGGAATTGGAGACCGGAGAATATGGAAGCTTTGGAATTTTAAAACAAGGAACTAGTCAATAATCTGCGATTGGAGACCTTTTCGATGCCAGAGCTTGACGGATTGGGAATGGGAAGACTGATCAACTAGGGGGAAGGTAGACATTCGCAGCATCTATTACGATACGCGTTTGTCGCTTGTAATGGCCCCGATCAATAAAGAAGATGGCTGTAACAAATAACAAAGCCTTTTGTGATGCGAACAGCTCTACTCCGTACAGTAGTAACCTACCTAGAGTTTTATTCATTCATCTGCGCGGGCATCCATTCCCCTGATAAAGCGTAAATACCTACCTAGGTACCCCTGGAAGGTCCTGGCTAAGGTAAACCACGCTGAGCAAGCGGCTCGCTTACTTAAGGCGAGGCGCAAGGCTGCAAGTAACATTTCTCAAGAATTCAAATCTCCCTCATCTCTCTCACGAACATCTTGACCACCATCCTTCCGATCTTCAATAGCTTTTCATTGTGATAGTTCTGAGGTGCCATACTCGGAATCCCATCACTGCGGCTTTGAGTCTCGAACGACAGTGATTCTCTGCCCCTTAAAGAGCCTGCGCGTCGCGGAGTTGATCGGCACGAGCTGTTTCGGGGAGTCAAATTCCAGCCGAATCATCAGACTCTCCACGGCGATCAGCTACATCAAAGTCTATTACGAAGATGTCTTATCGTGTTGGTAAGTACTGAACTTCGATATTCATTCCTACATTCTTGTTTATCAATTGCAAACTCAATGCCTGATGCCTGCCCCATCTATTTGGGGCCGCCTCGTTCATCGTCTAGCGGGTTCATCGGAAATTCGATTTGATTATTACTGGCTGATATACTGAGTAGAACTTTCCTCCAGCGGGCGTGCTGGATGCCGCGCTACAGAATGTAAGAAAGCTGGGATCAAGATTGAAAAGAATGAGTTGAGAATGGGAACCTGGGTCACTATTCAAGACAAAGGTTCTTGGCAGTGGAGACACTGGTACGTTCAGATCTCAAGCAACACTTGCTTCTTCGCTTTCACGCACTATGATGAAATCTTCTAGGTAATTTTAGCAAAGCTAATATTTTCTCTAGGGGCTGCGTCTCGGGATATCAGCTCCAAAATTTGCGTGCTTATCTCGAAGATCCAGCAAAGCCTGGTGTGTACCGATGGGACTTTCTTGATGGATATGAAGGCGATGACAAGAATAGTCTTGAAAAGCATCCCGAGGTTCAGGAGAAAGTTCGACGTGTCATTACTCAGGGTTTCATTGATCCAGAAGACTTCAGAGGCGTAAGTTCACGGTCCTAATCAGCCACCTACTACGTACCCGACTTACAGAATATAGGACCCTGAGATGAACAAACTTGGCGAGAAAGGCCTGTACACTTCCGTATCAAAGTCTAAAATGAAGGTAGACGAGGCGAGTAAGAAGGATGAGAAGGCGGAGTCTGACGAAGAGGAGCCAGATAAGAAGGCAGTGAAGAGAAAGCGAGCTACGAAAGCCAAGAAAGAGGAAGATGATGAGGAGGAGGAGAAGCCTGCGAAGAAGTCCCGCACCAAGAAAGTCAAGAAGGAAGAAGATGATGTTGATGAGGAGGATGAAGAGAAGCCCGCTAAGAAGCCTCGTGCTAAAAAAGTCAAGAAGGAAGAAGAAGGTGATGACGAGGACAAGCCCGTAAAAAAGTCTCGTGCCAAGAAAGCCAAGGAAGAAAATGACGATGATGAGGAGGATGAAGAGAAGCCTGCTAAGAAGTCCCGCGCCAAGAAAGTCAAGAAAGAAGAAGCCGATGAGTCTGAGTCAAATAGTGTTGATGGGGTCGTTGAATCCTCAAAGTCCGGTGCAAAGGCTGTAGCAAAGAAGGGCGGTAAGAAGACTGCTAACCAGGAGAATCCTGAAGACACTTCAACTGGTGGTTAGTCTTCTGCTTCTGGCATCACTGGAGAATTGTTGTTTGTGAACCTCCTACTGACCTTGAGATATCTGCAGCTAAAGGAGAACCCTCCGAGACGGGTGAAAATTATATCCCGGGCATCAAGGATTCGGATCTTCAAGACTCATTTAACGCTGCTCTTGATGCTGGTGAGATCGAAGATGATTTCGACGCTTACATCGAGAACAAGAAAGCCGAGCTCGCCAAGCCGCAACCAAAGAAGGGAGCTAAAGGCAAGAAGACGTAAGTCATAATCATTGAACTAGCCATTTCTCAAGTGCTCACAATTATGACAGCGCCGCTCCAAAAGCCGCTGCTTCTCAACGGGCCACCCGCAGCAAAGCCTAATACACTGGACGTATGGTGCTATGAAATGTTAGCATTGCTCACTTCCTTGCTCTCTCTCTATCCACGGATCTCTCAAACAGTCTTCGGATTTTATTCGACTTGGCCAGGTCTGCTTCATCGATGTACAACACAAAAAGTTCTCCACTTCCAACGGCACAGGTGTTCAGGGTTGCTCGCTTTGCCTCAGTTGCCGCGATCCTCTTCTCTAGTCTATCCCGTATGTTTGTTACCTTTCTACAATTGCATTACGAATCAGGGCTCTGGTTTTTGCTATGGGATTATGCCTATAGGGCAGTAATTGCATGTGGAAAGCTGATAAGCGATACTCGTAAGGTATAATTTGTAATATAGCTCTAGCTAGCCCCTTTACTCACAAACATGGTCTGCAAATCCAGGCTGTCGGCTTTCGTCTTGTGAAGTCATGTGGATAGTGTCACGATTTCAGTGTCAACTCATCTCGAGGTCTGATAAAACACTTGCAGGGACCAGGGAATCAGCTCACGTTTTACGTATCTTTTTTGAATACTGAAATGCAATTCATACAACCATAATTTCGCATCCTAATCCCTCTCCGCAATTTCCACAACCTCCTTCAAACTCTTGACCGGCACGCCCTCCACCCAAGCACCTCCCTCCCCGGCCATTCCCCTGCCAACCACCTGACTCTCTCCCTCCAAAAGAACCCACTCATAGAAGCCCTCCCCCTTGACCACCTTCTTCCCCCGTCCCGCCCCAGGACTACGAGAGTCAAGCCCGCCTGGCATATGTTCGAGAACACCGCCCATCCATTCCCAACTGACGCGCAACCGTAGGCCTTTCTTCTGGGATGCGGTGAAATCCTCGAGGGAGAAGGAGAGGTGTTTACTCTTGCCTTGTCCGGTTTGGCCTTGAACTCGACGGAGGACGTGAGGGCGTGTTGTTGCTTCCCATCGCGCTGCTCCTCCGGCGCCGTTTTCTCCCTCGGGGACTTTAGTAGGAGGGGATGCGAATGATCCAGCTAGTGCGCAGGATGTGGCGAAGAGGATGTAGTCGTGGGCTTTGCGCCAGTGATCGACTACCCCTGGAGCCCTGCAGGCCTCGTGCATGAAGGAATCCGCGGGCTCGAGCGTCAGGTTGAAGTTCGTGTTGGCTAGCGGGAAGAGGAGGGTACGGGTTTTCAAGATGATGTTGCATGCCGGGGTGAGGCTTAGGGTGAGCTGCACTTGCAGATGGTCGATGAGAGAGAGGATTGTGGCTTCTGTAGGGGGTAATTTTGAGAGTTGCTCGAGGCGTGAGGGCTTAGTTAGTGTATAAGTTGGAGGTGGGGAGAGTGAGGTCGAGGTAAGGATTGAGCACAGAGGGACAAGCAAGGCATGGATGCTGGAGAGGGTAGATTGATGGTTCACCCGCGAGATCAGAGGGCGGAGCAGGGCATATGGTGGATTGGGACGCTTGTATGCAGAGAGGGGCGCGGGGGTTTGAGTCCGGCGGTGGAAGTTCTGGCGGTGCGCGTAGCTCAATAGGAGATGAAGAGCCAGGGATATACCTTCTGCTATGTAATCATCGCTGCGAGGTGGTGCTGGGCTGTAATCATCTAGAGAAACGAGGTCTAGTATGATAGTCTTGTTAGGGGAGAGTGGACAGGTTATTGTGTCGTCCTTGGAACGAACGCCGAAGGAGGCCAACGTCCGTGCTTCGCGGTTGAGCTCTTGCCAGAGTTCAGTATCGAAGATTGTGTTCCTTGCTTGCTGAATGCGGGCTTCGATTGGGGCGTCGTCGGCAGTAGCTGACGGTACAGTCGAGGAACCGCATTCACCGATGTTGGACTGGATGCGCACTCGGACGTATTGAGGCTCGGCGGTTGCGATACCTTGGTCCAGATATATACTACCGTCTGGCTCTCTTCGGAGAGCGGCTAGACTGCGATTTCTGAATGTCGCTGATGCTGTTGATGGTTAGCACAAAACAGCACTGACGGAAGTGAAAAACAAGACTGGAGAGAGGAAACCGCACCTTCTGAGAACCCAAATCTAACTCCCAATGTCTGCTTCTCATTTGGTAGTCGACAAACAGCCCATCCGTTCTCGCTGACAGCAAGGACCTGCTCCCAATATTTCGTTTCCACCTCGATTTCCTTCTCGAGCCTAGATGCAGATGCCAGAATAGAATCTACAGTCTTGTTAAGGTTTTGGATCTTGAAGCCCTTGGCTACGTGTTTATTGTCTTCCTTCACTGCATCCGTGACCTTTGACGCGTGTATTTTATCCGCTCCCAATGTTCCCAACGGCAGTGTCTCCCGTAGAAATGGCGATATGGTCATGCTGGCTTGAGTCGGTTGATCTTTGGATAGGAGGAGAGACACGAAGTCTAGAGCGAACATTGTATGCTGATGAGCGTATCTGACTCCCTGTTAGTAGCTGAATATCCCGTAACTTGGTAGAACAAACTCTATCTGCGCCAGCATCTCCTCTCGTGCTTTCATCAGCTCCTTCTGTCGATCCGGCTTCTCTTCCTCCTCATCGTCTTCCTCCTCGCTCGTGCCATCATCTTCATCGTCAGCCCCGGCTTCAGCAATCTCTCGCCGCAGACTTTCCTCGTTGGCATTCAGGAACCCGCCCCGTTCGTCTCTGATCCGTTGGATCATGAACGGTAGGGACTTCTTTGGATCCCCCTCCGTCGATGGCCATGACTGGAGGGATATGGGAAACCCGTCTGGAATCGAACTCATTGTGAGTGCTCGAGAGTAACCGGCTTTCACAGGAGTATCCTTCACTGTAGCACTACAGTGGGCCGAAAAGTCGCCGTGCGGTTGACCTGTTTTGCGGGCTTCTCCAATTTTCGGTGATTAATATGACTTCACCCACCCCTGGGGAGTTCCTGCTGGCGTCCAATCAGAGAGAGTGTCGAAGGCGGTTCAATTGTTCAATGGCTGCTGAGCCTTGGAGGTGAGGGCCCTAGAAACCGACTATAAATGCTACTATGGGCTTAAACGGTTTGGCGAGGCTGAGGTTAGACCTCCCGATAAGCTCTGGTACCGTCCAACCCCACCAAACATCCCTCACGTCAACTGCTTTCTTTTTCTCCTGCCACTTTCTCATCCGCATCCTTTCTATTGCTCCCCAAAACCCGCCAATTATTGATTCTGCCAGGGGAGGGTGAGAACTTTTGGTCTTCTCCCTTTCCTTTACCCCTAGCAGTCCTCCTCGAAAGAACTCTTCTTCCCCTCAATCCCGGCGTCATCCAGCAATAATGGTGTCGCAACACCCCCCTCCGCCTCCCGCGGGCAAGAGGCGCCGTATCGCTGTAATGACCAGCGGTGGCGACTCTCCCGGCATGAACGGGGCCACGAGGGCGGTTGTCCGCATGGCAATTGAGAAAGGCTGCGAAGCATATTGTATCTACGAAGGATACGAAGGACTCGTCCAAGGCGGCAAGTTCATACGCAAGATGGAATGGTCGGATGTGCGAGGCTGGCTCTCGGAAGGCGGAACCCTCATCGGTACAGCCAGGTGCATGGCCTTCTACGAACGCCCTGGAAGGCTGAGGGCTGCGAAGAACATGATCTTGAATGGCATTGATGCTCTGGTTATCTGCGGTGGTGATGGTTCATTGACTGGAGCTGATAAGTTCCGCCACGAGTGGCCGGGCTTGGTCGATGAGCTGGTCTCGACGGGCGAGTTAACAACAGAGCAAGTTGAGCCCTACAGACACCTCAACATTGTCGGACTCGTCGGCTCCATCGACAACGACATGTCTGGTACCGACGCTACAATTGGTTGCTTCTCCGCTCTTGGCAGGATCTGTGAGATGGTCGATTATATTGAGGCCACAGCTTCATCACATTCCCGCGCATTTGTCATTGAGGTTATGGGAAGACACTGTGGTTGGTTGGCTCTCATGGCTGGTGTTGCAACCGGTGCGGATTTCGTCTTCATCCCCGAGAAGCCTCGTGCGGACAATTGGAAGGAAGAAATGTGCACAATTGTGGCGCGTGTAAGTTCTCTCCCCTCTTCTTAGAAGGAATCCTCTAATATCTTGTAGCATAGACAACTAGGAAAGCGAAAGACAATCGTCATCGTTGCAGAGGGAGCCCATGATCAGCACGGCAACAAAATTTCCCCAGAACAGATTAAGGATCTCCTTGCAGACAAGAACGGCCTAGCTTTGGATACTCGTATTACAACTCTCGGTCACGTACAGCGTGGAGGTACAGCATGCGCTTACGATCGATACCTCTCAACTTTGCAGGGTGTGGAGGCTGTGAATGCCGTCCTAGACGCAACACCAACAACACCAACTCCTTTCATTGCAATCAATGAGAACAAAATCACCCGGAAACCTCTCGTCCAGGCAGTTGAAGATACAAAGGAAGTTGCTAAAGCTATAGAGGCTCAAGATTTTGACCGAGCAATGAGCTTGCGTGATACCGAGTTCTCCGACTACTACAACTCCTACATGACTACGACTACTACTGATCTCAATGATGCCATGAGACTTCCTTCCAAAAAGGTAAGGCTTGATTGACTTTTTAGAGAGATTTGTTTAACTGATATTCCATAGCACATGCGGATCGCAATTATTCACGTTGGCGCTCCAGCTGGTGGTGTGAACGCAGCTACAAGAGCAGCAGTTGCTTACTGTCTCACCCGCGGTCATACCCCTCTTGCTATTCATAATGGCTTTGCTGGCTTTGCACGACACCACGGTGACAAGCCCCTCGGTGCAGTCAGACCTTTTGACTGGTTGGAAGTTGATGGCTGGGCAAGTAAAGGAGGTTCCGAGATTGGCATGAATCGTGAACTTCCCTCCGAATCTGGATTGGATCACATTGCCAAACTCTTTGAATTATACAAATTCGATGGACTCTTTATCATTGGGGGCTTTGAAGGATTCCACGCCCTCTCAGAGCTCCGAAAAGCCAGAGAGCAATACCCTGCTTTCTGCATACCCATGACTCTGTTGCCCGCCACGATCTCAAATAATGTTCCAGGGACCGAATACTCTATTGGCTCTGACACCTGTCTTAATGAACTCGTTCGCTACTGCGATACAATTAAGCAATCTGCGTCTGCTTCCCGGCGCCGCGTTTTCGTTATCGAAACCCAGGGTGGGCGCTCTGGTTACATTGCAACCCTCGCAGGTTTATCTGTTGGTGCTGTGGCCGTCTATACTCCGGAAGAAGGAATCAGCATTGAAATGCTCGCGGCAGATATCAAGCACTTGAAAGAAGTCTTTGCCCAAGACTCTGGGCAATCACGAGCCGGTCGTCTCATCCTTATCAACGAGAAGGCTTCAAAGGTCTACAATGCCAAATTGATTGCTGACATGATCCGCGAGGAGGCCAGAGATCGTTTCGAATCACGAGACAGCATCCCTGGACACGTACAACAAGGCGGTACTCCTTCGCCGATGGACCGGACTCGTGCTGTCAGGCTTGCTATTAAATGCATCGAACATCTGGAGAGCTTTGAAGACAGAAGTGCCGACAAGATCATGACTGATCCGATGAGCAGTACGGTGATTGGAATCAAGGGCGCAAGCGTGGTGTTCAGCCCAATGAAAGATGTGGAGGAAAATGAAACGGATTGGGCAAACCGGAGACCAAAACACGAATTCTGGATGCCCTTGAAGCACACTGTCGATGTTCTGAGCGGCAGACCTGACGTTCCACGACCTGAAAGCCCCCTGACGGGCTGGAAGGCAAAGGATAAGAAGAGAGGTCTGATCTAGATCTCAGGGGCGGTTAAGTGATTGGATGGTGGATTGGATAAAACGAACATACATATCTTAGATTATTCGATACATTTCTACAGTTAAAAATTCTCAGTATCACCAAGCAACTCAATCCTCTTCATAATGGAGGTGATAATCCAAGTTAACTTGAAGATAATGCTATTGTGCCTTGAATAGAGTATCTTCTCCCAATAATGTTCCCGGGCTCACTTTCACTATTACAGTCCTCACTTGTGTAAGGCGTCTCAAAAATGTTGCTATTGACTCAAGTCGATAAGCAAATGCGATGTGCAGCGAAACTTCTCACGACGAGGTCGGGCTGTATTCAAACATCAGTTAAGTATACTATTCGTGTTCGTTAGGATATATCGAGGTACGTTAGATAGGGCATGAATGAATAATGTTCGTTGGTTTTCTCTATGGGGACTTAAGGGATTTTGGATAGAGGAGATGGTTTGTTATGTGATACGCCTAATATGAGGTTCTGATATAGAGTTTTAAGGTATGATGCAAGTGAGAAGGCTCGTCATGCTCATCTGCAATAAGAGAAAAGAGCTTAGACATCGAAACATTGTATTAGTTTGGGAAATAGTTCCACAATTAGTACATAAAGTCATCTTCTGTATCAGAATCTTTCTCAAGTGAAGCGTCTATCTTTCTTGCCAGCGGCCCTGTGCCTAACTCCCCTCTCCTTCCCCTTTTACGTATAAACACCCATCCCATAACGCCAGTCAAGGCTTGCTTTGGGGATGCTTTTCGTGCTTCCAAGTCCAAATTACGAAAACCCCACGTCGAATAGCGCAGATGCGCGCCGCCGAATTCTCCCTACGCTTCACCATATCCTACTTCGGATCCACAGTCTTATGAATGCGCGCCATCAACGGCCCGAACTGCTTGTCCGCGACTTCTTTCCCGACAGCCGAGTCAACCTTGATATCATAGAGGTGATCCGTTGCTCTCTCGGGGTTCAGTTCATAGTAACCTTTCTTCCTGCCCATCTCGCAGCGGCGCATGAGGCGCTTCGGGATACTGCCATTTTCATCATTCTCTCGTGCTTCTTCTGCATCGGTTGGTTCTTTGCCGGGGCACTGGCGATCAATTTTGTCTCCTGTTTTGAGTTCGTAGGATAGGGGGGGATTCTGACGTGAGGGTGTGGTGAGAGGGATGGGTTGGCGGGGGGATAGATAGCTTTTTGTGCTGGATTGGATGGTGAGAGATGACGTTTCGCGGTTGTTGATCGATCGGGCGTGGTTTGCGGACCCAATGCAGCTGCAAGTGAGATGCCCTTGGCTTGGTGGATCGAAGCTACGTGGGGGAGTTCTGGAGCCAGCGATGTTGGGTGCAGCCATTCTGAGGTCAGCGCAGGGATCAATGGTTGTGATGGAGCTGGTGGAGGCGGGAGGGATGCAGAGAGGTGTGACAATAATCTGTAATATAGAAACAGTAAGTAGTGCGCCTAGTGTTTTCATGCTTGTCCTTTTGTGTTTTAATTTTGGATCCTGGATAGATGGGAGTCAAGATTAGAGAGAGTCAATAGTTTGGAAAGCTGTACAGATAAAAAATGGGTTATTTTGAAAGAGAGGAATATCAATCTGTCCTTGAATACTATCAGATTGTGTCATTAAGAACGGACTGGGTGCGCGCCCTAATCCAAGTCCGGTTTGCCTATCCTTCAAGGTGCGAGACTTCCCTTGTGGCTATCTCGTCGGATGATCTGAGATCCAATTGTTTATCCCCTTCCTATCAACGATAGAAATCTGTAGCCAGGAACAAAATTTCGTCGATTTCGAAAAACGTGCAGAAGCTAATATGCACATGTCAGATATGAAGAAACGCGAGATAATTAAGACGACAAGTACACGAAAGTCAACCGCAGAGAATTATGCAGATGGCAGCATCAGGTGAAAATTGCAGAGCTGGAGACCGAGTAGTTCCACAAGGACAACTAGACTGCAGATGCATGTCAAGAATGGAGTATTGCTTGGTCTATAACGGGAGTACAAATTGAAAAAGGGGGACCTCTCTGAAGCGACTTTACGAATAAAATCAAGGTTTATGAAAATACAGATCAAATCAATATTACTGCCAATCCAAAATCATTCGAGCAAAGACTGTGTCACGGCTAGAGTTCCTGTCAACCAGATAATTCTTTTAACAGTGTCCCGACTTAAAGGGTCCTGTCGATTGAAGAAGTAACGGTCACCAGTACCAAAAGGAAGAGTGCACGAAAAACGAGGAGAAAAGCCAAAGCAGGGCATGCATATAGATGAGACAAAAACGATTAGGTACGGGCATATATGGGTGGATATGCGGATTTCCGTTTCATCAGGACCCGGGATTCGAGAGATACCTCAATTTAATCAGAGAAATAACATGCGCAAATATGAGGGGGCAGGCGCTTCATTCTCTTTCTTCTCACAATAAGGGCCATTTGAAATACACGATGTCCTGATATCACTGACACTTGTCAGTTTCTTTTTGGGGCTTTTTATGCTACAGATCATCAAAGGATACAAGAGACAAGAGAAGAGAGAAGAGAGAGCACGCTGAATCTTGTGTGATACGTCACGTGAGACGCCCCGCCGGACTTCAAGCTTTTCATAGGGCAAAGCACCTACGGAGCATTCGTGCTTCCATCGTTCATCTTTCATCTTTCATCGCTCACCAGAGTCTTGCTCACAATCATTGCTCGCCCTTAGATTAGCGTCTCTCCCTATCAGCTGTATCGCCTGCCTTGACTAACCATGTTGCTCACAGCATCGAACTCTCCTACCGCCGGACTACTGGCGCTTCGTTGTCCTGGAGAGAAGCATAGCTGCGTCCTTCTAGTCAAGTATCTCAAGAGGATGGCAGAGTTTATCAATTCTGAAAAAGAGGTAACGCGGCCTGGATGAAGGTTGGTCAGATTTATTGCGAGGCTGTTCGACGCAGGTGGTCTGCGCCTGGCCACGTGATATAAGGCGTCCATGTACATTCACTCCTTCTCTTGTTTACCGTTTGCATGTTTGCTACAGCCGACAACCTCGAGTCTCCGAGTCTCCGAGTCATCGAACCTTTTTCTCTTTGTGTAGGACTTTAGTTTCTAGTCTTAATCAGTTCCCGCCTTTACTTCTCCTGGTTGCGAAGTCTACATCTGCAGCTCTTCGACTTGATGCGTTTGTTCGTCCTTTGAATGGTAGCATCAGCCTCCTTCCTCTCTATTCGAAGTCCACATCCAGTCTGGTCTTAAGTCATTGAGACTTCTCGTTCATTTTGGACTATCCTACCAAACAGAACTGGCCAGAAGCCACAGTCGTTTCTCAGCTTCTTTCTGCGAGACAGGATCAACAAGATCGACTGAGAAGTACAATAACGTCCAACTTCCGTTTATGAAGTCGCCATTTCAAGACCCCAATTTGGTGTAAAAAACAGTACCAACGAGTTCTTGTTGTCATCCGCTCCGTCTTGAGGAGATGACTACCTCTTCTGCCCCTCCGTCGATGTTGGAGTCTGTGTTCAACCACATCGCGCTCCCTCCTCTTCTTCCCAGCAAACAAGAGACTAACCTCGACAAAATTGAACTTGTTCTGGCACAGAAGCTACTGGATGCCAGCCGTACACTGAGAGATTCTACCAACGAACGATTCGGATCCGAATGGGACTCTGTTCGCCGTTCGCTCGAGACTTGCATCCTTCTGAATACTGGCGGCCGACTCAGTCAGACTTCTCTCTTAGCTGCATTTCGAGAAATTGACGTAAACGGGCTTCTCATCCTTCACGTTACGGAACAGAATGCAGGCATACTGATTCGACACGACATCAAGTAAGTGATCCAAGCCTCGATACAGGCACAAATATGACTGGCATACTACTCTGCCCTCAGTGGAAATGGCGAGAAGGTCATCTTATTCGAAGCCTTTGAAGTATCTCCACGCTCAGAAGATGTCCTCGCTTCACAGAACGCCTTGCAGTGGGACTTTCCAGGATGTGCGGTCACAGTTTCTCTTCCTACTTTCAACGACCCTTCCTTCCAGCTCGAGCTTGCTATTTTCCTCGAGCGAGCAAGTACGGAATCCATAAAGCGTTTTGCAGCTCGCGCAAACAAGGCCGGAATATCTGCGGTCGAGAGCCGGAACACTGTCGATCCTTCTGTTGTAACACAGATTCTAATGTCTATACTCGAGGTTCATGGCTCCCGAGTCTTCCCTCCGCTACTGAGAAAGCGTGTGCGAGACGATGTCTGTTGGTTCGATGGGGAGAAACCTTGGCGCAGATCGGCATTCTGGCTTCTGCTACGTGTAGGGGTTCAGAGATATCTATCCTCAACCCTGGGCCGTGACCTCGGACGACTGCATTACAAGTTTCTCATGTGCATTGTGCTTGTGCGTTTAATGAACGGCTGTATGGGCATTCTAAATACCGAATTAGTGGTATTTTTAAAGGCAAAGCTATGTCGACGTCTCGTCAAGCTCGAAGTGGAACGAGACAGAGTCCCTCCCAACCTACGAAACGCCTTTGAATACCTGTCTACCGCACTTGAACCGCATCTAACCAAGTCAATAACTTCTGTTACTGAAAGAGTAGATATATCCTGGGCCAATTTCAAGAAGACAATACTGCGTCCTGTCCTTCCTCTTCCACGTCGTGCGAATCTACGCCATTTGTGTCTGACGCTTCCGAACAGCAGACCCTACTTGCAGCAAATCCTGACGGAACCATTATTCAGATACAATGGACCCCAGTTCACTGCATCATTTACCCTGCCGCTGGATTATCAAGTCTCAGCAGCTACAGCCAAAAAAAGCATAGCCTTTGCCCATCGTTATCTCTCGCTCGCGAAGACTGAGACAGAAATTGAACTTAGCCATACGCCTACACCAGACTCGGGCAGCTCCTGTGAACGACGTTGCGTGAGTCTTTCGCAGAAGATAGAGGAATACTTGAATAACACTGCCGGTTCATATGAGTCCGATCCGGAACAGCAAAGCATCATGATTCTTACGGTCATGGAGCTATGGATGTCAATGGACCAATGTGCTACCAAGCTCTACACATTGTTGATGGACTATAACCCGGGGTTTCCCTCAAATATCTTGGATGTTTTGCAGTTACCCCGCTTCCAGGATATGTGCCGACTAAAAAAGATTCGTGACTATCTCAAACATAGGCATGCAAAGTGCTATGGTTCTCGGACTACCATTTTTATAGATCCAGAGAGAGGGTGTTTTGCTGAGCGGTATTTCGATGAATCACCCGACTCGGAAAGCCTACAAGGACTTCTAAAACGTATTGAAATGGCGGCTCAACTGGAGCGTACTCGAAAAGAGCAGGAATGGCAGAGATTGTCTTTGGAATATGAAAACCTCATCAAGAGCATCGCTGAGAGCGCCTGTGTCTATTACACCGACGAAAAACACCAGACCAGGCTCCATGATGATCGCCAATGCACAAAATGTTTCCTCCAGCGCAAGGCCAATCGATTTAGGATCAAGGCTCACGAACATCCTCTTCCTTCCAACACAGTCCAAGCAAAGACCGTAGTTTTTGAATTGGCCTGCCCAAAGGCATTCACCGCGTACCGCGAGGCAACGTGGCAAATCCTGGGCACACTGGCTTTTCCAGCTCAAATGGAAGTTCTCGATCCTAAGATTCTCTTGAAAGACTACTCAGAGCTCCGGGGGTACGTGAGTCCAAATTCAAGTAGCTTTTCTCTCGCATCTACTACAAAGTCCTTTTTAATGACCCATTACGCCAATCCACGATTTCCGGTCCAGTTAGGCGACGTCTGCCTCACAAATGGTTTAAGATTTGGTTACTTCGACGTCCATCTCAATGTGTGGCCATCTCGACAGGACAAAAAGCCCAGTTTTGCCCATCGTTGCCAGTCTATTATTCCCGCAAACTCTCCTTTTTCGTCCTTGAACCTTTCCTCCGAGTTCTCTATAGATGCAAATGGTCCGTCTTCCTATGAAATTATCGCAAGCCAGACTAAGTGTCCTTCTGGGCTGAATGTTCATGAGTTCATGGCATACCAAACACTCTGTTCAGGCAAAAGTCGTCGATGGCCTCAAATTCTTGTTGAACTTGGCTCGTCCAACCTCAACTTCAGTACAGAGGCCACAACTTTCCTAATGTCTCAACTTGCATTACAGGTTGGACCAGCATACAAAGATGAGCCTCTTGGTAAGGTGCATAGAATCTTTCGGGACGAATCTTTTTCGAGACGACTTGTGGACCAGCTCGGACAGCGTCTGGAGAGTGTGTCTTCCAACTGGAGAGAAACAAACTGTATGGAGACGTTGATAACTTTAATCCTCAGATTGTTCTCTCTCAGCACTACTATCTGCGACGAAGCAGTCAAACTGCTGGAAAAGGCTCGAAATATAACCTCCAAATGGATAAACATTTTACGATCAGAGATTCAGAATGCAACAGATGCTGAAACTTCGAGAAGATGTTCCAGGTACGCATTCTGGGCTGCACTTCTCTGTAGACGGACATTCGCCATTTACGCCGACGGAAATAAGAGTTTGGAACCCGAAAATCTCGAATCTTTTATCGTGTGTTCGATCGCTTTGCAAGATAACTTAGTCGGTGATCCTGATACACTGCCTCCTCTTCTTAAAAACTCTTTCGTTCGTGATCTTAAGCTGGTCTACCAGCTGCGAAACACTCTCCGTCATTCCTTTGAGACGAACCCGGATAGCCTATTGCCGTCCATCGCCACTGTCTGGCCTAGCATTGAAGGCGACTCCTCCAGATCTGTCTCACAGATCACCTTTCTTTCAGAGCCACATCTTTGGTGGGTTGAGATCGTTGTCAACCCGACTCTGCAAACCAAGCAACAGACTGTCCATTTTCACTTACTGGAAGGACATTTGCTTATCATGGGCCAACCGGTTGGTAAATTACCAGAGGAATACAGAACGGCGGTCGTTTTGAAGCAGCTCTTTGGTAACCAGAGCTTGCTGACATATCCTTCATCTCTTCCCGGTATGGCCTATATGCTTTCTTTTGTACAATTGGGACATGAGATACACCTCGGATTTCGGAATGGAAATATCATCGTCAGGGCGCGGCTGCCTCAGACAATTCTTGAGCTTGTACCCTCTCATATATTTAGAGGATCGACCAGTTTCGATCTACCTACACCATTAGTCGAGAACTGCGTCCACTGGCTTGACCTCAATACCCAAATTATTGAGATTAGACAACAACCTGATATCTGGAGGCCCAAGAAAAGTAATTGGCTTCTCAATATGAACACAGGCCAGGCAACACGCCGAACAGTCACTCTGGTAGACCCTCAGAGCCCATTGTTCCAGCGTGTCGCGCGAATTTTCGACCATTTTGAATACCGTCACAACTTGACAGTGTTCCAGCCAGCAACAAGAGGTTTGTCAGTTGAGTTGCGCCGCTTAGAGCTATCATTCTTTGTAAATAGAAGAAACTTACTGGAGTCAACGCAATTACGGTCGGAAATCGATCCTGATCAGGACGCAGGCACATGGTATGGACTCAACTCGAAGCTCGTATTGAGAGAGCTCGACAAATTGGGGGAGCCAACCACTCAGCGTCAAAGAAGTATTATTGTGCCCATGGGTGTTATAACCTACAGGCGCAATGGGCAACATGTGGCGGTTGATGCAGCTAACAACGGCGATTATGGGAGATTCACGATCAATGAAGTGTTAGGACGTCTCGACTGCCCGGCTGAACCACGACTTTTGTATCTGAAAGCTCAGTTCCATGCGTACACATCTTTCACCTTGCCCGACCCACTCACGGGCCGGACAGGAACCGAAGAGGCTTTACATTGCCTCAGATCAGGATACTGCCAACCTTGGACCGCTCTCACTGTCGGGCCTACACAAAGCTTACTTGCACTTGCAAAACTCACTCCGCGAAGAGAGTATTACCCTCGTGATCTCAAGGTGATGCAAAAGCCTTTCTGGGACCCTCACCTGACCACCACTATTCAAAGCGACGCACTCAGAACCGCTGTCGAAACGATATGTATAAAATCAAGACAACTTTCCATATTTTCCACACAGAAGATTGAGAGTCTCCAACTTGGCCCTGGCGGTGAATACCATTTGACTTTACGTAGCCATGTACGGCGGCAGGCTTATCAGCGACCAAGCGTCGATTCTGATGTATTACAAGCTGTCCCAGATGTAGAATACATCGCACGGGACCGGTACCAGGCTAGCCAAGAACGATCGAACGTGTTTAAATGCACAAGCATAATTCGAGATTGGCCTTCGAGACTGTATACGACTACAGATTTGGTTGGAATTCTTCAAACTTGGCCTAACATTGGAGGATATCATGGCTCTTTTGAAAAGATTCTTCTGAGCGATCTCCTTGACGTGGATTTCCCACTTGAGTGGGGCTCCCTGGTCAATCTTTGTCGCAAATCCAGCTTCACGGATAGGCATCGACTTATCTTTCTCTTTGCAATAATGTCATTCCGTCGTGATGCTGATATGAGCGTCCTGAGTACCTTGATTGGTTTCTGTGTGCTTGAAGATTTGAAGCAGCTCGAGCCGCCGAAGTGGCCATCCTATATCCAGTTCCGTCAAAATCAGGCGCCGCAAGTTGATTATCTCCTGCAACTGACCAGACCTTGCTTGATTCCATATGGTGAGGACGAAAGAGCCATCTTTGGGTTCAACCTCAGCTCGAAACAACGCAGACAACTTGAAGCAGCAGAGCGGGCACATGAAAAGAAGCAGGAAAATGATTCAAAAGCTCTTGCTAGATTTCTCTTGGATCAATGGCCATGCATTGAACCTAGTATCGATGGTCTTATCGTATCCGAACCCACCATAGATATTTCGCAAGCATTGGGAATCATTCTTCCAGAATGGCAACGTTTGTTCCAAAATCTGGATCTCACGCGGCATATTGCTCAGGTACAGGGTGTTTTAGATCAACACCATTGCGAGGATAGGATGAGCCCACCGACCGCTGAGGTCAAAGAGCAAGAGGTATTACCTACACGACTCCGTGGAGGAGAATTCCCAACACTACCGCAATATCTTCTGGGTAAGACCGCTTTGAAGGTGGTTCAAGCCGATTACGAAGATCCCTGGCAATCAACAGTCGCGGTGAATGGAGACGAAACGACTGTTAGTAACATGTCACAGAATGCTCCTGGCGCAGAGTTCACCACACCGCTGTTGTCTACTGAGATTCTAGATCTTCAGAGTATAATTGGCGGAATTAGAGATTTGAAGTCTAGAGTTAGACAACAATATGGGACAGATCTCATGCAAAGTCTTGGCGCATTGCAGACATCCAAGAATGCACTAAAGAAGCAGGTAAAACCGGTGGATATGGCTCAACTACCTGCTGAAATCGCCAATGCTCGATTGAGAGTTCGGGCTCACTTCGACCAACTTTGTAAGGCTTTCGAGAAAGATGACTCCGGTGTCCAATGGCTACAACAAGGCGGTCTTTGGCCCATTATAACGCCAGTCACACTCCTTGAAAATTTGCGCTCAACTTCAGATTGCATCTTTGGAACAGGTATGAAGGAGGCACTTGTTCATTACGCCTTGTCTGTGACAGCCTTACAACGTCTACTTAGAATTTATGATGCTCATCAAGGAGGAAAACCGCAGAGACTTATCGAGGAACAAGAGAATGTCGGGCATAGCAATTGGAAACCGTTGGATCATCCTGATTGGCTCCTGCTCGAGATTGATTCGAACATGTTGATCCGACCTGGACAGGTTGATGTCGCGCTTGCCACTATTTCTCCTGCTTCCAGATCAAACTCGGTGTTACAAATGAACATGGGGCAAGGTTAGTTTCCTCCTAATCTCGGGCATACTGACAGCAATTGATGAAAATATATCAACTTGCAGATGCTAACACAAACTTTGCAGGTAAAACATCCTGTATTATGCCAATGGCTGCTGCCGAACTGGCTGATGGTGCAAGTTTGCTGCGAGTTGTTGTCCCTAAGCCTTTGCTATTGCAGACAGCTCAATTGTTGCATGGACGGCTTGGAGGCCTCGTTGGCCGGGAACTACGGCACGTTCCATTCTCACGAAAGACACCTACGAATTCAGATACAATCAAGGCATTCTACAATATACATCGAGAGATCCAAAAATCGTCGGGCATCTTGCTAGCTCTTCCCGAACATTTGCTCTCTTTCATGCTATCAGGCTTACAACGACTTTCAGATGGGCATATCAATGAAGCGAGTAGCATGATCAAGGTTCAAAACTTTTTAAACAGAACATCAAGAGATATTTTGGACGAATGCGATAATATCCTGGCGTTGAGAACACAACTCATATATCCATCCGGCTCACAAAAGATCGTTGATGGTCATCCTCATCGTTGGGAAACTGCCCAGATATTATTGGGCCGTGTTGATGGACATCTGTTCAACTTGCAAAAGGTATTTCCTCAGAGCGTTGAGGTAATTCGCCGCCCTCAAGGCGGATTTCCAGTTGTCTTCTTCCTCCGTAAGGATGTCGAAGATACTCTAATTGCACGATTAGTGGATGACATCTTCCGCGGTCGGACAACTCTTCTACCAGAATGCAATAAACCAGATCGCCTTGTAATCAAGCAATTCATCTCGGAACCGAAAGTCTCGTCCGAGGTTGCACAGCGAATATCCGAAATATTCCCAGACAAGCCAGCCGCGAGACAGACCATCCATCTGTTGAGAGGGTTACTTGTACACCGGATCCTTCTCATGGCCTTGAAGAAGCGCTGGAATGTACAATATGGATTGCATCCTGGGAGGGATCCACTCTCTGTTCCATTCTTGGCTAAAGGAACTCCGAGTGATCAAGCTGAGTGGGGTCATCCTGATGTAGCAATTCTTTTCACATGTCTCTCCTTCTATTACGATGGTCTCAGTGTTGCTCAACTACGTCAAAGTCTCGAACATGTTTTGAAGTCTGACGATCCATCCCAAACCTACGATCGGTTTTCCCAGAATTCGGACCTTCCGGATTCTTTGAGGGATTGGAACGCAATCAACGTCGACGACGAAGCCCAGTTGAAAGAGATTTGGCAGCACGTCCGCTATAACGTCATGGCAGTAGATTACTTTTTAAATAATTTTGTCTTTCCAAGGCATGCTAAACAATTTCACATGAAGTTGCAGGCATCAGGTTGGGATATTCCTCTTTTCTCAACCGGCGATCAATCTGCGAAGTCGGTGGGTACGTTGACAACGGGTTTTAGTGGCACAAATGACTGGAAAGAAATGTTACCTTTGACAATCAGTCAGCGTGATCTCCCAAGACTATCACACACAAATGCGGAGGTCTTAACTTATTTGCTTCAACCCCGGAATCGAACTTACGTGCTTGCCGCAGATCATCGTGGCAGGCACTTATCAGAGCTGGATTTACTCCGCAAAATCACCAAAATGAATATCAGAGTATTGATCGATGCAGGGGCCCAGATTTTGGAAATGGACAACGGTAGTTTAGCCAAAGCCTGGCTTGCTATATTCGGCACAGCCCCTGCGGTTGTATATTTCAAAGAAGACAATAAACCGTGGGTGAGATATCGACAGGGTCATGAAATTCCTCTTCTAGCGTCTCCCTTTGTCGATGACCTGGGTGATTGTCTTGTCTACCTTGATGAGGCTCATACTCGAGGCACGGATTTGAAGATGCCTGTAAAGGCCCGTGGTGCCCTGACACTCGGACTGGGGCAGACAAAGGACAATACTGTTCAAGGTTCGTGCTTAATTTACTATTACTTTGATTCAGTGACAACACAAAACTATGCAACAGTTCCCCATCCCATACTCTGAATCAGGACTGACATTTACTCGGCAGCTGCCATGAGGCTTCGCCAGTTGGGCACTACACAGGCTGTTGTTTTCTTAGCCCCTCCTGAGGTGCACCAGAGTATTATTGATCTACAGAAGAAGAAGTCGGGCGATACCATCGATTCTCCTGATGTGATATGCTGGCTTTTAGAGCAGACATGTAGCGGCATTGAGCAGTTACAACCACTATACTACTCTCAGGGGGTTGACTTCTGCCGTCGTGCGCAAGCTGCTGTGAATTATTCGGATTTTCTCGAGGATGCTGATCAACGCCAATCTTATCTTAGACGTCTGAGGCAAATTGAACAACAGACGCTTGAGCAACTCTACGGGCTTAACCAGAAAGTTAAACCCACCGTGGATCTCGAGACATTGTCTCCAGAAATAGCTCGATTCATGAAGGATTTAACTGCCCGGCGAAGAGGCTTTCAGGACACTGGTGATGCCGTCCACTCTTCTGCGCTACAAGAAGTCGAGCAAGAAAGAGAAGTTGCATATGAAGTCGAAAATGTTCGGGAGCTTGAAAAACCTCTTCATTATACACCCTTTTCCTTCCCAGGTCTTCATAAGGATATCATCAGCTATATGGAAACTGGTAGGCTTGCTGCAGATTCCGGAGGGTATGAGCAGGCATTTGTGGCTTTGCAACGAACCCAGATGGGCCAGAAATTTGGCATTCGCAGCGATGCCACTTCTTGTAGATTGTACGTATCAGCTGAATTTTCGAAGACGGTCAAGCTGCCACTGGGTCGTCCTTATGATAATTTCCAGGTAAGTCATCCAATTAGTGGGCTTTTGCGACTATCTTGTTGATATTCTATAGCGTCACGTCAATTGGATCATATGGAGCTCTATCACCGAAACAGCCTTGATCATCATTCCTGAAGAAGCTGAACAGTTGCTAGCTATCGTCTTTGATGCTGATACGTCTCCTACGCATTTACTGACATACGCCGCTCCAGTTACGCGAAAGATGCTTCAATTCAATGATTTTAAATTCTACGCTGTTCCGAGTCTGCCAACTGGATGGGAGGCTCCAATGTGGCTCAGAGTTGAGTTAGGTATTTTTGCAGGACGCCTTTACTTTGAGTACTTTGAGTACAATGATTTGTGTGAGTATTTTGGGGCCAATGGAGCTACAGCAGGAGTCCAAGAAGATGTGGATGAACTTACTTCCACCACAATATCTGGGGTGGATGGGATAATTGATGGCTCTGTGGATGATGAGATGGAATCTGGAGTTACAGCCCCGGAGTTGACAGTTTTCACCAAGAGACCTCTGACGTTCCTACAAGAATGGTTGGCTGTTCGGCGTAAAGGACAAGATTTTTCGCACACACCGATGGGCCACGTCTGTCAAGGGAAGCCGCTCTTGGAAAGTCACCCATTCTTCGTGAAATCCGACAACTCCCGGAAGAAAGTCACTTACTTGAAGAAAGAGAGAGGAAGAAATAGAGATGAAGAGGAAGTCAGTGAAGACCTGTATGATGAGTATGAACAAGGTGATGATGAAATTGGGTTCAACGAGAAAGATGGTTTTGATGATAGTCAATTACTTGACGATGAGTTAGTCAATTAGCATCCTATTAGCTGTAGCCAATGACAAGATGTATAGTATCATTGTACCCATGCAGCCGGCTGACTTTTATCAAGTGTCGTCTGCTTCTACCTTACCTTAGGTATCGGGCCATATCTTTAACGAACACGACCATTGATATTTACGTGAAGGCGTCTGTTCAATTAGGCTGACAGCCTTGTCTTGCGTTGATGGAGAAGGCGTTGTTCTTTTTTCCCCAGTTGGATATATTGAGTCTACATTCTAGAGGAGCCAAAGGACCCCAGGTACATAGAATTCTAGCCATAGCTGAGGCCTTATTATCACAAGATAACATATTTCAAGCCTACATATTATGCTCCGAAATCCTCGACTGGTGTAGTAAGGTTAAGGGTCCCAAGTCTGTGGCGTAGGCTTAGCTGTGGACTAGTAATTGCAAGAACTTTGTGTTCTGCGTCAAATTGCAAGGACGCGGAGAAAGCTGAAGAATGAGGAGACGTAAACTGAGGTTGTAGAGTTAAGAAGTTAGTGATGGTTCGAAACATATCTGAATAAGGGCATGTTGGAATGGAGATACCGGCACGCCCGCAAACCTCTACCCCTTAACAATTCAGATCCTCCTGGTTAATTTGATGGTAGTTACTTGAAGTACATGTTGTGGTTTACTGATAGATTAGAGTAAAATTTCAGTGCTATCTTTCAATGTTCGAAGAGTGATGAGACTCAACTAAGTTGTTCCTTGTTAGGGCAGTGACTTTCCTTCCCCATTCCAAAATGAACACTGGAGGGATTGCTACCTCGGCTCACCAACTTTCCCATCCAAACTCTTCCTGTCAATTATCATCAAATTTTGGCTGGTTCAGCTCCATATACCTATTTCAATCTCTCTTCTTCTAGGTCGGTCCAAGGATCTCTGTGGTTCTCCTTCCAGGACTTCCATTTCCGTGGGGTGTTCTCTCTAGCTAACTCTGGGACCCTGACGTAGGTTTTCGGGCGGCAGCTCCAGCACCGAGGACAACCCTATCATCTATCACACCTTCAGACTGTTGCGCCTGTCGTTCCACCACAAGCCAGTTATCTCAAACATCATGAATCATGCCGGCGTTGCCCGCCTCGATATACAGGAACTCAACGATGTTGGCAAAAGAGCGTACAATAGTATAATTTCAGCAATCCCAACACTAGACAGGAACTCCATAGGTTATTCCGACATGTTTCAACTCCTCTACGGAAATTACCACCTCATGATACTTGCCACGCCCAGGACCAGCCTCACTTACCGATTCGGCGCCTTCGACACAGGAGTTGAATTCCTAGCTCTGCATGCCCCTGCAGCAATAGTTGATAATCAAGGTCTCTTCCTTAAACACTACTGGAGAATCCCACTTGGAGCCGTCATGGTGGAGGATTATATCAACTGGGGAGACATACCACCACAACTAGGCTTTCGACCTAAATCAGATTGGATATGCCATCGCAAGGTTAGCCTGTTAGGCTTTGATCTTCGGCCACGCAACCTTGAACCTATGACCTGCCTCATTGTCTACAATCATCTAACACGATCTGGAGTGGTTGTTGTGCCTATTGGCCCGACAAGCTTCCAACCTGTGCCTCTCCAGCAGAATACGTTGACACCCGAGACTGAGAGAGCGGTCATTAGTGGGCGAGCAGCTGTACCGAGCATAGAAGGTATAGACAATTCAGGCTCAGCTGTTGCCACCTCTACCGTGATCTCCGTCGAGACCTCAGGTCCCTCCACGATCACTACTGTCGGAGCAACTACAATTGTTGGCCTTAGAGAAGCACTTTGTGTGACAGGTCCTTCAAGAATAACTCTTCCGTATGACCAAGAGAGTGATAGAGAAACTAACGGCACTAATGGTACTAACGGTATAAACCGTATAATGAATGGCACGATCAACGGCACGAGCAATGGTACGAGGCGACGCAATAGCTGAGAGAAAGGATATTACTGGAAATGTATGACTTTTTGAGGGGCTTCTTGGGACGTAATAGATTGTAACACCTAACTTCAATAGCTCATAGCAGGAAAGACGAAGAGACGGATCATAGCATGATACTTTGTACTTGTATCTATTAGTCTCAAGAATCAAACAGCTCCCACGACTTGGCAGAAGGAAAGCAGCACCTAACAGTTGTGCTTTTAACACCATTAGGTCTCATCCATGAAATACTTCCTATTTAAACAATGAAACAAATCAAACATCTTGATTCTTTAGTTTCAATTGCATCAAATAATGACTTCTAAATATTTTGGAAATCCTGGGATTCTCAGTGTTGATATGAATATCCTATACCATGTATTTTGCTTGCTATCAACTACGCAGAATTTAACTTCTTCACCTTCCCTATTCCCTTTTCCAGAAACCCCTTTTCAACATCCCAATCCAATAGTATCACGTGATACCCCTTTAAGGGGTTACTCACGTGATAAGAACGACGACAGGTGCGAGATACAAAACAATCTACACAATTGTTCGTGCATCAACTGCGAGCTCGTTAAGGGTGAGACGGACCACTTGGCCAAGGCTATCGCGGTTGAATAAGCTTCTTTCTCTTCTGGCCCCCCTGGACTCTAGCATGGACCGTCCATGGAGATTCTAGGCTTCTGGACACCTGGACCCCTGGACTCGGTCCTTTGTTGCACGTCGCATCCGTGACAAGCGTGGGAGTGACAACGTGGGTTTTGATGGCAGCGGGATTAGCATCACGTGATAATACGCCGAGCAGAGAGGACGGGAGTTTTGTTGCACATCGCATTAGCAACGTTGGCTTTGATGGCAACGGGATCAGCATTCCGTGATATTAGGCCATGATACGGGAGCGCAGAGGACGGGAGGTTTGTTGCATATCGCATCCGTAATGATTTTCTTGTCAACGTTGGTTTGGATAGCAGTGGGATTAGCATCACGTGGTATGGAGAGGGGTACCTAGAGAGTTGTAAGTTTTCGTTGCACATCGCATTAGCGAGGTTGGTTTTGATGGCACTGAGATTAGCATCATGTGATATAGGGATCGTGGCACGGAGCGAGATGAGTTTTGTTGCGCATCGCATCAGCGCTCGTCCTGGGAGCGAACGTTGATTTCGATGGCAGTGGCATTAGCATCACGTGATAGTTTTACTCGGGAAGGGAGGTCTTTTGTTGCACACCGTGCAGTCGAAGCTCGATATACCGGATCAAAAATGCTTTATAATGATAGTTGCTGAATGCGGACATCATTTTGGTGAGAGGTTGGTTGAGTGCTAACGGACGTTCAAGTTGAATGGAAACCTTCCGTGCACCGCAAGTTGAGGTCGAAGTTAGGTGACATGCATATTCAACATGACCTATCGCTGCGGTCCTTCAACAGTTTAGTTCAACTGCATATGTAGATAATCTATAATGACAAGATCATCCACACGTCAGTCATTCAAACCAGGAGCCCAGGATGGTATTGCCTCCGCCTCACAGCGAATATGGTAGAGTCTCAGCACCACCTACTGTATGTATACGGTTTGGAGTATGGATTGGATATATAAGTCGTTCTCACGAGCAGCTAAAACGTGTACTCATTAGTACCTGAAAGAAGCATGCACTGTGAGTCTTCGATCCACATACAAGCCAGGTAGATTCCGAATCTCCTGGCTGAACTAGCTACCCCCCTGCGGCAACACAGATGTGCCGCCTCCTCTGCGGGCAGTTTCCTGCCTATACTTGCTCTTCCTCGCTTGCCCAGGCAGTAGAGAGAGTACCTAGGTGACACGATGGTGATGGATGTGCTAATACCGTTTTCAGAGACGTTGAACCGGGACCGGGATTTCGGGAAGACGGTTGAGACATCGGAGAAAGAGATGGAGGGAATGCGGGATCTGAATCTGAGTTTTGGGAGGGCGAGTTATATTTGCTGCCGCGGGCAGCGAGGAGCAGAAGGTGCTGAATCCAGGAGCCTGGGCCTTGAGCGAGATCATTAGGGGGATGCATTAGGGAAATCAATGAAGGGGATGAAATAAGATGGTATGTGTTGAAACTTTTCTTGATATCGAGGTCATATTCTCCAGTCTATGTGGAAGAACAAGGAGAAACCAGACCCACCTCATCAATTGCATCTCTAAAGATGCTATTTTAGGTATATTTGAAAATATGTATATCCACAAAAAAGGTTGAGGGGTATATTCTTGCTATGATGTTGGAATGATTTATCCAAAACAGCCCTTATATGAGTTGAGATCGTCTTCAAGGTTCAACATTCGTCAGTGTGCCACACCCTGGTTGACATACCCGTTGTATCATGTCATTGTTGGCTTTGGCATAGAAAGTCCGGAGAGCAAGGACGGGATTCCTGCTCTTTGATCCTTGCTTGGCCCGGGAGCGTTGTGTCTTCATTCCCAGGCTACTCTCCACGCCATCCACCATCAATCTATACGAGCACCAACTTCCAGACATAGAAGGCCTAGAGGAGGGGCCGTTATGGTGTATGGTCGCAGTAAGCGCAAGGGATCTAGACAATTGCATTATATCACACCATCATGTTCTCCCGGAAGTCTCTTAACACGTTTTTGTTCCCAATCATCCAAGTCTTTCGCCGCAAGTCTCTGTAAATCAATCATTAGCACGCATCCACTTCATATCAAATAATGACAAGAGGACTGACATAATATTCCTCCTTCATATCCACCCTTCTTCCCGCCTTGCCGATACCCAGCTCCTCCTCCTTGCTGAGTCTCCGGACCTTTCGGTCGTACTTCTCGTATCTTATGGCTGTTGCGGGTGTGAGGAAGAATGAACCTGCTACCATTGTGGCAATGAATGGCAGGCCGAAGAGTGCGAAGGGATGTTTGCTCAGCGATGCTCGATATCGGGCGGCGAGTGTGTTTGCTTCTTTGGAAGGGCGGTACTTCTTGCTGGTGAAGACTGCCATTGTAAGGAATTGGAACTTCTTGTACCTTGGTAAACAAATCGGAAGCTGTAAAAGAGCTGTGAATCGTTCGCAGTTCGGCCGCCGTCAAGTCGATTCGAAATAATCGTCGCCAATCACTGGTCTGAGGTTAGTCATTTGTGAGGTCGAAGGTCGACGGGTTGGGAAACCACTTTACTTAGTTATAAGTCACGTGCTCGCGTTGTTTTCTCGTGTCTTCCACCTCATGTTCCGGCGCGTCTCCCTCTCGTGCTCATCCAACAATCTCTATGACCACCAACACAGGATGGCCTTGGTATCTCGCGGTCCTGCTGCAAAGCATCGACTGAGTGGCCAGCTCAATGGAGATTTTGAACCTCCTCAATCAACGATGGCTGCACAGCTAATCAACAACCTGTCGAGCACAAACAAACCGTCGCGACAGAATGGGCAGGATGACCTGAGAGCCTTGTGGGAGCTTTCAAATATGGCCAACAGCGCTGAAGAGCTCTCCTCCCTCGATTTAAAGCTCGAATACCATCATAAGCTGATCTACGTATTCGTACGCCTTGTCTTGGAACCGCTCACGACGGACGACCCCTTCCTAGATGTTCAAAATGTGGTTTCTCAGGCATCTGACGCAATAGATGCCTTTATTCTGGCGATTAAAGAGACCCCAAGTGTTCTGGCGTACGTCTCAGCACCTGGTTCATTTCAAGGACGTGAGCACGAGCCCCTATGGGTTTGGTTGTTTCCACGACTGTTGGCGCTCCTGGGCCGAAGACGATGCGACTCGTTGACGGAGAAGATCAAGGATCTTTTTTTTGTTTCCTTCCAGGCCGTGGCCCGTTCACCGACGCTTTGGTATCTGGCTTCATTATTCTTTTGCTATCTCAAGGAATGCGTAACAAGTACGTCTACCAGATATATTCTCTTCGATTTCTCTTCGACCGTAACTTACCAATCTCTAGCTATTTTGAGCCACCTTCGAAACCCTAGTAGCATCTCCCCTAGCCATGGATTAGATGTTCTGTTGCATTTTAATAGCATTGACCTTTCAATGTTCTCTAATGGCAAGGAGGGTTCTTTTGATTCCATTATAAATTCTATCTACGTCATTCAAGATGCTGCGGCAGGTCTGTGGCATGTTACGAATTTACTGTCTATGTTGGTTGATATCTCAATGGAGTCTGCTACTTATCATCATGCAACTCCGGCCTTTCAAGACTATCTGGCTTGGATGCTTGACTCCTTTATTGTGGCTCACGACCTACAGAAGACATGGCAAGCCGACCCGATATTCCATGAATCTTGCAGAAGATCCGAATTCATGACCTTTTGTGCCGTACAGGCACTTTTGTCTGCTCTTCGTGGATCTCTGCCGAACACCATGCTCCGGAAAGCGTGTGTTCTACTTTCTTTCCTTTGTGCAGACCTCCTCCAGAACCCATTGAACCTGTCGGACAGGCCGATTCGGCTCAGCCTCTGCAATAGCCTTCTCAATATAGCCACCGTTTGTAAGCAACATGATTCAACTCGCCGAATTATAGCTCTGAATCTTGCGCCTATTGTCCATGCTACTTTGAGCGATGATAACGCGGTGTCGATCTTGGGGAAAGATTTTCAGGTCCGTCTTTACTACTTATCTTATGGACTGCCGTTGCTGACACAAATTCAGAAAGCAGGAATAACATTATGTCGGGCCTGTGAAGCAAGCCAACTGGAAGTACCTGACTTAAACATATCTGAAAGCTTTGAGAGTACCCAGCTTGATGGAGAATTTCGTCTGCTCCATCTTGGACCAACAGACGGATATCATGGGACCGGCCAAGCTCCACCAAATAAACGCCGCAAACTTCACTCCGAGCTGAGCCTGTTGGAGGAGATAACTGCGAAGGTCTGCTCTTTGTTAGGCTCTCAGAATGTGTCTAACTTAGCTGGACTGAGTGAAATCGCAGAGTGGGTTGTCCTTCATAAATTCCGGATAAGGATCTAAATTATTTATAGGGCCGGCTTTGCTGAACTGAGCGAAACAGACCGCTCTAGAGCCATCGAATATCTTGCTATGATTCCATGTGCGGCGAATGGCTCTTTGACTGTGATTCATAATCAAGATGGCACAATCCGATATTCAAAATGTTACCTTTGCGAGAAGATGCAGCCTCCAGAATCGATAAGTCTAGACAATGCAGCATGTCAGCATGTGAGCCAAGATGCCATATCAATCCTCAGCAAGCTCTTGAATTCACGGATATTCATGGAGTCGCGCCGACCTCGCGTGCTTGGATTGGTCGCTGTTCAACGTTTCGCCGTACATTTCAACGACTCCAGTTTTATCGATTTAGAGCTGTCTGCCCTAGGCCAATGGTGTCTGAAGTCCCTCCACAGCTCAATAAGGGAGCTTCGGATTCTCGCCGGGTAAGCGTGATGACATCCTAGGAAAATAGATGTCCGGTTAACACGGTTATTATAGGCGTACTCTTTCTGGTTTTCTGGACGGGCCCTCCATTCGTCACGGCCTAATAGTCAAAAATCGATTCAATGCGCTCCAAATGTTGCACAAACTGTCCGAGAATAATGGAATCCACCTGCAAGAGACTTTTGTTCTTGCGTGGGGCCAAGTTGGAAGGTAGAGCTACCAGTCAACGTATTCCGAGATTTTTGAAGCTGATGTCTCCAGAGTCGTACAAGATCAAGAGTTGAACTTTGTGCTCCTGAGGCTACTTGACTATCTAGGTCATACCAACCCTATAGTCTCCGGTGTGGCTTTTAATGAGGTAGGAACATGATCTTCTCTAGTTTATCCGAAACTAATACATCAAAGATCTTGAAACTTGCGAAGATAAATGGTGTCACTGTTGAGCGAATGTTCAGTCCATTTTGGGATACCATCGCTGTGAATGCAGTCAAAGATCTCCTGGTCCGGCCGCAGACCTCACAATTAATATCTGATTTACTGGAGATTTCTGTACCAGAGTTTCTTGTGTTGACTCAATCTCATACTTTGCCATGGCTAGTCATGCATAAGAAGACGGATGTCATCAAACGAATATCGCAAGCTCGCAAAGACGACGAGTTTAAGGTCTGCATGGAGATGTCAAATCTAGTACCAATACTAGCGAAGCTGCTGGAGCAGGACGTTCAGGATGTTGGCACGTACATTATGCATCTGTTGAAGGTCGCTTCGCCAGGTTTCAAGGATTTTGACGTAACAGAGTTGATGAGGATAGAACCAGCATCAATTGCTCTTCACCTTTTGAAGGCAGCTGGGGAAGCAGATGAGGGTCAAAAGTCGAGAGTAAGCCTATTTTTCACTCTTTCTCTTCATCTCCCCAAGAAAAAGGTCTAACTATCCCTAGATTCGAACTGCTCTAATGTTTTTGGCCAAATCCGCGCCTCCTGGCAACCCCATTCAAAAGAAAACAAATATTCTAGGAGCGTTTCTGGAGCATCATATTTTAGGTCTTGTCGCTCGCCTCTCCGAAGTTGTCAATGACGCTCGGGATGGGAAACCAATTCGGGAGAAAAAGCGATGCATAAAAGCTATCGAAGAGATGGTCAAACTTGGCAAGACATCAACAAGGACTGCTCGACCTCACGTATGTCAATGCACAAATATCTCGCTCTATGGATTCTGACTTGAGTAGATCTGCGCCTGCCTCCAGTCAGCCATGACTCAGAAAGACCTTCAAGCAATCGCTTTCTCTGCGTGGGAAACAATGCTTACTAACCTTGACGATGAAGACGTTGAGTTGATGTTAGAGAGCACTTTTTCCATCATAATTCAACGCTGGGAGGTCTTCGATGAAGTGACTCGAAAACGGGTAGAAGCAACCCTGCAATATCTACTCGAACAGCGTTCTCGACTCATAAGGAATACTATTGTCAACCTGCCATCACTATCTCAATTTCCTCAGCTTGCTGACGTTGAAGAACAACTCAACAAGTTGAGAACGCCCACAGATGTAGGGAATTCTTTCCAAATCTTCAGCCGAAGAATCAGTCACGAGAATTCGGGCGTTGTGGCTCAGGCCCTTGTGGAACTTAAAGCCTTCCTTCAAAAGCACCAATCGTTCCTCCAGGCTTCGGCAGTAAGTGAACAGCCAGATGTTGTTATAGGAATACTTGTCCGATCAATACTGGATGCTTGTGTCAAGTTCAACGAGTCCCGTCGTGACATCGCACAACTATCAGCAGAGTGCATTGGACTCATCGGTTGTCTGGACCCCAACAGAGTTGAGTCGGTACGTGAACAGCGCGAGATGATCGTCGTCAGCAATTTTATCGATCCAGGTGAGACGACCGACTTTGTTCTGTTCATGTTGGAGGAGGTAATTGTGAAGGCGTTTCTCTCATCTACCGATACTGGAGTGCAAGGATTTCTCTCGTATGTCATGCAGGTACTTCTCGAGAAATGCGACTTTAGAGATGTCTGCGTCCCTATTCTTAGGAACGGCCAGCGAGATTCCACGGAACCCATCTGGCTAAAATGGCAGTCACTTCCTAGCAGTGTGCAAGACACTCTAACACCATTTCTCACCTCCCGATATATTGTCAAGGAGCTAGGGCAAGTCAAGATTGAATACCCAATCTTTCGCCCCGATTCCATGCGGTCTGACAGACTGTACAATACTTGGTTGAAAGACTTCGTTATGGATCTGCTACAGAAACCCCAAAATATCCATGCGGAGTTTATTTTCGCCCCTCTTCGACGTGCAATTAAGATAAGAGATAATTCGGTCGCCAGCTTCCTACTTCCATACCTGGTCTTGCATGTCATTCTTGCGGGAACTGAGCAGCAAAGAGAGCAAATTGGGGGAGAGTTGCTTGGTATCTTGCAATATCAGGTGACGCCCGAGTCTCACATTAGGAGAGAGGACTTGAAGATGTGCAGTGAGGTAAGCAATGTATTGTTTGTTTACAAATATCAATTCTGACAACCTATAGGCTGTTTTTCGGGTTCTCGACTATTTGTCCCAATGGATGCGAGCGAGGCAATCCACAGCAAGTCGGTCTGATGGGCAGGCCTCGGCCGATGCTGAGATTCAATTGGTGACCTCTTTTCTCAAATCGATTCCTGCGGAGATCATCGCTCAACGTGCTGTTGAGTGCAAATCGTACTCTCGCGCTTTGTTTTACTGGGAACAGCATATCCGCAATGTTCGGGGGAAAGTGAAGAAACCTGACAATATCAATGTCCTTCTAGAACGACTGCAGGACATCTACACTCAGATCGATGAGCCAGACGGCATTGAGGGCTTGTCTGCCCATCTCCATGTGCTTGATATTGACCAACAAATCCTGGGACATCGTAAAGCTGGACGCTGGTCAGCCGCACAGAGTTGGTATGAGATTAAGCTGGCGGAGGATCCTGACAATGTTGATGTTCAAATCAATCTTTTGACATGTTTGAAAGAATCAGGGCAGCACGGTTGGTAATCACTCTTCTTTCAATTGATCCGCTAACGGGATTGCAGATGTTCTACTCAACTATATCGAAGGTATGCATACATCCACAGTAGCTGCCTCCCGGCTCCTACCTTTTGCTACAGAGGCTTCTTGGGCAACAGGAAGGTGGCTTGCATTGGAGAAGTATACGGCAATGGTTCCGAAAGGAACTGCAGAAGATTTTAACGTCAGTATTGGCCATGCCCTTCTAGCATTGCATGCGAAAGATACCGACCGCTTCACTTCCACTCTTCGATCACTTCGAGAACAAATTGCTTGTTCCTTGTCAGTAGCTACTACACCTTCTCTCGCTGCTTGTCACGATGTTATGCTTAAATTCCATGCTCTCACGGAATTAGAGATGATTGCTGGTACAGACAACCAAAACGCCGACCGAACCAATGTTCTCGAATCTCTGAATAGACGGCTCGAAGTGATAGGGGCTTACCTTAATGACAAGCAGTATCTGCTTGGCATTCGCAGAGCGGCCATGCAACTTTCAAGGTCTGTTTTATCTGCCTTATATACTACTTTTAACTGACTCTAGTAGCCTCCAATTTACGAAGGACGATATTGCTTCTGCCTGGCTCACGAGTGCAAGGCTTGCCAGAAAAGGAAACGCAATCCACCAATCTTTCAATGCTGTTCTCCATGCTTCCCAGCTTGGAGATAAGTCGGCAACTATCGAGCATGCACGACTCCTGTGGAAAGAAGGTCACCATAGGAAAGCAATTCAAAGTTTGAAGGGTGCCATCGACAGCGACGCTTTTATTTCTCATAACAAGAGTGCCCAGGGATCAAACTTAACAGGTCTAACAGGTCAAGATGAGTCTCATCAAAATCTCCTTGCCGCAAGAGCTCATTTGCTGCTTGCAAAATGGCTCGACAGTGCTGGCCAGACCCAGTCAAGTGCATTGCGATCTCAGTATCAATTTGCGGCTAAGAAATATGCGACGTGGGAGAAAGGGCATTATTATCTTGGCCGCCACTACAATAAGTTACTGGAGTCAGAAAAGGCTTTGGCCCCAGGGCTTCAGGCAGAGTCCTATCTTACTGGTGAAACGGCAAAATTGGTCATTGAAAACTACTTGCGATCGTTGTCGTTTGGGACCAAATACATATACCAGACTTTACCAAGAATACTCACCCTTTGGCTTGATCTAGGAAGCCAGGTCAATCAACCACTCGATGCCAGATATGGCAATTCCAGGGAGTTCCTCACCAGAATCATGAACGGACGAAATGATCAACTGGCACAGTTACATAGCCGCTTTACGAAATACATTCAAAAGATGCCCGCTTACATCTTCTACACCGCGCTTCCACAAATCGTTGCTCGGATTGCCCATCCGAATGCAGAAGTCTACAAATTTCTGAGTCAGATCATCTATAAGGTCGTAGATGCGCACCCACAGCAGGCTTTATGGACTCTTCTAGCAGTGAGCACCTCCATGCAAGTCGATCGCAAAAATCGTGGCGTCCATATTATCCAGCAACTTCGGAACAACAATAGGAAGGCACAGCCAGGCACTCTTGATATAAAGACCATGATCAAAAGCGGCGAACGTCTCACGGACCAACTTCTCATGGTATGTAATACCGGGGATTTTCAGGGGAACCGGACTTCTATGGCAAGCATAACCAAAGATCTTCGCTTTAATCACAAGATATGTACTCCAAGTCCGCTTGCTGTGCCGATCGAGAGTGTCTTGACAGCAACACTACCTACGCTCACGGATAGCATAAAAGGACACAAAGCATTCTCCCGAGACGTCGTGACAATCTCGTCATTTTTGGATGCAGTTTTGGTACTCAGTTCGTTACAGAAGCCGAGAAAGCTTACCGCGCGTGGTTCAGATGGCAGGAACTACGGTCTCCTTTGCAAACCCAAAGATGATCTTCGAAAAGACCAGCGTCTGATGGAATTCAACAGCATGATTAATCGCTCACTCAAGCGGGATGCGGAATCGAGCAGACGCCAACTATACATCAAGACTTATGCAGTCACACCATTGAATGAAGAATGTGGCATCATCGAATGGGTAGACGGGCTAAAGACCCTTCGCGATATCCTACTCGGTCTCTACAAGCACATGGGTATCTCTCCCAACTACCGCGAGATTGAGGTATTTTGCGAAGAAGCTACGAAAGGCGATGACAAAATTGCATTCTTCACGGAAAAGGTCCTCAGGCAATTTCCCCCTGTCTTTCATCTCTGGTTCGTACAGCAATTTCCAGAGCCATCTGCATGGTTTGCCGCTCGCATCCGATACACTCGGTCTTGTGCAGTCATGTCCATGGTTGGGACTATTCTTGGTCTGGGCGATCGGCATGGTGAGAATATTCTTTTTGAAGAGGGCAATGGCGGCACTTTCCACGTCGATTTTAATTGTCTCTTTGATAAGGGGCTCACCTTCGCCAAGCCTGAGCGTGTTCCTTTCCGTTTGACGCACAACATGATTGATGCGATGGGTATTTACGGCTATGAAGGCCCATTCCGTAAATCATCGGAATTGACGTTGAAGCTCCTGCGTCAACATGAGGAGACATTGATGACCATTTTGGAGGCCTTCATTTACGACCCGACGCTCGATCTGTTGGCAAAGAAGGATAAGAAGCCGAAAAGGGAGAGCGCTATCACCGTACCACATACTGCTCAAGGTGTGCTTGACAATATTCAAAGGAAAGTCCGCGGTTTGTTGGCTGGTGAGAGTGTACCACTTGGGGTCGAGGGCCAGGTGGATGAGTTGATCAAGCAGGCGACGAATCTGCGCTTCCTGGCAGGGATGTATATTGGATGGTGCTCATTCTTTTAAATACTGACCACATAAACATTACATGTAACTGAACCCAGCCCGTTCCATGAATAGGATGGATACACCCTGTGTAACACATCTATCTATATTCTGCTGTTGGTCGAGAGTAATTCGTCGAAGTTCACGGTCTGGCAACATCCATATCAAGGGGCGATAAGTTGAGGCTGGACTTCATATCTTGCTTAATAGACTACCGGCACAAAGTTAAGAGGCTCAGCTAGAGCGGGGATTATCTGGGTTCAGGACGTTGGGAAAGCTATAGAGTGGTTCATTAAAGTTCATTTTAGATGTCATGAATCGGGTCTTCTAAATCAATCGGTGAAAGTTGTTCCAGATACAGTATGGAGGGATTTATTTAGTGTTCGTCGCTAAAACTTTAGGCTCTTGTCAACTAAACTTTAAATTCACCATCACTATAAACATCAACTACTCCATGCCATGGCAATCTTTGCTTCAGCTTGTGGTACAAGGTTTGAGGAATTTTACAATATTATGACTACGGTGTTACAATGACGTATTTCTAACCTAGTGTATCTATGTCTTTGATAGGTCAGTTATGGTATCGTTTCGCCACCAGAGTTGCCGGAGCAAGGCTCCGTCCGAGGCGTTTCGATACGCATCAGCTGCGCCTGCTCTGCTCCTCGGCGCTCACCGTATACTTTCTATTGGGCTTTTTTACTGTTTAAGATTCCAAGGTGCGAAGTCCGCCAAATACACCTTGAAATAGAATTTCTATTGTCTAGCATCCAATCATTTTTGGATTGAAAAGCCGCTCCTCAGCCTCACTCACCCAGGTGTTCCGAGGGCAGCTGACAGCTTGACAGCCTGACGCCACTGACGCCCACTACTTCTATTATGATATAATGATTTACGAAAGGAGGTCAGCATTTGATTTGCTTTTCTTCGTCATTGTTCTGAAGTTTGAACCCGTCTCCGACTTTGAAAATCAGGTCTCTCTTCAAGGGCAAGAGTTCGGTCATCGAATACCTAACTCACGATGAATAATACTCTCGTCAATGGAACCTACTCCTGTTCTTTTCCTTCAATTGGCTCCTTATTGGCAACGGCAGAAGCTGGTAATCTCAACATCACTCAGCTTGTCCAGAGTTGTCCGAATGTATGCTCACTAGCATGGGGTACTGGGAATCCCGATCTGTCTGGAATTGGAGTGAGTGCGATCCCCTGGATATTTTCTATTACTATCATACTCACGTTTCAGGCAAATGTCTCATATATCATGCAATTTGTCTCAATTGTGATATTTGGCCCGCTGTTTGTCGCAATATATGGTTATGGGAAGCAAGGACATCTCAACCCCGACTCCCTGGAATTCTGGAAAGAGCTGCAAGATACCTTCCTGGATACCAGTGCACAGTTCACTATTCCCGTGACCGTCGCAGCTGTTGTTCGCCTTCACCAGTCTCCACCGTTCTTTGAAATCGCTTTCCTACAATCATTAACAACGATGCAATTCCTCGGCTTATTTTGTACTGCGATTGCTACGGGAGTAGCCATGCCCAAAAAAAGAAGCATCAGACGGGTGCTAGTGATCAGCCTATATCTGGTGGTGGATTTCGGGTTCTATATGGGTGTGGTGGGCTACCTTCGTACCAACAAAGCTTCTTGGACGACCATCAAACAACTGGCTTCTGCTTGTGGGGAGTACAGCCAGCTTACACCTGGTTTTGTGTACATTCAAACGCATAAGTTATCGGTTGGAACTGGAATCCAGGGGTTCAAAAATTTCCTGAACCCATTCAGCAAAGGAGGATGGATTATATTCGGCCTCACTGTGGCCGCTATTGCAGGCCTCGCCGTCACTGTGGTTGTGGTATTTGCAATATACCAATGCCTGAGATCTAGAAGTCCGTGGGTCCTTGGTCCAATGAGCCTTGGGTTCTTCGGTGGCACCCTTTATTGCATGATATTGCTTGAGCGTAAGAGGCAAGTCATGAAAAAGGTGACTGGGAGCGACTTTCAAGATAATCAATGGGGCTTTGGACAAGTCATGGCTCTCTTTTTGTGGGCTCCATTACTAGTACAGAGTCTATACTATATTCTTGGTAATTTATTCCTCCATTCCTTACCTTGCAGTTATCTAACCTGGTGCGATGGCTCAACAGTCACACTGTTTCCCCGCCTCAAGCCCAGAGAACTTGTCTCAACTGATCGAGCATGCTACCGATGTCGAGGCTGCCACCGATGCGCTGAATCTGGCGAAAGTTCTAGACTCATGGAAAATATCGAGCTTGCTCCTGTTGACGCTGGCGTCCACCCAGCGATGCCTCCAACGAGGACCACACCCAGAACAGACAACGAGACCACCACCGGAATCGATTCCGAAACCTATCACGGGGTGCTCCTCGAAATAAATTCCCCTGCAGTCAGGCCAACGCCAGAATCCAATCCAGTTCCCACTAGGGTTGCCCCAGATGTCGAAGTTCTACCCCCTTACGCAGCCATCGAATCGAAAGATATTTCGGATTCAGATAAATTTGATTGAATATTGTATCCCAAGGCAGAGTGCCAGAGTCTGCAAAGCTTCAGTGCAGAATAGCGTAACTTCCTGGTGATTTTCGAACTAACGACGATTTGAAACCCAACATGAATATCCTGGCCCAATGTTTGGAAGTGTGCGGATCAGAGTTATGGCTCCAGAGTGATCAGAGCCATCATTGGAGAAGTACTAGCAAAGTTCGAAAGTGTTGGCTCTGACTGAATGGATTCGATTGTTGGTTTTACCTCTGGCCTTAAAAATTGAAGCGGATAACATTGACTGCATGCGGGATACTACTTACTGCTCTGGATCTGAAGAACGACAAAAAACGAAGTCGGATATAGAGGAGTCAATTCAGGGGTTTAATCCACGGGATCGTCGGTTCGGTTATAGTCCCGCCGGCTACATGCTCGGGGGGTTTCCAAAGAATCTCCGAGGATTTTTCCGTACCCGCTATAGTTCTGATCCAGCTATATCTTTACGAATAAGACAGAGGCTGGTACATACGACCACAGACTAAGGAGAATTGGGCATCCCGTCCGCTCTGCCATACACAAGCCTTAGATCGGCAGATTAGTAGTTGGGTGGGTGACCACCAGCGAATACCTGCTGTTGTATGTTTTTTATTTTTTTTATCCTTTTCTTTTGGATTTCTGAGATACCTCATCCATGGGTAAGTTCAAATAAGACAAAGTACTGGGCTTGGATGTATCTATGCTTTTTGGTGGTATTTTTTGCATCTAGTGAGGGGAAAGGAAGAGAGCACGCTTCAATCAATCTACTACCAAATATGCCTCGTATCATCCATCTGTGCTCGTTAATCATAGCTCATTACATGTAGAGACTTGCAACAGCCGTGATATCCCGCTTGATCATCTCCTGGCATGTCTGCATCTTTGTAAACAGCTCCGGGTCCCCAATAATCCTCGCTGCGTTCTTAACCTCGCGACACGTCTCGTCCAATCTCGTGATGACCCTGACAATAGTCCCCTCCAGCACATCCGTCAAATCAGTGATGTTCTTGAAGCTCATACCTCGAGCCCACTCGTAGACGACTTCCATCAGGCCAAAGCGGGGGCGAGAGACGAAATCGTTGGAGTCGTCGGCGGAAAGGATGACTTGGTGATAGGTTTGTCGCTCGTTGACCTTCTCGGAGATCTCGATGATGGTCTTCATGCCCCTTTCGAGGTTGCCGGTGAGGTTGGGTACGATGTCTGTCTTTTCTTGGAAGACGAAGGCGGAGAGGAGGGCGACGATCTCGGCGGGTTCGTAGGCGGCGAGCACGTTGTCGAGAATGAGTTCGGTAAGGACGAGCTCATCAGCTGAGTGGATCTCACATGCTACTTTACCTTTGAGCTGGACTCGTGAGGCGTCGTCGATGAAGCCGAGGTCCTTCAGCACCTGGATACGTTGCTCGTAATCGGGTAGCAGTTGCAAATTCTGATCGGACATGAGTCGTCTCAGTTGGGAGATGTTCTCCTGGATGAGCCATTGGTCGTGGCACATGGCATACTAGGATAGTGAGTATTGGACTTATCTTCAAATGGACAATGTACTTACGTGCTTGATGAATTGGGGACATTTCAGACAACTCGCTTTCTGCGCAGATACTGCCGCTTCATGACGTTTCGCCAGAATCTCGCGCAAATGCAAGTCTTTGATACGTGAAAAGTCCAATTCATTCCACTCATCAAGCTCCCATGACGAGCAGAGGCGTGCGAGTTCTTCTTTTGCAATTTGATACCCTTCACCTCCCTCAAAGATGTCAGGGATCACCCCTTTGACGACCGTCCTGGTGAGACATTCCAGATCAGCCACTGGAATTTGAAACGTTTTGGTTGAGATGTGCTTCTTGAACTGAGGTAGCTTTGTAAACAATTTTCGATACTTCGGCAGGTACGGTAGCAAATCTGTCGTGTCTCTTTGATCTCTCCGGGTCCTGATTTCCAGGACGTGGACTGTAGGAGCAGCCCCACCTGTCGCACCTTCTCGGAGAAGAATTCCCGGCGTCCGAATACCATCACGGGTATAGACTACCAGGCGCTTTGGGGCAAACATCCTCTTCCCAACAGGAGTAGCTAGCAAACCAAGATGAAGATCGAGCGTAAGCTGCCTATAGTCCTGAGCTGCCTGATGACAAGAATCTACATCCCCATCACAGATATCGCAGGGCTCCCGCTTGATCTTTGCCAGATCCGCTTCGGAGACCTTTACTGCTTTTTCATGCTCTGGCAACAACTGCTGCGTGGCGTGTTCACTGAAACTTCGCTTGATCATCTCTTCAATTTTTAAAGCTTCGACTCTCAGAAGATTGAGTATCATATTGTACGTCAATCTGAACTGTGAGCGAAGCTTTGAAGGCTCCCCGAGAATCATCTGGCGTAGCTCAGTAACGGGTGGGGCCTCGCCACCACCTGGAGCAACGATGATGACAGATCCAACGGTATCCAACCCTCGACGACCTGCTCTTCCAGCCATTTGAGTATATTCGCCAGGAAGTAGATTCCGGAAAGCGTGGCCGTCATGCTTGCGATACCCAGAAAAGACAACCGTTCGAGTTGGTAAGTTCAGCCCCATAGCAAATGTCTCGGTTGCAAAGAGAACTTTGACCAAGGTCTGCGCAAACAACATCTCAACAACTTCCTTCACTATAGGAAGCAAACCACCATGATGCACGGCAATACCTCTGCTTAGCAGATCTCGCAACCGAACAATCTGTGGCAGAACTCTATCCTCCGGTTTCAATCGAGCAATTGACTTCTCGATGGTCATGTGAATGGCGCTCTTCTCGGTAGCAGTACAGAAGTCCTGGTTGCTGAGCGCATCCGCGTTCTCCTCACAACGTTTCTTGGAGAATACGAATATACATGCCGGCAGCAGATTCTCCTTCTTGAGATACTGTACGAGATGGACCCATAATGTCTTGTCTTGAGCTGCTGTAGTTCGACCCCCTGGCCTACCACCTCTACCCATATGTCCAGGCGTATGGCTTGCTCTGGGTGGTCCACCTCGTCCTCTTTGCTGTCCGCCTCCACGCTGCTGTCCGCCTCCGCGCTGCTGACCACCACCTCTTTGGGGACCTCCACGTTGGTTTTGACCTCTTCCTCGCTGGTTTCCACCACCGCGGCTGGCTGGCTCGGGCGCGGGAAGCTCCTTAACCTTATTTCTTCCGGAAAGAGCATCATTTGCACTCTTCCAGCCCTTCTCGATGAACTTCTTGTCGGCGTCTACAATCTTGTGAATGCCTTTGTCTGCCCAGAGATAATGCTCCAATGGTACCGGCCGCTTCGGTGTAGAAATAACGTAGATATCTTTCCGCTTTGTTCGCCCAACCCAAGAAGCAAACTCGTAGGTATTCGGAACCGTGGCAGACAACAAAATCAATGTGACATGTTCCGGTAACATGATGATGACTTCTTCCCACACGACTCCTCGCTCAAGATCATTGACATAATGCACTTCGTCGAAGATGACAAACTCCACATCTCGGATGAGATCAGCTCCTCTATAGAGCATACTCCGTAGGATCTCGGTTGTCATGATCAGACAACTCGCTTCAGGAGCAATTTGGACATCGCCAGTAAGAATCCCAACCTCATCAAACACTTCCCGAAAATCTCGGAACTTTTGATTACTCAGTGCCTTGATTGGCGATGTGTAAATAGCCTTCGTCATATGTTTAGCTGCTAGAGCTATAGCATACTCTGCTACGACCGTTTTACCAGCGGACGTATGTGCAGCAACAAAGACCGAATCACCATTTTCAAGATGATAGACAGCTTCCTTCTGGAAAGTATCCAGCTCGAAGGGCCATTCTCTTGCCATATCAGGAACCAGTTCTCTGAAATTCGTGATCTCCCTCTTAACATCGACCATATGCGCCCATTCTTTCGCTCCTCGTTTCGCACTCGAGGCAGCCAGGACACCGCGGGGCTCCAGTGCGGGGAATTCAACAGGCAGCAGGGAATCGATATCATCCTCCCCATCGTCCTCCGACGCATCAGACTCCGCGGCCCCGTTGACAGCCTCCCCAGAGTCCTGCGCTAGCTCTTCCTCTGGCTCTTCCTCCAGCACATTCTGAACATCTTCAGCCTCCTTTTGATCAATGACTTTCTTCCCCTTCGAGAAATCCAACCCCCTCTCAAAGCCCGGCGGGATCTCCAGCAAGCCCCCCTCACCCAAGTTTATAACGCGCTCGAGTTTTGACGGCCCTGTCGCTGTCACAGCTTCCGTTCTCAGAGCCTCTTCCTCCAATGCCGCGGCCGCTTCTACCCCCTCTAGCCCGCCCGGCGCAAAGGGGAAGAAGCCCGCGGCGCCGCGCACGAAGTCCGCTCGGTTGGCGGGTTTGCGGAGCAGGGACGTGGAGTTTTTCGCTGTGGCGCTGTTGGCTGGGACTGTGACTTCCTTGTAGCCTGTGACACGGCCTTCGAGGCCTTCTCGAGTGAAACGGGTGATTGTGCGTGTCTGGGTCGGCGCGATCTTGAAGAGGCTGGTGTAGTCGGCGGGGGCTTCCCAGCGTCTGCGGGGCTTGGTTAGGACCTTCTGAGGGCTTTGGATATTGGGGTGAGCTTACTGCTGCAATCTATTGAGCCATTCGGTGGAGAAAGAAGTTGAGGGAGTCAAGTACTCTTGCTCCAGGTGGCGCCGGAGCTGTTCTTGGTCCTGCTTTACCCGTTTGCGTGGTCGTCGCTCTTCGAGGATGTGGTCGATCCAATCGTCTTCTGCGCCATCTGAGGTACTGGATGCGAGGTGAACTCTTTCCAGAGCACTGGCCAGAGCGTCCGCCATTTTTCAGATAGCAGATACTGCGTCAGCCTCACGGATTGGAAGTTGGCATTGCCCAAAGATTCGATTACTGTAGTTTTGTGATGTCAGGGCGCGGTGGATTATTTACGCGAACTACAAACGTATAAAACGACAGAACCTTGAACTCCTTGGCCTTCTAATTTGTTCTGATAAACGAATTGAGTTATACTTGTCCATATTGATGACTTAGGAGCATTTCTTTCCTCGTTCGACACTGAAGTGGGTGATGTTCCGAATCTTGCCCAGTACATCACCTGAAAGCAGGCTGAAGGTTACCCCGCCATGACTCTGTAATCACTTCAACCATCCAAGATCTGAGGTCCAGCTGGTGGAGTATATGTTAAGACTGTATTCATTAAGATACTCAAATATGATATCCAGAACGGAGAAACCCCTACGCCTTGCAATGCTACTACTAAACAGAGCCATACGCCGAAACCCCACATCCCAATGCCCCTCTATCACCACATGTCGTCCATTTCCGCCATAGCCTCCATCTCATCATCAAAGTTGTCATCTGCGGGAGCCGGTGCTTTGCTCGCAGTCGGTACCGGTTGTGCCTTTGCAGACTCAGCCCGCATCATTTCCTCCTCCGCCAACAACGCATCGAGATCATCCTCAGGGGGTCCATCATCAGCAGGTGCTGCCTTGGCAGGCCCGAATATACTGGGCCGTTCACCAAATAATGAATCTTGAGAGTCCGTTGCTCCTTGTGTCTGGCGCGGCTGTCGTGGCGTGGCATCATATATGTCGTCCATCTCAGCATCGGCATCCTGGACCGGTGTTTTCGGTCTTTCACTCGCCGTCTTCTCAAATATAGGAGCGATTCTCGGGGCTGTCTTTTCCCTCCCTCCATCCTCTCTTGGCGGGAGGGAGGGCTCGTCGAATATCGAATCTTCATGCACTGATGACCTGGGTCTCCCCTCATTGATCCATTCCATGCGCATTGCCTGCATTCGTTTCTTGTGCCCTGCTTTCTCCACCATTGCTAACGCATCCAGAAACCTTGCTTTTGGGAAGAGGTCGTCGAGCCATAATTGATAAAATGCGAGCAGTCTAGCTGCGTCAGAGTACTGTATCTACGTCAGCAAGGCATTGTATTTAGGGTTTTGTTTGAAGCCGACCTCATGGCCTTTTCCCTTAAATTTCAAATGATCCTTCGCTTTCTTCCGTAGTTTTGGTATCCCAGCTGCTGAAAGAAGTCTGCGACACCAATTAGCATTTATAAAGATGAGCTGCCGCGAATATTCACCTATTTTCATCAAGCTTCACCCGTGGAGCTCGGGGTCTCCTGGTGACTTCAACCTCTTCATCAATGCCCAATCCTGCCCCGTTCGTGTTATCCTTGCTTGCTGGTTCCTTTGTCTTGTTCGGAGGCTTGTAATTATCACTGAATGGATCATTCTCATCTCCGACATCATAGTCAAACAAGTCCCCTAAGTCGTCGAGTTCATCATGTCCGCCAGCGGATGGTCCTTCGGTAGGGAGAGGTCGAGATGTAGCACTGGATGAAGACATATTTGGATTGTATTTTCACCCAGTTAGACCGGATTTAGAAGCATGAGAAGTGTGCTCAAAGGGCTTGCGTTGTTCTGCGCGCGATCCCCTTACACGCGGTCGACGCGATCTGGTTTGGGAGACGTGCCGGACCAAGTGGGCTATTCAGGTCAACGTAGCACTAGCGCCAAGTTCGGCTCGAGCTTGACGACGACAAATGTGAATTCGGACCTCATCAGATCGTGAACCTCAATTGGTACCGCAATTGGCCATTCAAGATGTCGAACGTTGAGCAGAGGCCCTTTGTGCCGGCAAAGAAGGTCCCTACTGCATATCCTGTTCGTGCTCCCCTCTCCCCAATCCTCCGGAAGCCCAGCAGCTAATCTTGTTCCCCTCAGCTCATCGATTCCGACCCGTATGCCCCCAATCGAAGCCCATCATCGCGGAACTAGAAACTGACTGTGATAGACACATTAAGAGAGTCATTGGATATGCTCGCCCCTCTGATTACGCCGTCGGAGCTGCGACCGCGGCGGCAGGACCGGGTCTGATGTTGCTTTGGGAGAGGATTTCACCCTCGTTGGTTGGCAAGGGCGGCTTCGCACCTATCATGCGACTCTCGGGAGTGATTGGACTGGGAGCTGGATTTCTGACCTTCTATCAGCGCTCCATCCGTGCGTTCCTCGACCTTCCTCTTCCCGGCGTAGGCTAACGGAAGACTCCAGTGCGGTTCTACGGCTTCACGGAAAACAAGCGCGAGCAGGAGATGGATATGAGAGAGATGGTCGCCAAGGTCAAGAAGGGAGAGCCATTATACGGTGAAAGCACTCTGACATCGTACATGCAAGGTGTGGCGAGCCGGAACTCGAGATACTCGGGGGTTTGGCTGCATATTATTCCGTGGTTCAACTTTGTAAACCACCCGCACCACGGGGTTGATACGGCGAAGTACTATCAACAAGCAGAGAGGGAGTTGGAGGCCGAGAAGCAGGGACAGTAGAAGCGAGGGCGTAGTCAGACGGCAATTGTGTACATAGTGGGAATTCTGCTTGGCTTGTGCATATTGGCGTGTGCCTTTTTCATCTCAAGAGTGATTTCCATGCTCGGGCTTTGGCTGTGGTTCTCACTCCATGTCAGCCCCAAGGATCCTTGATCAGTTGCTGGTTCGTGAATTCATAATATTTCATGGGGTATAAAAGATTTAAGACGCAGATCCATCTCCCATCTTCCCCTCTTCGCCCATCGGCTCTACCTCCAGCTTCAAAACCCTATCTTTCTTACTTCTTGGCTCGGGAGCTATCAGATGTTAGCATACTAGATCCCAGCTATTCCGAACCACTTCTCCAACCCCTCTATCCATATCCCGTGACTTTAAGGCCAGCCAGCCTATGAAGAAGGGATTTGTAAACGAAAGACAAAAAGAACTCACCTCTATCATTCTCCTGAACATAAAACCTCCTCAACAGCACAATAGCCTCCTCTCTCAACCAGCCCCCACTAACCTCATAATCATCCCTATGCCATCTTTCCCACTCCTCGCCCCCTTCCACTTCCACCCCCTCCACTCCATCCCCCGCCTTCCTCCCATTCCCAACATGAATACTCAGCACTCCGCCCGTACCCCCAAACTTCTCATTCGCGGCGCCAAAAAACACCTTTCTGATACCCACCTGTCTTAGGAGACTCGCACACATGATACACGGTTCCACCGTGACGTACAAATCGCACTCCCTCAGCGTCTCGGGCGCGTATCGCGGCTTCTTCCCGTCACGCGCACGCATGATCTCGTCCAGCGCCAGGAACTCCGCGTGTCGAGTCCCGTTGCGCGTCCGGTTCGTGGCGTTCATGCCGCGCCCGATGATGCGCCCGCGGTGCACGAAAACGCAGCCAACGGGCGTCTCGGACGTTTGCAGTGCGAGATCTGCCTATAAGGGGGGGAGGTTGTGTTAGTAGATGGGGAAAAAAAGGGGGGGGAGAGGGAGGAGGGTACCATGGAGAGTGCTTCGCGCATGAATTGCACGTGCGTCGATATCTCGCTGGGAGTCATGCATTGCGATGCGGATTTGGGGATGGAGACGGGAGGTGGGGTGGAGGGGGGTGGTGGTGATTTGCTGGTGAGGGGGGAGTCATCACCCATTGGGAGAGGGGGGTTTTTCTTTCTTTTCTTTTCTTTTCCTTTTTTTTCTTCTTATATACCCTCTTCCCCCAAAGAAAGTGGATGTTTACTTGTAGGATTTGACGGGAATGGTAAATATAGCTTCCGGTTGATGGTCGGGGTTTGATGATCTTTTAAATGTTGTCATGTGCTTGTCCATAGATCTCGGCGAGGTGGTCGAGGTTATATCACGTGACATGTAAAATTTCTTCACCCGTTGAAGGGGAGCCTTCAAGATGAGCGTCGGATTGTTTTTATTTTGGGATAGAAAAGTGGGATATTTTGAATAAACTTATAATTAAAGATATGGCATACATGTATTGTGCTAAACAGGGAGCGGCGTTCAGGGGGCGAATTCGCTTGTTCGTTTTTGAAGGGGTAGGATGCTCGAACACAGGAATAACACCTTGCTCTAGATCTATCTATCTACCTGGAATTTGGAAACCTGCTTTATGGTATGATATAATTCAGAGATCTACCCTTGTCTTCGTGCTAAGTGACTTGAAAGAGACCTGTCTTTTCATCCTAAGCCGTTTGCTTGGTTGGTTTCAGGGATTATCAATTTGCGGTTACTCCTGTATTCCTTTTGGACTTTTGAGGAGAGATGGATTCAATCGTAATACATAGAACCCCCAAGTCCCTTCTTTTTTGTCTATTCATCATGCAAATCTAGTTACAGCGTATACCTTATATGTTGCTTATCAAGTTCATCTTCCCCTTACCTCCCTCCCTTTCCTAAGCGAACAGCCCCCCTCTTTCTCTCCCTCCTTTCTCCTTAAATCTCCTCGACGGCCTCTACCTTATATACCCTACAATCAGCCCTCAAAAAACCGATTCCTATTCCACGTCATAGTAACCTATGATTTCTATATCACGCCTTACACCACCTACCTAAGGTACCTTCTCACCAAACCGTCTTTCCCCGCCCCTCTCTTCGCGACATCTCAAATCCCTACCTCGAGAAGTCTTCCTATATTTCCCACATCTCCCTCCCAAGGTCAGAACCAAGAATCTTCAGAGTTTTTAAATCAAGAGGAGTATACATATTATATCATACCCGCCCTATTTCCTGGCCAGGAATACACAGCTATCAAGCTGAGAGACGCACGTGAGCCAACACATATAAGCCCAGCCCAACTTTCGCTGTTACCTTATGCCAGCCCAGCCATAGATCTCTAGTGACTGTAGATATAGAAGAGAGACTCTTACCTAAGGTCATCCACGCTCCTCCTCCTCCTTCACTTTGTCTCTTTACCTAGATTATGAGTACCTACCTTAGCAGTGAGAAGTCACGTGATATACAGATGCAGCGGATACTCTGAGTTCTCCAATGTCAGGTTCCTTACATACCTAGGGATATGAAGCGAAGTTTATATATATATCTTTGAATTTTCTCTTTTGGGGATTGGGATTTGGGGTTTATTGTGGGAGGGTGATGAGAAAAGAAGGGTTTCTACCTAAAGGAAGTTTTCCCTGACAGCACGCACGCATCCTCACCTTTATTAACCCGGAGAGCGGTTTAATGTATCGAGGGACTGACTGTATCTGTATGCGCATCTCTCTCCAATAATTCCATACATACATAATTCCGAAGAATGGACCCCCAAGTTTCCAACTCCCTCCCCAAAAATACTACAAACCCTACGTACAACGCTCGTGCTCACGTACTGTATTATTTATTGCATAGCGACGCCACGATAATAGGGGGCGGGTTTGTGGCACGGAGTGGGCCAGACGATGCAATTGTTCTGTAACTTAACTACTGGTCCCCACATAAGTATCGAGATGGGATGAAAGTTGATGATGATGATGCGGGTTGGTGGGCTTTTTGCGCCATTTGATGAGTTGATGGAGTATTGAGTGCGGTTTATGTATGGAGGATTGGTTGCTTCCTCCAACCGGAGATAGGACGTGTATGTAGTATGTATTTATCTTATTACTTATTTCAATCTGTAATATAATGTAATAATACGACAATGTGTTGTCGGAGAAGAAGAGGAGACTAAGGTATGAATCGTCTCCCCGTGCCCCTATTCCCCTATTCCCCTCTACGCTGCGTGTCAGGGGCGAGGAGAGAGAGAGCGAGAGTCCATCTTTAGAACGGGATTCTTGACTCTGGATGTGTGGCGTGGGCGCGCGCTGGTTGGACCGTGGCGAGGTGCGGCGCTGCGAGAGCTGAAACAGGGCTGAGTCGAGTGAAGGGATGGATTATTTATGAATTTATGAATTTGCTTTTATGAAGAGAGTCGTGAACTGACACAGGGGGCGCACCCTGACAGCTCGAGCCCCTGATCGTCAGGCCTCGTACAGTCAGTGCGGTCAGTGTCTTGGTCGTGGTGAAACCAAGTCATGGACGGGAAGCATTTACTCGGAAAGCTGGTACCCTTACGTTACGTTGAGTATTTTGATATGCTTGAAATGCGAAGATGACGGTGAAAGTGACGGTGACTGTCAGACGGTCAGATAGATCATCGAGAGTGCGAGGCAGTGAGATGGGACAGTCGATACGGGAATCATCGTGATGACCTAAGAATAGCAGCATCTGAATTGCGCCTTCCGGGTCCGGCCAATTCAACCGTGCCACTAGCCCCGCGCTAGACGGCCAATCAGCGATCCACGGCGCCGCCAGAGCGAATCAGGTTAGGCCCCTGCTCATCGTGCCCCCGCTAGCCCCTTTGCGCCCGTCAGTGATAAAGGACAGATCTCCCTCTTCTTCCCCCCGACTTTCTTCCATCCATGAACATCCCATTCATCCATCCATCCTCCAATTCATCCTTTCCCATCCATCTCTTCTGAAGAGGCCAAGGTGTCCAAAGTCAAGTTGTCCACTTGCCTGTTGCCGTCCCAACCCCCATCCCACCACGCACAGTCCCATGATTGGGCAACCCCTCTTTGATCTATCTGGCCTCTTCATCGTCATGTGTCACTCCTGAGCCTACTACAACTACCAAGGGCATCATCGAACTTCCTCCTGAGCAAGACAACCCCCCCCCATCGACGTCAATCCCACATCCCAAATCCTTCCACCATGTCGACCCCACGCATCAAGTTCGAGGATTCGCCCGCCGACAGCCTCGCAGACAGCTTTGTCTCGACGCCCGGCACCCACTACCCACCCCTCTTCCCTCCTCACGAGTCCATGCCGCTCAGCGAATGCATGACCCCGCGCTCCTTTGACGATGACAGCATGTTCGGCGGCTCCATTGCCGGCAGCAGCTTGGCTGGCACGCCTGCGCCTGCGCCTGCCCCTGAGAAGAAACCCGTGAAGAAGAGGAAGTCCTGGGGCCAGCAACTGCCCGAACCCAAGACCAACCTGCCTCCGAGGTACATACCTGATCGCCCCTTCCACATCAACACGTCCGCTAACCCGCAGTCAAGGAAGCGAGCAAAGACCGAAGATGAGAAGGAGCAGCGACGAGTAGAGCGGGTCCTCCGCAACCGTCGAGCCGCTCAATCATCGCGGGAGCGCAAACGACAGGAGGTGGAAGCGCTCGAGGCCGAGAAGAAAGCCATCGAGCGGAGAAATCAGGAGCTCGAGATGCGCCTGGCCAACATGGAGGCAAAGAACCTCATGCTCCAGCGCGAGCTCGAGCAGTTCACGGGTGGCTCAATGGGCGCCTTCCGTAGCAGCTCAGTCGCCGCATCTCCCCACCAATCACCCCGCCCAGTTACATTCTCACAAGATCTCTTCGGTTCGCAAGACGCGACCGAGAGATCGCCGATGAGCACCCAAGTGTCACCTCTCGACACCCAACCAACCCGCACCGTCAACCCTGCATCACTATCACCCGAGATGCGTCCCGTGGCCGAATCCTCCAACGCCAGCTCTTCCGATATGACACAACATCCTGCCGCGATGTTGTGCGACCTGCAGTGTCAGTCGGGAGAGCAACGGCCCTGGATGGGTTCAACACCAGCCACAGCCTCGACCATCTCTCATCTCTTAGCAATGACCCTGTTCATCAGTACAACCTCGAGGGCTATTTTGACGCTCCTGACCCCTCTGAGTCAGATCGTTACCTCCTTGAGAACGGGATCCTCGCTGAACCCAACGTCTTCGATCTTAACTATGATCATCTGGCTTTCGACAACGACGGCGCCCTTGACGACTTCAACATCAACGAGTACCTCCACCACGACGAGAACAACCAGCCCGCGCCCGAAGTTCAGTCTTCGGATTCGGTTGCTGAATCGACTTCTAGCCTGCAGCCCCCATTTGGCGCGTCCACTTATGGATGCGACGATGGAAGCAATGCGGTTAGCGTCTGAGCAGCAGCTTACCCGCGACTGTCTGACCGGCGCAGGTGGGTGTGGTAGTCTTGATGGGGACCACTCACCGAGTTTGGAGTCGTTGACGACGTTACTTTGGGCCACCCATGTCTTCGAGAAGAATCGACAGCGGGTGCCCGAGCCGGACCTAGCCACGGAGGTCAAGCAGGCGTGCAGGGAGCTAGAGGAGCTGCTCAGACCGAGGGAGGTGATAGGCAGAGGGATTTCTTTTCAAATGTCAAGGGGCGGTGGTAAATTAGGCCAGAAGGCCATGGATGGTTGGCGTCCGGCGTTCAAACATGATCGCCATTGAACTTAGCGACCACAGGATGGGACTGACCTTGTATACCAAATGTAACTACTGCAATGTAAATTCTTAACTTCTATAACTTGGCTTGCATGTGATGAGGATGAGTAATATCTAAACAATCTTGCCTCTAATCACCCAGTGAAATCTATTTGGATTACTGTAACTCACGCTTTCATCTATTTCCTCTCATCGCAAGTGTTTTCGGCAAATTTTTCCATTGTTGAAAGCTATATAAATCCATGCTTGCTATGATGTATGTGCTCCGAGGGGTATCTCTTAACAGAAAAGCAACGAGGCAGAAAGAAGATCCATTGAATGTCCTAGCCCAGCAAAAAGAAAATTGATAGATCCGTTGAATGTCAGCCCCTTATCCTAGCCATTGAACCCCCGAACTCCAAAAAGGCGCAAAGAGCGAAATGCAGGAAAGGAAAGGTGAAATGTGAATGTGAGAGGGAGATGGAAGGGAAACATGGGTGCTAGAAGCATGTGCTATGTAGGTATGTCAGATGGATGGCATGTGAATGAACGAAAGAACAAACATGTCGTGAACATTGGACAAATCGTGCATAAAAAGGAAAAGAAGGAAACAAGAAAGGAAAAAATAAGCAAACACTCCTCCCGCACCTCAACATCCGCATCCTGACGATCCTATGCAGATCCCGCAATCGAAACATAATACTCCCCAAGGTCCCGAAGCAGCATCTCTAGCTGTGGCGTGTCTAGCTCACCGACCTGATGCTTGGCTTTGATTTCGTTGAGGGTATCTTGGAGACTGTTTTGTCCAGGGATAGAGGATAAGGGGATAGCGTGAAGACTGCCATTATAATTAAAGCGCTCCGAGCCGGGAGGGAAAGCACCTTTGTCGGCGGCGACGAGACGTTCGATGGGTGATAGGGTGTCAGGGACAATGTATCGGCAGGTGAGGGCGAAGCGAAGACCGCCGTAGGGGGTTACTTCGTGCTGGGAGGGTGTTAGACGTATGTGTGTAGAGAGAGGGGGGATGGATGGGATGGATAAGTACCTCATAGAGCTTCTGGATAGAGCGACCGTGCATGACGACGATGTCGCCGTGCTTGAGAGTGATGGTCAGGACAGCAGGCTTCTCCTTCTTGTCTTTGGTCTTTGGGTCTTCCTCAAACGCGGGTATGTGAGTTTTGTGCTTGGGGCGGAATTTCATGACTGCATTTGCGCCGAGGGAGAGGGTGGCGACGGTTGGTCCTAGAGTCTTTTCGCCATCGTCGTGATACTGGTTGAGTTAGCAGGGATGCTTGGGATCTGGGAGATGGGTGGGACGTACGCCTATCTTACTGCCATCAAAGTATCCGATGACTAAACACTCGTTGAAGTTTTGGAAACCCTCAGTGTGATGCACCGTATTCTTGTCATTGACGGCGTGCTGGCCAGCCCATATCATGCGCTTGGCTGCTTTGATCACGACGGGAGGTGCCTCGTTGAAACCCTTTGAATCTTGGGCGACGAGATATTTGTATGCAGCACCCTATGAAATTAGTTGAGCTGCCTGCAGATCTTAAAGGTAGGCTGGAACTTACGAGGTTTTGTGTGAAATGGTTAGTCAATACCTCTTGAGTTGCTAGAAGGCATTAGCATTGTCAATGGGATTGGACGGAGTAACTTACTGCCTTTATGCACTGCTGCTCCGCGTCTCAAATCCAAGTCGCTCCCCTGGATTTCCTGGAAGAGATCGTTTGGACCATCTCTCTGTTGATTGATGAGACCGTTTGCCTTGAAATGACGGATGGAACCCGCAATCCCTCCATTCTCGTTGGGCAAGTCAAAGGTCTGGAGATCATAGGAGCCCACAATTGACTGGTGGCATATGATACCTCCATGAACCTTCCGATTTTCATCTTCGGGTTGATCATCATGGTCCATGTCATTGGCAATTACTGTGCTGATGGGAACCGGTAGCTGCTGAACACGATATGTGTAGTCGCAGTCGGTATTCTCACATGACCACTGTCCCCACTGGATACGTCTGATGCAGCACCCACACGTTTGGCACACCATGCCACGCTTGCACAGCTTTTCATATCCCAAAGCGCCAATACGGTTCAACTCATCATCTGTCAGAGGAGGCGGGGCCAGCGGACCGGGATCATTGCCAAGGAATATGGTTCTCTCCTTGAGGAATGCCGGATGGTAGTCGAGGGTGTTGTCATCATATTCAACCCCGAAGTTGAAGAATTGACCGCATGATACGTTCAAACATGCTGGGCCAACATTGTACATTACCTTGCTCTCCACATTGCACTCTCCACAGAGATGCTTGTCGGTTGTCATACGCTCTTCAAGGTTTTGAGGGCTTGAGTTCTGAGCCGCCCACCAAGATCTATTAGAAAGGTTGATCTTTTCCATACGGACCTTCCAGATTATGACTCGGACATCGTTATGGCCAAGAACCTTTTCCTGCCAGACATCTGTAACGTGAAACCAGTCCAGAACGTTGTAATAGTGCGGAAGCTTTGATGGACTGATTTTGTTTCCTTGGCCTGTAATTACATGTTAGCTACTGGTGTCAATAATTAGGAAGAGGAGATGGCAGCATAGAGGGGTCCAAGGACAGCAAGTGAAGGGATGCTGTTGTTGAAAGTAGGCCAAAGATGCTTACCTGCAATAATGGCCACAGGTGACTTGAGTTCCATGGCTCTCAGGAAGGCATTCGCAATTGAGCTGAATATCTGATCCTTCTTATAGACCATTCTACCAGTCTTCTCATCCAGCAATCTTCCACCGCCACTACAGACGTTAGTATGATCCTTAGAGTTGCAGAATTCGAATGTACTTACACGCTAGTGATTACGATTTCCTCGTCAAATTTGTCGCGGACGCTGACTTCCTTGTCAATCAAGATTGAACGGGCAATATTGTCATGCGTGTATGCTCCAGATTGGTAGGCATTGTAGTAAGGGAGCGTTTCACACAATTGCTGACGTTTGAAAGCCCAAACTATAGGCTGGCCAATAGGCTCTGGCTTGCCATCCTGGACATTCTCATGGTAAAGCGGGGCTTTAGATTTCTTTGCAATCTTCGAAGTCATTTTTGCCATAGCCTTTCGCTTCTGGGTTGGCTTATGATCAGATGTGCCTTGAACACCTTCCATAAGATCCGGGCTCGACTGTTTATCATCAAAGAGGAAGTCATCATCATCGTCGGTCTCTCTCTTTCTCACTCGCAGTTTCTGTGGCTGCTCCTGCTCTGAACCAGGAATTCCATCATCACTGATGTTGATCTGATGTGCGACTGAAGTTCTCTGAAGCTCTCTTGAAGCTGAGCGGGTTACTCGCACCGCCTTTTTTGGGCTAGTGTTCATATTTGTTGTAACAAGTGATTCGCGGTCCCAGGTACCATCAGAATTCTGACCACCTTGTTTCTGGACAAGGAACCAGTCTTCCTCTGTAACAACCATGGATGTGTTGGTATTGTCATAAGAAGAGGTTGGGGTAGAGAACGAGGAGCTTGCAGTCCCGGTTGGTGACTGACTGTGCATCAAATCCTCCTGTGAAGAGGGAGCTTCTGGGGAGGAACCAGTCGGTGATGGAGAGAGAAGTAATGAGGATAGGGCATCAGAGACTGTTGTCTCAGTCAATGACATCAGCTCAGGGGAGAGGGCCGCTGGTGAATCACTGATGCGCGCCTTCTTAGAAGCACGGGTTTCTCTTGTTGTAGAGGGGGCTACTACATTCTGACCCATGTTAGCATTCAGCTGATGGGACAGCTGCAATGCTGCCTCATAATCTTGATCCATTATGTGATTTTTGAACAACAATAAAAATTATTGTTAGACTTCAAGATAAAGAGGATGAGTGTCAACAGAGAAGGGTCTTTGACTATGTCGGTCGGTCTGGATGTAGTGGGTGACGTCAGAAACGAGGATAAGCTGCGAATAGAAGATATCTATGCGCCTCAAGAGAAGATATGCAGGAGTGCGGATGTAGATAGTTGTGAGATGTCGAGGTCGGAAGTGTTTATGTATTAAGAGTGATGGTTAGGCCTCCTGAGACACCTTGGCAGTCTGGTTGTTTGGTGATTCAGAGTAAGACCAGCAGAAACCGAATGATTCACAGTATTGCTGGAGATATCTGTTAGTCTGGGTTCAAACTGCCTTTGATGTAGCTGATACGCACCTGAGAGAGACAGCTCAGAAAGGTCGACTGTCACAGAAACTACTGATCTTGAGAACACCTCATAGGTGTTGGAAAGTGTGGTTGGATTACAGCGATTAGGCTCGCGTTGATATTTGTCGCGTGAATATTTGTCGCGTGAATATCTGTCGCGTGAATGTCTGTCGCGCGAATATTTGTTGCGTGAATATTTGCTGCCTGGATATTTGCTGGGTTTGTTTCAGTGGATGGTAAATCCGAGTAGTTTGGTACTGAAGGAGACAGAACAAGTTGCCCTAGAGCTGATTACGAGGATACTAGGTAATAAGGACCAGGATATACCCAGTCTGTCGCAATGATTTCTGGCGAGAAGAACTTCCGACAGAGAGCTCTCTGGTGGAAAAGACAATTGATAGAGAGAGTTTCTGGCTAGAATGATAGCCTTCTCTTCTCCAGGTTCTAAGAAGGAGCAGATCAGTCACAAGTTGCCTCAAGAGTTTGGTGCAAGGATACTAACGAGACAGCCTGGTACAACCAGTTCTGGCGGGGAACCTTCTGATGGATTGACCCTCTGGAGGGAACTTCTGGTGGAGAGATTCCTCTGGAGTCTTGATTCGCCTGCTGCTACAGAAGCAGTGCAGACCAGACAGGCTGGGCTTGATAGTAAGGAGACCGGCGAGGAGAGGATTGGAATACGCGTCTCTCAGCAGAAAAATTTCCCTTCAAGCCAACGGCTGCTACCCGGGAGGGACAACAGAACCGCGACCGTGGCTGAAGTTTGAAGGCTTGCGCGATAGGGAAAGTTGCTGGTTCCTGATTGCAGGCAGACCAATCGTGGTTTTTCTTGAGACAGGAGGGTATGAGACCGTGTTGGACACGGGAAGATTGGGGGTGACGTCGATAGTGAAGGAGATGATAGAAGTGATGGAGGTGATGGAGGTGATGGAGGTGATGATAGAGGTGATGGAGGTGAGGGATTGATAGAATTTCGTGATAGGAAGTTTGTGCGCGACAGCCGCGATAGCCGAAGAGAGGCGAGGCCAAGTTGAGTCAAGAAGTAAACATACCTTACCGATCACATACCTTAGAGAGGGCAGGCACGATCAGTTCCTTCCTTATAGGAAGGCATGATACCGCTGGCCAGTGTTAATATGGCCCGTGCACGCTAACACAGTGACTGGAGAGCCTCCAATGCCCACACCCCAACGACCGACAACCAAGGCATCACAGCCATTCAACCAGAAGGGCTATAGAGATCTGACTTGAGATGACTGTCTTGAAAGGAGATGTTTGGCGATAAAAATGACTGTCTGAAATCTCGTCTTGACTTGCAGAACAAGTGACTTGGTAAGTACCGGTTTCCTCACAAATGGAATAAGCACCTAACAGAAAACCTCAAAAATTAGCAACGTATAATATATATACACACGAGATCCTACACTGGATCACTGGCAGCACTTGAAGCTCATAATTCCCGCATTAAGGTGGTAGGACGCGTTTAGGGCTTGCCATAGATGCTGGCTCGCGCAGAGGTGAAATTTGGGTCTGCAGGCAAGGTTACGTCCTTGTACCATAACCAGTGGTACAACACCGAGGTTTTGCAACTGGGCCATTCAACCTCGGCATGGACCTATCTAAACGCTCATCTGGAGCAGCTTGCTCGTTCTCCAAGATGGAGCCACGCGTATTTGGAATCCTTGCGACCCAAGTACTGAAGCCTAGAGCACTGAGGCAGTTAAAGGGCATGATCTTGAATCTCCGCTTGGGGATGTGAGTGGTGCCATTCGCTCTTCTGTCTGAAGCCCATGCTGACTTCACTTGTAGTCTTGCAATGGCAAAGCCTCAAAGGCGACATGATTCTCTTCCGCCTGGTGTTTCTCCCTTCTCCCAGTCGATGCCTCTCATCTGACACCTGTTGTTCCTGACCCCCATGGCTTCCAGCAACAGCCCGAAGCTTCTCTGCTACTGTTGCTTGAGGTTGAAGTCGAGCCGTTGGTCGTTCAATTATAACTAACCGAGCGCTAATATGTGGGGCCGTCCAACCCCTGCAGCTTGACATTGAAGTTGTCTGAGGCTGAGCATCTTTCATGATGAACACGACACGATTTGGTCCCTTCGTCGGATTGCAAGGTCGGTCATCAACGAAGCCATGTTTCATTGAAATAAGACCCGTTCTTTGATGGTCCAGCTGATAAGAAATGTCTCGACTAAGACATCAGAGAGATCCTTGATGAAATGAACACTCTGTGAGGTACTTTGTGAGATAGAGTGAATATCTCAGAGCTCAAAGCTCAAAGCTCTATGTGAATATGGAAATATTTCTCTTCGAGACAGACTACACCTATAGGTAACAATGCTACCACTATGCTGTTCAAAGTAGACTCTGGCAAGGGTGGCGAGAGTCACAACCCTGGGGACCTGTTGTCCGTGACATCTTGATGAAGCACTGGTCAAGACTTAGGTATAAACGAAGATGTAAAATCATTTCAAGCTCGATATGAGGGGTCGGAAGTCAAAACCGGCATTCAAGGGTGGTTCGAGAAGGATCACGTGACCAATATCGTTCAACGTTCTGAAAGTTCTAAATTTGGAAAGATATAATTCCTAAGGTACCTATCTGAGATATGTAAGGAGATTAAACATTTCAACTAACGCACAAGTAAGGAGCTGTCGACTTTACAAAGTCGAAGTTTGGCTTTCCATATACCCCTTGGCAACCAACCTCGGCCCCTTAGGTACAGTATCGGTTATTCGCATTGGACCCCGCAATTCCCCAGATGCGGAGACGGGGCTAGCGTCATGGCCAATCCATAAGCACGAGGCCCCATTTCTCCTACCACTTTCCATCCTCTTCCTTATAGCATTTCAATTGTCGGTCTCTTGGTGTTTGGTTTCCATTTTTCAGCTCGTCCAGGACTATCTTTATCTCCGTAGTAGTGATACACGTGCCTAAGAGCAGCATAGTTGGCCTCCCTTGACTCGCTGTCGGATATATCGGGATATACTATCCTTCACAATGGTTTTCACCCCTCCGGCATGGGTGCCAAAGCTTCCTTTCGGTAACTGGACCCAGATGTCTTTAAGAACCAGAATTGTGGTGTATAAACAAAATGGAAATAAGTGCTGACGTGTGTTCTGTATCCAGATCCTCCTGACACTGTTCCTATCAGTCAATTCATGCTAGACGATGCCTACGGAAGATGCCCTCAGAAAGAATCAAAAAATCCATTTACATGCGGTATCTCTGGCAGGACGTATACTGGGCTGGAGATGGTGGAGAGAGTCGATCATCTGGCACGAGCTCTGTCGAAAGAGTTTGGATGGCATCCAAATAAAGGCACGGAATGGGACAAAGTTATTGGGATATTTGCGCTGAACACGGTACGGCTGGTTTTGCTCTGAGGGCGGAATATCTAGGATTATGGGTTGACGCTTTCTCAGGTGGATTCCATGACATTGGCGTATGCCGTGCATCGGCTTTCTGGAATTGCCTCTCCAGCAAACGCGGCATATTCTGCTGCTGAGCTAGAATTCCAGCTTAAGGACTCTGGCGCAAAGGCTATTTTTACAGTACGTTATTTCAAAGCCTAGAGCATGGATGATATACGTTAACTGACACTGACGTATTATAGTGTATTCCACTTCTGGAAACAGCTTTGCAAGCAGCAAAAAATACCGGTATCCCCAGAGAGCGAATTTTCATCTTGGAGATGCCTAAAGAGTTCTCTGGGGATAAACCCGTTCCATTCAGGACGGTTGGACAGTTGATTGAGGCTGGTCAGAAGCTGCCGGAATTGGAAGCTTTGCAATGGAAGAAGGGACAAGGTGCAAGGCAAACTGCATACCTATGCTATTCAAGTGGAACATCAGGTTTACCGGTCAGTCTTATAAAACCTCCCCGGAATTGAGAAACCTTTGCCAATTTAGGGATGAGAAACTCGCTAGAACTAGAAAGAGCTAACTCAGTTGTGTCCCCAGAAAGGCGTCATGATTAGCCATCGCAATGTTATCTCAAATGTTATGCAAATCACGGCCTATGAGAAGCCTGTACGAGATCTGAGGCCTGCCGCTGAGAGGTCAGAGGTGGCTTTGGGCCTGTTACCACTAAGTCACATCTACGGCTTAGTAGTTATTGCCCAAGCCAGCACTTATCGGGGTGACGGAGTCATCATTCTACCAAAATTTGAGCTCCGATCCTATCTCAGAGCTATTGAAGTCAACAAAATCAGGGCGCTGTACCTGGTAAGACCTTCTTAATTCAAACATTTCATGAATCAGAAGTTGATTGGAAACAGGTTCCTCCGATTATTATCCAAATGACCAAGAACCAAGGAGTGTGCTCAAAATTTGATCTCTCTAGTGTGCGGTCAGTGTTTACCGGAGCAGCACCACTTGGGGCCGAGACTGCTCAGGATCTACAAAAGATCTATCCACATTGGAAAATTCGTCAAGGTTACGGTGAGCGATTCCGATGCTGCCTGGCGACTATGCTCTTCCGTAGCAGAAATCTGATGATACTCTAGGCTTGACGGAAACCTGTACGGTGGTAGTTTCTAGCTCAGAAGATGACATTTGGTTGGGATCCAGTGGATCTCTCCTCCCCGGTTACAGCGCAAAGATCATGTCCCTCGACGGCGTCGAAATCACAGGCTACGACCAACCAGGAGAACTGGTTGTCCAATCACCATCCGTCGTGTTAGGATACCTCAGAAACGATAAAGCCAACAAAGAAACGTTCCTAGATGACACTGATGGCAAGGGTAGATGGATGCGAACTGGTGATGAGGCCGTGTTTCGCAAGGCTCCTTCTGGGAACGAGCATCTGTTTATCGTTGATCGGATTAAGGAGCTAATTAAAGTCAAGGTATGGCTAGAATCACGTGGATATAGTTGCCACGAAGCTCACAATGTGACAGGGTCTCCAAGTCGCACCCGCCGAGCTCGAAGCTCATCTCCTCACTCACCCCGCAGTTGCAGACTGCGCTGTCATCCCGGTACCCGACGACGCGGCAGGTGAACTTCCAAAAGCCTACGTGGTAAAATCATCGTCTGTCGGTCTGGAAGAAAATGACCGCATGGTTGCAAGAGATATAGCCAAGTATGTCGAGAAACACAAGGCCCACCATAAATGGTTGAAAGGTGGCGTTGAATTTATAGATGTTATTCCTAAGAGTCCTAGTGGGAAGATTTTACGAAGACTTCTGAGAGATAAGGATAGGGAAGCTAGAAGGAAGACGAGTGCCAAGCTATAGACAGATCTTGGTTGCTCTTAGATGCGTGAGATCGATGTCTGGATAGTTGTAGTTAGAATCAACATCTTGTTTATATCCCAGTACTTTATACCTTAGTCCTTCAAGTGCAAGCAGCGGAAGAATGTGTTTCCAGATCGGACTATGATAGCGAAGTCAAAAGGAAGGGATGCTGTCTTAGGTAGGTATGCAACCCTTTTGGGTGATTGAAAAGGGGCTTAAAAGGGGCTCGGTTTGCGATGTTCTGTTTGCACTGTTTGCATCCACTTTGCTTTTGTCATCCAAAAAATAGGGTCGCGCGAAGCTAAAATAAAAGTTGCCCCGCGATGATTATCAAGCGCTTCGAACTCGAGAGAAAAAAGTGCCCGCACGTCGCGCTCTGGCTTCGATCACTCAAACTCCAGATCGGGCTCATCCTTACCCCTTCGATTCCCAGAATTTCTACTATATACGAGAATCGACAACACCATGTCGCCCCCATACGATAACGAATATGAAGATCCTCACGATGGGGAGGAAGAGGCAGCAATGCTAGATCCCAACGAAGCCGGCGAGGAGATCATAGACGATGGGGACGCAGCCATGGACTCCGGTTCTGATTACGAAGGCGAAGGCGGCGACGACGAGATCATGCAAGAAGTGCAACTGCAAAATGATTCCGCGGCCTACTTCGACCAACACAAAGACAGCATCTTCTGCATAGCCCAACACCCTCTCTACCCAAACATAGTAGCAACAGGTGGCAGCGAAGGTGAGGATGCTGGCGGAATCGGCTACATTTTCGATTCCACACCCGAAGATCGCCCCGTTCTGCCAGCTTCATATCAGAGTGCCCCGCAGGAGGGCGGGGAACGCAAAGGGCAGGTAGCACTTTTTACTCTGGATGGGCACACGGATTCGATCAGCGGACTCGCGTTCACGTTGCCGAAGGGTGAATTTCTGGTCTCAGGTGGCCTGGATGGCAAACTGCGCGCCTGGGCCTCGAACGGGCAGACGTGGAAATTCCTAGCTGAGGCGCAGGAAGTCGAGGAGATCAACTGGGTCATCGCATGTCCGAACTCCGCATACCCGAATACCTTCGCGCTGGGTGCGAATGACGGCTCGGTCTGGGTCTACACAATCGATGGGTCGTCCGCGGACGCGCCCTTGCAGATCGTGCAGTCGTATTTCCTACATACCGAGTCCTGCACCGCGGGAGCGTGGTCCGCGGACGGGAAGCTCCTGGCGACGGTGAGCGAGGACAGCAGTCTGTACGTCTATGATGTGTTCGGGGAGGCGGCCGCGGCGGGTCTTACACAGGGAGATGGCGGACAAACAGTGGTAGGACTCACATCTTTGGATCAGCGATTTGCGGTCGAGGGAGGACTGTTCAGCGTTGCGATTGCGCCTTCGGGTGCGTTCGTCGTGGTTGGTGGAGCGGGAGGTGCGATTAAAGTCGTTGGTCTACCGCGATTAAGCACAGAAGCTTCAGGCGCTGCGCCAGCGGGTAGAGCAGGGGCGGGAGCAGCTTCGAAGGCGAAAGGTGGCAAGCAAGCTGGGGGGAAGGCATCTGGGGGTGGAGCCTCTGCAGGACAGGCGGGGCAGATCCTGGCAGATCTTCAGGCACAGGGTGATGGTATCGAGACGCTTGCATTCGCTCCCCTGCCATTGACGCTCTTGGCGGCGGGCAGTGTGGATGGAAGTATTGCGCTCTACGACTCGGCGCACAGATTTGCGGTCCGGAGGCACATCAAGGAAGCACATGAAGATTTCAGCGTGGTCAAGGTTGAGTTCGTCAAGAACGCGAGGACCGGCGGCTGGCTCCTGACGAGCTGTGGCATGGATGGAGTCGTCAGGAGATGGGATACGCGGGGTGGGACATCGGCGGCCAACTCGGGATTCCTGAGGGAGTGGAAGGGCCACAGAGGGGATGGAGAAGGGGGTGGTGTGTTGGGATTTGTGCAGGGTGATGGCGAGAGGATCGTCACTGCTGGTGATGATGGCATTTCATTGGTTTTCGAAGCACCTCTTGCTTAGATGATGAGTTCTGTTCCTTCAAAGCAACTTGCATATTACCGGAGTTTGGTAGACAGAAGATGCCTTCGCAATGCAATACCCGTCAAGATCAGTCCATTGGCTGGCTTCATCTAAGTTGGTGACAGAGAACTATTTCTGTGGAAGAAGTTCTTCTATTCCATTTCAATCGAGTAGATATCTCGTGATCAGTTGGAAGGTTGCTACTAGGACTATTCTCTAGGCGCTGTTTGTTTGCTGCCCCCTGAGACCTCGAAGATGGAGTCTCAAGATGCACATTAAGCCCGCTACCAGTCCCAGTCGACATGCATTGTAAGTATTTGGTTCTTGAATACTGTTAGACCCAAGACCTGACGCTGCCTGTGGAAGCACGGGATTCATATTATGCACTTTGATGACAGATACTGTGTATTTCACATACCCTCATAGCATGATTGATTGCTTTCAGGTTGATGCACCAAATTTGACTTGAAATCGTGTTCAAAAGTAGTTCATGATATTGCTGCAGTTCTGTTTGTCATGAATCTATTTCTCTCGTCTTCTTCTTTTTCTGGATGAGCTGTTCAGAAGAGATGGTTGTTCTACTGTTACCTCCTGCTGGGAGCTATTCTAAAATGTTCGTTTCCTTACATTGTACATTCCTGACACTCGCGGATACAGAATAGCGTTATTTGCCATAAAGTCCCATGGAACATCCTAAACTTGATATGTTACTTGGCTGCTTGGTTTAAGAACAGTTCAAGGACATCTGGTCTTAATCAAAGGATATCAATTGGTTATCATTCTAATAGTTACACTGTATTCTACACCGTGAAGTCTACGGAAATCGTCAACTCGATATTTCTGGGGTTTTTAGTGATATCCTCCTTATTCAACAACATCCTTTCTTGATCAAGGCAGATTAATCAATCAATCAATCAATCAATCAATCAATCAATCAATCAATCAATCAATCAATCAATCAATCAATCAATCAATCAATCAATCAATCAATCAATCAATCAATCAATCAATCAATCAATCAATCAATCAATCAATCAATCAATCAATCATTCATTGAGCTGTCATTATAAATAAGCCTTATTCCACGCTCAATCCAAGCCTTATCCTCAGACTTCCCACAAAGGAGCATCCCCTCTCTCCGTACTCAGAAAACGCCAAACAAAGCCAAGCCTCGTTCTTCACCTTCGCTCGGGCTTCTCATATTGTTCAGCCGTACATACCTGGTAGTTAGTAGCCTTATGTATTCAATAAGGCAAACAAACATCCTGCCTTGTTGGTTCTCTCCCCCACACATTATCGCTTACTGAGACTCGACTCATCAGAGACATCTCACCTCCTCTTTTATAAAACGCCATTGCCCCAAGGTCACCCGGCCAAGCCAAGCCTTGTCGCCTATCCTATCGCCCTTACCTTACCCCAGGAAGTAAGTACCACGCGCGCGACACGAGGAGGAGGATTTTTCAGCCGCTGCTTACTTACAGTGGAAATGACGGTTCTTACCTACCTTGTCTTATTATTTGATTTGATAACGGCGAAATTGGGAAAAGAGTAAGCCGTTCGTGTTCAGCCCCATCTCCCCGGGGGGTTCTTATATACGATAGGTGACGATAAGAAGCTGTTACGAGATCTGGATTGATTGCCTTCTGAAGTTTCTTTACAGTCTCAGCCTCAGCCTCAGCGTCTAGGTAGGTAGGTAAGCAAGCCCTACAGACAGACACTCATACACTGAAACATATATTCAAAAAGCTCTACCTACCTAATGATGATTACCTTATCAAAACAAAACAACGCTCTCGCTAGAAGGCCTCTGCTTACCTACATTTCCACCGCAAATCACCTACCTTAGCTAAGGCTCAAGAGAAAAGGTACGACTGCATAATATATGTACCTATGTATGTATGCGTTTCAATCAACTGCACTGCATATGCATGCGTGCAAATTCGTGTGAATCGCTAATATTCTGAATTTCTGGAAGACAAATATCCTGCATCATGACCTCATTTCTCGGATGCCTTACTTCGCCTTGCATATCATGAATACATGAAGCTGCCTCACCCTGTCAACCACGTATACAACAACAGAGAGGTGTGTGTGTGTACAGCAAGCAAGCAAGTAGCCCCCCCACACTCAATCACTTATGGCGAAAATACCGCACTTGGCTTCAGAAGAAGAAAGGTCGTGGTCTTTTTTATGCGTGAGGTAAGGGCGGATCTTAATTCATTGGCCCATGATATAATCCCGGTGATTCAGCACACCCTCTCTCTCTCTCTCGCGACCAAATCTCCTGTCATCATCAGACACGGACATAAGGACCGACCCCCTTCTTCTTCTTCACCATCGGCCGTTCCCCGGTGCCATTTGTCTTCTCAACTGCAGTCTGTCTGCATGTGATGGTTTTTAAAAAAAAAAAAAAAAAAAAAAAAAAAAAAAAAAACCCG